AGCAAACCCAAAGCCCAAAGCTCAATAGAGTTAACATTAATGATAAATATTGAAAGAAGGACAGAGCTAGAGAAAGAGAGCGGAAAGAGGGAGAGAAATCCTTCTGTCTACTTAATTAATTTTTAATTGTAAAGCGCAGAGAACAACAACAACAACTGCAACAACAAAAACAGCAACTATGATGCCAAAGAGCATTTAATGATAGCCAGCGTTGCAGCCGCTTTGCCGTCAGGGGGCGCCACATACAAAAACACACTCGGAATTTGTATGCATCATCAGCACAAAGCAACAAAGCGACAATAGCAAAAAAAAAAAAACACACACACACACACAAAACATCAAAGCGCAATTGGAGGGGGCTGGCAAGGAGCCAGCCACTCCAAAATGCACAAACTCCGTCGAAACTCGTCAAATTCTGTTCTGCTCCTAAACCAGCCACCAAAGTGTATCCTGGCGCCCTCTGGCGGCGGTAGCAGCAGCGCACGCTTAACAAAAAATGCGCATTTAAATGTCAATGATTTTAATGGGCGGACGCGTAAAAGTCTTGAGCCAGTTTTGTTTATTACATTGTCGTTGGGCCAAAGCTGAAGAGCTGAGGCGCAACCACAGCGAGGAGCGACTGGCAAATTCCCCTTGCGAGGCTCACGCTCCCAAAGGACTCGCTTGCTCTCCCTCGCTCCCTCTCTCTCTCTCGCTCTCACTCTCTCTATTGCCAGCCATGTGGCAATTGCTCACTGTGTGTGTGTGTGTGTTTTTTTTTCTGCTGCGTTTTGTAAGGTCATGGAACTTGTCTGCATTGACTTTGTGGCTGCCGCGCGCGTGTGAGGGGCAGGGTCAGGGGGCACAGGCACAGGTCGACTGCCGGCTAAAGTTTTTCAGTTTTCCATTGCCTCCCCCTCAACTTGACTCGTCAAACTGTTTTCACTTTGCGCCGCGCTACGCGCTTTTTGATGCCGCCGCCGACTTTGAGCCACCAACAACAGCAACAAGAACAACAACAACAACAGGTCAAACAGTTCACCTACGACCCTCCCCGCAGCCCCTCAGTCCCCCTTAAATGATGCAGCTGCTACCAGCTACACTTTTTTTTCCTCTTGGCTGTGACTTTTTCAATTGATTTTCGCGGTTTGGCCAGTGCACAAGCCAAGGCCAACTCCACGTATTTTTTCGACTCGTATTTCCTTTTTTCTTTTCTTGGTACAGGGAAGTACTGTTGCACCTGTGCTCTGTGAAGTTACTCTTGTTGTTGTTGCTGTTGTTGCCTCGGCTGCTGCTGCTGCTGCTGCTGCTTCAACGCTTCTTTGTGTTCAACGATCCATAGAAAAGTTTAAGTGCTCTGTGGTTGGCAAGTTTTTCCGTTTCATGCCGTTCCGTTTCGTTCCATTTTCCATTTTCCTCAAGCACTCGTTGAGGCAATCGTTTTGTTCGAAGGCCCCTTTTTTTTGCAGGCCTTGTTTTGATTGATTGCCTCCATTTGGGGCCAACGATAACTTATCGCTTAGTGTGGCTTGTCTATGAATAGATTCATCAACTAAAGTTGATGTCCTCGATTGTTGTTTAATTTGCCTAAAAGTCGCTTCATCACTTTATCTCTTTGAAGTTCCAGCAGCTTGTTTATCCGGTGATCAATTGTCGCTGAAGCTGGATGAAGAGTGCTGATTGTTGTAGGGCATAATTTATATGCAACTACTAAAAATCTACTTCCCGAGATCCTGCTTTAGGATATAAGAAATCTAAAAAGTTTAACATCAACACACTGATCATTGATAAATAGCAGATTGATTGAATGAAGAATTTAACTTTTTAGATCATTCATTGGTCAAAGATGAATGATAAAATAAATCGATAATTAAAGTTAAATGCATGCTTTATACTATGAATGCCATTTTGTTAACACTTTGCAACATTGTAAATGCATATACGAGTGAGGACTGTACCCGATAGATACCCCAAGAGGCGAATATCACTTGCTACCTGTCCGTCTGTCTGCCTGTCCGTCTGTCTGTCCATTCGCTTCCCAGCTTGTTTGTTTGTTTCTTACTTGCTCTTCGCTGGCTGCGCCTGCGCCTTGTTTGTTTAATTAAAGCAGTCAAGTTGCAGTTGTCGCCTGTTGTCGCCTGGCCTGGCTACCAACTTTGGTAACAGCTTCCGCCGTCTGCATTGCTGATGCCGATGCTGATGCTGATGACTGTTAGCCCCGTCTTGGCCTCTTTACTGCATTGAAGCGCAGCCATTCACCAATTTCGAATCGCTTGGCCAAGGCACGCACTCAAAGCACGCACTCGGCCACAATCTGGCCAGCGATCTCTCACTCTCTCTCTCTCCCTCACTCTTTCTCTCTCACTCTTTCTCTCTCACACTCTCTGCAGCGATCTCTCTCTCTCTCAAGTCTTGGGTAAATATGGGCAGCTTGTTGCCGGCGGCTCGTCGAGAGCTTGTGCAAACATCGTTGAGACTTGTTGGCAGCGTGATTTTGTATAAAATTCTAGACTCCGACCATCTTGTTGTGCTGCATGATTTGCAAAATGAATGCAATGCCGGGCACCAAGAGTCTTGGGGCTTAGTTTAGCCATATTGCTGTGTGTGTGAGTTGGTAATAATTTGTTAGTTGTAACGAGCTTCGACTCGTACGCTTGTTAACAATTAAATAAACAATATGAGTCGCGTTTTTCGCTGGAGAAACAACAAATCACTAAATAAACATGCCATATGCCCAAACAAACGATATCGGACAAATGGACGAAGTGGCGATCGGGGCCAACACAAACAGAAAAAACACACACATATTATTTAGCTACCACTCTTTCCATGGACCTCGACACGAGCACTTGAGACACTTTCTGTCTGCCATCTCGCTCCCTCTGTGCCGCTCGCTCTCTCTGTCTATTAAAAGCAATATTTATGCACATTTTCTCTTTGGCTGCGAAAGAGGCACGTTTGCTATTATTTCCAATCCATTTCCCATGAGCACATGCAACACACACACAACAAGTCCGGCCAAGTAGTGCGAGTACTTATTGCTTGGGTTTGGTTTTGGTAAGCAATCTATGGCTAGGCACAAAACCAATGTTTGCCTTCCATATGCCACTTGATACTGTGGCAGGCACTAATAAAAACAACAACAGCAACCACAGCAGCAGCCATAATAAGGGCATTCTTCTTGTTGTTGTTTTTAGGCCATCCCATACAAAATGTTTTCATACCTTGGATTGGATCTACGACGAGTACTTTTACACGCATATGTTTTTCTTCTTCATTTTTTCCTTTTACCCATGCTGCGTTGCGTTTTTCATTAGAGTTGTCGACCATTTTGGTCACGTTTTGTATTTAAATGGGTGAAGTGAAGTATGTGTATCTATCTATCTATATGGGTTAATGCCTGTATCTGTACATATGCCAATCGTATACAGTTCAGCCTTTAGCTGGAATTGAAATGGCATCAATGCTAAATGGTTAAATGTAACCCAATCATAGTTGAACAACTCTGAAAGTTATCGTCTATCGCAATCGATAGCCTAACTTATTGCATTAATTCCCACGCCCACATCTCTGTATTGGATTTCAACGTTTTATTTTACCATTTACATCACTTGTCATTTTTCCATTTTGGCAGCGTTATTTACTTAATTATTCTAAAGTGCTGCGCAAACACTTTTACACGAAAAATGTTTCAGGGCAACGACACCCCCCCAAAAACAAAAACAAAAATTGAATTTCGTTGCTGGGGGTTGACATGCAGCACCAATGTTATTAATTAAAATGTCATTCATTTAAAAAAAAAAACAGAAAAGAAGCGAAAACAACAAAGGCTGACAAAGGATTTGCAGGATATATTTGCAGCTGCTGTTGACAGTTTTGCTTGTGGATGCTTTTAACGCTTTTGCAACACGAAAATTCGCATGTTTTTCGACCACACGCAGCTGCTACTGCTGCTGCTGCCCACAAAAGCCACAAATATGTATGTTATTTGACACTTGCTACTTGCTACTTGCTACTTACTGCTTGAGCATCTCTGCTGGAAGCTGAAGCTGCAACTGATGCTCTAGCTGCTTAAACGCCCTTCACTTTTGGCCCCCAACCAACTTGTCCAGCTGTCAATTTTCGCCTGAGTTCTCACAGCATTTCTTCATTTTTTTTCTTTTCTATTTTTTGCATCGTTGTTTTTGTTTCGTGATGACCACAGAATGTTGGCATCGACATTGATATCCAACCAGAGCTGACACAATTTACAAAGCTCTCTCTCACGTCAGGTGGCAAACAACGCCTGCCGCAACACAGCGACACGCAACGCTGCCCCCCAAAAATCTATATGGGTGGCAGCTGCGCAGCACTTTAAGACTCCTCGTTTGTGTTGTGAGTGTTTGGTGTCTCGTCAAGTGAGCAATTGTCTTGAATTAATTTCTGCTTCATCAGAGACAACCCATTTTCCCATTTGATGCCCCTTTTCAGTGCGTTTTCACACCCTTTTTGGGCTGAGTAAACACTTTGATCAACGCAGCTTCCACTGCTGATGGCAACCAGCAGACGGCGTCAAATTTAATAAAAATCAGTGATTTTGATTGATGCGCCTCTTGGTCAGCAGTTACACACTCCCCATTTGCCCAGTTTTGGGCTGTCAGCGTCAGCAAATATTGGCGGAAAGGGTGGACATGGTGACATTTCGATGTCGTCCAAGTGTCGCTCCAATTGAAACAAATGAAGCACCAGTGCCACAAAAAAAAAAAAAAAAACAGGAAAGAGCAGTTGCAACTTGTCGACGACTCATCAGCAAAACTCACATTTATATTTCTAGCATTGCCAACACCAATTTATTTTCATATCAATGGCAGCATTTGTCGTCAGTCAAATGTTAGAGCTGCATACGAATAGTTCAATTTAGAATAGTTGAAAAATAATATTTATTACAAGCAATCCTTACTGCTTTACTTCTTTCTTTTCAACTCTCTCTCTTCCTATTTATTCTCAACTAATTTATATTCTCTCCATCTTTCCATTTACAGCTCAACCATGCCGTTTGTCCAGCGTTGACAATTTGACGCTGAACTGTCCAAATAGCGAATACATCCTCCAAGCATTTCGGCCAGCTCCAAACGCTTACGAGAGTGATAAGGAGTGCATAAGAGAACGCGAGAGAGAGAGAGAGAGAGAGAGCAGCTACTCTAAAGGAAAGAGAGAGCGAGTTCAACATACACATACAAAAGCTAACAGCTACGCACACAATGAAGCACAACGAAATGAGTCTGGCAACGCTAGCCACATTCAGCAGCAAAATCTTGGTATTGGCTACACTGCTGCTGGTCGTCAGCCAGTGCTGCGTTCGAGCGGACAATCCACAGCATATGACGGACAACGGAGGAGGCGGTCACATGGGCATGGGCATGGGCTTGGGAATGGGCTCCCACTCGATGGAGGTGAGTCCGGCACCGGGCTACGGTGTGCCAGCCATACCCAAAGATCCCAATTCGCGATGCGAGGAAATCACGATACCCATGTGCCGGGGCATTGGCTACAACATGACCTCCTTTCCCAACGAAATGAATCACGAGACCCAGGACGAGGCGGGCCTCGAGGTGCATCAATTCTGGCCGCTGGTCGAGATCAAATGCTCACCGGATCTGAAGTTCTTCCTGTGCAGCATGTACACACCAATTTGCCTGGAGGATTACCACAAACCGTTGCCCGTCTGTCGCAGCGTTTGCGAGCGTGCCCGTTCCGGCTGTGCACCCATCATGCAACAGTACAGCTTCGACTGGCCGGAACGCATGGCCTGCGAACATTTGCCGCTGCACGGTGATCCCGACAATCTGTGCATGGAGCAGCCATCGTATACGGAAGCTGGTAGCGGCACAGGTAGTGGCAGTGGCAGTGGCGGCAGCTCTGGTAGTGGCTCAGGTGGCAAACGGAAGCAGGGCGGCTCTGGCGGATCGGGTGGCTCCGGCACAACGGCGAACAAGTGCAAGGGCAAGAATTCAAAAAACTGCCAAAATTCCCTAGGAGAAAAGGCAAACGGAAAGGAGTGCAGCTGCTCGTGCCGTTCGCCGCTGATCGTCCTGGGGAAGGAGCAGCTAATGCAGCAGTCGCCAATGCTGCACCATCACTGGTACATGAATCTAACTGTGCAAAGGATCGCCGGCGTACAAAATTGCGCCATTCCATGCAAGGGGCCGTTCTTCACGAACGACGAAAAGGACTTCGCCGGACTGTGGATCGCCCTGTGGTCGGGCCTGTGCTTCTGCAGCACCCTCATGACCCTAACCACATTCATCATCGACACCGAAAGATTTAAATATCCCGAGAGACCCATTGTCTTCCTATCCGCCTGCTATTTCATGGTCGCCGTCGGCTATCTATCCCGGAACTTTCTGCAGAACGAGGAAATTGCGTGCGACGGACGATTGCTGCGCGAGAGTTCGACTGGTCCGCATTCGTGCACCTTGGTCTTTCTGCTTACCTACTTCTTTGGCATGGCCTCGTCCATTTGGTGGGTAATCCTCAGTTTCACATGGTTCCTGGCCGCCGGCCTCAAGTGGGGCAATGAGGCCATCACCAAGCACTCGCAATACTTCCATTTGGCCGCCTGGTTGATACCCACAGTTCAATCGGTTGCCGTTCTTTTGCTCTCCGCTGTCGATGGTGATCCCATTCTGGGCATCTGCTACGTGGGCAACCTAAATCCGGATCATCTGAAGACCTTTGTTCTCGCACCGCTCTTCGTTTATCTTGTCATTGGCACCACCTTCCTCATGGCTGGTTTTGTGTCGCTCTTCCGGATTCGGTCAGTGATTAAGCAACAGGGCGGCGTTGGTGCCGGCGTCAAAGCCGATAAGCTGGAGAAGCTCATGATACGCATCGGCATCTTCTCGGTGCTCTACACAGTACCAGCAACGATTGTCATCGGTTGTTATCTGTACGAGGCTGCGTATTTCGAGGACTGGATCAAGGCACTGGCCTGTCCCTGTGCCCAGGTTAAGGGACCCGGCAAGAAACCGCTCTACTCCGTGCTGATGCTCAAGTATTTCATGGCCCTGGCTGTGGGCATAACGTCGGGCGTTTGGATCTGGTCGGGCAAGACGCTGGAGAGTTGGCGACGCTTCTGGCGTCGTCTGTTCGGTGCACCCGATCGCACTGGTGCCAATCAGGCGCTGATCAAACAGCGGCCACCCATTCCCCATCCGTATGCCGGTTCGGGCATGGGCATGCCAGTGGGTTCAGCTGCGGGCTCGCTGCTGGCCACGCCATATACACAGGCGGGTGGTGCTTCGGTGGCATCGACGAGCCATCACCATTTGCACCACCACGTTCTCAAGCAGCCAGCGGCCAGTCATGTATGACATGGAGAGTCGGGAGGAGCTTCAACCATGGGTGGCGGCAGTGTGCTGGGTGGTCATGGCACACTGATGAGCACGGCGGGCATGAGCAATAGTACGGTTGGTGGCATGGGAGCTCCTCCTGGCAGCTTGTTACAAGGCGGTGGCGCCAATGGCGGCGCACCCGTCAACGTTTACGGCAATGTCAATGGTGGCGGTGTTGGTGGCGGCGTCGGTGGTGGCGTTGGTGGTGTTGGTGGTGGTGTTGGTGCTGGTCAGAGCACAGCACCCGGTTCGGTAATTGATTCGCGAGCCGTCTCTGTGGTTGTTACCCTCCCAGGGGGTCCGGGCTCCCAGCATCCGGGGCAGGCGTTGAGCGATTACGGTCCCATATAGTTAATGGTACGCCCGGACACCGCCCATTGGGTCTCAACGAGCAGCTTCAGTCAGCTGTAAGAGAGCACAGTTTACCCTCTCTTCATCTCACTCACGCACACTCTCACTCTCTCTGTTAGATTCTCTTTCTCATTGCCTGTCACTTTCTCAAAGGTTTGAAAGCAATGCCATATTAATTTTTGTAGCTTGTAGTTTGTTTAGAGAAAGCGCAAAACAGAGATTTTAAACTATTTGCATAACATTCTAGTCCAAAAAAAAAAAAAACAAAACAAAACAAAAAACCTTTAAAATATCAACAACAACGACAAAGACGAAGAGCGAGCAAGAGAGCAAAAAAAAGAGCGAGCACCGCCGCAGCAAAGAGATTGAGAGTGGAAGTCGCTCTCTTGCCCAAAAAAAGAAAAAAAAAAACAAAAAAAAAGCAGTTGAGGAACCAACTTGGGCGCGTATGTTCTGCAGCCATTTTCCATACATTTCTTTGGTTCTTTCCATTAATTTCTTCAACGAAATAGACTGAGAAAACAAAACGATAAGCGTAAATACATAAATAGTTTGCATAAAACATAGAAACCATTAAAATCGAAGAAGAATCACTTACAAAATAAAATATTTATAAAAAAAAAAAAAACAGAAGAGAGCAAAAACGAAATGCGTAACAACTCTGCCCACACTGCCAAGTCAGAGCCACGAGCCATATTTCGAAATTACAAGTAACTTTTAATCAAACTACCTAAACTATTAACCTTAACCTTAAATATAATGAAAACACACACACACACATGCATACATTAAATACATACACATACACACACACACAATTCGAATTCGCATTTAAGGAGTGATGTGTGTGCAATTTTAGGGTTGTCACACCGCATCGAAAAAAGAGAGCGAGCGAGCGCACAGTGTTGCAAAAACCATTTGTAAATTATTTAATCTTAACTTAAGGCATTATCCAGCACTTTTTTGTAAATATTTTCAAATTGCGTTTAGTTTGTAAACGTTTTATTTTTTTGTAACTTAACATCCTAAACTAAAACTATACAAGTAAAAATACATAATAGTAATTTGCATTTTAGCGTCACTGGCAGCGCTGCATTTACGCTCAAAAACTGAATTTAATTTTTACAAAAATTCCCACAATAAAGAAAGAAACGAAATTAACGAAATATAACAACAAATAAAAATTGCCAACTTTTTCTGCAGCCAAATGCAGGGCATTTTTGCATTTAAAAAGCAAAGGAAAATTGTATAAAGTAAAAATTAATATAAGAGTATTAAATTAAATGTAATGTTAGTTGTAAACGAAACCCAAAAAACAAATATCTTTCATGCATTAAAATCTATTGTATTTTTATTTAATATTTGCATATATATATACAATAATATATGTATGGAAAAACAACAATTTAACTGTTGGCATTTTGAAACCAATTTCACATACGAAACAAAACAAAATAATTAAATAATAATATATATATATATATATATTATAATATAGCAACTTTATGTGTAATGTTTTAGCAACTATAACTATTTCTATAAACAGAAACAAATAAAAACCCGAAAAAATTCAAAAATTTTTAATTAAAATTATAAAACAACAAAAATATATTCAAACTTTTTTGAGTTCTTGTTTTTTTATTTCTTTTAAGTTTTTGCTTTAATCGTAAAGTAAGTAGATTATCATTTCAGCTGATTGGAACCTTCGATGAAGATATTTTGCGCTTGTTTTGGTTTATTTTGACTTTTCACTTCAGTTGTTATTTAGCATTTACAAGAAACCCTTACAACACTTATACGTATCATAAAAACGAAGCTCTCCAAGTTAAGCTAACAAAAGAACAAACGAAAACCAAAAATTAAACATTAATTAGCAAATTTCTCTACATGACGTACAATGTTCAATATATATATATATATATATATATATAAATATATTTATATATATATATATATATATATATATATATATATATTTAAACTTACATAAATATTGAAAACAAAAACAATAAAAAAATTACAAATACAAAATACGCGTACTATTCGATGTTGTTAATAAGCTTAAATAAAAAGAAAAACAAACAAAAAAAAAGAAACATTAAGAATATTAGTAGTAGCGTTTAGTTTGCAATGAATGTTCGAGGAATCTGCAAGGAATTAATCCTGACATTTGAGCATTTAAAACTTTAGTTTTTGGCGTAAATAGTAAACGCTTTTATCATAATAAATATTAATAATACAATACACTTATTAAAGGCTAAAAAGAGTAACGAATATACGTAAATGAAATGTCAAATGGCGAATGTAAAAAAAACAAAACAAAACAAAACGATAAAAGATTAACAGATTAATATTCTTGATCATTATTACGTTGATTTTTTGTGATTGAAAATTAATTTTATAAATTGATAAACAAAATTGATTGCAATTTGCGAATGTATACGATTTTTTAATTTTTTCCAACGAAAAAAGAAAACTAAAATTAAAAATATAATAATATTTCATAATGGATTTGGGTTTTAAAAGGAAGAGAATGGAAATAGCTGGGTGATTGATGGATTAGTTGAAGTTACACAAACCAGAAACTTGACGTCAAGTGTAGTTGTGAATTGTATTTTGTGAAATGTAATTTAAAAATATATAAATAAATACAAAAAAAGAAACGAAAAAAGAAAAGCAGAAAACAAATTATATATACAATGCATATTTATATATATTTAAAAGAACGCAATGAAAGGCATCAAATACTTTAACAATACCAAATAATGCAGATATTATTTTATTTACAAACAAAAAAATAAAAATTTTTAATCAAATTAAAATGCAGTTACAAAAACAAAACAAAGAACAAAGATAAAAACAAAGCGTTGTACATCGTGCAACGATTTTGATGCACTAAATTCGTTAAGAACATCAACAACAGCAGCAGCAATATAGCAAAACGCAAATACAGCAACAACAATAGAAGCAAATAATATTAAATACATTTGTAATTGACGAAAGGAAACCATTTAAAATAAAATTTAACAACATAAAAGTGGCGATTTTCATCTACTACTCTCGGCAAAGGTGGCCGAATAGTCAATGGACTATTAAAGGAATGGTCAATTGACCATTAAAGGTGATAATGGTCTGACCTACCATTTATTTACAGGCCTAATACAATAGAAATACGATTGGAGCGAGCCAAACGAATGCTTTTTATGGATATTAAGCTGAGCAAACGGTTTGAAACTAAATTGATTAGCCATTCGACTTTCATTCACATTTCACTGATACGCTGTTGGAGAACATTCTAAATCTTAAAGCATACTTTTAGGAGGTTTAAAAAAAGGCAAATGGTTTTCAGGAAAACAACTGTGTTTCGCTCATGTGCTTGCAGATATTTTAAGAAAGTAGTATTTATAGATCAAAGGACAACCGGCTAGTCCTCAAGACTGCCAAATTACCACAGATTTTCAGACTTCTTACCATTATTTGTAATCCAACCCATGTAAAAATACTGTATATTTTTATCCAAATTTTAAAAACCCTTACATGCAAATCGATAGGACTGTTTTTCACAAGCCAAAATATGTAGGTCCTTTCGAGATCCATCAGCACGGCCATAGTGCTACATGGCTACACAAAAATGCCCTTTACATATATAAAAAAGCCTTTTGTACAATAATTCAACAAAACTTTAATTTATAATTGCAATATTGTTCCCTGGAGAAATACACCTTATCGGGTATGCCACCCAATAGTTTCATTAACTTATTTCGATGGAATCAACAGTTATATATTTTTTTTGGTTTTTTTTTTTTTGTATTTTACAAGCGTTTCATTGTAAACATAAATAGATTAAACTTATTGAACTATCCAATTCAATATTATAATTGGATAATACAGTGACTTTCTTATTTGTACGTAAACTCGTTTGGATGATCTGTTCACATGGAAGATCTGAATGCAATTCCCATGCTTAGTATAATTTCTATTGTTCTGTATTCTATCACACACAAATATTGTGTTGGCTTTGTTTTTTCTGTTTTTTTTTTTTTATATTTCCTATTTTTTTTATCAAAATTTATCTTTGGACAAAATTAGTCAGCTGCGCTCCACGTCATTGTGTCATTGAAAAAAGTTATCTCATTTAGAAGCTGACAGTTTGGGTTTGTGAAATTTCTGATAATACGTACATTGGGTTCCTTAATTAATGCTCTTTGCTGTCAAGTAAACTTTGACCAAGACACAAGACACAACAATTAACAACAATTTGAACTAAGCTACAAGACATAAAAACAATTTCTCAGATGCACCAAACTATTTCAAAATACTTGATAGGCTCGCGTAGCCACTGTTGCCATGGTCGGGTTCCATGCGCCTTTTGCAGCAGTTACAGCAGCAAACACTTTTCACAATATCCAAAAAACTTGTCTGCTGGAAGTCATCCAGATTGTTCATGAATACACCGGAGCTAATATCTTCAGCGGTGCGTACGCCCACAAATGCCTTGAGATCGGTGGTGGGAAAACCATCCTTATAGTATTTCTTAATCGTATCGTATGCGTCCATAATAACAGCAATAAACAGTGATAACACCACATAGATGTACAGTGAAATGAACGAATACAAATAGATCTGGCAGAACCACCACAACCAGGTGGCCTTGTTGGATATCGTCGTAAACGTTGCAAACATATCGTCACCATTGATCAGCGCGAACAGGCACTCCGAGGTGGTTGCCAGCGATCTGAATTTCATGTGATACGGTCCCAATATAAGCCAGCCGCAAAACACAAAGCCCGCATAGATCAACAGTGCGGCGATCAGAAAGCGCAGTATTTTCGGTGCCGCTTTCTTCAGCGTGAGTATTACCACATTGTAGGTCTTGAAGAAGCCCAAATAACGGAGTACACCGAACCACACAAGCATATTGCCAATTCCCAGAAATAGTGAGCAGGTGTCCCACTGATCCACGACCATATATCTGCCCTCGATTTGCTCCTTTAAAGCCGAACCAATAATTAGAAGCACATCACTAAAGATGATCATAATATACCTATAAGTAAAACAGTTGCGTTCAAAACTCAGCACTTCCAATAATAACTTTCCATTCATTTTACGTACCAAAAATTGACAAACTCCAGACGCCCATCAAAGCTCAGATCCTTGTTGAAGTGTGAGCGGAAGAAATTGATTGTGGTGCATTTGAGCAGATAGGCTCTCCAGAGAGCGCGAGTGCAGAGGGCAAAGGATAGACCACAGGTCAATATCACGAAGATATTGAGAATACTTCTCAGTATTGAGTCGAAACGTGCCTCCGATATGAAATCCGTATCTCCCTTGCATTTTAAGCGCGTTGCTTCAGCGTCCAGGGACAAAAGCATTTGTCCATCGTGATCTCGATTGTTGAACATTATCGTTAGGTCAAATTTAAAACAATCGGGAGCCGACAACGGTCCGCCGTTGGCTTTAAAATTGACGGTTTTGATTTTGAACGTTAGATCGGCTGTCACCAGCGATGCAAAATTGACCTCGACTCCTTGGTCCTGTAGATATTGCTCCACCCCAATGCTGGACACATTTGGCGGCAGTTTCTCGCACAACTCATCAATATGCGGATCAAAGATGTACGACTCATTAAAGCCAAATATTGTGCCCTCACGATAGTTTTGCATGCACAGCGTCAACGGCGGCATCGTATTGTTCGATGTGGGATAATAGTAGGGTCCAATGGAACGGCTCATATTGGCATATCCATCTACTGCAAACTGCACTGTACTAAAGAATTCGGACTTCTCGTACAGGGCAAATGGTCCGACAGCAGGCGGATAGCTCTCAACCTCTCGCGACGAGTCCCATCCTTTGAGAAACAGATGCGAGAACGCAATGCGATTATCCCACGTATAATTGATGTGATTGTATCGTGAGTGGGCAAAGAGACATAGCTGCATTGTCACCAGAATTATTTTCACAATCTATGAATGATAAAGTAGCAATCAGTAACAATAATATTGCATTCAAAAAGAAAAACAAAATTCAATCGGTTTACATTTTTAAGAAGCAATTGTAGACATGGACATATATATATATAAATAATATATATACATATGTTCTATCGTTTGAAGTTTAGTGATCTTATTTCTCAGCAAGCAAAAGATATCAAAAATTTGTTTGTTGATTACAATATTTGCTTCTTAAACCTTCGGCACTTTAAATACAACTTTACGCTCTATCTTATCCATACAGCATAGAAATAGTAATAGTGCATTACAAGAAATATATATAGTTAATCTATGAGGCATACAAATAAGAACGTGGACAACTGATTAGGATGTTTACGTAAGCGAATTTAAAACTTTTAAGTAACCGACAATTTTCCGCTAAATCATCTGAGTCATAATGGAAAGTGAAATACATTAAATTCACATAGATTTCGATTGATAAATTGTTTTAAAAGGTTGTAAACGTTTCCTATTAATAGATACGATGTTCATTCTATCAACAGACACAGACACAAACATATATATGTATCTGCGTCAAACTGTCATATCTGCAAAGAATCTGTATTTCTTTTTTGCTAGGCAGCTATGCAACAAGCAGACAGACAAACAGACAGCAAAGGAAATCAAGTATATATTAATCATAGCCATAAAAGCACAAAAAAAAATTCCCCACTTAAGCCTTGTATTTATCATAATAATACTTTCCCGAGCATTTCTAGTAACTGTACTACGTAACTCGTTTATAGTTAGCACTCATAGATAACGCAATGTTTGCGCTGCAAACTGAATTTATTGAAAAGCAAACAAGCCAAATAATTAAATTTCAGTCCCATTGTTAGCGAGATGTGTCACACACAAACAAAAACTTGAGACAGACTCAGTTTGGGAATCCGAATCACGAATCACGAGACAAAGCGATCAGTTTACTGCTCAACAGATGAATAAACGAGACAATATAATATATGTATATATATATATACCTGTACAACAAATTTGTAGGGAAACATTCGGCGGGCCTGCCACTTTTCTATGGGATTCATAAAGTAGAACTGCAGCTTGCGACGCATGCGTTCCTCGTTGTAGGACGCCGTTGACGATGTGGGTCCTCCAGCAAGAAACTCTGGCTGCTCCACATGACCTTGTGGCATTGCCGTTCCTACAGATGCTTCTGGTGCTGCTGCTCCCGCTCCTGCTGTTGTTGTTGTAGGTGGTGTTGATACATTGGCTTCCATCAAAGGCGTCGACTGCAGTTCCATGCGTCGTCGCAAGATCCTTGTATTTACATACTCCTCATCGCTCTCACAGCGAGAGTTCTCGCCGCTGCTGGGCGTGTGTGGATAGTGTTGGGCAGCCTCGTAGCTGTCCGTACGACGCTTGACGGCTGGAGCTGCAGCAGCAGCGACAGCAGCTCCAACGCCGTAATTTTGCATCTCAATTAATTGCACTGGCCGCGTCTCGAGGTCGCAGGGTGTTGCGTAGTTGCTCCCGTGTAGAGTTTTTCTTTTGCTATGTTTGGCTCCAACATGCAAAAGAAATTCTACACGCACGCAACAGGCAATCGACTCTTGGGTAAATATAAATAGATCACGGATGGCGCGATTGCGACGCTTTTCAATCGAATTGATAATAAATACTGCCCAAAAATTATTATGCAGATACGTGAATTGCTTTGTTTTCGCAATTGTTGTTATCGCCTCGATAGGTCGATACTCTTGGACATCTCTTGCGATATTTCTCTAATATTCATGGTAAAAGACACTCGCGGTATCGATATTTTTTGTTTTAATAACATTAGAGGGATTCCGGAAATTAACAAACAACAAATAAAATAAAAAGAGGTTGCGACCAGTATTTTTAAATTTAATCAGCTTAGATTTTATCTTTGAAAGCATAACTCGAGCTTTATTGACTATTTCAAATCGAGGTAACCAAAAATTATTGTGTATATCGAATATATACATTTATCGGCCATACACCACCCAGCAATGCTATCGAGAACAACATACATCAGCGGTATATTTGAAGGTTACAATTTATATGAACAAATCGTCACAGATAAAAGTTCAGCTCAGCTAATAGATTTTGCATTTTATTTAGATTAAGTCAATTTGCTTTCGAAAACAAGATTGACTCTAAAATTAAAGAATTATAAATTTCAAAATAATATTTGTTGAATTGGCATGCTTTATTTTTCACTAAAACTAAAAATAAATAAACTTATTTTAAATTTACAACTAAACAAATAAATGAATAGCTCACACTCGAAGCAAATTTATGCACATGACCCCTTACTCTGTATCGAGACCTCTGCAAATAAAAACAAGTAATGTAATTAAATAATCAAGTTATCAGAATTTCCGATTTCAAGCTATATTAATACTAACCAATATTTAAGCAAGTTGAATAACACTGCAGTTGTGTTTCTCCCGTGTACATATATCCATCAGAGCCACACACTATTTCATCATTCTCATCATAGACATTTGCGCAAATCTTTTCACAATAAGCTTCATTATCCTTTGGCGACTCGGCTGAGTCTGTTGCTACAATTGGTGGGTTCAAAATCCCTTTCTCTTGGGGACGCTGAAATTATTAAAAAAAAAATAAAATAAAAAAAATCAACAATCATTTGTATTTGTTAGGTAAACAATTTGATTGAAATACTCGTAATGTGGTGAAAGTAACAAAAAATGCGAGCGAACTCAAATTATTTAAATTGGACCAATTTAAGCTTGATTTGGATCTTTCTTGATAGCAAACCTCGCAAGCGCGTAATAATCTAGAAGAAAGCTGAATTACTGCCGATTCAAATAATGGGTTGCTTGGTATTTTGTTGAATAGTGGAAAGTTGCTGTGTTCTTGCCTTGCGGCAAACTCAAATCTTAAAAATCTAACGCATGAAATGACTCATTAACTATTTTATTATGTAGTTCAACCAGGTTGAAAGAAGAGTAAAAGTAAAATTGTCATAGAGAAGAACAAAAGTTTTGAGTTTACCTTCTTTACATAAGCAGTGCCATCCTTTGATTCTCCAACAATTTGACCCTCCTTGACTGAGTGCGGAATATTGGGAATAGATGCCGTACTCAAACTGGGAATTTGGGGTGTTGATGTGTGCGTTTCATAGTAGAATTTTGGTGCTTGAGGCGCATTCGTGTAGCTCGCAGATCCCTTGATGGCATCGTGTTCCGTAAACTCGAAACGCACTGGTTCTGGTGTCGCTGTTTTATGGGCATTCTGCCAGGGCTTGGTGTAAGTGGGTAGTCCTGGAGGAGTTTGTGTTGTCTTCGAGGTCAACGTGGTGGATAAAATATGTTTCACTGATTTGTTGCCATCCGACTTGACGACAAAGGCATTCTGACCCGCCTGATAACTGCCCCGGACCACGGCCGAGTTTGCTGGAGCGGGATCTTGCTGATAGAAGAGATCGGAGACGCGCAAGGGTTTATTGTAACTAGACGATCCACTGCTATCTGTATGTTGACGTTGTAGAAGTGTTTGAACTGTTGGCTGTTGATGTTGTTGTTGCTGTTGACCCCTTTGGATGAGTTGCTGTTGTTGGTGATAGCTGATTTGATCACGCTCAGCATCCAGCTGTTTGTAGTTGGGATCACGTCTGGGCAGAAAATAATCATTGGTGCCCATAAAATGCAAATATTTCTCAGCGTCCTTGGACATCAGCTGTGGCCCCGGATTCTGCTGATAGTTGAAGCTCAAATGAACAGCATTCTTGGCTGCATTTTCCGTATCCTCATAGACGGCATAACCGTTGGAAGCTTTTCCCAATTGATTATGATGTTGAAGTGTTTGGGTTTGAGTTTGGGGTTGAGTTTGAGTTTGTTTACTTGTAGGATCCGCATAGCTTAGGTATTTGTTGGCCTCAACGGGAATCGCATACTGTTTTATTGGCGTATAGATTGGAAATTTGTTTTGTTCGTTGTTTTTGACGGCGATGTTCCCATTAAAATGTGGCGGCGATGCCTTAAAATTCGGCGTTGTATATTGATTTACATTATAATTATATTGTGAACCATCCTTGGGACGATAAAATTGACTTTTGCCCACATCGAGAACAGGCGCATCCTTGGAGTGAGCAAATCGTGTTGCTGCATTATTGATGGCAGTGTTGTGTGGCCAATTGCCATTGAATTCACGTCGTATTTGCTGCATTCCTCCAGCAAGCATTGGAGGCGGCAGTGGTGGCCTCCAGCCAGGTGGCGACTGCAGATTATCGGGACTTGGACGCATACGGGGTATTTGCCCAGGACCTCCACCACCGACACGTCGATTATGATTGAAACTGGGCATTGGTTCACTTAAAAACTGCATCAACCGAGCACTGCGCAGAGCCGTCTCAAGGCTAAATTCGGGCAGCTGCTGTTTACTTTCCACTTGCAGCTGCATGCAGCCAAAGAGCAATATCACATTTAGCATAATGGCTGGCAATAAGTTTCCTCGAGTTTTACACATTTTCGGCTCCATCGAAAAGAGTTTCGCGTCGCGTTTTTCTGTCTGACTGCTGCGACTGTCGCAACGCATTTAATTTGCTGTTTCGATGTCGCAGCTGTCTGTTCTTCAACTTTTACTTTACTTTTACTCGAAATAAACAAATTCCAATTTTCTTAAATTTTTAACACAACACACATGCACACACGCGATAGATATCCAGCTTTGTTGTGGCCAGCTTCTTTTGTTTTCGAACTGGTTGTTTGTTAGATTGATCTCTCTATTGCGGTATTTCTTGCCGCATGGAACTCAAGGCGGTCCACCGAAGAATGAAGAGCACTCTGCCTCGTCTCTGGGTCAAATGCGTTGACTAACGTTCGCCTGCTGAACAAAGCGCATGAATTGGTTGTGCGCAAGGAAACCGGATTGTTCACTTTAGCCAAAATACCATGAATGCAGATATAGATATTCAAAGCACTGCCAAGCATCTCTTCTAATATATATTCGTTTCTCTTTTTCTTTGTATCATGTCTGCAGAACTTCTAACCAACAAGCTTACTCTCTCTCCCACCCATAGATAATGCGAGTATATGAAATCTATGTTTATGGAGTGTTAAGCTTTTAACACCTCGTTAAATAATAACAATAACATATTATTTTAAGTTTTTATTTAATGAAAATTAAAATTTCAACACTTGAATTTTGTATTATTTAGATTTTCTCAACAACCTGAAAAACTGCATTCTTTTCAGTAATTAGTGCCGTTAAAAATAAGCTTAAGCTAATAGCACTGAGAAAAATATACGAGTAACAAATAAATAAATAAGGTATTTTATAGTCGAACTTATGCGTGTTTCAGCTCATCTCTCCGCAAATCTTACATGTGTGTAATGAAACCAGTTTGGCGGTTTCTCTTACAATCGAAATGATATCCATCCAAGCCACAATTAAAAAACCAGCATTGTTCTGACGATGAGGCTCTAAACCACTTCATGCATAATTTACAGGGTATCACGTATGCAATAATGCTGCGCTCCAATCAAATTAAGCAGGCATTTTTATGTTTAAGCTTTAAGGCCAAGTAAAAAGCTATTTTAATGCCCATGCAGCCCAATTATAAAGCGCATAGTTAAAACTTTCACTGCGATCTTTTGGTTTTTGTTTTTGGTTTTGTACGTTTGTGTTTATTGTTATTCAAATAATCAGACACAGTTAACTATGACACAGTACGGTTATACAAATACATATATATATATGCATTGATGAAATAATTAAAATTTTACTTTCTGAGTTTTAGCCTTGGCTTAAAGGTCTGATAAAAAAAAAAATAATGTAAATCGTTTCGTCATTTATGTTTATGTGGTGCGATATTGGAGTTATTTGGTTATAATATACAAGTTATAAATAAGTGCATAAATTGAGTAACAATCCCTTAATTACGTTTCTTCCTCCTTTTTGATACCAATCTCTTCGGGTATATCACGATTAATTTCTTTTTGATGGCCACGTGAACTGCTATTGCCAAGAACAATGACAATATTTGTGGTACTGAGTAATGGGTAGTCAGTCATGCCATTCTAAAGGTTATCAAAGGTAGCCCTTATTCACATATAGTAGTTATATAGTTAAGGTTAATTACTCACTGGATGGAGACGACTGTTGCGCTTACTGCCACCCAGATGAGTTGTAGTTGTTTCCTTGCGGAAACTTGAGTCATTTCTCATAAAACTCGACTGATCTCTGGCAAATCCGCTGTTATAATATGACCCAGCCTTTTTACCACAAAGTATCTCTTTGAACGCAACCCGATAGCGGTGTGACATAACATTATATACAATTGGATTGATTGTGCTAATAATGAGAACCAGTTGTAGCATTTGATTAGATCATGTACAAGTCCTTACCAGGAGACATAGTATGCAAAGCCAGCTATGGAAAAAAGCCATTCATTCACATCTTGGTAGTTGTCATTATTCTTAGCATACAAGAACCACAATCTTTGCAGGTGAAATGGGAACCAACAGACAAAAAATGTTACAACCACTGCGGCTGTTTCAGAGAAGGTATTTATTTTAAATTTGATTTTAAATTGGTATTTGGAATACTTACCCAACATTCGGATAACAGCTCTCTTTTTCTTTTGTGAATTTCGAGTGGCTTGATTCCTTGAAGCCTGCTGAACTCCTGCAATTAAGTTATATTTAAATTAGTTTATACTCTCAATCAATTTGGACTTACCCAATCTATCTGTGGCTCTGGATCGTATCTGAGCGCCCATGCGACCATATAATATTATTATCAGCACCATGGGAATGATGAAGAAAATACAAAAGGAGCCCTCAAATAAAGGGAATTTCTCGGGGAACTCCAACTCGATGGCGCAAAATGCAGATTCCGTAATTAAAGATCCATCTATTCAATAAGAGGCATAATTATTGTAACCCCATTTTCGTTCAATACAATAACAACTCATACCAATTGGGTAATTCAAATATTGAATTTCAGTCTTGATACCAAATGGTATGGCAATTAAGAAACTCACAATCCAAAGGATTGTTGTGATCCTTAAGGCACGCTGAAAGCCAGACATGGCACACACATGTAATGGATGACATATCGCCAGGAATCGCTCCATGGAGAAAGCGACAATTGTGAACACAGATACATAGGTGCAACTGTAATATGAAATTGATTCTTAAAAATTCTAGTAAGGTCAGTAAATAAAATCAATTACTCACGCTTCCGATATGAAAGCTCGCAATTTGCAAAATGGCAGGCCAAATAAAAATGGATATTGATGCCAATACAGGAAGACTTCTATTGGCAATCCTAAACACATTAAATTGACCAAGCAAAAATGTATTTACGTAAATATTGTTTTATTGTTTGTTGTGTAAACAAACCTAAAAGTAGGTATATTAAATCGGATACAGCCAGACTGAAGAGATAATAATTGGTGGCCGTGTGCATAGCCGCATGCCGAATTATTACCATGCACACCAAAACATTTCCCAATACGCCGGTTATGAAGATGCCACCAAAAATGATGCTTATCTATTGAGTATACAAGAACGTTTAATTAACAATCACATTTTCCATTTAAAAGTCATATGTTATCTATGTGTGCAGTGTAAAGACATCAACATGACTTTTGGCATGAGCTAAAAATGTGTTTACAAAACTTATAAGTAGCATTCACCTAGAGTTCAACGCATTATCACTGAATATAAAAATCGTTTCAGTTATATCAAAGCTGAGGGAGTAGAAAATTTAAACATCTCTTAAAATGGCATTCTGCAGACTAAAAGTGGTGCATTTTTATGTTACTACTAGTCAACAAATTACCAACAAAATGTCTCTGAATCTAGAAGCTATTTAGAAAAATCGAAACAGTTCAATCATTCTATGACATTTATTTAAACTTACCATTACCGCCTTGTGGAGTGGTAGTGTCTGTGGGCCAAGTATAAATTGTGTAAACTCCATTTTTGTACAATTTATTTGTGGACATCCCAAATCGTCTAGTTCAAAATATGTACTTTCATTCATCGTTAGCCGTGATTATTTTATACCAAACAATAATTTAGTTTCCAAATTACTTTGCCAATCACAAAAGTTCTGAACAATCTCACTTTGGGTCTTTGCCAAATAAGAAAAACAAAATATTTCCTTAAAAAATGTTTAAAAATACAGATTTTTCACATTCTTCAACCAAAATTAAATACAGAAATGTTTTTCAAAATAAAAATTAATTGCCGACGGACCGTTTTTGCGTGTTTCTTTGGCGCTTAGACATGGCTATATATCTATGCATATAGACCTAACTCCATGGCTATGAATATAGATCTGAGCTATATTCTAAGACTCGCGACGATATGAATTAAAAATAACAATGGATAATTTTACTTAAAACAGGTGACAAAAATTGCGCTGTCGGTTTAGGTTGCAAGCACGTAATACCGCAATTCCTAACTGAATCTCTTAGATGACCGCAGATTACTGTTCACACAAAATCATAGTGAGATAAGAATAAACGGTTTGCAAATATGTACTTTTCTTCTTCCTATGCGCCAAGGTGGGTAATTAATCTTTCAAAGTAAACCATCCACCCACACACGAAAAGTACACGAGACGAACGCGAATTCGCTTCGAGCTGATAAGAAAGCGGGTTTTAAATATGAAAGAAATTTGCACATGGAAAAAGGAGAAAGTTCAAATATCATTATTAGCTTTATTGTGTGCATTACCTTAAATAATTTTAATATTTTGTATTATTATGTTTCTCATATACATATATTTATAGATATAGTTAATGATCATGTAACATAATTACTTACTCTTTAAGCTACTAGTTTAATTATACATGTTTAAAAAAGCAAACAATTTAATTGATTAGATAATATTCATCTTAAGTAAATAGCGTCAAAAAGATAAATAGGACGCCGCCCACAATAGGCGACTCACAACGACAACGTCTTAATATAGTAGTATAATAATTCTGATAAAATTCCTAATGCTTTATTTTATTATCTTATATTTATTGATTTTTTATCATGTAAAAACCTTTAAAATGTGATAAATATAACAATAAAGTATGCAATTCAATTTTTGTTTGTGTCCAACCTAAATGAATTCCTTTTTATATGTATTATCTCAGTCTGTCAAAAATTAGTTGACCTAATCACAATTAGCTAGCCAAATATTATTTTTGAAATGTAAGCAATTAACAGTTTATTCGCCAATGCAAAGCTTACGCCTCTTGATAAATATCGAACATATTGAAGTATCGATAGTCGTCGAATATATTTGACTAGCTACCATCTGATATTTATGACAAGTAGCAGGTACATCAGTTATCGGCCATCTCTAATTAGTGTTGCTCTTGTGTAACAAATAGAACAAAATATAGTCTAAAATTCTTGCGGAAACCAAATAATACAAGTGCCATGCAAACATGCGAGTGTGAATAGTGAGTTAACACCAAACGGCCACAAGCTAGGTACATCAAATACGAGCATTAAACGAACGAAAAATACACATCGACAAAGACATACACAAGTTATCGATAGATCACAGTTGTGGGTGCGGGGACGGCTACATATGTGGCGGTATATTTTGTAAATTTGTTGTGAAATTTAATGAATGTGCTACTATTTTGATGTATTTTGCACATTTCATTTACGTATAGTATACAGTGCTACCACATATTTTCAATATAGCCGTGGCAAAGACATGCCAAACGCGTTTTCTATGCTAGTTGCTTGATGGTTTTCCACGTCTATGACATCATAATCAGTGCATACATTTTGTGCGACTCTAAATAATGTTCGTGTTGTGATAACACGCAGCATAAATAAAACAATTGCATAGTGAAACAACATTTAAATTGTACACATCTATATATATCTGTACATATGTTTTTTATGCACGTACACATGCACTTAAAAATGTATTTGCATGTGTAGGTGAGTACATCAATATAAGTACTCACGTATGTACGTGTGTCACTGTGCGATCGGATAAAAAGAAGACAAAAAGGAAAAAAGAAAACCAGAAGTCAGCAAAAGTAGGCGTAGTTTGGTGCAATTGGGATTTATGACTCATAATTAAGATACACCCTAAGAAACAAAAAACCGACTGCTGCTGCCTCTGACAGCTGTTTTGCAATCGAACAGCACAAAGTACATATGCTCAATACACACAGACAAACAGACAGGCAGACAGACATACATACATACAGACAGTACATAGATATGTATATGTATTTATGAATGTATTTCGATTCAAAAACATACATACATACTCGCTCATTTTTTTTTTGTGTATGTTATTAGAGCACAGGCGCAGTGAAATATCAATAGTAATAAGCAACGTTTCGAGCATTGCATAGAACAACAAAAATGCACAGCCCGAATAGAATACTATATACAATATTTTCATCAGCAAACTGTTATTGGTGCTGCTGTTGCTGCTGCAACAAGAGTTAAATCGATTAATCGGCTTTTCTTATTGCTGAAACAAATCAATTACCGACAATAAAACTATTTTACATGCATATATATATGCGCACATATATATGAATATGCATATATATATGAAAGTGTGAACCTTGGATTTTTGTGCAGATTCCACCTTGGCCATTGGTTGTTGAAAATATTGCAAAATTGGACAAACCCTTTGCGACTTTGTACGACATAGAGAGGTCGTACCCACAAACAGTATTCGGAAGGAAAGCACCATCAGCGAAGATGGTACTTCTTCCAGTACCACGCAACCTCAAAGGTGAGATCTGGACATAATTAAAAAAGTGCATAATTGATTTCAAATAGCGAAAAAAATAACATGAAACACATAATATAATAAGTAATTTAAATATGTTTGAAATATTCGCAATGTATATGTCTATATATATATCGGCTTCCCTTTCTTTACAGAAATAACTCAGATATTTCTGGTGAGGAGCAAACTGCTGTGCAAGAGCCTAAAAGCCAAAAACCGGTACAGTGTGCTTCGAGTAGAGGTGCCTCACCAAGGAAAAGCATTATTCCGACTTGTAAATTAAAAGGCACCGCACAGAAGATCAAATATCGTCGCAAACAGGAACCAGTGGTTCCTGTACACATTAGTAGCACCACCAGCACCACTCAGTTTCATCAAACAGCACCGGCCGTGGAGCCGTCCATTGCAGACTCACCATTAGCCAATAGTAAAAATAATAATATCTGGAGTCGGTTACTGCGCCAGTTCTCAAATAGCACCATAACTGGCAGAACGGTGGTCAACAGTAGTCGGAGTGCAAGGGAGGTGCAAGAGGAGAGAACCGAGACGACATCAACCAGAGGCAATTCGTCCATCGTTGAGGGACTTAGCCTCGAGGCAACGGACACTGCCGTTGCAGAACATAATGAGGAAACAATGGATAATGATGCGCAGCCGTCAGCAGATGCAGTCAATAGCCCGAAAAATCGAGACGCTGGTGTAGTATCCGCGGATAAAAGCAAAAACATGCCAGCCAAGGCTGTTGTGTCCCCGTCGCCGTCCCCAACAGCGTCTGCTGCTGCTGCAGATGCCAAACCGAAACCGCGAGTGGAATCGAATCGAAAATCGTCGTCTGACACGGGACTGGAGCCAGCGGTAAAGCAACAATCGTCGACGGGGCCCCAATCGATGACCAGCGGAATGCCTTTCAAAGCGCCAAGCGGCAAGGGAGCAAAACCAGCAAAGGGGACTAACAATAATGTGCAGCCAATACGCTTTGTGCGGAAGAACGTTGAGCAATCGAACCGAAATGCCAACCCGTTGCAGTTTGAGGAGCTAGAAACCGAGTTTCCACGCGATTACGATGACAACATTGAGGTGCTATCGCGCGAAGCTGAACGTTTGGAGGAGACATTTCGTACACCGACCCGATCGAATACTACTGAAGCGGCCAATCATCAAGTAGCTGGGATTATTGACACCATCATTAACGAGGCGTCGCGCAGTGTGAAGACTGAGAAGACTCAAACTGATGTGCCATCCAAGCCAGCCAATAAACAGCCAAGCGGTGTTAAGCGCGTTGGCTTCTACGTCGAGGAGAAGCACGATGGCGAGGGACTCCATGATGAAAGTCAACCAAAGGTTTTCGCGGACTCGTCCAAGCAATCGGAGCGAGGCGAGGGAATTGCCGGCGATGCAACTGTTGCTGGTACAGAGTCATCGGTGGCTCTGTTGCCATCATCGGCACTCACCACATCGGCCACCTCGTCAGTGACGTCCCTGCAGAAAGAACGTAAAAGCGATGAGGATGATGATCCGATAGCATTGTCGCCATGCACACGCTTCTTCAAATACGACATAGAAGTGGGTCGTGGTTCCTTTAAGACCGTTTATCGCGGCCTAGACACTCTAACCGGAGTGCCAGTCGCCTGGTGCGAGTTGCTGGTATGTAAATAAAATTAAATACATAATGAATTTGGAATTTGTAACTATGTAAATATGTCTGTTTTTGCAGGATAAACAAGTGAAGAAAAGTGAACGCACTCGATTCCGAGAAGAAGCGGATATGTTGAAGAAATTGCAGCATCCAAACATTGTGCGATTCTATACGTATTGGGAGTTTCCTGTTGGACGCAAAAAGAACATCGTACTAGTCACCGAACTAATGTTATCTGGTACTTTAAAGTCGTAAGTAAAAATGGAGCTAATCAGATCAATCATTGAATGAACCATTTATTAATCGATACATAATCGATTGCATTTGTATTTGCAGGTATTTAAAACGATTCAAAAAAATACACCCAAAGGTATTGAAGTCATGGTGTCGTCAGATCTTAAAGGGTCTTAACTTCCTGCATACTCGTCAATTTCCTATAATTCATCGTGATTTGAAATGTGATAATATTTTTATAACTGGCACCACTGGTAGCGTTAAAATCGGTGACTTGGGACTGGCAACTCTAAAAAATCGGTCCCATGCTAAATCTGTGATTGGTACACCTGAATTTATGGCACCCGAGATGTACGAGGAGCACTATGATGAATCGGTGGACGTTTATGCATTTGGCATGTGCATGTTGGAGATGGCCATATCCGAATATCCTTACAGCGAGTGCAAGGGCCCAGCCCAGATATACAAGAAGGTCATATCTGGCATTAAACCGGCTGCCCTCTCCAAAGTCGAAGATCCCAATGTGAGGGACATCATTGAGCGTTGCATTGAGCTGAAAAAGGAAGATCGTCCCAGATGCAACGAACTGCTCGAATCTGAATTTTTCGATGAGGACATTGGCATACGTGTGGAACCGACTGCCTCGGAGCAGTTCCTCTCGGATCCCAGCATCAACATTATTGAGTTTCGTCTGCGATTTATGGACCCAAAGAAACGCTCATCACGCCACAAGGAAAACGAGGCCATTCAGTTTGAGTTCAATATAGATCACGATGAGTACGAGCAAATTGCCCAGGATATGATGAAGGAGAACATCATATCGGAGGATGATTCAAGGGCAGTGGCGCGCCTGCTCAAGGTGCAGGTTGTATCGCTGCTCAAGGAACGCACGCAGCGCCAAACCGAAATTAAGCTCCAGAAAAAGCTGGCCTTGCAACAGCAGCAGGAGAGCTTGCCCACAAATGTTGAGGAGGAAGACGACGAGGAGGATGAGTCCGACGACGAGGAGGATGGAATTATTATAACGGAACTGCCGACCAAGCTCGAAATGCCAAATGTCGATTCGGAGACAAGTCTGGGTACCAACACAAGCAGTACCGATCCACAGAAAATGGTACCAAGATCCACCAATTCCATTCAAAACGGTGGCGCTCAATTGCAACAGCAGCAACAACAACAGCAGCAACAACAACAGCAGCAACAACAACAGCAGCAACAACAACAGCAGCAACAACAACAGCAGCAGCAACAGATGCCCCAGTCATTGCCAGGACAGCAGACAGTAATCGCTGCACCCGCTGCGATGGCTCAGGTTCAGCAACATCAGACGACAGTTCATTACATACAGAACCCGCAGATGGCCTCATATCAACAGAATACGGCCAACTCCATGCAGGACATTGCGAATGGACATGGTCAGGTTATTTCACCCACAGGCAATCAACAACAACAGCAGCAGCAACAACAGCAGGCAGTTCAGCAGCCAGTGGTACAGCTACAAGCAGCGCAAGCGAGCGTGCCGCCATCGCAATTGTTGCCCCAACAGGTACAGGTGCCGGTGCAGGTGCAACCAGTTGCAGTTGCCCAACAGCAACAACAACCTGCTGCTATAATTCAACCGCAGCAACATCTGGTCGAACAGCAGAATGTACAGCAAATACCCTTGCAGCATCTGCAGCAAATTATGCAAAACAATGTGCCGGCAACGGATCTTGTGCAGCAGCAACAGCAGCAATATTATCAACAGCAACAACAACAGGCACAGGCGCCGCTTGCCATGCATCAAGTGCAGATTTCACAGCAACAGCAGCCGTATGCACTACAACAACAGCAACAGCAGATGCAACAACAACAGCAGCTGCCAGTATCACAGCAAGCAATGCCGCAGCAGCATCAGTTGCCACCACACAATCAGCAACCCATTCCAAATCAGCCCATACAACAACAAGCCATACAACAACAACAGCAACCCATTCAGCAACAACCTATGCAACAACAACCTATCCAGCAACAACCCATACAACAACAGGCAATTCAGCAGCAACAACCCATACAACAACAGCAACCCATTCAACAACAACCTCTTCAGCAACAGGCAATGCAGCAATCAACTATGCAGCAGCAGCAGCCCATTCAACAACAAGCACCCATGCAACAGGCACCCATGCAACAAGCAGCCATACAACAACCACCCATGCAACAGCAACCAATACAACAACCAACCATGCAACAACCGCCCATACAACAAACAACAACACAACAGCAAATTCTTCAGCAACATCACTTGCAGCAGCTGCATCAGCAGCAACAATTCGCTCAACAGCAGCAGCAGCAGCAACAGCAGCAACAACAACAACAACAGTTCCTTCCAAATGTATTGGCGCAGCCACATCAAATGACGATGCAACATCCACTGGTTGCCGGTGCTGCACAAATCATGTCGCAACAGCAGCCGACAACTATGCTAATGCAAGGGCAAATGCAGGTGCCCGCGAACATGCATCCACAAACTCTTCCGACTCTATATAATCAGGCTCAGTCGGTGCAACAGCCACAACAGCAGCAGCAGCAACAGCCACAGCAAATTGTTCAGCCAATTGCAAATGTTGCTGATGCTCAACAGCAGCAAGCCCAGCAACTAGTTAACTATGCAGCCGCCTCCAGCCAACTGCAGCAGCAACAGCAGCCATTCCTACAAAATCCACAGCAGCCAATGCAGCAACAAATACCATTGGAGCAGCAGCTGCAGCAGCTATTGCATGGTCAACCACAGGCTCAAATCGTGCAGCAGCAACAACCGCAGCAACAGCAACAACCACAGCAGCAGCAACAACCACAGCAGCAGCAACAACAACATCAACAGCAGCAGCAACAACAACATCCACAGCAGCAGCCACAACAACATCCACAGCAGCAGCCACAACAACATCCACAGCAGCAGCAGCAACAACCCACACAACCATTAGCTGAACAACAACCAATACAACAACAACAGCAGCAGCAGCAGTTACCGAACATAGCCATAAATCAACAGGCAACATCTGTGGCCCCGGAGCATGCAGCAGTTGCTGCTCCAAGCATTGAGCCGCAACAGACACCAGCCAACAATCCTGCAGACGCCGAAAAGGAGCAAAAACAACAGCAGCAGCAACATGCTGGATCACGTATGCAGAAGCCGCGTCGTTCCAATCGTAGCGGGAACGAGCGCATACCAAAGCTGAGCGTGACCAGCGTGGATGACGGCAGTGTCATTAATTGCCATATGGAAAACAAGCTGAAGACGATAACATTTAAATTTGACATTAGCGATGTAAATCCAGTTGAAATTGCCAACAAACTGGTAAGCACAAACAACCATGCATTAAAATAAAACAATCAAATTCTAATGCTCCAACTCCAAATTGTTACAGATTGCGCAAGATTTACTGTCCAACTGTCAAAATACCGTATTTGTAGAGATGATAAACGATATTGTTGAGCAGGTTAAGCAGAATCCACAACAAATTCCAATTCCAACCACTTATCGACGCAACATTGAGAAGGTACTTTAACTTGCAACTAATCCTAACTAACTTTTTCTGTTCTGAATTATGACAAAGAAAAAAAAAACATTTTTTTTTGTAAAATGCGTTCCGACTTGTGGTTCGATTCACATGCTCTCTAAGGCTTTGAAGATTTTGATATGGAGCGCATCTGTTTCAGAGTTTATTCACAGCCTTCATATTCCAGCGGACCAGTTAAGCCAATTGTGGAATCTTATTTACTAAACATTGATTTGATTAAATGGAGAGCACATATTTAAGAGATACGATTTCTCAGTAACATCAACGGGATAACCAAAAATATATATATATATGTATAAACCTTAAATGTTCTCATGCGAGCTAATCCAGAAGTCAAATGAAATGAAATGTTTAACTTGATTGTATGTTGTATATCTCTACTACTTTAAAATAAAACAGGTCCGTCACGCGTCTCTAACTCGACAGCGTTCCACATTTAGAACACATCAAAGACATAGATCTGTAAGTGTTAAGTGCACTTTTAAGGGCTTATATTATCTCGTATATACTACATACATACTATATATATAGTTTAAAACGCGAACTTCTTTCTTTACTTAATAGGATTATCATTTCACGTTTTCGCCGATGTATATGTAAATATCTATATTTTTTTGTTTTGTTTTCAAGATGTTCGAAGCTGCCTTTAAATTTCTTATTCATATTGATACAAAAAACTAATTAAGAAAACGCACTCATGCACACTATCAACTTTTCTTTAAAAACAAACCAAAATGTATCAATTACATTGAACCGAACATTTCAGGATATATTTTACTTTCGCTTTTGACAGTTTGAAAGTAGTCTCTCCGCTTAGTCTCAATTGGCACCTAATATATTTGAAAAATTCTGTTTCGTAAACAATTTTCTAATATCTACATAAGTAAATTTATTTAGCAATAAGTATTTGATTTGAAAAGCAATTGATGCTAGGAAAATGATTTATATTGGTGTCAATTGTAAATTATCTGGATCGAATTTTCAAATACTCTGTTTTGTTTTTTAATACCCTTGAAATGTATTTTTATTTTCTATATATTTTATGCTTATTAGTTCACCGGCGTCTATTAGTCAAATTTAATTTCAAAACTGACAAAAACAAAATGATAGAACAAATATATTCGGAGATCCGATGAATAAATACCCTTGCAGAGAGACGATTGAACCAGTTAACGATTTTCCAAATTCTGTCCGATTGTTTTTATAATATTATATTTTTCGAACAATTTTTACTTATCGTTAGTTTTCTCATTTTACAACTCAGAACTTGTTAATAAGCAAATATATCTTTTGCAAGGGTTTAGAAAATTAAAAAAAAAAAAAGAAGAAAATGTTAGATTTATTGATATGTAAAAAAGTATATAAATATCATTTCAACGAACCAATTATTTTAGCGGGATGAAACCGCGAGCGACATCACTAAGATGTTCGAGCCTTCAGCACAAGGCACGGATTCAAATGGAGGAGCCGCCGATGCCGCGGGAACTGAACAATCCGCCACTGGTGAGATAAAAGGGCGCGAGTCTTCTGCAACCCAAAGCAATGCCGAATTGCAACTGAATGCAGCAACGCCACCAACAACCACTTCAACCATCTCGTCCTCCTCGACAACCTCTAGGGATGCGGGCAACAACAGCAATGACGTGACAATAGGCTCTGCTTCGGCCTCACGCAAAACCAGCACTGCCTCGGAATATACATCGCTGTCGATTGACTATATGCCGGATAACGCCATTACGCCCACAGGCAATGAGCCATTTCAGCCATTGGATGGCGGCGGCGGTGGCTTGGAAAAGCCAAACTCCGAGCAGAAAGCACGCAGTCTGGCGATAAGTCGAGTCCAAATGCTATTGGAGTCAACGCGCAGCGAAGCAAAACCGAGAAGCTTGAATTTGCCATTGAATCGTCAATTGAAGATTGTGGATGATTTAAAGCACACCCGTAGCTTGGATGACCTCAGCGAGGTGAACATTACATTCGAGATGCCAGCCAGCAGCAAGGCGGGCAAAAAGGCTCGCGACCTTGCCAAAGCGAATGCCGACAAATCCAAAGAGACGGCCGCTCAACTGGGCGCAGTGCAGCCACCCGGTGCCACCAATACACTGGAACAGCTAAAAATCGAACTGGAGAATATAACGCATGCGCATGCATTCGCCTCAGCCGTTGTTGCCTCCATCAATAGCAGACCCGGCACTTATCAAGCCTCGCCGGCAATTGCATCGATGAAAGCCTTGTCCGCCCAGCAGCCGGCGCAAACTGGTCCAGAGACAGTGGTTGGTAGCAAAAAAACAAAAAAAAAAAAATGAACAACTTTGTTGTGTTTTTTTTTTTATCGTAAATCGTAGTCGGTTTTTATCTTTGCCTCTTAATTTATGTATTGTGTAGATTTGCGTATCTATTGTTTTAAACACACACACACACACAACCATAATAAAAGTACAGCTTTTTGTTTTTATTGTTAATAATATTCATATTTAAGCTGGCGTCCTTTTGAATTACTAAGTGCGAAACATTTTGCAAAGCTCTAACTAAAGTCTTTTAAATAGTATAACATTTTGGTACTGGCCTCATTAACCCTTTGCTCATTTGCTCCATACTCTCTCTCTTAGAATCAATTCCATAAATGTTGTCAGCATTCTATTTACGTAGAATTTGCAGCAGTGCCTGGATTACAATGGAATTGTCACCAATATTGTTTTTTTTTGTTTTGTTTTACTTATTACATTTATATCACAACTCTGTAATCAAGAAATTATCTTAAAACAATAATAACGAACTCATTCGCACTGGTTTCGGTATTGCTTTATTTGTTTTACTTTTGCTGTTGTCAACCGAAATGATTGCGAGTTTTTTTTTGTTTTGTATTAAGTAATTGAAACTTGTTCACCAATTTATCGAATGGCTTTGAGTAATATTATTGTAGTTGTTGTAATGTTGTTTGATTTAATTGTTTATTATTTACTAACGCTTTACGTTTTTGGCCAGCCTTAACTGTTTCTGTGTTGCGCTTGCTCGCAAGTTTGCTGAGGAGTTTATTATGTATTTAATCCGACTCCAATCGTATATTTTAATGTACAGGTCACCAAGTCAAGCAGCGTGGGTGGTGGCAGTGGATCGGCGGCCTCGCTTGGACAAAATACACCCACCGCAGTTCTAAACTCGGCACGTGGCTCATCCGTTTACAACTCGCGACGCACTTCCATCGACAACAGTCTGGGCTCCGATATGCAACTGCCAGCATCGAATCTAAACATTAACCACGAGACTCCGAGCCAGGTCGTTGACAGCATAGCTAGTGTTGAGACTGGTGGCACCGACAAGAAACTGACCAAACAGGAGAGCTTGGATAAATTGTCAAATACTTTGAGTGTGGGCGGCGATGCCAAGAATGCTAGCAATGGAGCACTTAATCAAAACTCTATAGCCGATCTGGAGAAAAAATTGGCTGCCCTGCGCAATGTCGATAACACTGAGGAGGTGAAGCAAATGCAATCTACATTGCCATTTCATTATTTTTAATGTCTCTTTAAATCTCAAAATTTGCAGGCGCCAAACGTTGCGACAAATGTGGCCGCTGCTGCCAAAGCAGCTGATGAACCCGTGCCGGTTGTCAATGCACGCAAAGTGTCCCGATTCAGCGTGAGTCGAGTGCAGGAGCAAAAGACTGCCATGGACGAGGCGACACAGAATCAACTGAAGATCGATCTGCAGGTGGCAGGCCTTGCTGCTGGGCAGGGACATAACTTTAATGCCATGCAAAATGGCAGCGCTGTCAACACACCCACTGAGCTAATTAGTTCACCCATACAGAACGTTCCGATGGCCATTAATGGCATCCAATTGATTTATCAGCAGCAAGCCGCACCGCCAGGCGTCGGTGTGGGCGTGATGGTGCCACAGACTCAAGTTGGTGCTACGACTCAGCCGTCTAGTCTTCAAATGCAGCATCCGCAACAACAGCAGCAGCAGCAGCAACAACACATGTATTCAAATATGCCGCAGCTTCATCAGCCACCAATAGGCACACTTCCGCAAATGGTAAATGCTGTGCAGCAACAACAAATACCCTTGCAACAAATGTCACAGCAGCAAACTCAACTCATTGCTCAGCAGCAACAGCAGCAGCAGCAACAGCCAATTTTGTTGCAACAGCAGCAAGCTGCACAACAGTTTACATTACCCACATCACAGTCACAGCAGCAGCAGCAGCAGCCGCAGCCACCGCATGCAACACAGCAGTATTTGCAGGCGCAGCCCGATCAAATGCATCAGCTCTCACCCCTGATGATGGCCATGGGCGTTGGCGTTGGACAACAGATGCAGCCACATCAACTGGGTATGCCAACTCACCAACTACTTACACAGCAGCAGCAGCAGCAGCAACAACAGCAGCAATCCATGTATATGGCGGGTCAGCTGCTGCAACAGGCGCCTCTGGTAGGAGCACAGCAACCAGCCCAGACCATGCAGCATGTCCTGCAGCCGCTGTTCAATCCAGCCGTTGCTGAAGGTAAGTTTTAAGTTCTATCTATATATATATATATATTGATCTTTAATTATATTCGAATTGCAGTTGCTGAGGAGCCCGTGTCACTGGCAGCCACTCATCCTCATCTGTTGCCAAGCGATATTCAATCGGTACGCAACTAGTTGCAATATGCATTTCAAACTAAATTAATATGATTATGATTACAGGATATAAAGCATAATCTGGACTCGTTGGTCAATCAGTTGTGCAATTCACGTTTGGGCACAAACCAACACCAGCGACTGCTGCTACTACGTCAGCGGCAGCTGATTGAGGAGGACGAACTGCGTTTGAAGCACTATGTTGAATATGAAAAGTTTCAGAAGGCACTGCGCCAATGTAAGACGCAATTCCATCAAAGTAAAGCGCATGTTGTAATCATTTTTGTTTTCCCTGTGTATCCGGTTAGCTCTTAGCACAAACGCTCCAACTACAACCGCATATTATTCTCCAGCCGCTGCACCGGTTCAAACGAATTTGACAGGACCAGCAGCAGCAGCAGCCGTGGTAGCGCCACAACCACAACCAGCATCATCAACAGCTACACCAGCAGGCTCTACAAATACATAGATATGAGAATCCGTGTAAAGATGTTACGGTTGTCGTTTCCCGTATTCATGACAAGTCATTAACATTGCTAGCACCCAAATACTGTTCGGCAACGGAACTGGCATGATTTCGATTTTGATAAATTATTAAGTAAAAACTTGTCGAATTATGTTTTTTGGGATTGTCTGTAAATATGTAGTCACACAGTTTTCAGTTGATTTGCCATTGTTTAGCTTTTTGTTTTGTTCTTATTTTTGTTTTTGATTTTTTTTTTTTCATTCTATTCCTATTTCTTATTATGCAATGCTGTTTCCTCTCATTTGTTTCTAAATCAAAATGAAGTTTTGAATTATTTTATTTAAGCAAATTGTAAATTTGATTAGCGCTAAAGTGTAAATAAATATTTCAATAATATCATATACACTCATACATCAATATACATACTTATTATTATATATATACATACTATATGTTTTAAACCATTCAGTGATTTATGTTTTGCGTAGTTACTAAATAAATAAACTTTTATTGAACTTAAACTGAATGCGGATGATTTGGTGTTTTCTTTTCTACATATACGAAATAATATTTGACTCAGCTTTTACCGCTGATCAAGAACAGCTTCAGCAATATAGATTGTCTTGGTTAGGATTTAATTTAGCAAAACGGGAAGGTATAGAGTCTTGCAGATGGCATCTTTGCAGAGAATGAGTCGTTTGGATGGTCTGAATTTATATATTTTCTATTGACATATGTCTGAATAAAATCGTTAGCTTAATGAGAGAATTTTCTATGTGTGATCCTGACTTGCAACAGATTATGGCAGCAAACGTTGGCTTCGTTTGCTTGGTACTTGGGACAAACAGCCAGTTATAAGTTATTTAGAGAAAGACTTCGATCTCTGCTTTAGCTGATCAGCAGTTTGTCTAAAGGGAATAGCCAAACACATAATGATGTTATGTATTTCGAATAGAGAATCAGCTGCTGCTGCAACAAAACAAAAACTTTCTCGGGCCGGGAATGTTTCCTTCTAATTAATCATAATACGCTTTGCAAGTAAATAATAAACATTTTTTAATTTTTCATACATACATATGGAATTTATTCATTTGTATATAATATAATGCAAACTTAAACAGTTTATAACAGGGCACTTGAAAAAATATGTTAATTTTTGTGGGATGGGAACAAAATTAATGACAGAAATATTAACAAAGTTTAAAATAAAGGAATGTGTGCATGTTTCCACTTTTATGCTACGACATCCATGGTGTCTTTGATTTCGTTGCCCCATTCACGTGCCATGATCATAATTTCGTTCATTGATAGTTTGGGGCCAATCAGTGGATTCAATTGCGTCAAGTAGCAGCACAGCCAACTTTATAAAAAGACGATAAGGTTGTCAATATATTTATCATAACTATTTATCATTTATATATATATATATGTATGCAAAAATGAGTCTCATGGTCAACAAGAGGAAAAAACTTACAAGAGCCAGCAGGTAACAGCAGTAAGCATTATGCAGCATTGAGTCACGCTAAATATATGTTTAAGATAGAAAATTACATTTAGTTAATGCAGATAATTCGAAAAACTAGAATTACTTACCCTCTGTTGGGGCCGCGAGCAAAGAAGGGGCAAATTATGCCAATGAATGCCCAGATGCAGGTGATAATGACGGGAGGAACGTAAGCTTCAACCATTTTGTCAGCACTCCTTCTATAACTTAGGCGTAATACTGCAGTTCTGCCGAGATCAGCAGATTTATGAATTGAACAGAAAACTGCAAATTATAAATAAGCGATCACGAATAAGGCACTTTTTCAAGCTGTGTGAATATCACATGACAGACATGGGACAGAAACATATGTTGACAGGGCTGCCACACTGCAGTTGGGTGAGTCTGGTTCCAATTAGAGATGAACGACTCTTTAATGAACATGCCCCTGAAACCAGGCAACTCAAAATGTAGTAAGCAATAAAAAAAAGGTTTGACTAGTGTTGCCTAAGTAAATTTGTGATTAATATTTTTTTTTGTTGGGACATTTCAAATAAAATTCAAAATCTCTTATGAAAAGGCACTAGCAAGAAATATCGAATCACGTATGCTGCAAATATTTACAAATATCGATATATCAACTCGATATTTAATACAAATTAACAGCTCTGTGCGAGCAGCTACGTGTTACAGTTCAGTGGAAAAGTGACAAGCAAAAATACAAAATGGTCCTGGAAAGTACTATGATATGGTAAATAACAAATGTAATTAGCAAATATTAAATACTTCTACTAAATGCAATTCAATGGCATTCCTTTTCAGTTTTGATAACAGCGATTATCAGCGCAATGGGGACTACTTTCCAACCCGTTTAAATGTGCAGAAGGATGGTATCAATCTGGTTTGCCTCACAAAGCTAAGATCAAATCCAGAGAATAATGTTGGTCTAATGACCCTTTCCAAGTATAAAATCAATATGCCTAACAATTGCTTTGCATATTCTGTAAAAACATACTTTTATTCCATTGCAGCACCGTCGAAGTGTTGGCCACGCTGACCAGCGATGTTGGTCGCATATTCTCCAAAATGCATCTGATTCAGCCAAAGGGTGAAATCAACCTTTTGACCGGCATTCGAATTGCCCATTTGGTGCTAAAGCATCGTCAGGGCAAAAATCATAAAATGCGCATCGTTGTCTTTGTCGGCTCGCCGATAAGCAACGAGGAAGGGGAGCTTGTGAAGCAAGCGAAGCGTCTCAAAAAGGAGAAGGTCAACGTGGACATTGTCAGTTTTGGCGATCATGGCAACAACATTGAAACCCTGACCGCATTTATTAACGCTCTCAACGGCAAAGACGGCACCGGCTCGCATTTGGTTAGTGTGCCTAGGGGCTCAGCTCTGTCGGATGCCTTGTTGTCGTCGCCCATTATACAGGGTGAGGATGGCATGGGTGCTGCTGGTCTGGGCGGAGCTGTATTCGAATTTGGTGTCGATCCCAATGAGGATCCGGAGTTGGCGCTCGCCTTGCGCGTCTCAATGGAGGAGCAGCGTCAACGTCAGGAAAGCGAGCAGCGCCGTGCCGACAATGCTGGCGGTGCAGAGACCACAGCTGCCCCACCAGTGGCAAGCGGAGAGAGTGCCCCAAGTACTGGCACAAGCAGTGTTACTCTACCCAATTCCAACTCGGAGGAGGCCATGTTGCAGCGCGCCTTGGCATTGTCCACGGAGACACCAGAGGATAATTTGCCCGATTTTGCCAATATGACCGAAGAGGAGCAAATCGCATTTGCCATGCAAATGTCTATGCAAGATGCAGCCGATGATAATGTGACACAGCAGGCCAAACGTCCCAAAACTGATGATGCCGCCGCCCCGATGGAAGTGGATGAGGACTACTCGGAGGTTATCGGTGATCCGGCATTTTTGCAGAGCGTTCTCGAGAATCTGCCTGGCGTTGATCCTCAGTCGGAGGCAGTGCGTGACGCTGTCGGTTCTCTGAATAAGGACAAGGACAAGAAAAGCGATGGCAAGGATGAGCAGAAAAAGTGAAATCCTATTCTTCGCCTACATTTATATATATATTTAATTTGCATTAATCAGAAATCATAAGTGAGCTAACATCTTTAAAGCCATGTGCAGATTACGTTCATGCTTCTAATAAAAATAAAATACAATATATTATCCCAAGGGAAAGTGTCTTTCTTTTTCCACTCAATCTCCAATTTTTCGGTTTGTCATTCTATGCAGCAACTTTGCTAATCCCTCACCCTCGAGTAGCCAAGGAAATAAGACATTTATTTACAATAATTTATTGTTTAGCGCTTTTAATGCATTCTATTAACTTTGACAATTCAATTTAGAAGCAATTATTTTATCTATTTTAACGCAATCCAGCAGCTCATCTTACTTGAGGCCTCTATATTCACGGATGTGGAGAAGCACCCAAGCCGGAATGAACATAGCTGCAACGCACATGCCACCACCAAGAATCACTTTCTCCTGAAAAAACAATTAAATGCACATATTTAAAATAAGAAATATACATATTTTACATGCAGTTAAACTTGGGATTAGGTTTACGTAACCCTCGAAAAATTCGCCAAAAACTACTCACCGCTGTGGAGACGTGTTGTGTTGGTGGACCCGAAACAACCGATTGGCATCGCTTTTGCCATACTCCACGCACAGCGGGCATCAAAAGTTTAGCAGCACTATTTTGGAACATTTTTAACAACAATTTTTCTTATTCCGGAACAATCAATGCTGGTAATAAAGTGCTTGCCAGTGACGACAAAATTCGATCGATAAGAACTATTTGATAGTGATGTGCATATATCGATATTTTATGGGTGACCTTTCAGCCAGGCAATAAAATACCAAAAGAAATATACCAAGACAATCGGTGTATTCAAGATTATTTTTATTTATTATCCATATATTATAAATTGAATTCATCGCACATTTTACATTTGTTGTTTGTTAACTTGCTCATTTGTATTGTATCATCTTATATAGTCTATTGATTTTTAAATTTAACTAAAAAATTCAAATATCATTTTAGAGCCTCAAGGTACTATTTCAATTAAATGTAACGTAATATATTTCTTCCCATGAACGGAATGAAAGGGCACATTTTGATTAATGTTAAGCATACAAGTGATATTTCTATATAGCTGTTAATTATATTAACTATTAATATAATGTATATTGAACGGGTTGTTAACATTGTATTCAATTACTCTATTATTTGAATGGAATTAATCATTCGTCATCAAATTAAAGTCTATAAAGTAGTCGATTACAATCTATTATTTTACACCAATATTTTTAATCATATACACACACATATGCTTTTGATTTAGTATTTTGTATTCTATTTGTTTTTTGTGTTGCTTAACAATTAGTTTATAGTGAAAGCTTTATACATTCGGGCCAGGTAATTGTTACAGATTTGGTTGATCAGATTCGCATACATATTTAACAAATTCATACAAAGCCTTTGTTGGTCCAATATTGGGACCCAAAAGTGATTCCCTGCAAGCCTTGAGTCGATTCGTTGATTTTTGCACTTATAATGAATGAAAGACATGAGAGAAGCATTTCAGATTTTTTGTGGTTCTGGTGACAAATGGTTTAATAAATAAATCTTTATTGTGAGACTTCTACATAAAAATAATGCAATGTTATGCGGAATGAAAAATAATTTGTAACAAAAGTTGATTGATTATTTTTAGCTTTGGAATATTTAAACTTCATATTTCATGTTGTGTTTTGATTTATTTAAGTTGGTTGTTGTTTTTTTTTTTTTTACTTTCCCTTAAATTTGTTTTGTATAACAGACAATAACATAACACAAAATACCTATTTGTGTATACAATACAATTTTTGCATGGGGCATTATTACAAACAAATAAATTAAAAATTACTATGTTGCGTTCAAAGAATGTATGCTGGCATTATTCGAATTATATATTTTAATATCTAATTAGGTAATAAGTAGTTTCGTAACAATACAAACAATAGAATCGACTGACAAACAATAATTTCCAGTTTAATATGTATACATTATGTGTGTGTGTGTGTGCATGAGCATCTGATTATTCCTGTGTGCGCATTTTCTTATTTGTAAGTAAACTTTAAAGGACAGTAAGTGGAAAACATCATAAAAAATTCGCTTATTTTTTATGTTTACAATTCAGTCTGAAAGGCATAGTTGTGTATACACATTTTTATATCACCTATTTTGAATAATTAACTGTTTAATGTATCCTGCTTTTTGTTTATTTTAAAATATCTTTTAAATAATAAGTGATTTACAATATTAATTTTTTAAATTTAATTATTAACCACATCTTTTTGGTTTTCGTTTGTTTTGTTTTTTTTTTTCACAATTTTGTTGTTTCATTTGCATTGCGGAAAATTTGCTGGTAATTTCGTTGCGTTAAGTTGGGCAAAAATATATACTTTTATTTCCGTATGTAAACAATAATTTGGTACTTAAATCATCTCTTATTTTTAATTACACATTTGATTTTTTTCATGCAGTATTATATATATATATATCAGCATTGTAAGGTTTATGTTATTTTTAGTTTGTTATTGAATCTAACTTTTAGTTATGCATATGTTACTTATAGTGGTTCCGATAATATTATTGTTCCTGGCGCGAATAGCTTATTCTTCATCCGTGAAATCGGAGCCATCGCTTAAATCACTTGAATAATATTCCAACCAGTGAATATCGCGTCGATCGACGTATTCCCATAGATAAATCTGCGAGACATAGACCATTAACATTTAAAAAAATAGCTGAAATAAAACCTAGATGGTAAATATTCAAAAACATATTATATGGCAAAAAAAATGAGCTAGACTGCTGATATTACTGAGCACTTTTTTTTTTACCAATATGTCAGACAATAGTGAACAAAATAAATGTAAATCGACTTACATCAAGTAAGTCCATGAGTTGACTCTGGTTGTACGCTTTCCGAGCTCGTTTTGGCAACCCAACATCCACAATATCGCCATTGGGCAGAGCGTGCTTGTAGAAGCACTTGTTGCCGAAGGGACACTTTCCCTCGCCCTTTTTGAAATACTTGCAGTCCTTGGCACCGAGGGCTGCACGATAATCATTAAGCAGTTTATCCTTTTCCTCTTTAGTTTCTACCCAAAATGCACTGGGGCAAACAAAGTCGGAGCACACGCGACATTCGGGGCAAGCTCTGAAAATACACATATATATATATCAAAAGTTATGGTAGTTTCTGAAAGCTTGCTCAGAAGTATGCAATGCATAATTTTTTTTAATTGAAACATGAAATAATTAAATTCTCAAAGGATAATGACATTATTTAGAGAGTAGGAAGCACTTACCGCGTGATTTTGTGCTCAAATTGTTTGGCCTGACGCCATGTGCGGATGCATTCCAGGCAGAAGATATGATTGCAGTTGGGCAAGATGCCAAAGCGCTTCTCGCGTCCAGCCTTCTCCATGATGGTGTCGAAGCAGATGCCGCACGTCTTATCTTTAGACTGGGCAATCGCAAAAGACAGTTCCATTGCCTGTTCGTGCTGTTGCAGGCACTCACGATTGTGTTTCTTTCGTTGAGCTTGGTCCGTTGGATGCAGGCAGTATTGGTCGCACATCTCGCATAGCTCCATATGTATGCGATAGGGACAATACTTGCCGTAGGGGCATGGACTCTCATATGGACATACCTCATCCAAGGAATGCGGCTCACCCTGTTTAATTTCAATGTCTTGGCTATGTGTGGACGGAACGCCGACAATTTCCGCCCATGTTACTCCATTTTGAATAATGGAACTGCCCGTTGCCTCGTCCTCATGCGCATCCTCAATCTCAAAACGTTTCTGGCTGGGCACAAATATCGGCGCATTCACCCAATTGCGACGACTGGTGCTGGGCAAGACATCCTGCTCCGCTTCCAACTCCAACTCCGCTTCCAACTCCGCCTCTGCCTTAGCATCGATATCGCCATCGACGTCGGCATCGGTGTCTGTATTTGGATTTATATTGCTGGCATGTGGCTCACCTTCATGTCGACCCCGAGTTATGTCATGGGAGAAGCGACAAAGCGAGTCACCGAATCGGCAAATGCCTCTCAAATAATAACGGCACATCGTTTGGCTTCGTCCAGGCACAACATTTAAATTGGACGACGCTTCTGCTATATTGCCAACGCTGGCCGAACTCATTTTGCACTTGCAAAGGTTCATACAGATGTTGTGATCTGATCAAACGAGACGACGTTCGGATGACCTGAAACAGTCAACAAATCTGTGATTATATCCTCGATAAGCGCAGACCTATCGATATCGTTCGTATGTATTTACGTATGTGTGCACATTTGAACATATATATGTACGTCTGTGTGTAAGTATGTATGAACGTGTCTGTGTTTGTTTGTATGTAGGCATGTAGAGCAAACAAAATTAAGGTGTCGCAATAACTCAACGCTTTCTGCGCAATACAAAACTTGAGCTTAAATATTTACAGCGCTCACAACTACATACAAACACATATCAGTTTTTTTTTAATATATGCATACATAAGCATATACGTGAATAATTATTGGATATGTATATATATATACGGATATATATGTTAATAAGTGTATATATAAGCATATATATATATATATATATATATATATATGTACTTGTGAATTTGAATACACATGAACCTTTTAGCTCTAATCACACATCGGCAGCCCCGTGAATGATGAGTGATTTCTACTTTTGAACGGTTGTTATGTGTTTGGTTTTAATAAGAACACTGGTTTCTTTCTTACGTTTTTTTTTTTGATGCAAATTGATGCTCACAAAATTTCAACTAGGGATGGGGCTGAAATTAATGGTAATCGGCGAAGAATGATAAATTAAATTCGATTTTCTTATACGATAGTTACGCTGGATATTTGACAATTTTTTGAACGAGTGTCTGACGTCTAAAATACCCAAAAAAAATTAAAATGTTTTAACCAAATAAAAATGAACTCAACTGAAATTTTCCATTTGTTTTTAACCAATTTGAACAATTGGATATAGCAACCTATCGGTAAGGTATCAATTTATATCGATATCAACAAGTTTGCACTTGTCAGCTGATTACCTCGATATTTGTTTTGTTAAAAAGGATATTCTGAATATTACCACAGATTTAAAATAAATATGACTAGCGAAAGTGGAAAACAATATGTTTGTGTCAATTGCGGCAGCCCAGCACGAGAGTTGATTAAAAAGTACAGCAATACCATTAAGCCGACCAATTGTGTAAGACACTTAGCCTAATCGAGATCTAAATTTGTTTAGATTCCTATTAATTACTTACCTAGTTATGGCATCTCGTTAACAGTGCAAGTGTAACCAGCTCATTGATAAATATATCGAAGTCGAAGAATTCATTATCTTGATAGATGCACTTCTCTTGGACTCGGCTGCGTTTCGACACATGATATTCAATGGAAATTTTAAGGTGCACTTGGCGGTCCATTTAAGCAGTATTAAATACTAAATATTATTATAACTATTTTAAAGTTGTATTGGAAGATTTCACTCGTCGTCCTTCTGCTTGAATCGTTTGCATTGTGTCGGCAAAAGCGAGGAGATGGCTCAAATACAGCCTTATACGAGAAAGGCTTTTATATGTGCACATTACAAAGCATTGGAGGTAAAATATACATTTCAATATACATGATCTTTAAACACAAAAACAACCGTATATTTTTCAGAATACCTTTTAATAACACTGCTGCTGCTATTTATTAGCGCACTTCTCAATTTACGTCAGATGAATAAAGTCGGACATGAAGCGGTTACATTAATCATACTTAAAGTGGTGGCCATTTCGAATTTCTCCAAGTTCTTCCTGCTGCCGATATTGGTTTGGCGTAGCAATACAACCGATTTTGGACAAAAATTGCACTATATGCTAGTGACAGGGCACCATCTCTGCTCCCTGATAATGGCTTACAGTGTCGTTGGCATTAGCAATAGAAATCTGCGATGTTTGACCGCAATTTTGGTGATTTTTGCATTTGCCATTAAGGAGTACGTCAGATATTTGGCATCATTTAAAATAGAGTTATATCTATCTTAAATTTTTTTTTTCTTCAACGTCGTGTGATTATGATAAGAAATATAGTAAGTGATTATATATTTAAACGTAATTTTTAAATGAAAATAAAAAAAAACAGTATTTTAATAAAAATCCATAAATATGGTATTTATTAAAAGAATTTGGTTTCATTGGGACTTTTTTAGTGCTCCTGCAACCCTGAAATTCGCAATAATCGGCCGAGCTCTGTCAATGTCGCATGCAGAATTTATGAGAATTCTATTTTTCTTATTTCCATTATGCAAAATTAAAATTATATCTGGCGATATACATTACTATTATCATAATCTAAATTGTTTTTAATTTGCAAAATAAAAACCCGTGAAGGATATAAATACCGACGTGTATCTGAAAAGCACGTAATGAGTTTTGCTCATCTATAAAAAAGCCAGCAGCAAACGTGTTATTTAATAATGTAAGACGCAACACAACAAGTGAGTGTGCGTATTGCAATTACAATTGCAAATCTAAAACGACGCAAACCCAAAAAACAAAGTGAAGTTAACAAGAGAATAAAAAACAAAATATTGGTAAGTTTAGAACAAGTAAAATGACCCACATACACATACATATGTGCATGTGTATTCATTCATATACATGTATTTGCACACATACACATGTAATTTAAGTTCATCGTTGCGGCAACTGAGAAGTGCTCTAAAGTAGCAAAATATTTTACCTTTTGCACCTTATGAATTTGTTGAGGACAACTCATCAGACATATGTGTTTGTATTTAAAGTGTATAAGTGATAAACGTAGACGTTAATTCACACTATATAAATTGACAGCTCATTCATATTGCCAATGTGACCATCTATATATAGTATTTTTAAAATAATTTATATGTATAATACACTGACGAATAATTTTTCTAAATCCTTGCTTGAAATAAACTTTAAAAATATGGCTGATATACTTGTATAGTAAATATGATTTTGATAAAAAGAAAAGAGAAAAAAACCACAAGTCGGGTATTTTGCATGTTACCACGCCTGGTCACACATAAAATATAACCTTAAAAATGACAAGTGACAAATTTCTTTTTTTATTCACCTTAAGCGACTAAAACACAATCAAAGACAATACAAAACATTTGCTACAGTGTCTCCTATTGTAGGACTCCAACCACTGTTCGAAGCTGATATCATAAATAATGGACTCTTGTCGATGTGGATCTGGCGATTTGCTTTTTACAGAGGCAGCTATGTAAATATTTTAGGCAAAAAGTGAAAATTTCGAGCCAACCGACAGGCAAATCGAGCAATCGACCACATTTGGTACACACATATGTACATTACCCAGTCGCGTACATTTACCACAACTCCGGAAGGCAAAGATCACGTCGAGTGTCGCCCCTTCAAATGTCAGCTTCGAATTCGTTTGTGTTCGCGAGTTTTGCTGTAAAACTTTGCACAAAAAGTACTCGAAACTGCGAAGGAGCAGCAACTAAATCATTGAATTAAACCCGGGAACAAGAGTGGAGCTGTTCGATTATCGTTAAGGTACAGATCGGTCTGTAATATATATATATATATCTATATATATATATATATATATAGACAACAAAGCTTGCGTGCAAAACATGCATTCCTCCTCTGCGGCATCAAGTGCGCTTGTGGAATACTCCGACGTCAGTTCGGAGGATTTCTCCGATGCAGAAGCTGGCGAGATCGATTCGGATGCTGCGCTAGCTGGGAGAAGTGGAACATCAGCAGCAGGACCAGCAAATCGAAAACTAGATAATCAGACTAGAAAACACAATTCGGATGCCGTTTTGCGTATAACAAAGAACAATGACTTCAGGTAAAATCAGGAAACTTTCGAATTTCATTTCTTTTTCGCAGATGTTGTATATGTGTTTGCATTTTTGTAGAAAGAGGCGCACTGAAGAAAGCGACGACATGGCCTTAGTTCACGAGGTGGCAACAAGAACGAGGCAAGTGTCAGTTGTTGCCAGCAGCAGCAGTAGGCTTAACACTTCATCGGTCACAGAGAGTGTCAGTCACCATCGCGCCGAAGTCGAACTGACGCAGACGAAGGGCTCCAAGGAGGATCAGTTGCAATGGGACAGGGAGCTGTACATGTCCAGCGATACAATCGACACCGATGAAATCGAAGCCGAAATGAAGCGACAGAAGCGCAAAAAGTTGAAGAAGGACAAGCACAAGCATAAATCCAAAAAGAAGTCAAAGAAGCGCAAGAAGAAGCGTGCGAAATCATTTTCGAGCATCGATTCGTTATCTGACAGCAACCTGACATCGTTGCTGGACAGGCATCGGCGATATACACCGCCATCGGCTCCAAATCGAGCCAAGAGCGCCGAGCGCACTGTCGTCAGCGCTGCACTTCCCTCATATACGCCCCATAAAGACAGTCAAAGCAGTCCCATATCTGTGGGTACTCCACCTGCCCGACGCCCCAATAGTAATAATACCACCTATTATGGTGAATCTACGGCGGCCACAACAAGCACGCCGCTGGGCAGCAATTTGCAAGTGACGGTCACGAACAAAACGTCGTCTTCGAACAGTCGACATCGCTCGCCTCCAACTCGCGCCGGCGGTGGTGGCAGCAGCAGCAGCAACCAACGATATGCCACCTCACCACGCACACCGCCACAGTCACTCAGCCACTCCCATCCATCGGCTGGTGGACGCGGTGACTCACGTAGCACTCGCTTTGTGCAAAGTCCCCTAAAAGACGAAATAAATGCTCATCACCGATCTTCAAATACGTATGGAACACGCTATTCGGGCGGTGGCTCTGTGAGTGGCCAGGACTCCAGAAAACTGAAGCGCATATCACCGGGTAAGTACAATCAGATTGTGAACAATATATATAATAATAATAAAATAAATTAGCTTAAAATTATGGTGTTGATTTAACAAAAAACCGTTTCGCATTTCAGAGTTGGATCGCTATCACCACCAGCCGAGCACGCCGCCGCATAAGCGACGAAAGTTTAGCGATGGCCGAGATGCATCCTTGTCATCGTCTGTGGGTCCATTCGAGCACGGCAGGCACCATGCTGTTAAATATGAACGCTACAGCCGGGATCGATACTCACGGCGTGTGTCCAAGTAAGCAATTCGCACTGGAAATAAAAATCAAATGATTAAACTATATTTATTCTCGATTTTTTCAGGAGTCCCAGCGTTCATCGCTTATCTCGCAGTCGACTGTCGCCTGGAGGTGGCGCCAATTCGGGCAGCAGTAATTCAAATATGTATCGACAACGTAGTAATAGCAGTCATAAACACAACAAATTTGGTGGCGCACCTCACTCGCCTTCGCCACCAATGCCAACGAGATCGTCTTCCAAACGTGTCTCCGGCAGCAGTGGCATGGCTGGCATCTCTTCAGAACGCTACTCGTCACGCTCACCGCGGCTAAGTTCGCGTTACTATGAGTCATCGCCGCCATCGCCGGCGGGCGTCTCAGCGTCGACGTCGCATCATCATCGACGATCGCCGAGGCAACATCATCAGCAACATCATCGCAACAGCAATCGGCAGCAACGCTCACCCAGTTCTGGCAGCAGTCGCAGCTCGGCATCGCGTTCCCGATCACCTGCGTCGCGTGACTTGAAATATAAGCGTGATGAGTATATCAAAAAGATAAGCGAGACGAGCTTGTTTGCTGAGTTGGTGAAGGATCGCCATAAGCGGAACAAGGCTCTGAAGGAGATTATTGATCGGCAGGAGGAGAATAGCAACAGCAACGGTGCGATGACTATCAACGAAAACAGTTCCTCAGTGGATGGCAATACGCCCAATGTTGCCAATGACAATCGACAATTGTCGATAGCACAAACATCTGCAAGTGCCACGCCAAACGGAATTGTCAGTGTGAGTGGTGCCGGTAAGCCGGATTTGGACGTTAACAACATTCCAATGCCAAACAAAGAAAACAATGATACACTTAAGCTACATCCGACTATTGCTGTTCTTGCTGGTGCTGCTGCTGCTTCTGCTGCTGCTGTAGATGTTACGGATGCCTCACCAATTGTAATGCAATCATTTAAACCGAACGCAGCAAACCAAAAACACAAGAGCCTAACGGCTTTGCCCCTGCCGCCCGGCATGAATGCTGCCGATTTTGAGAATGCAACTACGCCTTCGCCGCCAGATGTGGTCAAGCAGGCGGCGGCGATGGCGGCCACACCGAAATCATCAACGAAGAAATTATCACCCGAAGATAAGAATCTAATTGCCAATGCCAATGCCAACAAGAGCCTTTTGAATCTGCCAATGCCGCCCGTAATACCGGGCAGCGAAGAGTTAAGTGGCGACGATGATGTCATCGACAGTCCCGAGGACTTCGATACGCCCAGTGGCAACAGCAACAGCACGACAAATACGGCTGCGAATCCAAATGCATCCCAGTCGGCATCGCGTCGTCGTCCAGTGATCCTCAATCGACGCGACTCTCGCAACAATGTCCGCGATTGGGGCGAACGCTGTGTGGATGTGTTCGAGGTGATTGCCCAGATCGGCGAGGGCACCTATGGACAGGTGATGATCTCAGAATCTAGCACATTTTTATAAGTCATTAATTAACCATACGTTTAATTCCTAGGTATACAAAGCACGAGATCATCATACCAACGATATGGTTGCATTGAAGAAGGTGCGTCTCGAGCACGAAAAGGAAGGTTTTCCCATAACGGCTGTGCGTGAAATCAAAATATTAAGGCAACTGAATCATCGCAACATTGTTAACTTGCACGAGATCGTGACGGACAAACAGGATGCGGTTGAGTTTCGTAAGGATAAGGGCTCGTTCTATCTGGTGTTTGAATACATGGACCACGATCTCATGGGTCTTCTCGAGTCCGGCATGGTTGACTTTAACGAGGAGAACAATGCGAGCATTATGAAACAGCTATTGGATGGCCTCAACTACTGCCACAAAAAGAATTTTCTGCATCGGGACATAAAATGTTCCAACATTTTAATGAACAACAAGTATGCGCCTCACTTGAATATATAATTATAATATTTGTTATTCTATATTATTGAATTTAAAATTAATATTTATTTACGCTTCTTTTAGGGGCAAGGTAAAATTGGCGGACTTTGGCTTGGCGCGACTGTACAACGCGGAAGATCGGGAACGTCCGTATACGAACAAAGTCATAACGCTTTGGTATCGGCCACCGGAGCTGCTGCTGGGCGAGGAGCGTTATGGTCCGTCGATCGATGTGTGGTCCTGTGGCTGCATACTGGGCGAATTGTTTCTGAAGCGACCGCTATTTCAGGCAAACGCGGAAATGGCACAACTGGAAACTATATCGAAAATATGTGGTTCACCAATTCCTGCCGTTTGGCCGAATGTTATTAAGCTGCCGCTTTTTCACACGCTGAAACAGAAGAAAACGCATCGCCGGCGTTTGCGTGAAGATTTTGAGTTTATGCCAACATCAGCACTCGATCTGCTCGATAAAATGCTCGATTTGGATCCGGAGAAACGCATTACGGCGGAGGATGCGCTTAGATCACCTTGGCTAAAGAATATCAACCCAGATGAGTGAGTACAAATAAAATGAACGTCATTAAGATAAGTTTGATAGGACTTGCTATATTTGCTTTATTTGTTGCAACAGAATGCCAACACCACAATTGCCAACGTGGCAGGACTGTCATGAGCTATGGAGCAAGAAACGGCGTCGGCAGCTGCGTGAGCAGCAGGAATCGCTGCCACCGGGTGTTATTTGTCCAGCAGCTAGGTATCAGCAACACGGAGCCGCTATGGTTGGGGATGCCTAGCATTTACTCTATGCTTCATGCTACAATGAAGAGGAAGAGGAAGACTATAAACAGCGGGAGGTGGAGTGTGCCTGGTGGCAAAGTTAATACCTAAGAAGTTTGTAACGAATTATAAATAGTTAGTTGGCAGGCAGACTCTGATCGCGGGTTGACATGCTCTACCAAAGCACTCTATTCTTTAAGTCATCTTTAAAAAAATCAAAAACAAAAAACAAACAAAAAGAAAAACTAAAACGAAGAAAAAAAATAACTGAGCTAAGGATACATTTTAAAAAGTGATGAAATGCTACAAATCGAGCATTTCGAATTGACCGCTGTATCATATTGTAATATATAAATACTATTTACCGCTATATTCAGACAAATAATTGGTTTGAACATTATTTGTTTAAAGTTTTTTTTTTTAATGCTTAGCGTAATAATGTCTTACATATTGGCAATAAAAAACATGAGAAATAACATATTTAACCGATGTGCGTGTCTCAAATTTTGTTCACATATAATTTTATTCTGTTTTAACAAATTTGACAAATCAATTCTCCTAGCTTTGAGTTGCATGATGCGGTTTTTGTTTACGATCGAATGAAAACCATCGCTTAGTTTCAAAATAAAGGCGATATTGTGAAGCAGTTAAAGGTTAGCATTTTAACATTTAAAAAATTGTTATATATACATCCATATAAATATAATATATATATATATAAATAAATATATATATATGTATATATAAATATATATATACATAAATATATTATAATTAAATAGGTTACTAGTAATAGTATTAATTATCTTAGCAACATATTAATGTTGCACGTATAATATGATTATTTTGTTAGGTATTTAAATTAAATTGTAAAGTTAAAGATGAATTTATCAAGTAAATGTGTACTAAAAAAAACAGAAAAAACACCCATACAAATATTTTAAAAAGCTTATATTTTTTAATATATAAATGAAGCCAGATATGAATAAATATGTCTATACAAATTACTATATAATAAAATGAATCTGCGTGAGACTGAAAGTAATTGAACACAAAAAATAGTGCAATTTGAATAATGAAAATTGGAAAAACTTATAAATTACAAATTCCAACAAACAAGACACTTATCTCCCAAAGCGCAAATCAAATTGCTTTTTTGGTTTCCAAAACTGTCACTCCGTTTACATAATATAAATATATACATAACATGCATAATTATGACAATGATAAATGGACACGAAATCTGTTGAAAATATTACAGTACGATTTTCATTGCAAAATGCAAATCATAGATATTAGACAAAACAATGCTGTGGACAACCGCATAAATGGGTTTAAATAAAGTTGCCTAATGTCTAACGATTCTTATTATTTTGTTCTAATCAGTCAGGGAAGAGAGACTTTCTAAAAAATTAAATATACTCCAATCATATAATTTACCGATTTAAATTTAAACGCCCAAAAGCCAACGCCTCGATAATAAGTATCGATGGCAACGATATCGATAAGCAGTTGGCAAGCTGATGCAAGGGAATGTGCAATAATTTTATTCGTTTACCAACACTTGGAAGTTGGCGTTCTTCTTTTTGAATAGTTTTCGGCTTGTTTATGTTTGTTTATGAAAATAAGAAATAAAAGTACAAATAAATCATAGTAAACTATGCTACCATTTCGGAATTATGGAGAAACAATTGATGTAAGTAATTATAAATACCAAAATAATGCGGGTATTTGTTGTAGTAGTAATAAATATCATAATATCTGCATCGAAAGGAATACGAAGTACAGCACCTGCTGGGCAAAGGAGGCTTCGCTTGTGTCTACAAGGCAAAATGTCTGCGCACTCAGCAAAATGTCGCCATCAAAATGGTAAGTAAACGCCAAATGTGCTTCACTTAAATGGGATATTTGTTGAAGTTAAGGTTTTTCTCTTGCAGATTGACAAGAAACTAATACAGGGCTCGGGCTTGTCGAGTCGAGTTAGGCAAGAGGTGGAAATCCATTCCCGCCTGAAGCATCCATCTGTGCTGCAGCTGCACACGTTCTTCCAGGACGGCAACTATGTGTATCTGGTGCTGGAGCTGGCCGACAACGGTGAACTGCATCGCTATATGAACCAGCAGATGAAGCGCCCCTTCACCGAGCAGGAGGCGTCCTCCATTCTGCGCCAGGTGGTGGATGGTCTGCTCTATTTGCACTCGCACAACATTATGCATCGTGATATATCGCTATCGAATCTACTGCTCAGCAGAGATATGCATGTGAAAATAGCTGACTTTGGCCTGGCGACACAGCTGAAAAGGCCCGACGAGAGGCACATGACCATGTGTGGCACGCCAAACTACATATCACCGGAGGTGGTCTCCCACATGTCACACGGCCTGCCCGCTGATCTGTGGAGCGTTGGCTGTATGCTGTACACACTCCTGGTGGGTCGACCGCCATTCGACACTGATGCCGTACAGTCAACTCTCAATAAAGTGGTTCTCTCCGACTATACGATGCCCAGCCATTTATCTTACGAGGCACGGGATTTAATCGAAAAGCTATTGCGGAAGAATCCACATGAGCGTATCTCATTGGAGCAAGTGCTTCGGCATCCATTCATGGTGAAGGCCGGTGGTGGCAGCATAATATCCTACACAACAACGCCAGGCGCATCCGATGGCTATGGACAGAGTATCGCCAGTGGCGATAGCGGAATCGTCACATTTGCTAGCAGTGAGTAAATAACAATTTCCAGTTTCTATATCCCATTTAAATTGGTTACACTTCTTGCCTGCATAGATGATTCAAAAAACTCGCAGCGGCACATGCTGCCACAGATTCAGGAAGAGTTTGGCTATTACCAGGAGCAGCGCAAGAATTATGCACCACATCCAGTGTATCGACAAAGTTCAGCAGAGCCGCTGAACAGCACAGAAATGGAATGGCAGAGAATTGGCCAGAGTAATGGTCACTTCTTGGCGCATTCCACACCAGCGACTGGTGGACAAGTTGCCGCAAAAAAGAATAATGCTGAATGTATCTCGATGCCTCCGTTAAACACTCTCCGCTTGCAACCGACGCGCTACAAGACAAAGAATGCCATCATGAGCATTATGGCAAATGGCGAAGTTGTCATCGAGTTTATCAAGTGCAAAAGTAAAATGAACGAAGATCGAATTGTGGATATTTGTCGCATATCGGGGGATGGACGTCGCATTATAATCTACCAACCAGATCCAGGACGGTAAGGGTACAAAAAACCTCTGAGTTGATAATAAACTCTCATGCATATGATTAATTTCAGAGGTCTGCCCATACGGGATCAACCATCAGCAGTTCAACCCGAAAATTATGCCTACAACTATGACAATTTGCCCAGCAAACATTGGAAGAAATACGTCTATGCAGCTCGATTTGTGAGCCTGGTGAAGAGTAAAACACCGAAGGTGACCTACTTTAGCGGCTTGGCAAAATGCCATCTGATGGAGAACATGGCCGATTTCGAGATGTGCTACTACTCGGGTGCCAAGCTCACCAAATCACCCACTGATGCTGTCAAGCTGTACAATAAGCATGGACTACTGATCACCGATCAGACAAGTGGCGAAGCAATGCGTTGGATTGAACACAGCAATGAGTGCTTCGCCCACTGCTTGAGCATTTGTAATGCATTGGAACTCGCCCAAACGGGCAGCAATACATGTTTTCCTGTCACGATTGGCAGGCGACCCACTCCTGAAGTGATGCCCAGCCAGCAACGTGCTGACGGACTGCGGGATACAACAAATTTTGCATACTCCACGCCAAAATCGCAACAGGTAATTTTAGTAGCAATTTAATTTAAACACTTTACTAATATATATTTGTATTTGCAGGGCTCAATAAACTTTTCCATTAGCACGATTTCATCGATGCGCAGTGGCAACGATCTGATTGGATCTCAGCTTTTGGCAGCCCAGCAAAATGTGCCGATTAAGCGATTGAATGTGCCGGGCGTAGGCACTGCCACAGAAGTGAGTTGATTCAGCTTGAATGTTGCATTTCGTGGCTTGACTTAATGATATTCTTCACTTGTTTTCAGCTGTCCCATGGGATTGTGCAAGTACAATTCTATGATGGATCAGTGATCTCCATTATACCCGAAACGCAGGGAGGCGGCATAACATACACGCAGTCCAGTGGACTATCCACACACTTTCCCGACCACGACGACCTACCGATAGCGGTTAGGGATCGGCTCTCGCAACTCCCCCAGGTGCAGATGAAGCTGAAATCTGCTCCCCTCATTGGCAGCAAGAAATTTGACTGCAAAACGACGACGGAATCTGCTCCTTGGCACAATCGCATGCTAATCTAGAGGGAATCCCCCTTAGCACTAGTAGTAGTTGTAGTCTTTATTTAAGAGAAAAGTTAAATGCATTCTTAAACTTCATTTGAATATAAATATATATATATTTTATATTACTTATCAATTTTAAATTTTATATATTTTATGTTCTTTGAAGTGCCCGTCTGAGACGGATCAGTCCATAAATAAAGTCACAGTTAACAATTAAAAATTGCATATCACAATTTATATTTGTCAATTATATTACATTGAAATCAGCCCTTATTCAAAAATGATTTGTTTTTAATGCTTAAATCGTATTGCTATAAATATCGCTATAAATACACCTTGAAATATCGATATGTAAAACCATGTATCGATACGATGCTAACATCACTAGTATTTCTGATACATACAAACGAATTCAGTGTTTTTGTCAGTGCTGCACAGTTTGCTTTAAGTTTGTTTTCTTTTATTTCTGAGCTTACGAGCACAGCGAATAAAATGTGGTGTGTAGAATAACAGTGCTTATTATCAAATTTAAATGAATTGCTATACATGAATTGCATTACATAAGTCCAACTATTATTTAGTGATTGGCAAGTGTAGTTTTTTGTTTAGTCGCGCACAGCTCAAAAACTGGTTTGAGTTGAGTTTGACTTCGTGCATACAAATTCAAGCCTCCTCCCCGCATTCATTCAGAGTTCGCACTCAAATTTACTACGTTCGCACAGACACATGAACACATGAAAACAAAACAACTGTATATCAACATTGCGCCAAGTCGTGTTTGAAATCATCAAATTTGCTACGATTGCTTTTTACACATTTGCAACTCTTGCTTACATTTCTGTTAAAAACATAAAATGCGTAAGTGTTAAATTTATCATTAATTTGCATGTATTAAATTAATTATTTTAAAACGATATTGAATAACGTGTCGAAATTTATACCGACGGCTTCGCTTCGAAGACAATGACTCTCAAACTGCGGAACACATAGATTTCGTGTCCCAAAATGCATTTAGCTTTATAAAGTTGTTAGCTTCTAAATAGACTAATTAATCTCATTTAAAGACCTACAATTACTATAAATTATTATCAAACATTTCGATTTTAGACATAATAAAAAAGTGTTTTATTTTACCGTTAGCTCCTGTTTATTTAGTAAACTAATTATATTCTAATAAAATTATACAGCTATCGTTTCCCCAATTCCTCGTAATTTGAAAGATAGATTTGTATGACATATCTTAATACTTCCTTTCAATTTAAGTGTACAAAAATATTATTAAACATTAAAACTCCAACTTCCGCTCAGACAACAGAATATCGCTAAATTATTAGCTAATTACTCAATAACTCTGGTATTATAATCCAACTCAGTTCAATTTCGAAATGCTTTCATAATTAGCGCTCTTCTCTCGATCAGATTCCATTCTTGTGCTGTTGTCCAATTGAACCAAGTAACGAACTACTTGTGCATGCTATTTGACCTCTTAATTGACGAAAACTTCAATTGAATACGGAGTGCAACTTCGAACACGAATGTGACCAATGTCTGTTAGCTTAGCAGTTGGTTAACAGTAATTGAGACAAGATCTCTCAGTGATGTTGCTCTCTGCCATGACCATAAAGAGACGCAGATAAAGGTGTATATGTGTGTCTGTGAGATAAGATGTTCTTACTCTGCTCGCTGGGCAGACTGCTAGCTTCAACCGCACCTCAGTTCAAGTGAGTCAACGACGAACGATAAATTGCTCAGCTCGAAATTCGAAATCGAAGTTAAAATGTACACACACACTGGGCAGTTAGCTAGCAAGAGCGAGAGAGAGCGCAGAATCGAAATCGAATGTGGCTGTTAAGTGAGAAGGGCTCACTAGATACATAAAACGTTAAGAGAAGCGCTTCTGCTATGACTGATATTTAATGACGGAAACGCGAACAAATGAGAGTGATTCACTTTTGTTTCAGTGAATAACATGCAGTAGGCGCGTAAAGAGCATTGAATTTAGTTCCCAATTTGTGCCATTTAAATCGAATAACGAATTAAAACTACACAAATTCTGTTAACCCGACAAGCACTCGATTCGATCGACGATCTGCCGTTGTTCAATATGTCTGGCAAGGGCAGTAATAATCGCGATCGCATTCGAGATCCGCGCGAAGAGATTCTGCTCGAGACGAACTTCGAAGACGATGGCGGCGTACTCACGCGTGCCTACAACAATAATCCTTACCAGAATCGGCGACAGAGTGCCTACGAATCGGAACGCTCCTTGGATAGGTACACTGAACGCGGCGGCGAAGGTACGACGACAAACACATGCAACAAGCACATAACAGCTTAAGCACAATTTCGTTCGTATTTGTCCCCCACTCATAATTATCACAATGCACAGCTCTTATCTTGTCTGTAAACAGGTGTGTGTGTGTGTAGTGCGTTTCTGTGTATGTGTATGTAGAATACATTAAGGTTAAAAATGATATATACATGTACATAAATATATAAAAAATAAATATAATATGGATGTATATAAAAGACAGCCGCTAAAACTACTCAGTTTCTTACATGCAACATAAGTGTACTTTATGTGTTTTTTCATTATCTTATTATAAAAGTAGCCACATTTTGTAATATAATTTTAATTGGTATTCTTGCAGCCGAGTGTTGCCAGTCATGTATGGCACGCATTCCATATGCGACGCTAATAGCGACACTAATGTGTCTGCTCGGCGTTGGCATCTTCTGTGGCACCATGTATCGCGGTGCTTCGCTGACGGTTATCATGATGGATCAGGTCTTCCACCTGCGTCTAATCTGGTAAGTTGTCTTAACTAAAATTAAATGTGCCTTAACTAATTAACCAATTAACCTTTTCAGGATCGAGGCAGTGCAGTTGATATTCGTTATAATTGCTGCTGGCATGGCTGCTTTGGGCTTTATGATACTGTTTGTGGGCTTCTTGGCAACGGGCGCCACACGCTACAAGGTTTACCGGGCGTGGCGATCACGCGTCGGCGGTCGCATCTCCTGTGCGGTGCTAATGGGTATCACCTATTTGCTTAATTTTGTGTGGACGCTGATTTTATGCTTCTTGGTTATTGTCACATTCATTTACACCATGTTCTGGAACATGTGCTCCAGTGTCGAGCAATCCCTCAGCTGCATTGATCTAACACAATTCCGTATGTCAACAAAAATACAACAGATATCACATCTCCAATTGATTGTCTCCTTTTCTAGATTTCATGTTTCCACCAAATACCAAGCTGGAGGACATGAAGGTGTGCGAAAAATACGAGATTAAGGCATTCTGCAAGGATGGTGTTGAGAACGCTGAGGTCATGTTTATTCTGGCCACGCTCTCCACTCTCTTAGTCATTCTCAGTCTTGTGCATTATTTGATGTGTCTTTCGGCAAACTATGCGCACATTCGCGATCATGAGAAATTCCAGGAATTGCAGGAGATACAAAATCTAAACGAACTAGAATATAGCGCTACATCCAAGGATCGCTTCTAGAAAATATTATTTAAAATTATTCAACTTGCGCTTCATTAATATTCAAATGTTGGCACAATGAAGCACAAAGACACAGAAATGCAACGAAAAATCCGCTATATCGTTAAGACCTTGTTTTTAATTTTAAAATGTAACCCATTTCTATATCATTCCATTATTTTGTCTATGTTAATTTATTGCTTTAATTTAAATTTAGGCCAGTAGCGAACGCAATCAAAGATACACATATATAAACATGTATTTATTCAAAATCCCATGAGAATTGTTATCAGCAATAAATACGGGTTTTTTGTCCTTCCAACGTGAAAACCTTCCAAAAATGACCATCAATAGAGTTTCTAGTTTTAACCATCTAATGTCCACCTGTTCATTCAAATAATCAAATATATATTTGTACGTTTGAACTTGAAGTATATATTTTCCGTCCGCAAATACGTATTTTATATTGATTAATATCACGTAACTGCTGAATATTTGGAGTGTTAAATTTCTTTTGAATAATTTCATGCAAATATGTGTTTTTTATGTTTTTATTCTTATAGCTGGTAAGAAATCATTGAAATATTTGTACTAGTTTGCGTACACTCATTGATATTCATATAATTACGTACATATGTATATATCTACATTCAAATAAAGAATTTTAAATACGCTGCTTTTTAAACATTTCAAATTGTGTGCGTGTATGAAAAGTAAATAAACAGTTCATTAACAGGCAATCTAACTAAGCTTTTTCTGGAGCTGATTGAGGTATTTCAAAGCTATATTTTATACATAAGACTCTCGATTGTAATTACAATTGTTAAAAAGTGAAGAGCCTAACTGTTAACAATTGTAATTCTAAAATTTTAAGTTGATTTTTAAAATGTGGACTTAATGTTGTCAGCGATGTCAATAAACAGATGTATATTTTTCACTATCGGGTAAGAATCGAAATATTTTATTTCCTACAACGTACAAAATATCGATAGTAGTCGATAGCTATGCAGTTTTTTGGTGGCCATTTATTTCGTAAGATAAATAACTGATGCCTTCGCATTAAAAATTAAATATTACATATAAAATGTTGCGAAGACTAAATTCCCCAACGGCAATTTTGGTGGTAAATAGATTTCGATTAAATAAATCATTATTTTATAATTGTCTGGAATATATTAATATACACTTGATTTTGCATTCAATTTGCAGCGAACAGCGTCAACACGCACCGAAAAGCTGGAAGAGATCCGTGACCGATTATCTAAAGGTCCAAACTTTCAAGATTTTATACAAAATTCCGACAATTCCAAGGACGACTTTGAGAATTACGATGGCAAACTGCGTCGTGAAAAAGGGGAGACTCAACAATTGCGCCTGCCGCCATGGCTAAAAACGACAATTCCAATGGGAAAGAATTATGCCAAAATCAAGTCACAACTGCGAGATTTAAAACTGTCCACTGTATGCGAGGAGGCACGATGCCCGAATATCGGCGAGTGTTGGGGCGGTGGTGAACATGGCACACAAACAGCCACAATTATGGTGAGACCTGCTTGACCTGTGCTGATAGCACTGCTGACGGCCATTTAACTGATTACAGCTCATGGGGGATACTTGCACCCGCGGCTGTCGTTTCTGTTCGGTGAAAACTGCACGTGCTCCGCCGCCTTTGGATGTCAACGAACCTGTGAACACAGCCAAAGCTATTTCCTCCTGGGGCCTGGACTACATAGTGTTAACATCGGTTGATCGCGATGGTATAACAATGGAAATGTTATATAAATTAAAATATAATAATTGTAATATATTTAACCTGCAGATTTGCCGGACGGTGGCTCAAAGCATATTGCAGAGACTGTGCGTGAGATTAAGGCACGGTAGGTAGAATATTAGCATTTTCTGTAATACCCCCAATAATATTTTAATAACCTTTGCTTTTAGTAACTCCAACATATTTGTAGAGTGCCTGGTGCCCGACTTTCGCGGGAATTTGGAGTGTGTGCAGACGATTGCTGGTTGCGGCCTTGATGTTTATGCCCACAATATTGAGACGGTGGAGAAACTGACGCCATTTGTGCGAGATCGTCGTGCCCACTACAGGCAAACGCTTAAGGTTCTCAATGAAGCGAAGCAATTCAATCCTAATCTCATTACGAAAAGTTCCTTGATGTTGGGCTTGGGTGAAACGGATGCAGAAGTGGAGCAAACAATGCTCGATTTGCGAGAAGCAGGCGTCGAATGCCTGACCCTGGGTCAGTACATGCAGCCCACAAAGAGGCACCTCAAAGTCATCGAGTATGTTACGCCCGAGAAGTTTAAGCATTGGGAGCAGCGCGGCAATGAACTCGGTTTTCTATATACTGCCAGCGGGCCTCTTGTGCGGAGCTCCTACAAAGCTGGAGAGTTCTTTATTACGAGCATATTGGCAAATCGAAGGAAATCAGTTTAAATGAAAAAAATTATATTTAAAATTATAATGCTTGTATATGTATTTCGAAATTGTTAACGATTGTTAAATATATTTTTGTTTTAGCTGAAAGTTTTAGTGTTTGAAAAATATAAAACAGAATTTTGCAGTTCGACGTCATCAGCAACTGCGAAATACTCTGAATTCAATGTGATAACAGCTGAAAAAAAGGAGGAAAGTAACTTTATTTATTTAGCGGAATAAAAGACGAGTAGTTAAACCAATATAATATAAATGAACATAAGTATAAAGGTTGAAGAAACATATATATTCATGGGCAGCGAAATTGAAGTAATATTTTCGATGGTTTATTATTGTAGAATTGTTTGGTATATTTTAAATACCAAACTTGTAATTTGCCACTTGAGGTCTACGGTCACATTTAAACTACGTTTTTTTCGTTTTATCTATTGTGTGACCATTTGTCGTTGTTATTAGTTGAAAGTGCATATAAGAAGTAAATCATATAGATTTGTAAACGCAATACATTCGTTGTAAACTAACAATAATCGAAATAAAATATATACTAATGTCTGCACATAGAACGTTAAATAGAAATGCAAAATGAAATAGATAAGCTGTATATGTATGCAGTTTGCTGTATTTATGTACGTACACATACATATGCATACATATACAAATTGAATATGTATGCATGTGTGGCAGTGCGTTTTTGTTTTTGTGTGCGTGTGTGTGGGATACAAAGAGTAGGAAGTTTTAACGCAATAACTCAGCAGTAACTGGATGAATGTGGCCAAGAAATTAAACTTTAAACCTGCATTTTATGTCGTAAATATATATTCATTTACATATACACATTTACATACATTCATACTTGCATATATACTCACACATATGTACGTCAGAGACACGACCATGGAAGAGTGGCCAATCCGTGCGAATGTATAGTTTTCACCAACGGTAGCTTTGTTTCAGCTTTGTTTTTGTTTTGAATGCAAGTGTTCCCTTTCTCGCACACTCTTTGTCATTTAACTAGTGCTCGGTTCGTGTCTGTGTCAAAAACCCGATTATGCTCGGGCTCATTTTGGGCTATGGAGACCCGAACCTGTATTCTACATAGTAAATGCATTTTCACACACGCACAGACATATGTACAACATGTATGTGTGCCCGTGTGTGTGTGTGCACTAGTGTTCACAAGATTGGGGTAATTTTTATACATCACTGATGTATGCACATATCTACATCAACATATACTAATATATTTATGAATACATACATGTATGTAACTCTGCTTTTTCATTTTATAAAAAACTGCGTATTTTTATTCAAAACATTACAAATTTCTTAAAGATGCTATTTATGTATATACTTAATATATGTATACATAGCCCAACGCATCCAAAACTTTCTATGTGAGTTTTTCAAAACTTGTTACAAAAAATCTATAAGCAATTCACCCATATCTTTTTGATAATAAATATTCAAAGTTTGCTGCAAGATAATTATGGATTTAGATAAGAAAATACATTTTGATCATACTGAAACAAAAAAAAAAGAAAGAAAGAAAATAAATTTGTCATTTATACAGACAACTGCGTAAATAAAAAAAAAAAAACACTTTTCCGCAGTAAATACATATATGAATATTCAATAAATACAATGATCGGTACAACAATAAGTGCGTGTTGTGTTATTTATAAAGTTTTAGTTTGCTTATTTATGAAAGTCTTTTTGCTTAACAGTCGACAGGTGATTGGAGCTAATTGTTATCGACGATCCCAAGATTCTCAAGAACGCCAGAGTGGAGGGTGAATGAGATAATAAGCGAGGGCCGATACGGATAAATACGGGCCGAGTCAATAGACGGACGACGGGGAGAGGCGAGCGAAGGCTACTTGTTGCCGTGAGGTTCCTAAAAAGTACTCAAAATTGATAGAAAGAACAAAAAGGCTGCTGCAACTGGTGCCTCAGCCGGGGACCAGCCGCCGCGCAAAAAGGGACGTCGCTCCGGAGGATCTAACTCATCTTCAGCCATAGACTCGAACGCAGCGTCGACGTCGAGAGCGGCCCAACAGCAAGTCTCGTCCTCGTCCTCCACCTCCTCCTCGACCTCGAGTGCAACTGAAAGGAAAACTGAATCGTCACAGTCCAGTCGAAAAAGCCTTTCGGAGGCAAATAGACTGCAACAGAATTGTACGACGTCCACGACGGACACCAATACGAACAACACTAGTAATATCAACAGATTAATCGACAATAGTTCTAGTAATTCTGCTATGAATATGCAGAATACGACTGCGTTGTCAGGCTCTGCAGCAACCGGAGATGGTTCTGGTTCCACTGTGGAATTACCCACAGATGGCGACCAAGCTACCCATTTGGCTGGCAGCAGCACCACAGGCAGTGGCAGCGGCAGTGGCAGCGGTGCTGCTGCTGGTGATGGACCAGCCGATCAGTCTGTCCAGCAGCCATCCAGTGCCCATAGCAATAATACCACAAATGGTCACGATGTCAAACAAAATGGTTTTGCTCCTAACAACAATGGTAGCACCAGCAGCAACAACAATTGTGCTCTGGATGGCGAGAATAATCGTGAAAATAATGGCGGATATACGGGCGTGCATTTGGATAAGTCCAGTCAGGAGATAATACGCCTGATTGGCCAATATCTGCACGACGTTGGTCTGGAGAAGTCGGTGAAGACGCTAATGGGCGAATCAAATTGCTATTTGGAGCATCCATCGGCAACGAAGTTCAGGGAGCATGTCCTAGTGGGCGACTGGAGCAAGGCAGATGGTGATCTCAAGGTAAATCAATGCGGAATAAATTATTGTTGTTTTCATTTTTATGAATTACATAACTATTGAAAATTGTAATTTGCAGGACTTGGAGCCGTTGATTGACAATGGAAAAACCGCAACAATTACCGAAATGAAGTTCATATTGTTAGAGCAAAAATATTTGGAGCATTTGGATGATGGCAATCCGTTGGATGCACTGCATGTGCTGCGCAGCGAATTGACGCCACTGCAGCATAATATTGCGCGTGTACATCAGTTGACCTCGTACATGATGTGTTCGACCAATCACGACCTCTACCAGCGCGCCAAATGGGATGGCAAGGGGATCACATCGCGTGCTCTAGTCATGGAGCGTCTGCAGACATTTATGCCGCCATCGGTGATGATGTCGCCGCGTCGCCTGCGTACATTGCTGCAGCAGGCGGTCGACCTGCAAACTCAGAACTGCCCCTGTCATGACATGGCCTGGCAGACGAACCTGCAAACAGTCTCGCTGCTCACCGATCATTGTTGCACCACAGATGGGTTTCCCATGCAGACAATACAAGTGCTGACCGATCATTGTGACGAGGTCTGGTTCTGTAAATTCTCGCCCGATGGCCTCAAACTCGCAACGGGCAGCAAAGATTCCACTGTGATCATCTGGGATGTAGATCCGTACAAGCTGACGCTTAAGCATCGTCGCGTTCTCGACGGTCAAGCGCAACTGAATGTGAGTTTCGTTAGCTGGAGTCCAGACTCAAAGCTCATCCTGGTGGGTGGCACTGAGGACTCGCACGAGCTGTTCATCTGGAATGTCGACGATGGCAAGCTGGTGGTGAAGTTTTCTCAATCCCTGGAGGATAGTCTCGCGTGCGGCACGTTCAGTCGCGATGGCAATCATTTCGTTTGCGGCGGCCAAAAGGGCCAGCTCTACCTGTGCGATCTGAATGGTACTCTAATCGACTCCTGGGAGGGTGTGCGTGTCAACAGCGTCGCCTTCCGGGCAGATAACAAAACCATTTTAGCGGCCGATAATCACTATCGCATAAGAGGGTGAGCATCCTGACAAACATATTGCCAAAAAGATCCAACTAATTTTTGTGGAATTGTGAAATGAAATTGCAGCTATAATTTCGATAATCCACGCTCGGACTTTGATATACTTCGGGAACCGCATCCAATCATGACGTTCAGCATCAATGCGGCTGATCGTCTGGCTCTGTTGAATGTATCCAATCAGGGCCTGCATCTGTGGGACATCGAGGATAAGTGCCTGGTGCGACGTTTCCAAGGGATTAGACAAAGCAACTTTGCCATTCATTCGTGCTTTGGCGGCTTAAACGAGAGCTTCGTGGCGAGCGGTAGCGAGGACAAGGTTGTGTACATTTGGCACCTGAAGCGCGAGGAGCCATTGGCTAAGCTGGCCGGCCACACCAAGACGGTTAACTGTGTGTCCTGGAATCCAGTCTATCCGTCCCTACTAGCCAGCGCTAGCGATGATGCCACCGTTCGTATTTGGGGGCCGAAGCCAACCGGTAGCAGTGCAACGACAGAGAGTGACGATTGTTCGTCCAGTTCGTCGTCCTCCTCATGGAACATGACCTAAAACCGCAATTTTCATACCGATTTATTTTTGTGGTGGATACCGATGCCGTTGCGGGGGTTGTCGTGTACAATTTGGGGTTGTTTTTTGTATTGTTTTAGTCAAAGGTCATATAGCCTATATATTAATCTATTCATACTTATAGTTGTATTTAAATATTGCAATAGTATTTTTCCGCTATCATCATCAGATCAGCTTTTAATCACACCCAATTTAAGTTTCGTCCGGTTTCGATTAATGTTAATTTCTTTTATTTTATTTTCCTTGTCCGTTATCTATTTTTTCCTCCTTTTTTTTGTGTATGGCAAGCGACCCTCAAATGCGTATAGTATCTGCATACATAAAAATAAGTGCGTGATTACTCTGAATTAGCTCGTAAGTAAAACTCCCAATGTCGATCTAAACGTGGTGCGCATGTCTCTGCAGCCACATAATGTATATACATATACATATATATATATATATATATATATATATATATATGTGTATATATATATTTGTTGCAGCGACGGCGAAAACACAAGACTGCCATTACAATACAATGTGTATGAGCAGCATGACTTACAATTAGCATTAAACTTATATAAGGAACATTGACATTATTGTCTCACACACACATAATCGGACACAAACACACAAACGCACGATGCGAGTATGTATGGATTATGTTTAAAGCTTTTCAAAACAACAAACAACAACAAAAAAACATTAGTATTTTTTAAAAAACAAAAAAGTTCTTAATCATATGTATGTGTATTTATTTACATGCCTATGTAATGTGTATTGGCTTCACGTTTTTTATCAAATTTCCAAATGTGTGACACGAAACCATCTGCAGACATTTGCCATTTTTAATAATTTTGTCTACTCTTCGACTTTAAGAGAAAGTTGCTTTGCGTTCGGATTTTAATTGTTTCGATTACACCGAATCAATTCAGCAATAATTGTAGTTTATTGATGCGACACATTTTTAACTGATTATTGACCATGAGGGCTTTTGATAAATTTTAATTGTTTACTTTTTATTAATTTAACATTTTGCATCTTTTCAGAATGTATCTAAATTTACCGATATAACAAGCGGGCCTTTGTAACCCCAATTTTATTTTATAATCATTACATGCAATAAAGATAGCCCTACATACATACATACGTAATTAAAATTTGATTATAAGCTGATTGGTAATAATACATTAGGAAAAAGAAACTCTTTTACCATTGATACAAAATAAATAACAATTGTCGTCTTTTCCCAATTTGCCAACAAAATGCTATATGTACGAAAAAGTAGCCTAATTCTAATGAAACCCTTCAAAATGTGCGCCATCGATATGATATTTATCGATATATTTAGCGTGAAATACGATAGTTGTTAGAGTTGCCACTAAGCACAGTATTAACACTGAACTCTAAAAGCAAATATCTGACGTGCAGAGAAGAAAAAGAAACATTTAAGTAATTTTTATTTACACACATTTCAATAGAAATGTCTTCCGGCGACGGTAAAATAAGTCTGCGGAAACTTGATTATCCAATGTGTGCAGTGGAGGCACTTTCTCGTCTTGGTTGGTTTACATGCAACATTTTTAAGATCTCCTTGCGACTACTGTAATATTATTGTTGTTATTGCAGAGGGTCTCATTGCTAGCCGCATGAAACAAAACTTGGCCATGCAAATGATTTCGGAGTTCATATTCTTGGAGCGTAGCAAGGATAGCCAAATGAATATATATCAAGAGTTTCAATTGATACTCACGCTCATCGAGTACTTCTCCAGGCCCGGCCGGGATGCCACACGCAATGCGATCTTTCTCTCGCTATTTGGCAGTCATTTGACCCCACAGCGCTCCCGGCTGCTATCGAGACTGATTAGTACGGCGGTGTCGGGTTCGGTGGCGCCGCTACTCTCCTCGGCAGGCACATGGATGCAACAGGTTGGCTGCAAGACAGCGCCGAGCTTGGAAGTTGCCCAGAATATAGTCAGTGATTTCATTTCGTTTTCGCGCAAAACGGCGGAACAATTGAAGCAACTTCCAATGGTCGGTCCCCATTTTGCGGCAAACTTTATGGTTGCCGTGGCCGATCTCTATCTGAATGAGATGCGTGGTGGTGTTTTAACGCCACCGCCAGATGCGCTCCTCGATGCGATAACAGAATGGACGACCGAGAATCCATTGCTGTGCCAGGCACCTCAGCAGCCACTTGTCCTCCCTCCAGGCGCCATTGCAATGCCATTTGCCACACCACTGGCCGGCCTGCTGCGCTGGGTGGTACTGGCCCCTTTGGTCTCAAATCGCCAGGCTTATAGCCAATTACATTTGTCACTGTTGCACGCATTGCTCCAGCTGGTCAACAGTGGTGATGCGACGCCATTGCATGCCCAGGACTTGAAGCAAATTGTGACATCGTTGCAAAAGTATTGCTCCCGTTTGACCGAGGCCAACGTTGTCCCCGATGACGATCCCGCGTACATAAAATGCATGGAGCGATTCGCTCAAGCTGTGCAAATCGCCTTAGCCTCCAATTGCATCACAAATCAGATTCAGTTGCTTTGCGTTCTCGAAACACTGCCGCCGCACACACTCATGAAAATTGTGCTGGGAACGCACAAAAAATTATGACACAAGAAGGTATAAGTATCCATATAAATAAGCACATCTTGCAATACGGATTTAATAAATTAATTATAAATATAAATACATACAAGAAATTGTTAATTTATTTTGCGTAGCTATATCTCGGCCATATCCCTATGTATGATACAAGGATTTTTAGAATTTGCAATATTAAAATAAGTCCAAATTTTTCCAGCGAATAGCTCAGAAAAATAAAAGACTTCCCCATTGTAAGGACTAGCCAAGACATGTGACTTGAACTAATCTGGACTTAAAAAAAAGCTGTCCTTAAAAAAATTATGGAAACGGCCAAGCTAGATTTATTTTTCTGAAATTCATTGACATATCTTTTGATTCAACCTAAAAGTATGCTTTCAAAATTTCGTATCCCCACACACTTAATTGCTTTACCCAAAAATATGCTTTAAAATTGAGCGTTTCTCAAACAGGATCCCCCAAGTGACTTCTTTTCAGCCTTGTAGAAAGTGATATTCATCCTGAAAGAATGCAGTACTTTTTTATTGATTAAGAATAAAGTTTGTCTTTGGCTGTAATCAAAAAGGATAAGAAATATACATATGTTGCCAGACAGACTAAATGTGTGGACTCGCGCATTGCGCAGGACTTGCGTGCGTGAAATTAAAAAAGGATTTGACTGGGAAAATCAATAAGGTAAAGTTTTGCTGTGCTACAAGTATAAAACTATTGAGCTCTTGGCTGTTTTACTCAATTTTTGGGATTCAGTGGTTGCTCAATTAGCTGTTGCACCATTAAAAGGATGCAATGAACCCAGTGCCAAATCGTGACTTTATGGAGGTGCATCCGCTGCATCAGCATCAGCCACATTGCAAGCAGCAATGTTTTGTATTCACTGAAATCGCCGATATCGAGCTACCCGCCGAGATAACTAAATTCGGTGGCGGCAATGAGAAGTTGCGGTGCTCCAATGGCGGCCTGCCGACATACAATTGCAAGAAGGACTCTTGCAGCGAGTCTTCCGTTGAGCGACCTGGACGATCGCGAGGCCGCAAGATTCTCATAGGAGTCTGTTTGGTGTTGGTCTGTATTGCGATGGCTGGCGGAATACCGTTGGCACTCCAATTGCGTTCCTCGTCGCTGTTGGAGGCACGTTTGGCATTCATACGACGCCTGTTGACGGAATCGCCGCTCATCGAGGGCTCCTGGAAGCCGCCGAGTGACATTAAAACCAATAGCAGTGGCATGGCTGATATACGGCAAAATCATATTGGTGCCGTTCTGTGGCCCATTGCTGTCCACTGTGGTGCTCAGTATCTGGATGCGGTGCAGCTTGTCCTCGAGGGCATCGATGAGGCGAAACGCATCACGGCCGCCACGAACTCGATGCACATTGTTGAATCGGCCGATGAGATGGAGCAGACCCACATTCGCGGCGAGGTCGCCGTCCTAATGGGCATTGGTGGTGGTCATGCATTGGGCACCAGTTTAGCGGTTCTGCGTTCCATCTATCTACTGGGCGCTCGTTTCGTTTCAATTGCGAGCCTGGAGTGCACAACACCTTGGGCTGCTGCAGCCATACGGCGACGGGATTACCTCATCGAGGAAAATGTGACCAATTCTCTCAACGAATTCGGCAAGGTGGGTATACAAATCATGGCAATGCGAATTGAAGTAGGAGTTTTAAACCATTATACCATTTACTACACCAGACAATGCTTTACGAAATGAACCGCTTGGGCATGTTGGTGGAGATATCGCAGCTTAGCGAGACCGCTATGGTTATAGCTCTGCGCACCGCCAAAGCACCTGTGCTCTTAATGAATGCCGCTCCATTATCCTTGTGCAATGGCACCAATGTCGCCTCCATACCGGATCATGTGCTGAGGTTTGTTTTCGTATCTGGTTTCTAACTTGCTACATTTAATTTAACTAATTTGAATATGATTTGCAGCTTATTGCCGGAAAATGGTGGAGTTATTTTGCTAAACTTGGAGCGCTGCGGTGATCGGCCGATTAGTGTACGGGAAGCGATACTCGCCATTAACTATGTGCGGAAGGTGGCTGGTGTGGATCACATTGGATTGGGTGGAGCACCCAAAAGCTATGCGCTGCTGTTGGCCGAGCTAGCTCGAGATAGGGTGTGGGGGAACGCAGCTATCAAAAAGCTGGTTGGTGGAAATGTTATGCGGATTCTGCGTGAAATTGAAGCTCTCAAGAATCGTTTGCCGTTATATGAGGAATGGATACCACATGAATCGATCGAAAGCAACTCGTATTGCCGTTATCCAGAGTCGTAAATTAACTACTTTATTATTATTTTACGTTTTAAGCAGTAGCATTTATTTTTTGCGATTGCTTGCTCAAGCTTTGATAAATAAATCGCTCGATTATGTAGATGAAATCTTTCTAAAGACGATCGTTTTGCGTTCTAGTTCATTCTTAATAAAACTTCAAAACTTCTAGTTATTCTCTGTTATCGAAAACTTGTATCAATAGCGATATCTGCGATATCGATCACAGTTTCATTAGTATCAGCAGGCCACTGAAATCAAATCTTTATATGTATGTATTTAATTCGCCAAACCCAGCATGGAGAAATCACATAGTTACAAAATAAAATCAATCTTAAAATAAACATTTCAACAATTTCACAAATGGGATAGGGTATGCCAGTGTCTAATTAGGAATTGCATCACCGATCCCAATATTTTAGCAGGCCACCAGCTACGTAGTCTGTTTTGCTTTGTCTGCACACACTGCGTATAAATATGTATAAATAGATGTATCCTTCATCAAGTATCCTTTTGTAAGTCTGTATGACTCACACTGTATAATCAGAAATATTTTTCTAATTTTTCATATTTTTTAATTGTTCAGTTTGGTAAGCATTTACATAAATCATTCGTTACAAGCTGAGCATACTTAAAAATAAGTTACAAACTATTTATCGAGTATATGCGAATGATTTCTTTAATAGTAAGATATAAATATGTAGCTATAAGACATGTTTACATTTTAAGCTTAGTGCGAGCGAGTTGCGTTCTTGACACTATACCACGGTGGCTAATTCACCACGATGCCGGTGCGAATGCCAAGGGTAAACGAAATTACCTCCCTTTCTGGTGGTCGCTCATTAAACTCACGCTTCATTATCTTTCTCGATAAAAGGTCTTCGCTCAGATCAGCACTTGTTATTGGATTTATATCTTTGTCGTTTAGATCACGTTTAATTCTCCTGGGCTCGTTATCCTCATCGTCGTCTAATTCAAAAATATTGTTGTTTGTGATTGCGAGCTTGTTAATCTCGTTAAAGAAATTAGCCTTAGCGTTTCTGATGGTCCTGTCGAAACCAGGGTTGCTCAAGGGCGGCAAGTAAGTGGCTGGAATAGGCGTTGATCCCTTATAAGTATCAGGACAACGGGGATCCACAGATCCTGGATAACAATAAGCTGGAGTCGTGGTAGGCGGTAAAGTTGAAGTCACTAGATTATGCGAACAGCGAATATCAGTAGATCCTGGGTAGCAGTTAGGCGCAGCAGTCGTCTTCGGCTGTTGCGGACAACGAGGATCGCTTGAGCCAGGATAGCAGCTTGGCTTAGACGTGGTTACTATTGGTCGAACTGTTGTTGGAGGCAAATATGTGGCTGGTTGGCAATCGGGATCAGTTGAGCCTGGATAACAACGAGGTTTCGATGTGGTTTTGGATTGTTGTGGACAACGAGGATCAGTAGATCCTGGGTAGCAGTTAGGCGAAGCAGTTGTCTTTGGCTGTTGTGGACAACGAGGATCGCTTGAGCCGGGATAGCAGCTTGGCTTAGACGTTGTTACTATTGGTCGAACTGTTGTTGGAGGCAAGTATGTAGCTGGTTGGCAATCGCGATCAGTTGAGCCTGGATAACAACGAGGTTTCGATGTGGTTTTGGATTGTTGTGGACAACGAGGATCAGTAGATCCTGGGTAGCAGTTAGGCGAAGCAGTTGTCTTTGGCTGTTGTGGACAACGAGGATCGCTTGAGCCAGGATAGCAGCTTGGCTTAGACGTGGTTACAATTGGTCGAACTGTTGTTGGAGGCAAATAGGTGGCTGGTTGGCAATCGGGATCAGTTGAGCCTGGATAACAACGAGGTTTCGATGTGGTTTTGGGCTGTTGTGGACAACGAGGGTCAGTAGATCCTGGGTAGCAGTTAGGCGAAGCAGTTGTCTTTGGCTGTTGTGGACAACGAGGATCGCTTGAGCCAGGATAGCAGCTTGGCTTAGACGTTGTTACTATTGGTCGAACTGTAGTTGGAGGCAAGAAGGTGGCTGGTTGGCAATCGGGATCAGTTGAGCCTGGATAACAACGAGGTTTCGAAGTAGTTTTTGGTTCCTGTGGACAACGTGGATCACTTGATCCAGGATAGCAGCTGGGCCTCGAGGTGGTTTTCGGTTGCTGTGGACAACCAGGGTCCCGTGAGCCAGGATAGCAGTCAGGTGAAGACGTTGTCTTTGGCTGTTGTGGACAACGAGGATCGGTAGATCCCGGATAGCAACTCGGTTTCGAAGTAGTTTTCGGTACCTGCGGACAACGGGGGTCACTTGATCCAGGATAGCATTTTGGTGATGAAGTCGTCTTTGGCTGTTGTGGACAACGAGGATCTGTTGATCCGGGGTAGCAAGAAGGTCTTGATGGCGTTACCTGAGTACCAGGAATTTTGGTTGTTTTTATTGGCGGAAGATAAGTGGCTGGTTGACATTTTGGATCGGTCGATCCATCAAAACAGCCTGGTTTTCTTGTAGTTGGTACTTTGGGGCATCTTGGGTCTGGCGATCCAGGGAAACAATTCAGACATTCTGGATCATTTGAGCCAGGATGACATAACAGAGTTTTGGTCGTTGCAGTGGGCTCTTTTTGACACTGAGGATCCCTTGAACCTGGATAGCATCTAGGCTTAGACGTTGTTACTATTGGTCGAACCGTTGTTGGAGGCAAATAGGTGGCTGGTTGGCAATCGGGATCAGTTGAGCCTGGATAACAACGAGGTTTCGATGTGGTTTTGGGCTGTTGTGGACAACGAGGGTCAGTAGATCCTGGGTAGCAGTTAGGCGAAGCAGTTGTCTTTGGCTGTTGTGGACAACGAGGATCGCTCGAGCCAGGATAGCAGCTTGGCTTAGACGTTGTTACTATTGGTCGAACTGTAGTTGGAGGCAAGTAGGTGGCTGGTTGGCAATCGGCATCAGTTGAGCCTGGATAACAACGAGGTTTCGATGTGGTTTTGGGCTGTTGTGGACAACGAGGGTCAGTAGATCCTGGGTAGCAGTTAGGCGAAGCAGTTGTCTTTGGCTGTTGTGGACAACGAGGATCGCTTGAGCCAGGATAGCAGCTTGGCTTAGACGTTGTTACTATTGGTCGAACTGTAGTTGGAGGCAAGTAGGTGGCTGGTTGGCAATCGGGATCAGTTGAGCCTGGATAACAACGAGGTTTCGATGTGGTTTTGGGCTGTTGTGGACAACGAGGGTCAGTAGATCCTGGGTAGCACTTAGGCGAAGCAGTTGTCTTTGGCTGTTGTGGACAACGAGGATCACTTGAGCCAGGATAGCAGCTTGGCTTAGACGTTGTTACTATTGGTCGAACTGTAGTTGGAGGCAAGAAGGTGGCTGGTTGGCAATCGGGATCAGTTGAGCCTGGATAACAACGAGGTTTCGATGTGGTTTTGGGCTGTTGTGGACAACGAGGGTCAGTAGATCCTGGGTAGCAGTTAGGCGAAGCAGTTGTCTTTGGCTTTTGTGGACAACGAGGATCGCTTGAGCCAGGATAGCAGCTTGGCTTAGACGTTGTTACTATTGGTCGAGCTGTAGTTGGAGGCAAGTAGGTGGCTGGTTGGCAATCGGGATCAGTTGAGCCTGGATAACAACGAGGCTTCGAAGTAGTTTTTGGTTCCTGTGGGCAACGGGGATCACTTGATCCAGGATAGCAGCTGGGCCTCGAGGTGGTTTTCGGTTGCTGTGGACAACGAGGATCCCGTGAGCCAGGATAGCAGTCAGGTGAAGACGTCGTCTTTGGCTGTTGTGGACAACGAGGATCAGTAGATCCCGGATAGCAACTCGGTTTCGAAGTAGTTTTCGGTACCTGAGGACAACGGGGGTCACTTGATCCAGGATAGCACTTTGGTGATGAAGTCGTCTTTGGCTGTTGTGGACAACGCGGATCTGTTGATCCAGGAGAACATCTTGGCTTCGACGTTGTTGCCGGTGGTCGAACCGTTGTAGGAGGTAGGTATGTGGCTGGCTGACAATCGGGATCAGTTGAGCCTGGATAACAACGAGGTTTCGAAGTAGTTTTTGGTTCCTGTGGACAACGTGGATCACTTGATCCAGGATAGCAGCTGGGTCTCGAGGTGGTTTTCGGTTGCTGTGGACAACGAGGATCCCGTGAGCCAGGATAGCAGTCAGGTGAAGACGTCGTCTTTGGCTGTTGTGGACAACGAGGATCAGTAGATCCCGGATAGCAACTCGGATTCGAAGTAGTTTTCGGTACCTGAGGACAACGGGGATCACTTGATCCAGGATAGCACTTTGGTGATGAAGTTGTCTTTGGCTGTTGTGGACAACGAGGATCTGTTGATCCAGGAGAACACCTTGGCTTCGACGTTGTTGCCGGTGGTCGAACCGTTGTAGGAGGCAGATATGTGGCTGGCTGACAATCGGGATCAGTAGATCCCGGATAGCAACTCGGCTTCGAAGTAGTTTTCGGTACCTGCGGACAACGGGGGTCACTTGATCCAGGATAGCATTTTGGTGATGAAGTCGTCTTTGGCTGTTGTGGACAACGAGGATCTGTTGATCCGGGGTAGCAAGAAGGTCTTGATGGGGTTACCTGAGTACCAGGAATTTTGGTAGTTTTTATTGGCGGAAGGTAAGTGGCTGGTTGACATTTTGGATCAGTTGAGCCATCAAAGCAGCCTGGTTTTCTTGTAGTTGGTACTTTGGGGCATCTTGGGTCTGGCGATCCAGGGAAACAATTCAGACATTCTGGATCACTCGATCCTGGACGACATGATGGAGTGGAGGTTGTTCTAATAGGTTCTTTTGGGCACCGAGGATCACTTGATCCAGGATAACAGCTTGGCGTTGGAGTTGTCTTTGGTTGTTGTGGACAACGAGGATCGGTAGATCCCGGATAGCAACTCGGCTTCGAAGTAGTTTTCGGTACCTGAGGACAACGGGGGTCACTTGATCCAGGATAGCACTTTGGTGATGAAGTCGTCTTTGGCTGTTGTGGACAACGAGGATCTGTTGATCCAGGAGAACACCTTGGCTTCGACGTTGTTGCCGGTGGTCGAACCGTTGTAGGAGGTAGGTATGTGGCTGGTTGACAATCGGGATCAGTTGAGCCTGGATAACAACGAGGTTTCGAAGTAGTTTTTGGTTCCTGTGGGCAACGGGGATCACTTGATCCAGGATAGCAGCTGGGCCTCGAGGTGGTTTTGGGTTGCTGTGGACAACGAGGATCCCGTGAGCCGGGATAGCAGTCAGGTGAAGACGTCGTCTTTGGCTGTTGTGGACAATGAGGATCTGTTGATCCCGGATAACACCTTGGCTTCGACGTTGTTGCCGGTGGTCGAACCGTTGTAGGAGGTAGGTATGTGGCTGGTTGACAATCGGGATCAGTTGAGCCTGGATAACAACGAGGTTTCGAAGTAGTTTTTGGTTCCTGTGGACAACGTGGATCACTTGATCCAGGATAGCAGCTGGGCCTCGAGGTGGTTTTGGGTTGCTGTGGACAACGAGGATCCCGTGAGCCAGGATAGCAGTCAGGTGAAGACGTCGTCTTTGGCTGTTGTGGACAACGAGGATCGGTAGATCCCGGATAGCAACTCGGTTTCGAAGTAGTTTTTGGTACCTGTGGACAACGGCGGTCACTTGATCCAGGATAGCAGTCAGGTGAAGACGTTGTCTTTGGCTGTTGTGGACAACGCGGATCTGTTGATCCAGGATAGCACCTTGGCTTCGACGTTGTTGCCGGTGGTCGAACCGTTGTAGGAGGTAGGTATGTGGCTGGTTGACAATCGGGATCAGTTGAGCCTGGATAACAACGAGGTTTCGAAGTAGTTTTTGGTTCCTGTGGGCAACGGGGATCACTTGATCCAGGATAGCAGCTGGGCCTCGAGGTGGTTTTGGGTTGCTGTGGACAACCAGGATCCCGTGAGCCAGGGTAGCAGTCAGGTGAAGAAGTCGTCTTTGGCTGTTGCGGACAACGAGGATCTGTTGATCCGGGGTAGCAAGAAGGTCTTGGTGGCGTTACCTTAGTACCAGGAATTTTGGTTGTTTTTATTGGCGGAAGGTAAGTGGCTGGTTGACACTTTGGATCAGTTGAGCCATCAAAGCAGCCTGGTTTTCTTGTAGTTGGTACTTTGGGGCATCTTGGGTCTGGCGATCCAGGGAAACAATTCAGACATTCTGGATCACTCGATCCTGGACGACATGATGGAGTGGAGGTTGTTCTAATAGGTTCTTTTGGGCACCGAGGATCACTTGATCCAGGATAACAGCTTGGCGTTGGAGTTGTCTTTGGTTGTTGTGGACAACGAGGATCGGTAGATCCCGGGTAGCAACTCGGTTTAGAAGTAGTTTTCGGTACTTGCGGACAACGCCGGTCACTTGATCCAGGATAGCAGTCAGGTGAAGACGTTGTCTTTGGCTGTTGTGGACAACGAGGATCTGTTGATCCAGGAGAACACCTTGGCTTCGACGTTGTTGCCGGTGGTCGAACCGTTGTAGGAGGTAGGTATGTGGCTGGCTGGCAGTCGGAATCAGTTGAGCCTGGATAACAACGAGGCTTCGAAGTAGTTTTCTGTTCCTGTGGACAACGGGGATCACTTGATCCAGGATAGCACTTTGGTGATGAAGTCGTCTTTGGCTGTTGTGGACAACGAGGATCTGTTGATCCAGGAGAACACCTTGGCTTCGACGTTGTTAAGCGGGGTCGGACCGTTGTAGGAGGTAGGTATGTGGCTGGTTGACAATCGGGATCAGTTGAGCCTGGATAACAACGAGGCTTCGAAGTAGTTTTTGGTTCCTGTGGACAACGTGGATCACTTGATCCAGGATAGCAGCTGGGCCTCGAGGTGGTTTTCGGTTGCTGTGGACAACGAGGATCCCGTGAGCCAGGATAGCAGTCAGGCGAAGAAGTCGTCTTTGGCTGTTGCGGACAACGAGGATCGCTTGAGCCAGGATAGCAGCTTGGCTTAGACGTTGTTCCTATTGGTCGAACTGTAGTTGGAGGCAAGTAGGTGGCTGGTTGGCAATCGGGATCAGTTGAGCCTGGATAACAACGAGGTTTCGATGTGGTTTTGGGTTGTTGTGAGCAACGAGGGTCAGTAGATCCTGGGTAGCAGTTAGGAGAGGCAGTTGTCTTTGGCTGTTGTGGACAACGAGGATCGGTAGATCCCGGATAGCAACTCGGTTTCGAAGTAGTTTTCGGTACCTGTGGACAACGAGGATCCCGTGAGCCAGGATAGCAGTCAGGCGAAGAAGTCGTCTTTGGCTGTTGTGGACAACGAGGATCGCTTGAGCCAGGATAGCAGCTTGGCTTAGACGTTGTTCCTATTGGTCGAACTGTTGTTGGAGGCAAGTAGGTGGCTGGTTGGCAATCGGGATCGGTAGATCCAGGATAGCAACGGGACTTCGTAGTAGGTTTCGGTTCCTGTGGGCACCGAGGATCACTAGAGCCTGGATAACAACGGGGCTTCGATGTGGTTTTGGATTCCTGCGGACAACGAGGATCCCGTGAGCCAGGATAACAATCAGGTGAAGACGTTGTCTTCGGCTGTTGTATACAACGAGGATCTGTGGATCCAGGAGAGCATCTGGGTTTAGGTGAAGTTCTTGGTGGCTTACCAGTCGTTGGAGGCAAGTAAGTGGTTTGTTGGCAATCGGGATCAGTTGACCCAGGATAGCAACGAGGCTTTGAAGTGGTTTTCGGTTCCTGTGGGCACCGTGGATCGCGTGATCCAGGATAGCAGTTAGGTGAAACTGTCGTTGTGGGCTGTTGTGGACAACGAGGATCGGTTGAGCCAGGAGAGCAGCCTGGCTTTTGTGTGGTCCTAGATCCTTGTTGGCAACGAGGATCTGTTGCTCCCGGATAACAATCTGGCTTCAGAGTTTCGATTTGTGTTCGTTTAGTTGTGGCTATACCTTGGTCTCTAATGTCTAAGCCACAGGTATAGTCCCGCTCACAGGATCCATTGCATAGTTCAATATCACATTTTAAGTAAACTTGAGATCGGTCGGGAAACTTGAAAGCCTTAAGCGTATTATAATATGTTAATGTTTGTCCAGAGCGCGCCTCTAATTTCATCCATTCTCCGAACACTTTTCTTTTTAACGAGCATCCATTTTTATCCGAAAGTTGCAATTTTGTCGTAGTGCTAGCATCAAATTCTGGATGATCGGATGCATAACATTGTAAAATATTGATATCCCATGTCTGAGTAGATTGCTTAACATTTATCGTAAATGTGATATCCGTGCCCAATTTTAAGGTGTAATTAATTGGCTTAATATTCGGAGGAATTCCGGTTCCAATTTCCATCCAGCATTCGACAGGACCACTTGGCGTCTCCACTGAAATTACTTCCAGCATATCGACAACGAATGGCCGAAAATAAACAGTTTTTTCCTGTTCGTCACTGCGACTACATGTTATCTTGCGTGCTGTGTCCCAGCTCTCTTGAATACTTTCGTCATTCTGAATGATAAGAATGTTGTCAACAGATGCACACAGCGAGCAGGAGGGCTTGCTGCCACAGCCATCAAATGGCACTTTAAATACAAATCTGTTTTCATTTTTACCAGCGTTCACATATCTAAAGAGGCGTAGGGGAAAAATTAGTTGGTTTTGTTTTATAATCAAATTGTTGGGTTATATTACGCACTTGCATTTGGGATCGTTGTAGTATCCCTGACTGTATATAACCCCATTGAATGGCTCCGCAAATTCCACTTCGACTATCATCCCATTTGAAGTGTCACATTTTACATCGATCTTTTCAATGTTGCCGTTAAGCGACGATGTCTTTCGAGATACCCTGGGGAAGGAAAGTGCCGATTCGGCTGGATTGACTTCGTTTTGGACATAATCGGCATCTTTGCTCAGTTCTGCTCCATTTGCAATGACCTTTAAAATTCAATAACAATTAGCTACAATTTATAACATTATGTGCAAAATGCATACCAAAAGCTGAGTCAAAAGTATTATGTGGCCAGCTTTGACCATTTTTGTTTGGATTGCCGCTCAAGCTGAAACCTGTTGTAAATGAATCGCAATTGATATTAAAATTGTTTGCTATATATGTGGAATTAATTTATGTACTTGTACGAGTATATCAGGGATGCGACTGGTTTTAATTAGCATATTAATATAGTCTATAGAATAACAATACATTCTTAATATAAATATATATGCAGATAAGCGTCGAAGAATTATTGGTCTTCAAATTATAAATAGGGGATAAAACCAATATATTCTTTGGTCTGCAATCAGCATTAAAAAAGAAAACAGGGTTCTTACCGCTCGAAACAATAGGATTATATAAGTTATTTTGTGTTTGTATGTAAGTAACTTGAAAAAGCAGTTTTGAACCACACAAATATAATAAATTCCCGTATTTAATTTAAGTAATTATAGCTTTTAAACAATCGAATTTTGCACGCATTTACCTTCAAAAATAATCAGCTGTGAAACAGGTTTTTTTTACCGTTAACCGAATAACCGATAATGAGCTCTAACAAAATTTAGATTTATAATATTTAAATTTTAATAACTCGGCACATCAATTTAAAAACACATTTTGTGAGCGAAATTCTACACTAAAAATCTTAAAATTACCATCCATAACTGAAAACCTTCTTCCGTTTTATTATTATTCTTCAAACCAAATATCTTCTAGAATATTTTAGGGCCATATTTTATTGGGGATTCTCTATGGAACGGCTTTAATGAGGCCAGACACTGCAAAATATCCGGCTTGAAATCCGTTTAAGGTGATATTCAGCTTTCTTTAAAACAAGTGTAATGCCATTAATACAGTAAAAAGGCGCTATTAATAAAGTATAATGTGGCAAGCATGCCAGACCGGATAGTTGATTATATGTAAAAATACATATATGAACACGAACATATATTCACATACGTATTCGAGGATGACCTAACTTTCTGAAGACGGTATATCAACCACATTTTGTACATATTTATGAATACAATTCGTTTATAGATGTTTATTCAAGACAGCCAGCCGATGGCTGTGACCTTGAATATCTTGGATTCCCTAATTTTTTTATTATCATATTTTTTTGCTTTTATGTTGAGTTGTCATTACGCAATTTGCTTATTTTGTTAATAAGTATTTGTATTTGTTGTGGATGTTACCAGCTAGACTTAAGATTTTTAAATTTGATATTTCTTGACTGGTTTACTGCTTCTTCTTTCTTGCTTTTTGTGCGCAATAAAAGTCTTTGATGCAATTAACCATAAATTGATGTGAGCTTCATCCTACTTTTGGTATATTTTGAAATTTATTTATTTGTTTGTCTTTAGTGTAAGCAAACAGGTAAGTGACATTAACGGAGAGCAAATTAAAGAAACGGATTTTGTACGGTTTTCATTAACTATGTTAATTAATGAATACTTCTTTTTCGATTTGTATTGTGTGCAATTATTAGTTATAGCTGCCTATTGATATTAACGTGTTCTTTTCAATACAACTAATGAGTCGAACCCGATTTCAGCATTTGCATTGCTTTTGGCGGGCTTCAAAAGATTTTATTGACTGGTTACAAAAATGAGATAAATAATAATAACTTGGACATTGATGATCTTGCCGTGAACTTTTGCCATTTGGGCACATCGCACAAATGGGCGCTTGTGCTCATCATGCTTGCATTCCTATTCGTATTTGTATTTGTATTCGTATTCGTATTCGTATATGTATTCGTATATGTATTCGTATTTGTATTCGTCATGGCAAACAAGTGATTACCCAACAGGCTTTGACGCCGTCACAGCCACGCATCGTGTACACACATCTGAATATTACATCTGTTGCGAGTGTGTATGTGTGTGCGTGTGTGTGTGCGTGTGTGTGCGTGTGTATATCTTTTTTTTTACTGGCACCCACCCATCAGCAGCCATCAAATTGGGTGCGCACTGTGAACCGCATTGGAACTGGTCAGCCAGCGGTAATATTGTGAATATCTAATGATGCAGCCCAAGAATATTTCAATAAATGTGAATATGCACCTACGGCTGTATTTAATTTGATACGGTAATTTATGGCGTAGCTTAATCGATAAATCTGAATTAATTGCAATCTGAGCCGGACATCAAATCCGGCAATTTGACTTTTTATATTATAATAAAAATTGTTTGCTTAATTTGGACAACCGTCAAATTAGTGAAATTGTTGGTCTGTTAGCCTAATCTTTATACACACAACATTGCCAAATGTTTATCATAAATAAATAAAGCTAAAGCTGCTGTTCGCGAATAAACAAATAAAAGGTGGGCCAATAATAACCGATTTTAAATAAATTTATTCGCATTTGTTTTGCGTGTGTTTTTTTTTTGTGTTGCTTTGCAAAGGTTAATATGTTTCTGTCGTCAGTGGAAATGCATGAGGTCAATGGGGAGTTGGATTTAATGAAGTCAATCTTTAAACCAAATCTTACAATCTTATATACTTTTTATAAGATTCGGCGTTAAAGTTTTGTATGGCATGACTAATAATACCACAATTGCAAACAGGGTGTGTAAAATGCGATGCTCGCCAAAACTTGAATTAGGCTTTTTCATTCACGAAACAGCAATCGCCACTGACGTTTAGGGCAGCCAATGTAGGGCAGATTTGTTTTGTGCCTTCAAAACTAATATTGATCAATCGTAGATCTCAAAATGTTACGGATAAAATGATTGCCACAATAAAATCAGCAACGCAATCTGCGGTTTGCAATTTGGCATCCTCATTTGCATATGCTCAAGGCTTGTCCAGGAATATTTAATGCTCACAGTATGTTTACTGTAGTCTATAAAAATAACTTTGAATTAGGTTTCATTGTGATTATTTTATCTTAAGACATAGAAATCATGGCCCAAAGTCTTTGGCTTGTTTGGGTTAAATGTTATTCCGGCACTGATGCAATTTGATTGATTTGTTTCGGTCTTCGGCCTTCCGAAGAATCTTCGGCTAATCTATAATTAAATCTAACATTTATGAAAAATGTTATCCGTCTTTTATTAAATGCACACAGATTAATAAACAATGGTTTGATTAAGCTTTAGCTGAGTGGGGCTTTAAATGAAAAATTAAATCGATAACACTTGTAAAACATTGTTTAAAAGATTACATTTTGTCTGCGATTAATTCGTTTAAATTTTAAATAGCTCAATCATTAAATACCAATATTTTTCTTGGCTTTAACTGAGTGGTGATTTAAATGAAAAATGAATTTGATTACACTTGTAACACATTTATTTTTACAAAAGTCTTAAGAGATCACATTTGGTTCGTAAAAATATTTAAATTTCCTAAATGAGAGGTAATTTAAATGAAAAATGACATTGATTAAACTTGTAATACATTTTCGATACAAGTCTTAAAAGATTACATTTAGTAATATATAATTAACGAAGATGCATTTTTGTATTATTAAATATATGCCTTTAAATGAGTGCTGATTTAAATGACAAAGATGCATTTTTATTATAAAATATTTATGAGACTATGTCCAACAATTTCACAATTTATGATTAACACTGCCACTCCTCTTTCTCAATCGCAGAGTTTTTAGATAAATTTTGCAATTTTTACTTTAAATGCCAAAAGATATATTTTTGGTCTCACACAGCACAGCACAGCACTGATGAACAATATGGTCTTGAATAATGTCGAAATCCAGCTAAGATTAATTGTCACTTAATTGCTGAAACTTACTGAAATCACTTGCTGATCGTTGCTTGGGAAAAGTTATTTCGATCGCCGGCTGGTTAAGAGTTCGCTGTCGCACTAAGCTTCGAAAAGACGCGTCTTCGTTTTTATACTCGCACGTAGCATGTTTTAACTAAAAAATCGTTTGGAACACTGCTTTCAAAATCCAAAGGCGCAGAAAATGAAAAAAAAAAAAAAAAACAGCAACAGCAGCAGCAGCCACAACAACAGCAACATCAGCTAAAAGAGCAGCTAAAACAGCAGCTCGGCTAGCCACAAAAGAGTTATTTACTTTAAAATTATTTTTTTATATTTCCGAGGCTCGTTCCAAATGTTTTTTAGATATTCGCTTGCTTATTATTTGTACTTAGATGTGGCAACAGATTTTCAACTCTTCAAATGAATAAATCTGCATGGGCGTTTTTTTCTTGCCTTTTTTTTTGCTTTTGTTGTGTTGTGACTACACCTTATGAAATTCAAATATTTCCATTACTTTTTGATCACGCCTCGTGCATGCATACAAATACACTTTCTTAATGCTCTGTGGGAGTGTATTGGGATTTTGTCACAGAGATAGACAGCTCTACAATTATATGGAATGGTCATCTTAATCAGAGTTCCTTTGTTTCCTTAATGCCATTTGTTTTTTTGTACGCTTATATTGGACCTTCGGTTAAACAAAATATCCAATTAACGTTTAAAAGTAAAAAGTAACCAAGTATTTTTGCAGAATTCTAAATCGAATATTAATTATAGATATTCGCCTTTTCGTCACGACCAATCAAAAGTTGAATGGCTTTCAGTTAATCAAATATTAAAACAAATAAGCTAAAAACAAATATGTGCATAACTCTACATAAAATTTATTTCTTTTATGGTTGAGTTAAACTTTTACTTTTAATTGCTTATGGCCAAATAGATGATACCTTGAAAGGGTGTACGATGGTTTGCGATTGGTTTTTCATTTCTATTTCTACGACAGACAGTCGCGTGAGCCGACGACGACGACGATGCGACGTCTTCTTCATCTTGACCCGGTCCCAGGCAGCTACGAAAACTGCAGCTGAAAGATCCGCAACGTCAAATGGCTAACACCTCGGTATGTATTTTAGGGCCAAAATGCCAAAATCCGTCATTGTCGTAACTGAAATCGTGGCCGGCTTTAGCATCGGCGTCGAGAGCCGGTCATGCAACTAGCATGTGTGGCGAGTATAGTCATTGCAAAGGCCCGATCATCCCGAACAGGTATTATTATCATATACCACATGCATAGCCAGACTCAGACTCAGACTCAGACTCATACTCCGACTACGACTCAAACTCAGACTGAGTTTTTGGGTGCCCAGCGTCCGCTTCGTGCTTCGCGGTGACGGACGGCAAGTGGTCATGGCGATATAGATGGCGTTGGGTGATTGCTGTACCTTTGCTGATCGTTGTCATGGATAGTTATGTGATGCTGGAGTTGGCGGTACGTGCCAGTTATTACAAATAAAAACAAATGCTATGCTATTCGTCTGGTTTTTTTTTTTTTTTTACTTTTCTTCTTTTTTTTTGTTTAACCCTAGACTCACGGACATTCGTACAACCTTTGGTCAGATATTCAATTATTCATATTTACATATATTAACAATAAGTTAATTACCACTTCTTGCTAATTAATATATAATCATAGAAAAAATAAATGTTGTCGTAAAAATACGTCTAAAGCTTCAGTATTTTCAATTTATGTCTTTGGCAGACATGGCTTAAGGCGTTGAAGGCCATCTCTGATTAGACCAAAAACAAAATACAACGAGGAAAATAATTTAAAAAAAACTGATTTGAAGCAGCCTTCAAGACGGCAAACGCCTACGTATGAAATAAAAAAGCAGGATGATGCACTAAGAAATACACAATATTCCCAATTGGCCTTGACCAGCCCAAGGACTTTTCTTTTTAGAAATTGATGAATTCATCTGGATAAATCCAATCCTTAATAGCAAACAACTTATCAAAGATTTCAAACAGTTTAGCGAGAAATGTAGTACCAAGGCTATATGGGTGTATATAAAACTTCGAGTTGCTGGACTTAAAGAGAAGAAAAAACAGAAAAAAACAGAAAAAACAAACACTTGTCTGCGCCAAAGCCATTTATTACCAGCTATACACTGGCTATTATATTTTTCGATGGAAATAAATACATAATACACTTTATTGTAATCTTTCAGATGTACATAAAAACGCTATACATTATGAAGATCTCACGAAATGTGTCTGGGTATTAATGCTAACTCATTTGTTGCGTGTACATCAACACATCAAAAAGTCTCTTCAAAATATTTGTATGTTTTTTTTTTCTTTCTTCTATTATTGAATAACCTTTGTGCTTCAAATAACACCATTGTCATATTTGTAAAATGTTTAAAAAATTTAAATTCTTAATCAATTATCTTAATTGCTATTGATTTTAAATCATTAGTGAGGGGAATCCGAAAGCTAAGAATAACCATTTGGCAATCTTGCAAACAAGTTCTTCAATTCCCAAACATTTCAAGATAACAAAAACAAATATGTTTAAAGGTCAGAGAGCAGACCTATGAAATGGAATTGTGTTTCGGGAATTGTAAATTAAAAAATTATTTTTTGACGTGCCCAAAAGTATGCAACATATTTTGTTATGTCATTTATTATTGTTATTTCAGGCATAGTTTTGGGGAACTTTGAATACGGCGGTACTCGCAAAGTTTGAAGATCTTAACATGCATCCAAGTCATGCGGATTTGTCAATAACTTGTCATGATTGTTACCAAGGACAGGCACTATTTAACAGCCTTGCCATTCAATGGTCATTAACTTTTTGCAGTTTAGTTCGAGTTTGAATCGTTAAAAATAATTATAAAAATTGATGATTCTAGTTAGCTAGCCAAGAACAAGATTTTAATTACGCTTAGCTAGTCAGATTGGCCTGAAGCCAATAAATAAGTTATTTTTTACAACTGTAAAAATTACCAAAAAGAAAGACCAAACTCAAAAATCAATGTAAAGCTCAGCAGAAAACAAAGCTTTTCTCTATTTGAAAATTGTAGCTGGAATGAATGATTACGTAAGCTTTCAACACTGCTTAACTGCACTTGTGCGTGGGCAGTGTTGGCAATGCTGAACATTTTCTCAACTCAAATGATAAAAGGGGGGACCCTAAGGAAAAATCGATATTGTCACAGCTGTTCATGTACAACAAGTGAAACGCCAAAGCATAACCGGAAAAAATTGAAAAACTGAAAGTGAAAGTGCACCAAACAACAAAAATATACATCGAACTGTCAACAAAAATATCAATATTGAGAACAGTTCAAAGCATAGACGCTAATTGTTGAAAACAATTACAATCAGGCAGCTAAGCTAAGGATATTATGTAGCATATGTTTGATCTGCGACTCTTGTGGCAATAGAGCAAATCCCATTTTTCAAATCTAGTCAATTTTGCGGTCCATCAATATGCCTAGCTCAAGACGTGCCATTTTGGGACACATCATGTCCGGTCTGTGCTCGAAAATGAATCGGACCAAGCCAGTGCCAGCGGATGTGATGGAGACACCACTGAAACGATGTCTGACCACCTTCGATATAGCTCTGTTGGGTATGGATTGGAGAAATGTATATTTATTTGTGACATATTTGACAATTGTTTCGCTGCAGGCATTGGACATATGGTTGGTGCTGGGATATATGTGCTAACTGGCACTGTGGCCAAGGAGATGGCTGGTCCCGGCATCATTCTATCGTTTGTGCTCGCCGGATTCGTTTCGATGCTGGCTGCCCTCTGCTATGCGGAATTTGGCACTCGGGTGCCCAAGGCCGGATCCGCTTATGTTTACACGTATATATCGATCGGTGAGTTTTGGGCCTTTGTCATTGGCTGGAATATACTGCTGGAGCATATGTTGGGCGCTGCTTCGGTGGCACGCGCTTGGAGTGGCTATGTGGACTCAATGTTGGGTGGCTGGATTGCGAATACAACCCTCACGCTAATGGGTGGCATTCATGAACCGGGTCTGGCTCAATATCCGGATGTGTTAGCCTTTCTCGTCTGCATTGTGTATGCGGCGGCATTGGGTAGCGGCGTCAAGGCAACAGCTGTATTCAATAGCATCCTCACCCTGGTCAACATCGGTGTGATGCTTGTGGTCATCAGTGTGGGCTTTTGGTTTGCGGACAGCAACAACTGGTCCGAGGCACAGGGTGGCTTCCTGCCATATGGTTTTGGCGGGGTTATTGCTGGAGCTGCAACTTGTTTCTATGCCTTCGTTGGCTTCGATTCGATAGCCACGTCCGGTGAGGAGGCCAAGAATCCATCGGTCTCCATACCGATTGCGACGATGATATCGCTATGCGTTGTCACCTGTGGCTATATATTGGTAAGCGCCGCACTGACCCTAATGATACCCATTAGTGATATCAATCCGGCGGCATCATTGCCCGAGGCATTTGGACAGTTGAATTTACCGTGGGCCAAGTATATCATCTCGATTGGAGCGTTGTGTGGCATGACGACCACGTTGCTCGGCTCCCTCTATGCCCTGCCGCGTTGCATGTATGCAATGGCCTCGGATGGATTGCTCTTCAACTGCTTTGGTCGGATAAATTCGAGTACTCAGGTGCCGCTGTTGAATCTGGTTGTCTCGGGGCTGTTGAGCGCTGCTCTCGCATTGGTCTTTGATCTGGCCAAGCTGGTGGAGTTCATGTCGATTGGTACTCTGCTGGCCTACACCATTGTCTCTGCCAGTGTTATAATACTGCGCTATCGTCCCCTGAGCCATGTAGGCAGTCCCAATCCTGTTTATGCGCCCGATACGCCCGATGATGAGAACGACGAGGATGCGGAATCCCAATCGAGCATTGAGACGGCATCGCCGACAAGTGATCTCATTGAGGGTGCTCTCGCTGGACGATTGAAGCCACAGTTCCGTTGGTTGGAACCACTCCTAGGTCGCTTTGCGCCCGGCTCTGTGGTCTCTGTGGCGGTGCTGCTATTCATCATCCTCAGCTTTGCCATCTGCCTGGAGCTGAAGGTGTCGTGGACGGAACTGTATACGGGCACCTGGTGGGCTCTGCTCGTCTACGGATTCATCATCTTTGCGGCCAGCACCTGTGTGGCAATTATTTCGGTGCACAATCAGAATACGCGTGGATTGAACTTCAAGGTTCCACTGGTGCCATTTGTGCCCGCCTTGGGCATCTTCAGCAACATAATGCTCATGGTGCATTTGGATGCGTTGACATGGGTGCGTTTCTTTGTTTGGGTTACGATCGGCATGGTTGTCTACTTCCTGTATGGCATCCGGCATAGCAAGGAGGGGGAGGCCTGTTCCTCGTACTCCATACTGATGACCTCATCGGAGGCAGGTAAACTGAATTGGGGTTCGTTCAAGGGTTCGAGGAACACTGCAAAGCATACGGTTCTTGAGCGTTTCATGGGTCGCAGCAAACTGGATGATAAGAAACCAATTGTCGAGGAAGAGGATTACGAGAATGCAGATAGTCCAAACTAAAAACAAAACAAAACCACTTACCTATATAGTATCTGGGGTACTTAGCACAAAGCACAACGGTCTGTGAAGAAACATCCTTGATTTATTAAATTGTTATCCAATATACATACAAACACAAATCCATCGATCGCAAATCTGATTGAACATTATTAATTGCTCGTTAAATGGATAATGTCCGAAGAACACAAATAAAAGTTGTCGATGTACTTATATACATATATATATACATATGTTTAATCTCAACCCATGTCAATATGTTCTATACTTCTAAATGTCCATACGAAAATCTATAATTATTTTAAATGCAAAATATAGATAAATATACATATATACATATATGGATAGCCCTGCCTGTAACAATTGTTAATAAAAAAAAGTACCTCTAAATCCTGTTATGTACTACCAGCAAACTGTCAATGTGTCTACCTAAAATTAAATAAATATAATACATACTCTCTTATATTTATTAGTGTACAAGCCTATTACTGTATACACGAGATATATGAACAGTCATTTAAAAAATATTAAAGATGTATTTGAATTGTTTGATATGCGTATGTATAAATATTTATATATATACAAATAAATATATATTAAAACAATGATTTCAATTAATTTACTTTGAGTTTCTATAAGGGTTCTTATTCTATCGAAATAATTGTAGCTCTGCATAAATCATAATATATGAAATATATTTGAACTAAGTATTTTTATTAAATTTTTGCCATTACTATATTTTACCACAAATCGGATGTGCATACAAAATTCTTGACTCACTTTGGAGCGACGAATAATAATACTATTGTAAACATTTAAATCTTAATAATAATTCAGTATCAAAGTAAGCAGCTCTCTCTCTCTCTCTCTCTCTCCCTCTCTCTCTCTCTCTCCCTCTCTCTCTCTCTCCCTCTCTCTCTCTCTCTTTCCCTCGCCAAAGCTTATCCGTTTATCGCTGAACTTTCCTAAAAGCTCTTCATAAAAAAGTCTTGATTCAAATTTTGAAACTACTGTGTTAATTTCAGCGTTGTAGCTATGATAAGACCGTCTTCTCAAATCTATTTCAAAAATATCTATGATAAAAGAGTATTAATTAAATCTTATGAAACTACTGTTAAATTTTCAGCTTTGTTACTGAAATGATACCCAGTCTTTTAACAAGTATTTAATAATTTCAATAAATTTGAAATGAATGATTTTCATTTAAAATTTCATCAGCAGTAAAAAACGAGCGGCATGAGAATGTAATTTGATTTTAATCCAAAGCACTTTTCACTATTCGAAAAGCACAATGCAAGTGTTGTATTTGTGTGTACATTAAGTGTGTACTTTGCGTGCATAGATTGCGGAAATGAATATGAGTCGAGAAGTTTTTATGCATTTCGTGCGAGATTGAAACGTGTGACTGGCAAAAACGACGGCGTGGAATGTCGCAGCAATGAATGTCTATCGAAGGAAAGTTTCATGGAAGTGAGTCGCCCGAGGCAGTGGAAGGGAGAGGGGCGCCAAAATCGTCATCAGCGTAAACATGTTCTTATTTTGATGACGCAGCCATGGTGACGCATGCAGCAGCAGATCAAAAACAAAAATTTAAACAAAAGTGCGAAAGCTTATATGCGAGTGTGTGTGTGTGAGTGTGTGCGTTCACGTGTTTCTGTGACTCTGTTGTGTGTGATTGTGTGTGTGCCACACGAGCCAAGGCCTGAGACTGAGAGACGATAAAACGGTTCGTGGCGCGAGAGCTTACCGAGCATGGCAACAACAAAAATCTGTAGCTAGAATTCGTTTCAAAGTCAAAACGAGTTTTTTTCCGATGGAGCAGCAAAAGAGACAACAAACTTAGCGATATTTCGCAAGCGCAAAATGTCCGTTGGCAGTGGAGCTTATCGTCGCTGAATTTTAAATTTAAATTCAAAAATTAACGTGCGGCATGTGGCAGTATTGCTGAATGCCAAAATGAGCATGTGTTCGTGCATATTGAGTGGGCAAACGGACAGTTTCAGTTTCCTCAATCAGTCAAAAATATACGACATACATACATATGTATATGAAAGTGAGCTACTTTCACAACGAAACTGATGAAACTGATGGTGATATGATTTTTAGTGATCTTCCGGCTGCCACGAAAAAGAAATAAAATCTATGAGTCGGCTGTACCAAGTGGCAATGCCATTGACAAGTTTCGGGCTCTGCCAGCGGAAGAATCGTGCATTGAAGCAGTCCAAGGTGATAGGCTGATGCCGGCTGTTCGAAAAACGTAATATTATGAAAAGACCAAGCAGAAGGAGAAGAAGCAGATGTACCAAAAACCAAAGCAATGCGCTGAATTCAAAGTGCACAAAACAAGCATGCGAGGTGTGACTTAAAAGTTACGCATCGATTTGTGAAAAAAATATGTGAAAAATACAAATTTTATATATACGCAAAATAAAGCAAATAAAAAAAGGAAAAGCTATCGATTATTTGCATTATGTTCGCTATTTCGTGCATTGCGTCTATTAAAATTCTTTTGAACAAGCTAATTGCGCATTAGTTTTCGATCTAACCTCGCACTGCGAGTGCGACAGATGAAACAGAAACACACACACATGCATATGCTTTCGAATGCATGCTGCATGTGCGTGTGTGTGTGTATGTACATATACTTGGAAATCACCTTGCAACAGCTGCAACATCCTTCGCATAGTACAGCCATCCCTCACAATTTAGGGGATGATGCACACGAGGAGTTTGGTAAATGGAAATCTACCTGTAGTTGTAGTTGTCTTTACCTGCACACACGCACACACACACACACATACGAATATGATTGTGTGCAATCTGCTGTGCTCTGGCATAATTCCTGCGTAGGCCAATGATCTTTATTTTTGAGACGCAGCTGCTCAAGCGAAATCATAAAATGCGCGGCGCAGCACATCGAATAATTATCGTATGCATATACATAATTACATACATACATAAATACTTTCATACGTATATATCTACATATGAATATCGATTTGTCTATTTATGCATCGTATGCCGATAGATTATTTTTCGCAATTCGACATTCGTCAAAATACTGTTTCGAAATCAAAGGCATACAACGAACAAAAAAAAACGATCGACTTAAGCTGACTGATACAGTTAGCATCTTTCGGTATTCAGTGCCAAACACAGCCATTCGTATATATATAAATACATACACACATATATATATATATATATGTGTGTGTGTGTATGCGACACATAGGGGTTGTTTCTGAGGCATTGTAATGAGAAAAAACGACGCGGCATATGGTATTCAAAATCAACGTTTCAACGTTTCATTCTCAATCAGGAATTTCCGTATACATTTAATAATAAAACGTAAATGTACAGGCAGCTTGCGGCGTAAAGGCAAATGCTAGTATTTCAACGTTGCTCGCAAATGTATTCGAAAATAACGTCGCCCAAGAGCCAAATTTCTCACACATACCGATGCAGTCAAGCAATCGAAGCCCTGGTCAGTTTCATTTCCACTTGTTTCGCACGCTGAAAGATGTGCTCCTTGAGCATGTATGCTTGTTGTTTTCAGCATAGATTTGAGAGAGTGACGTCAGAAATTAAGAATTGTGAAAAATATTAAAAACAAAGAGCTATATAAAAGAGCAATACTTTTATTTAGCTTATTCGTAGTGGAAATTTAATTTAAGCAAATCTCGCTTAAGTAAAATTTCGGCTACGAATAAGCTAACTAAAATGATTGACCAACAATAGAAGTAACATTTTGTTATATATTTATTTAAAAAATCCATAATGTGAATAAGTAGCACATACAAAAATTTTGAAATTGTGAAATATTTTACATGAAAATGTGAAACTTTGCTTAATCTTTTAACAAAAAATATATATATACGTATATCAAATACGACATCACATGCAATAGTTGCGCTCCTGACGTCACGAACTCTTCGTTGTGAATCTCTCACACGAATGGCGAACCTATCTACGCGTTGCCTTGCGTAGCATACATAAACGAAACGAACAGTAAAATGGGAACCATTTACATTTCGGAGATCAAAGTAGACAGACGGGCGCACTTCGTTTTGTTTCGTTTCGTGTGTGCGCGTGAGTGAGTTGAATTTTGAGTATCGTTCGATTTGTTTTAAAATCGACAACTAGCGCGAAATAATATTCGTTTATTAAAAATATTTCGCAACAAATGTGCTGCATTGCGTCAACCAAGTGAAATTGAAGTCGGCAACAAAAACAGAAAACAAAACAAATTATACTTGCTGGCGTCTCGCACACACACAATCACACACATCTATAGATCGTACAAAAAAGAAAAGACAATGAAAATGCAGCTAAAGTGAAACAACAAACAGTTTAGTAAGCAAGAATTAAGAGCAAGTAAAAAAACTGTGATAATTGTGAGCTGGCAGCTAGTACATAAATACAAAAAAAAAAAGAAACTAAAAAGAATCAATAACAAAATGGATAGCAGCAACACAGTCGAAGCTAACAAAATAGTCAACTATGCGCTGCCTCAACTTAGCAGCAGCAGCAACAACAACAACAATAATAATAATGCAGCATCAACAACAGCTGTTCTTACACCCACCACCCCCTCCTCATCCTCTACCCACTCCATGTCCACGCCAACGAAAGAATTTGCCAATGCACAAATGCTGCGGACCATTAGAGAAAAGCTGCTGCGTACTCCGCCCGGCGGCATTTGTGAGCTGCATACTGCGCTTGGTTTTGCGGAGCAGACGAGCAGTTGGATTCTTGCAACTGGAGCTGGAACTGGAACGGGAACGTGTGTTGGAGCCGAGCAGCCTGTGAGAGTGATAAAGAGCCGTTATTTGATCAGTGCCCAGCCAAGTCCGATTTCGGCAGCAGCTGCAGCCAAAACACCTGCCTCCTACCGCCACCTCATCGATCTGACATCATCGAATCTGCAGTGCGTCGATCTCTTCACTGGCCAACATTTTCTCTGCAAGATCATCAACGAGCCGCTGCACAAAGTGCAACGCGCTTACTTCCAACTCGAGCAGGACGAGAAGCAGCTGTGTCGCAGCACCATTTATGGCCATACGCTTATCCGGGGTGTTCATGATCTAGTTCCGTTGTCCAAGAATCGCACCTACATCATTATTGCGCCAGTTGCGGTTCACTCCAAGCAGCGGGAGCAGCGTGTCTATGAGAATCTTCACACTTACATCCGACACGAAAAGCGACTGTGCGAGGCGGAGGCGAGGGCGATCTTCCATCAAATCTGCCAGACGGTTCAGGTTTGCCATCGCAACGGGATCATTCTGCGCGATCTCAAACTGAAGCGTTTCTACTTCATCGATGAGGCTAGGTTAGTAGAAAAAATATACAAATATAAACATAAATATACAAATTTAAAAATAGTTGCCCATCAATTGCAAAAAGTTTCCTATTATTGTCTTTTTTGCGCAATTCAAAGTTGCAAAAGATCAGAGAACATGTTCTAAAAGCAAATGAGTTAAGTGATGGGCTGCAAACGTGTTTCGTCACCCACTCTTATGAACGATTATTATATGAACTATTATTATGAATATTAACGCTCATATGAATCATTTTATTAGTACTCATTCTAGTCTGTCGTACTGTTGTATTTACCATACATAATTATATGCATGCATATGTATATGTGTGAGTGTACATGTGCAGCTGGCTGTCGTAATCGATTGTTGGTGACCCTTGCTTCCCTTGCACCCGCACCCGCATGATATACTCAGCACCGTCACCGAAAAATACAGACACACACACACACACATTCACACTAACACCAACACACACATTTGGTCGCCTCTGTACTGGTTGCATATCTTTATTTTGCAATTCGATAAAAACTCGTTATGAGCAACAGTTGTTTTTTTTTTCGTTTTTTTTTTGTGTGTTGGTGTTATTGGTGCCACAATTGTTGCTCTTGTTATTGGCCGACGTCGGTTGTCGTTGTTGTTGCTGTTGCTGTGTTTGTTGGCCAGTTGTAGTGGGTAACATTGAACATTTAAGAAGTGTTGCAATAAAATAACTACGAATAGATCACCAACAACAACAGCGACAATCTGTGTGTATGCGTGTACATTGTTTCGGAAATTACTGTACCTGATGAAATACAGCTCTTTTTAGAAGAGAGAATATTGCGTTCTTTTATGTAAAACGTTTGCGTATTCAATATTTTGGTCAATACTGTATACTGTACACACGCAGTGCTGATAATAAAGCAACAACAACAAGAAATGCGTACATATATGTATGTATGTATGCATGTGTGTATATATCTGGAGCGTACGAAGTGCTCGCAGCAAGATTCCTACTTTGTACTCATTTACACGTTTACGTTTGCATGTGTGTTTGCGGTTTATGTGTTTAGGCATGCATGTATGTGTGTCTCGCGTGTGTGTATACACTCATACGTGTGTACAGTACACGACGAAATGTTAGGCTCACCTTCAAATTTGTAGCCAGTGCTGCTTGCAAAATAATTTAATTTTTCATTTTTGTGTACCTACAATGTGCATACGTCAGAGTATATTTATACGTATGTCTGTATATATGTATGTATGCATGTATATATTCTTAATCTTGCTTTTCATTTCTGTTTTTACCTTCCTGTCTCTTTTGCTGTACCTGTTGATTTTCAGAGAGTAAATTAGTTTCTCTTAGCACATACATGTATATGTATTTTTATGCATATAAGTAGGTGTGTGTATGTGTGTGTGTTCTTACAAATTAAGAAATACATTTTTGAATGTTTTTTATTTTTATTTTTTGCCTTTGTATTGTGTTTTACGTTTCCATTGCCAATGCAATTAGCAAATTTATTGCATTCGTCGCTTTCCGCTTTTCGTGTGTTGCCAACTTACTTTTTATATTGTTTGTGTATTTATTATTTATGCAAGGTACATTTGTACCACACAATATACATTTGACACTGATGTACAATTATATTCAGCTGTTTGGCATGAAGAAGAGCAAATATTAATATTCAACTTATTGAATTGTTATTATTTAAACATTTTATACGTATTTTTGTTTTCTGATAATTTGTAAAAATAATTATGTATTTAGATAAATTTGTACAAATGTGCCAAGATTTGTACGACTGTACATGACTCGTTTTTTCACATATTGGCTTATTATCAATGACTTATATCAATTAATTTTCATGGTTCGTGCATCTTATGACCTTTGACGAATATTAAAATTATCTCGTCAAAAATTAAAACAAAATAATATGTGTGTACACGAAAAATACAAAAGGTCATCGAATGCATTATGAGTTGAATGCACGTTTTTCTCTGTTCGTAAAAAAAAAAATATAAATAATTTTTCTTTATGGATTTACAAATATATCGATAATATATAAATATTTTGTTTCCTAAAATAAACTCCTTATAATATGTATTAAATCCATGGCTCTTTTCTTATAAATTTATGCTGTGAATATGCTTTTGACAAAACGATCATCGATCGCAGCATATCAGCCTTAAAATCTTTGATTGGTAGGCGTTTATTGATGGGCATATGCATGTGCATATATATACATACACATATACATATACATACACATTCATGTTAAGCCGCATACGCACACTAAAAATAACACACACACTAACACACTGACACACGTAAGTCATTTGTTTGTAAGGTCAAATTGCACTCTGGCCCTGACTCTGATCTTCTGTGTATTTTCATGTATTATTATTTTTTCGGTTTGCGTATAGATATTTAAATAGCATTTAAATTAGCAGCACGTATGAACGCAGCTCACCTCTCTCCTCTCCTCTTAACATCTCTCTGTAGCTGGCTAATTGAGTGTGTGAGTCTCTTTTGGAAAATACACAATTTGTTAATTTCAAATAGCAACAACCGAGAGAGAGAGAGACAGCCACCAATCGTATGCGCTCTTCAAATGAATGGGCTGCGCAATGATCGGTCTCCCCCTCCCCACCCTTTACCAATGATTCGCCAACAAGGTCGCTTGTTGTAACAGTGACTCTGCTCTCTCACTACCGATCTTCCTCTCTCTCTAGCTCTCTCTCTTTTTGTAATTTTTGTTTGATGGCTGGCAAGAGGCGCGCTCAGCTTATTTTTTTTTTGCTCAGGGTCAACTCGAGGCTTTTGAGTTCGTCGTTTTTAATACTTACACATTCACATTCACATGTATTTATCTATGTGTGTATTTTTGTTTGTTCCATGGCACAATCAACCAAATTGTTTTTTATGTTTTTCTTTGCTCCTCACTTAATTATCTTTTGGCTTTTGTTATTTATTTATTTATTTTTTTAATATTTTTTTCATCAATGTTTGGCAGCTGTTGTCATTGTTGCCTCTCGACAAGAAGCTTTTTGAAGCCGTCGTAGGTGGAGTTGCTGCAATGCAAAGCAAAACTTATAGGCTGTCCCTCTCTCTCTCCCTGTCTCACTCTATTTCTCTCTTTTTGTCTCTCGCTTGTTAAGCTTTTTTGCATGCCAAATGTAGGCCAATGTCAACATGGTGTCACCGCTCTTGGGTGTTTGGGGTCGCCTGCTTTGTCTGTCAGAGATGGGGGCACGAGTCGCTGTCGTTGTCTTCTTCTTTGTTTTCTTCGTCTTCGTCTTTTTCATTTTCATTTCCATTTTGATTGTGTTATATCAATTACATATATGCTCTCACGACTCACTTAGGTTGGCAACGCCACCAACGCAATGCCAATCGATTAGTTTGAGTGTGTGTGTCTCACACACAATCTCTGTTGTAATGGCAACACTATTAATTTTTGTAGTTTTGTGCAACTCCGCAACTTACTGCAATAAATGTGAAATGCGAATTGTAACTAAATTGTAAACGTATTTCCATTTCCATTTACAGAACTAAACTGCAATATGAATCGCTGGAGGGCTCAATGATACTCGATGGCGATGATGATACGCTGAGTGATAAGATCGGTTGTCCGCTGTACACCGCACCGGAGTTGCTCTGTCCGCAGCCAACGTATCAGGGAAAACCGGCGGATATGTGGTCACTGGGAGTGATACTCTATACGATGCTCGTCGGCCAATATCCCTTCTATGAGAAGGCCAATTGCAATCTGATAACGGTTATACGACATGGCAATGTCCAAATACCGATGTCATTGTCCAGATCGGTGCGTTCGTTAATGTTGTCGCTGTTGCGCAAGAACTACACGGAGCGAATGACGGCATCGCATATATTCCTAACGCCCTGGCTGAAGGAGCAGCGACCATTTCACTTATACCTCCCGGTCAATGTGCAAATTGACGACGACTGGGATGGGGATGAGCTCGATGAGCGCATGGACGTTTGCGGCGAGGAGACCGAATTGTGCCATCTGCCGAGTGATAAAAATGATGTTGGCTACGATGAGGATATTGGTGTGGAGCCACTCGACTATACGCACACCACCCTCAGCAGTGCCAACGAAACGACAATTGCTGCAGATGCTGCTGCCAATGATGACGAGAATGATGATGATGCGGATGAGGATATGGGCTGAACACTGCCGGATCTTGAGCCGTACACAAAGTGCCACTGGAAACTCGCATTGTCGTAAACGCTGGCGCGTGATCTCAATCTCGTTGACTCGATTGATTGAGCTATTCGAGATTTTGAGGTTCAATGCGTGACCGACCTTGTTGCGTTGCCTCAAGGTGCGCATTGCGTATTGATTGATTGCGCCCGCTCTCTACGACGATGACCGAGCCTAAGGCGGCCCACGCTCTCCACGTCACCATCATCATCAACAACAACATCCAGATCATCATTCTCCTGGAGGAAACTCTCACAAAAAAAAAAACAAAAAAGACTTTGTAGCCTCGCTCACCTTAAATGTACACACACTTACACACACACACACACACTAAATACAAAAAAACTCACTGCCTTCCAAAAGTGTAACGAATTTAGTTCGTTCGACTTGTCGAGTTCTTAATCTGTATAGTTTTTCGCACACATGTTGGAGGAGGAGCATCCTCGTAACTGATTCTTCCTAAATGAGAAACCTATGTACAATACATAAATTAATATTTTGCTGTAAAGTTGTTAATCTTTTTTTCAATTTGATAGAAAGCATTATTTTTCAATGTTTACAATGGCAACGAATGCAAATTGTTATTTATTATTTAATTCTTATCTTTTTTTTAGAGTTTTGCATATTACGAAATGAAAAATAGCATTAAAAGTGAAAATTATGAAACAAATAAAACATAAGACTTTGATCTCACTTTAAAAAATTATTAATTGCGATCTTTTATTTCATTATGATTATTATTCTCTAATTAATATGCTGAACGGGGATGGGTATACAACATTGAAATATGTTTAGGTTTTGATTTCTCAGAATATAGATAGCCATGATCAAATTAATTAATAATTTTGAACTGATTATGATGATATGAGAAAGATAAACTTTATTATCTGTAGTCTAATATGTTTTGGTTGATGCTAAAACCAGTAAGGAATGTGAGATAAAAACGATTTTTTTATCTTGTTTCCCTTAAAAATAGTGCTACACAAATTTGATACACACATTTAGCTATAATACTAATACATACAGAGGTATATTGTCGAATAGATTGCACGTGGGACAAATTAATCTGTTGATAAAAATTATCAGTAATTACTCAAATGAGATTGCGTTTTCAATGGCAAAGTGCTGAAATACTCCTTAACGTGGTGCTCGTATGATATATAGGGTGTATGTTGTCCCAATCGTTAGTTTAACAAATATATATAGTTGTTATATATATTGTTGAACTTTGGACATCGTGTAGAAAGTTGATGTATTAGAGTTATTCCAGAATATCACGTGAGTGTTAACTTATTGCAAATCACAAGTGGAATTTTGTATTTTTCATTAATAAATAATTAAAAATAGTAAAGTCAAAGAAAATTAAGCAAATATTTGAAATAAACGTTTACACACAGCATATGTTTACATATGGAATGTAATCATAGTAACAGTTTGATTGTAATTTATATAGTTTCATATTTTAATAATACAAGTAGAAATTAATCAAACCGATTAACTAACTTTTTTGATTGCGACGCAATAGGCAACGTAGTGTCGACGTGACTGCTTCTACGTATCATTTAGCTTCTTTATGTACTTTAGTCATCATATAATATTATAAAATTCGGGAGAGAATTTCGTAAGAACGTAAAACCTGCCGAGAGTCGCGTTGACGAGTCTTGTGTTGACTTCCGCCTCAATTCATTTGGAATGCACGAATACTTGTCGTACCTCTAGAACATTTAATATACTTCTAGAATATTTTGATATGTGCGTTTGGAGATAATAAATTTAAAGAGCATATAATACTAGTAATTTCGACTATATCGTAGAATTTTGTAGAATCGTAGAATAAACAACTCTTTCCTGATTTTATCATTCTACTCAGGTAATTATACTGTTATGCCCTTTAGCCTGTTAAAAGGCTTGAAATGAGTTTAGCTTTTTAATAATGCTTTTATTTTTTTATTTGAAAAATACTTTAATTACAATAGCATAAAAATTATATATGCTAATATATACAGCTTTTAAAATTCATTCGTGAATTCTAGCAATAAATTTAATCTATTTTTTCTTTGTTGACGATAAAGCATTTGTGTTGCATTTTGTAGTTGCGGTATTTGGGTTAATTATTTCGCTAAAGTTCTGCTACTATTTGGGGAAATGGTGTGCTAAATAACTCTAATCGCATTAGTGAGCATTGACAACATTCGATTCTTTGGGGATTTCACAACCTGACATTTAATTTAATTTTAATTTTGTTTTAGTGATGGTAAGTGGCACAAATCGTATCCAGTAAATAAAAGTGTGTAAAAGTAATTTATGTGACAAATTATTTGACGAGAGAAAGATGCAAATAAATCTTCAATATGAATATAAAAAGTAAAATACGCATTATAATTCAACGCGCATTACGCATTTTTAAAAAACTTCTTCTTGCTTCTTATTGACAATACTCAAACTATCGCAATATCTCAAATACAAATACCAAAATGTGTAATACCATTTACCGACCGTTGAAATTTAAATCTAGCTTCTTCTTCTTTTATTTTTGACAATCTCCGACCTATCGAAAATTCAACACAATTTGCGAACATTCAAATTCGATAATTTTTGGCGAACGGTTTGCCTCAACGTGGGAATAATGCTCAGTTGGCATCACTGATCAACACACGATAGTCACAGTGAATAGATATCGATATTTCGCAATCAGTGTAAAATACTATCGATAATATAAAATAATCAGTAAGTAAATGGCGCACATAGATCAACCAGTGCTGGTCAGCGACGAAATATAACGTTAATATTCAAATATTGTTTTTACTATATTTATTTATTGCGATTGCATTATTATTATTGTACAATACATAAAGCAAATTATAATTAAGTCTAGAACTAAAAACATATTGCCATTTGATGACCAAAGATTTAACATTAAAATTGTATATATGTACAAAAGCAGCGCCTGCGCATTATTCACACACACTCCTCTACTGTCCATTGAAAATGGATTCGGGATAATAGCTGGGGGCGTTGAACATGCGCGGGAAACCATTGGCATCCAATTGACCCACAGGCAGCATTATATCACTAAAAGAAAAATGTGTGCATATATATAGAAAACTAAGTAAATACATATGTGAGTATTAGTGTGTGTGTGTATGTGAGTGTGTTACAGAGAGTGTGTGCAATTTGACGCCCGTAAATGATCAAGCCGAGCACAGCGGGGAGTGCGGCAACAATTTGAGGCACATGCTACACGCATGCGCTCAGTTTTAGGCATCGGGGCACGTCAACGTTGGCGACCAGAGCCCAATGAGGTCTATAAATATGCATAGAACCGTGCACAAGGAGCTGCAAAATTGGACATAAAACACGCTCAAGTGCCTTTTTAGAAAAAAACAAAAATCGGACCGTACTCTGGCAATGGGCATCGGCAATGGGCATCGGCATGTGAAGGAGAAGTGGACGTTGAGGCAAGTGTTTTACGGTCACTTAAATGAATTTCTTTTCTTTTTTTTTTGTTTTTAATGCCAATTTTGAAAACAATTGAGTTTTTCTGTTTCTTTTGGTGGGACAGACGCACTCGCAAGCGTTGAATGAATTGTTTTACGAGTTATGTGGAAAACATATAGTGTAATTAGTTTTTTTTTTATTGGAAATAAGAAATCGGTAAGTGAACTTACGGTCGCTGCTGCGGAGTACGATCCCTTTGGCGTCGATTCTTGAACCAATTGGAGACTTGAGTCAGTGTCAGGCCCGTCTTCTTGGCCAGCGTTTTCTTCTCGTCGGGCGTCGGATAGCGATTGGTCAGATAGCAATCCTTGAGCGCATTACGTGATTTCTCCTTGAAGCAATATACAGTCTCCTCGCCATCCCAAATTGTCTTGGGCAGCGGATACTTTTTGCGTAATCGATATTTGTCCACAGCGCCCAAAGGGCGACCACGCACCTTTTCCGCCTCCTTGTAGTGTGCCTTGAACCACAGATTCTGCAAATCCACATGGTATTTGATGGAGAAACAGTGCGTCTCCAGCAAACTGTAGAGCTCATGGAACTGTCCCAGATTGTAGGCAACCATGGCGCGAGCCCGCAACACACTCTCATTTGTCTTGAAGAATTCGCTGGGCGGCAGGTTGCACAGAAAGTTGGTCAACTTCTCGACGTCGCCCTTCTGCTGCAGTGCCTCGCACATGCATTGGATCTGCATGGGAAATATGTTTATTACAAACGCCATATTTGGAAATTTACGATCTTATCTCACCTGATCCGTGGAGAACTGCAGCATTTTGGCATCGATGGGAAAACTGCCCACAGCGGACATGTTATGGGCAGCGGTTAGATTTGATATTAGATGACCACCACTGGACGCACCGGTGCCACTCAATCCGGTCGGACAGCGTTGCAAGCCGGCACAGATGCCATCCGTTTTGGTATTGCCATTGAGATCGCCCAGATTGCCGTTGCCATTCTCAAAGATAATGCTGTTCAGGGTGGGGTAGTGAGTGGGCGTCGTTGCCGCTGTGGGCGGCGGTGATTTATCATAATCATTGGTTATGTCCTGGAAACGTCGCTCGATGAGATCCTTCTCCTGCGACTCGTACGGCGTAAATTTATCCAGTTGCAAAACTGTTTTACACGAAATGTTGCTACGATAGCCTGCAAGAGAGAGAGAGAGAGAGCGAGAGAGAGAGGGAATAAAATGAGAGAGAGATGACAAACATAATTTAAATAAGGATTTAACTGCCTAAATTCTGGTATCATTGGAAGTATTTCGATCTGGCACGTGGGAACACAACTATAAATTTTTTATAAATATAAATTGTTTATGTTTTTTCTTTCTTTTTTTTTAATATGCATCGTGAAAATTTGACGCAAGAGAATTCATTCTCATATTTTTATGCAGTAGTTGCAACTGCCCCCTGCCACGCCCTCCCTCTTCTGCTGATACAAAGCAATGTCCGTCCGAAAAGCATGTGACTAATCAAATTGTGCACATGAGCAACGCTATTGCTGGCTTTCGACACCTTACAGAGACCTCAGAATTCAGACATAGCATAATAATAATAATATCATATCATATTGACCAGAACAGAGACATAATGCAAATATATACACAACGCCAACGACACATGATACATTCATATATGAACAATTTGTATATACATTTGTGTACATATGTATTCATCCATAATCGCATAATTATCGCTATGTAAATATCATAAAACATGGCAATCGTTATTCCCTTTTTGGCCGCAAGTTAATCCAAGAATGTTATTTGCCATTTGGATATCAAAATATCTTAGTAATTTCTTAACAATTTGCATGACAAAATATTAAATACAATTTAATTGACAAATATATATTGGAACCTTAGAATACACAGCTCTTATTGAAGATAAAATAAACTTCATAAACCCATACCATAATTTGCATTTGTTTCAAAGAAGAGGATTAAAATTTCAAATTGTTTCTCAATTAAAATGAAAATTCCTTTTAAAGATTTTAAGATTCTAAAATATTTTAAGGAAAAGTTGCAAGTAATTTACAAAAATCTGGTCCCAGTCTACAAATTATATTACACCCTATTTCCGAGCTCATTCAGTGACTGAAAAATTTGTAATCTTCAGCAAAAAAAAAAAAAAAACATAATAAAAAAAGAAGAGAGAAAAGAATAACATTAAAACATAAAACAAGAGTCTCAGGCTTTAATTGTTTATGCAGCGCCTCATTGACGCCTGTTTCATGTAATTTGATATTGTTTCTTTTGATTTCTTCTTTTTTCTGGTTGTTTTGGCCAGCCAAACTGATAAGACTTGAGGCATTTGTTGAGCTATTTGGCTATTGGCTTACCAGCATTTGGCAGAAAGAGCGATCCGTAGGCCATCGGCGAGCTAATGTTATCATGTTGCACGGCTGAATGATCGGATGCGGTGCCGGCGGAACTGGTCGAATCCAAGTCACCATTGATGGACACTGACAGATTTGTGCTGTCCATATTTTTATCAAACATATTCTTCGACTGAGAACTTTACACTGCACTACTTCTATTGTTTTGTGCCGTTTTCCTCTTCTTCTTTTTAATATTCTAGCACAAATATTTAAAGTTAGCCATCGAAATGATAATGTTTCAAAAAGTAGTATTCCATCAAGTATTTGTAATATTTAAAGCAAATCTTTTTTTTTGTTGTATTTTCGTTTGTGTTCCCGTTGTGGGCAACGCGACGCTTTCGCTTTTCAAACTCAACTGCAAGTGGCGAATGAGAGCGACGACGAGAAGCGAAGACATGAGCGAAAATGGAACTGCATTCAAGGCTGAGGCTGAGTCGATTGCTGCCTGCCTGCGGCCCGAAACGTTTGGCAATGGAACGTTGTAATCGTTGCCTGTCTGCCTGCCTGCCTGCTGGCTGTTCTAGATGTGTGTGTGTATGTGCGTGAGTGTGCGTGAGCGCGCTAATTAGGGGTGGTTTATTCGCAGCGCCTTGCGTCCTGCTTGTGGGCGTTGCCTAGTCAAACCAAACGCCATTTTGAAATTGCCAATGACAAGGCAGGCAAACAAGTACATGTGTATGTGTCTGCGTGTGTTTGTATGTGCTCAAATGTTTTCTAACGCTTAACATAAAATTTCAATTGAAAAATAAATACTTATGTACATATGTATGTTGACCTCAATCGTTTTTTGGTACGAGTATCTAATGAATGCCGTGTGCAGTTCGTAGAATTTACATCATATTTCTTTGACATTGCTTAATGTTATTTTTGTTGGAGTTTGCATATAAAATCAACGTCTTTAAAGTCACCAAGAACTCGCTGCAACATGATGCCCCCAAAAGGCAAACAAAGACCTTTTGATAAAGGGGCGCGATGCAAAAAAAAATATGTTGCTCTTGCTATTGCTGTCCTTGTCTACGTTGTCATCTAATGGCATCAAATTTCAATTACAGAATTCTTCCTCTCTCTGCCATTCACAAGCATTAAAATCAGAGTGCGCCACTTCAATTGTGAATGGTGTGTGATAAAATAGTGACATGACAAAGGTGACAACAGCAGCAGTGGAATCGGCAGCAGCAAATCCACAAAAAGGCTAAACAAAAGGTTGCCAACAACAACAACAGCAGCAGCAGCAGCACCAACAACATGAGTATTATTGTTGGTAAAGAATTTATTAAGGCTGAAATTAGGAGGGTTGACAATTTCGTCACACTGTCAAAATCCCTGTCTCCGAGCCTGTCACAATTTTGGGTCACACGAAAAATGTTCAATTTGTCATAGCATTCAGCTTGCATCTTTCAGCGATCAAATGAGCGAGGGGGACAACCCTGTCTTGTCATCGTCACAGGTGCATTTTGCTGCTCATCGCCAATGACAAGCGCTTAACAGGATCAAAAAGCTCGACAACAGACAGCTGTTAAATGTTTGTTTAACATTCTTGTTATTTTGCTGTTAGCCATGCGGCGATCAATGCAAAGGGCGTTGGGGGGTCTGCAACTGGGAACTGTTAAGCGGCGTCATGCTGTCTGAACGTGAATATCAACGCCGCAGGCTCAGTTGGCAACTCTGAGTGTAGGTGGGGTGGGTATTTTTTGGGGTGTTGTTCTCTAATTGACCACAAAAAAGGCTTGTAATCGCATTACGCTAATTTTGTTTATTCGATTATTACAATCACGTGTCAGGACTTAGCTGCCAAGCAGCAGCAACGAATAACACAACAGCAACAACAAGAAAAAAAGAAGAAAAGCTCTGAAGCCATGCGAAGCAGCGCGCTTTGATTCCCACACTATCATGTTTTGCCGAGCATTGCAGATTTTTGGCCGAGTTCGGTGTCCGATTCGTAATAATGCTTGAATGCAGCCAGCCCGCAAAGCTATTCAGCGAGTATCGCAAACACAGAAAATGCACTTCAAATGAGAAAGCGAGGATCTGTTACATATCTGTTATTTTAGCAACACTGATGCAATTTTATGCGTCTAAGCGTTTTCTGTCAATTAACATTACTTACTTTATTTTATTACATGTAAATGCAATATTCTTATTTCTAATGCTTACTAATAATATAATAAAATATAAAAATAATAAATTTGAAATGTTTCAATGTATAAAAATATGAAATACTCTTTGCAACCATTAAATATCTACAATGTCACTTGATACCCTTTTCAAGTACTTTTCACATTAAACTGGAGAACCTTTTACTTGTAACTTCTTACATAACGTATCGATTGTCCCATTTACCCATTTTGGCCATTGTCTGCAAAGAGGCACAAATTGCTTAACTTCTTGTAAAATATAAGTTTAGCAAACGTCATGCTCAGATCCATGCAATAACAATCCTTGGAAAGAATAACCTGTATATCGTTTGTAATACCAGCCTAATAGCCCAGAAAATAGAGCAACCAAAGCGACAAACCCACCAAACAGCTTAACAGCTGTAATCCCAAAATTCCCAAAAAGAAACAAAACAAAGCGTCTGCAAAGTGTTTTTCTCTTTGCTGTCTCTGTCTGTGCCATTCATGAATTGTAGTCAGAGTGTCTGATCTCTCTCTCCCTCTCTCTTTCTCACTCTATCTCTCTCTCTCTTTGTGCCTTTGTTCGCATTTATCCTTTATCCGCTTGTCGATCGCACAATAATGGGCAAACTCGGGCATTAGTATTGTCTGCATGTGTGTGTGTGTGTGTGTGGGAGGAATATTGCTGAATTGCGTATATGAAGCGAACATGATTTTCGCACCTTGTCGTCAATTGTTCAATAGAGAAATAATGCTGGGAATTAGAAACTTATGTTAATGTCTTTGTGGAAAAAGAAAAATAAAACAAGAAGAAGAATCACCAAGAAAAGGAAACCAAGACCAATTAATAATATTCCGATTCAGTGTTCGAAATGTGTGCACCAATTAGTAACGGAAATCAATCAGTGCTCACAAATTTCAAACATATGTCAAGATATATACTTTTTACAGCTAATTGGATATAAACCGCCAAAAAGGGGTTGTCTTGTGGGTGGCTGTTTTGCTGTTTCTGTTGTTGTTGTTGTTGTTATTGTTGTTCCCAACGCTCAATGAATGTGCGCTGTAAAACGATCCTTAGTCAGCGGTCTCCACACACACCCACACACACACACACACAGACCAACAATCTCATTAATTCCCATTAATAAAGCTTTTTGACAGCGTCGCCGAGTGTCTTGGTGTCCACTTACCCAAATAACAAATAAAACTTTTCTACATTTACTACATATATATATATATGTATATATATATATATATGTATATTAATAGATATATACATATCAATAAATATATTTCATAATACTTTTTTTATGTGTATGTAAACTATTTGTATACATAAGGAGTTTGAATTGTTTTCATAGTATTCGCACACTTTCTACGGATAAGAATTATAAAGGGTATATATAGGATGGGGTTACAGTTCTGCTACGATTTCGTTGTAAACATCGAGTCTGCAGGATGTCCAAAGAAAGTAGACCAGCTAATCCCTCGATAAACATCATTTGCAGATCGGCTAAATTGATTTGAGTTGGAAAAAATTCTTGGTAAATGAAGCACTTTACCAAGTAAAGCAATTCTAGCCATAAATCGTTTATATGGAAATGTTCAGTGTCAGTCCAAAATATATTTTACACTTTTTATCTACTATTTTGTATTTAGTATGAAGGATATTGCTTAACGCCTTCATTAGATAAATTACAAATTATTAAGCATATCCGAGAAAGTCTCGTGGGATACAATTAGTCGCTTTAAAACAATCGCTGGTGTATTGCGGGCATATGTTGCAGCCACAAAATGAGCAAATAAATCATAAATGTTTCATTCAACGTAATTGAGCTCACACCCCTCGCAGCGCAGAGCCACCCTTAAAGACCCCCGAACCACAGACCAGAGACCAAAAAAACAGGAACAGGCCCCAGGTCGTTATGGCTACAAACACTGCGAGTTCTATGAACGAACAGGAGAGAAAAACAATGTAACCCGATATGGTTTTTATATGCGCAAGATTGTCTGTCATCCAAGGTATATTGCCCAATATAATCCTGTTGCTGCAAAGAGCAGCTGGAAGTGAGACTGAGAGAGTGAGAGAGAGCGGAATAGAGAGAGAGATAGTTGGTGTTTAGGGTTGCTGCTACAACTCTGGCTCCTCCCACAGGGAACACTATGGAATGAAACACGCCAAAGGCAAGCAGGTTTTTTTTGGCAATCAAAGTTATTAACGAAGCTGAACAATTTTTGGCAAGATTTGACAGGAAATCAAACATCCTTTTCCAGTCGCCGCACATTGCGATAGTTGACATTGATGAGGCGCACACTCTCTCCCAGCGTGGCCAATGGTTTCATCAAGTTGTTCAACGTGTCTGAGAGCGGTTCCAAAATATCTCGCAAGGAACACATCACATTGTATAGAAATATCATCGGTGGCTGCAGAAAACCATTAAATACTACAGTCAACGCTGGCTTCACCAGATAATCGGATGTCATGTGAAGCCATCCCACAATTAGGGTATTGATCACCGAGTAGAGAACGAATCGATAGCATTGGAGGATAAAGGCCACCGCAAAGGCGACACCAATGTGCAACAGTCCAAAGAACTCGGCCCAAAAATGTGTCGCATAGGTTGTCGCCCGATCCGCGAGCACAATTGAGTTGATCTTTGGATGGGTATCCGTGGTGCTAAGGTAATCCGCACAGCCATGCTCAAACGGATAGATGCCAATGCAAGTGTGATGCGCTGCAGCCTTCTTATTCCACTTCGGGGAGGGCAGATCATCGATGATGTTGTGGACATGTTGCGGCTGGCACTTGCACATGTTGTCCAGCGAGGCGACAAGGCGCGAAAGGAAACCGGGACGCCGTTTATGATGCTTAGATTCCTCCTTAGATGGCCTCGCCTTGGATGAGTGATGTTTGGTTTTACTTCGACGTGGACGGGGAGGCACCGCAAAACTGGGATACTTGGTCTTGTTGTAGCGCTGGAATTCAATCCGATTTGGATTAATTAATTGCTTTGCCGGCTCCGCATGCATCTCGTAGAGCACATGTGTTGGGCTGGATAAGGCTGTAGTCGTCGTTGTTGTATCGCCCTGTGCATCGTTTTGAAACATATTGTATTGAGACTTGCTCTGCTGGAACAGTTCCGTATCCGTTGAGCTGTTCAATTGGGGCAACCAATTTTTTAATGGTGATTGCAATTTGGCTGTGACACCTACATGCTGCACTTGCACCTCAATTAGTTGGGATTGGGACTGCGTTGAATTGTGATCACCAGCATCAGACATTCCCTATTCACAACAATTAATAACAAGTTGAACAAATAATTCCAGCTTCTTAGCTTGACAGACATAACACAGCGTACCTTAACACTGTTCAATATTTTTATGAAATATTCTACGAGTTTTCAGTTGCATAACTGTTTTTAATTTAATTTCTATTTTAATTTTAAATTCATTTTTTATATTTTATTTGCAAAATTTTAAAATGACTCGTGTCATTCTATCAAAAAACAGTTTACTCAGAAGATGCCTTAAAATTATTCAATATTTATATGAAAAGTTTTACTGGTTTGAATTGCATAACTGTTTTAGTTTTAATTTAATTAATAATTTTGTTTTAATTTCAAATTCAATTCTCAACTTTCTTTTGCAATAATCAATTTCAAAATGGCTCGTGTCACTCTAACATAAAATAGTCGAACGCTTATCGATAGTTTGACTATCGAGCTTTGCAAGTTTTAACAGGTTATCACAGCAATATAGGAGAAAAATTTACATATATTTTATCGCTTGTTCCGGCATTGTTCTGGTCACAAATTCTCACTGTAAATGTATAGTATTTAGTGCCTTAAGTTATAGTACATATATATATATACATATATATAAAGCTTAACTAAAATCTGAAGTGCATAAATGCTGTCGTCAGCCTGGAAAAGTGTTGCGACCAGCATTGAGACACAATTGACTTCCTATTACTTTCGAGGTTCGTCCAAATTGGCAGCCAGCCGAGTTGCTGCTGCTGCCACTGTGTCTCATTCTTCCTCTGGTGCTGGTGCTGGTGGCGGATCATTAAAGCGGTTTCTGGGTGTCCAAAACTGTCACGTCAATTGTAATCTATGCCTATTATTCTTTAATCTTATCTGTTTGATGTGCTTGCTGTTGCTGTTTTTTTTCTTTCAATCTTATTTATATTTGCATGTCGCTGCAGCTGCCATTGTTTTTTAATTTAATTATTATTATTTATATTTTTAATTGTTGCAGTACAAAAGCTTCGAACAATTGGCGTTAGAGGCATGCATAGCTCACTGGAGGATGTCAAGTTGGAGAGCATGCAGGTGAAGATTTTGCCGGCACTGCAGGACAACTACATGTATCTGATTGTGGACAATAAGACTCGCGAGGCGGCGATTGTGGATCCGGTTGATCCCGAGCTGGTCATCAAGACCGTTCAGGAGGAGAATGTTAAATTGAATAAGGTGCTGACGACACATCATCACTGGGATCATGCCGGCGGCAATGAGAAACTGGTCAAGTTGTGGTCCGGTGAACTACAGGTGTACGGCGGCGACGACCGGATCGGTGCAATGAATCAGAAAGTTAGCCAGGATGTCACCTTCAACATTGGCGAACTCAAGGTGCGCTGTCTGTCAACGCCATGCCATACAACCGGCCACATTTGCTACCATGTCACCAATGGGCAGAATGCCGGCGCAGTGTTCACCGGTGACACACTCTTTCAGGGGGGCTGCGGCCGTTTCTTTGAGGGCACGCCCGAGGAAATGTATGATGCGCTGTGCGCCAAGCTGTCTGCGCTGCCCGATGACACCAAGGTGTTTTGTGGGCACGAGTATACGCTGCAGAACATGAGCTTCGCACGCCATGTGGAGCCCGACAATAAACTAATACAGAATCGCATTGAGTGGGCCAAATTGCGTCGCGCCTCCAAGGATCCCACAGTGCCGTCAACCATTGGCGAGGAGAAGTCGTGGAATCCATTTATGCGCGTACATGAGGCCACTGTGCAGCGTCATGCCGGCGGTGAGAAAAATCCTATTTTGACCATGGGTGCGTTGCGTAAGGAAAAGGATAATTTTAAGGCTTAAGCTGAATGAGTTAATAAACGTTGTTGAATTCGATTCAGATTCTTTTCTCTTTTTCATTCACAATGGCGCCAAGCGCATTTAACAATATATCTATGTTTGCAATCGATAGCACGTTTGTCAATCGAAATTCATCTTGTTCGCCGTGAGTGGCAAATGTACATTGTATTTACACCGCAATAAAAAACAAAGCAGCGGCAAAGCAATTTTTTTTTAGAGTGGAGCTGTTTTTTGTTTAATTATGGATAAGTTAAAAGTATTATTGAAGTCCTACGAGGCATGGGTGGCAAGGAATCCGGATGTAGTTGGCGATTTTGAGACGACAGCCAAATGGGTGTCATATTTTGTGGCAGGTAAATCTGTAGCTTGATAAGAACTATATGTTTGGTGATGCAATATTGCAATATGAATTACGATTTTAGGTCGCATATCAAACTCCAATGTGCTGTCCGAACTGGTCTACACGTTGTCCAACATGCTGGTGTTCTACAACGATCGCATCATCGACAGGTCACGTGGCGCCAACGAAAACGCCGTACTCCGGATGCAGTCTGGCCTTTGCTACCGTCTAAAGGTCACGCTGACTACGCTCGAATACTGCGAAGTCTTTATCGAAATATCGGCGCGACGCTACCTCAGCCAAACGGGGAAGTGGCTGGTGATAACGTTCATACAACTCTTCAAGGCCGCCGGCCGTTTGTTTCTGCTCAAACATTCGACATCGGACATAATCACATCGCCACCGATCGCTGCTCTCAATCGGCGCACGCTCAGCAAACCTGGCAAATCGGATGCAGCTGAGACAGCGAATCTGTCGCAATCGGAGCATTCCATAACGTTTCAGCTGAAACGTTCGGGTCGCCTCATCCGCAAAGTGGAGGGTGCTCCGCCCATGCAATATCGTGACTTCAAATTACACGTGGACAGTGCAGATGCGGCCAAGACGCAAATTCCACGCGAACTGCTCGATGCGGAGTACTTGTACATTGCCAAACCACTGGTCCATTTGGCTGCGATGGGTCTGTTTGGTCGGCGCAGCTGGAAGCAGTATGTGGTTGCGTTGTCCTTCGATTTGTATAGCATCCATTTGTATCGCCAGCAACGCCACCTGATGTCCAAGCAACAGAAAATCGAGCTGAGCCGCCGATGCGTTAATCTTTTGTATTTCCTGGTGCGGAGTCCGTTCTACGAGAATTACACCAGGACGCGAATCGAACGAATTTTGGGCTTTGTGGCGCAGAATGTGCCACTGGCCAAAGTGGTCGCCGGACCGTTAAAGGATTACATTCCCCAGTGGCAGGACACGTACTTCTATCTGTGGTCCACTTGAGAGCGATCATCCGAGTATTCCGATTTAGGTTAAGATTTAAAGTATAAAATGGATAAGCGGGCGGTTGTTAAAAATAGAGAGACGGATAGATCCTCTCTTGGATCTGTTGTGTGTGATTTGTATGGCTTTTAAATTATATTTGGAACAATATTTGTACACATACATTAAACGATATTGTTTTCTTGCTTATTTTCATCTTACACGCTAAACGCTATACATAACAATTAATCCACGAATTGGCTAAAAATCTGTAAACACACATTCCGTCTCCGGCTCCGTCTCTATCTCAGAACTTCAGGCTAAAGCCTGGACCCATGGCCAGTTGCCGTTGCGTTAGTCCTGCATTGAGAACGAATCCCGTGCTTGCTGCCGCCGAGGCCCCACCGCTGCTTTTCTTGTTGCCCGTTATGATGCCGGAGGCGAGCTTAGCACCACCGATGCCGCCGCCAGCACCAGCAACACCTGTTGCCGTCGTTGCCATGGGCTCATCGCGTCCCAGCTGCTTGAATTGCGAGCCACCGGATGGCGGCTTGGGAGATGAGCCCTGCGCCTTGCGTGCGCCCAGCTCGCTTTTCGCTGGCCACGTGGGGAACATGGATGGATCGATGGGTAGGGGTAGCTCCTTAAAGTAGCCATGCTTCAGCGCCGCATCAGCAGTCAGTCTTTGTTTCGGATCGTAGGTGAGCAGGCCCTGCAGCAGCCCCAGGCCCGCCTGCGAGGTCTTGTCTTGGAAATGCTTTCGCAGCTGCGACACCGGATAGTCGGTGAATTGAGAATTCTGGCTGAGCATATTCTTGACAGCCGGCAGCTCCGTGTAGCCAGGCCAGATTTTCTCGTTGGGAGTGCCCAGTTCCTGCAGAGAATTGAAACGGGATTACGTTAAATTAGAGCAGAGAAATTAATAAACTTAAATGGGAACTCACCTTAAAGATGCGATTGAGTTCATCGATTTCAGATTTGCCCGGAAAGATGGGTGCCATCTGCAGGAATTCGGCAAAAATGCAACCGACGGACCACACATCAATCGGTGTCGAGTATTCGGGTGAGCAGAGGAGCAGTTCTGGCGCTCGATACCATAACGTGACCACCAGCGAGGTGTACTTCTTCAGCGGGGAGCCATATTCGCGGGCCAGCCCAAAATCACCCACCTTGAGAATGCCCTTGTGCGAGAGCAAAAGATTGGAGGTCTTCAGGTCACGATGCAATATCCAATTGTCGTGCAGATGGGCAACGGCTAGCAGCAGCTGTTGGGCCAGGCACTTGACCTCGCCCGGAAAGAAGCTCTGCTTGCGCTGCTTCATCGTTTCCATCAGAGATTTCAGATCATGCTCCACATAGTCCATCACAATGAAGATCTTATCCATGTTGGAGCCGACGACAATCTCACGCACTGTCACAATATTCGGATGTTGTCCCTTGAGCAGCGTGTTAATCTCACGCAGCGATGTGATGGGAAAACCCTCCTTCTCCTTTTCCATCTTGAGGCGCTTGAGGGCAACGATTTCATTGGTACGCTTATCCTTGGCGCGATAGACAACGCCATAGGTGCCCTCCTCGATGCGATTGAGGCACTGGAACTCCTCGACGGAACGACAGCCCTGCACGCCCGGATAATAGTTGGGCAGCGGCACGCCTTTGTCATCGCATGGCGGCAAATCCTCAACGGCAATCTTCGCAAGCTTCTCCAGCGCCGGCTCAATGGGATTGTTGTTGTCCGACTGTTGCTGCTGCTGTTGACCGACCATGCCACGCTCCTCGCTGCGTGTGCTGCTGCTGCGCGAACATTGATGATTCACTTGCTCATCCCGTTCATCCACACTGCTGCTGGCGGGGAATCGACTGCGACTGCGACTGCGACTCCGACTCTTATCGCTGCTGCGACTGCGCCTGGAACTCTTCGAGCTGACGGAATGGGAATGCGGCCTTTGCTGCTGGGGCGATTTGTAGAGGGCACCCACACTCAATGGGCTGTCGGGCAGTGGTACATCCTCATCCTCACCCTCATCCTCACGACCAGCAAGATGCGTTGCTTGCTTTCGTTTTCGCTTGTTTCGCTTGTGCGTTGACTTTGCCTGCTGCTGCTGCTGGTGCTGTTCGTAGCTGCTCTCCTCCGCCGTATCGCTGCCACTTGCCGCACTGCCACTGGCACTCTCTTCCTCCTCGTCATCCTCATCCTCCTCCTCATCATCGTCATCATCGTCTTCATCGGACTCACTTGGCTCACTCTCATTACTGGCATCCTCATCATCATCGCCGGCATTGCTTTTCTTTGTCTGCTCCTCATTTGTTGGCTTGCTGCGCTTTCGATGATGTTCATAATGCTCCTCGATTCCACCCGGTTTGGATTTATGCTTCCGCTTGATTATGTTGAGGCCAGCGGTGACACTGGCTGCCACTGTGCTGGGACTTAGAGCATCACTGTGCTCGTTGCGCTCGCGCAGCAATTGCTCCCGACGCGCCTCAAGCTGCTCCCGGGCAATCTGCTTCCGCTTGCGATTCTCGCGTTCCGCGGCCAAGATTTTCTCACGACGCGCCAAGAGCTCCGGATCGATGGCGGATGCAGTACGTCGCTGCTGTTGTTGTTGCAGCTGTGCCTCAGCTTCGGCGGCGCGTCTTTGCTCTTTGCTGCGCCGATGTTGCGTTGCATGCGTCTCGGGACTGTCCAGCAGCTCAATGACCTGACCGTGACGCAGCTTATGACTGTGACTGGTGGAGCCGGCGCGTCGCGATTCACGCTCCTTGCGGCGACTGTGCTGGGATTGGGACTGCTGCTGGAGTTGTTGTTGTTGCTGCTGCTGCTGCATCTGCTGCTGCATCTGCTGCTCATAACTCTCATCCGTGGCATAGTCTTTGACGTATTTGTGTCGCTTGCTGAGCAGCCGCGAGCGCAGGTCCTGTTCGAGACTCTCGGCATCCTTGACCTGCTCGTAGACATGTCCATGTTTGCTGGCACGTCGCGGCACCTGCTCAACAACATCTACATAATCCACATGATGACGACTGCTGTGATAATAATCGCCCCGTGCTCCACCGCCGCCGCCGCCGCCACGTGATAAGCTCATCAGTTGAGGTGCTGACTGTTGTTGTTGCTGTTGTTGCTGCTGCTGCTGTTGTTGCTGCTGGTGATGATGATGATGATGGTGGGCATGATGTGCATAGCTCTGTGGCGGCATCGGCGGCAGTGGCAACTGTTGCTGATAATGATAGGCGGCAGCATGGCTCAAGTGATGCTTACGCTCGCTGCGATGCTGATGCGGATGTGGATGGGGATGTGCATGTGGATGATAACGTTGCTCCATCTCATCCCGTGCTGCCCGATAATCATAGCGTTCCCTTTCACGCTCCCTTTCCCTTTCACGCTGCCTTTCCCGGTCACGTTCACGTTCTCGATCCCTTTCGATGCCATCTAGCGTGTGGTGTTCCTTGTGCCGACGATCCCTGGAGTGTTTCTTCTTTTCGCGACGCGTACCCGACGCCGCGTCTCCACCACCGCGAGCCTGCTGCTGCTGCTGAGTGCTGCTCGTCGCCTGTGGCGGCTGTATATAGAGGCCATCGTCCGCATCGTGCTCATCATCGCAGCTAAAATAAACAAAATACCAATGAATTTTACACACATTTTTTTGACTTGTTGCCGATTGCAACTAAATTCACTGAAGTGTTTCGTTTTGTTCCCATTTTTGATGGCTGCGAGGCGCGCTCTGACTCGAGACTGTTCAAGCAGTTCTATAGTTGATTTTTAATTAATTATTCACTCAAGTTGAGCCAGTTGGTGTTTCTGTTGTTCTTGTTGTTTTTGTTGCAGTACATTTGAAGTCGTTGATTACATTTTACGTTGCCCAATCGGCTTCAATTCTCAAGGCCGCATTTTGAAAAAGACCTAAAGCGAATTATTGCATGATGGAAATTGACAATTATATATAAATATATATATATAAAAAAAAAAAAAAAAAAAAAAAAACAATCACTTGGTGTAGTATACATTTATAATAAATAACAGTGTAGTATATATGTTGTATTTTTTTTACAGTGGATCCTTGAGTAATACGCTTAATTCTTACCAAAAATCCTTGCTTGAACAAAATACATAATTACATTAGTCAATCGAAAATTATAACTTTTTTTTTATCAAATATGTATATATAACATTCCATATCTCAAATTTTTCGATCGGTTACAATTTTCAAAAAACTACTGTAATTAAGTTTAATAAGTGAAATGATTTTATCACGATATAATGATTAATATGTACATAAGCCAATGCAAATTGTAAGTTGGCTTTATCGAGTGGCTTTTTATTATATGTATACATTTGCTTTATTTGATATATTTAATTTGTTTGCTGGTTTTCCTGATTTTCTCATTCGCTCCACACATTTTGGATCCAGGGCATTTTGAAAAGTGGCAAAGAAAATAATATTATTTAAATAGATAAATATATATATATATTGGTGTATATACATATTTGAGTAGTTGCGTAATTGAGTTGTTCGTGTTAATCAAGGTTCCACTGTTTGCAATTACTTACCTGTGTGATCAACCGCACATTTTGAATATGGCAATTAGATACAAAACAACAATTCCATGGGGCATTGAGTTGAGCTCCGAAGGGCTGTAAAATGTAAACTTACGACTGCAAAACTCTGCTAGAAATACACATTTGGAAATTGTGTGGGACAAAAGACAGAGATTTATATATATATATGTATATATAGATGTGTTTTTATGTCTATATATGTTAAAGAATATGCATATATAGATGACAGGACTTTTGAAAGGCATTAGCATTGTTATTTGAACAGAAATTTGTATTCGATTTACCAACAGGCTTTTGAGATCTTCTCTTACGGTTTCATTCTTTATCTCTCTCTCTCTCTCTCTCTCTCATTTAAAGAAGATTTTTGCTTGCTTTTGCATATTGTGTTTTGGAGAAGGAGCCAGGCGGACGGGGCCGTGTCCTGCGGGCCTGCAGTTCCCTGCCGATTTTGCCATTTTATACACATTAGCTGCTGGGCACACTTTTTTTAAAATGTGAATTTCATTTCTTGCGTTCGGCTTTTATAATTTTATTTATATTTTTGGTATTTTTTATTGGTTTTTATTTTTTATTTGTTTGTTTTTTTTTTTGTTTAAAGTTTAGTTTTAGTTGGTGGCCATCGCGCGCCTCGGTCATTTTGGGACAAGTACACACTTTTTGGCCTATTTGCAATGAAAAAACTCAAGTCAATTAAACGGTACAACTTTAAAAAGAAATGTTGGTAATGTTGTCAATAAATTGTATATATATTTATATATTCTTTGTTATTATACAACATTTGGTAGGCAATAATATATGTACATATGTATTGCATATATATATATATATATTTATATATATATATATATATAAACATAATTCTGTATTAAGCAAGCGAGAGAGGGGGTATAGGTCCACTATTCAATGATCGACAGGTATGTGCGATGTGCCCGAACTTTTCTCAGAATTAAATGCAAATTATGGCTATTTAGTAAGCATCTCTTGCATGAGAAAATTGAGTTTCTGACGTCACAAGCAGCGTTTTAGCATAACGATCTGCACAATGCGTAACCTCTCGATCATTAAACCGTGCAGGATTGGGAACAATTTTGGTTTTTCAGTTTGACAAGTTTTTTTTTATATTTTCTTTTGTAAATAATATTACAAAATAACGCTTTCAAATAGAAGAATAATTTTTAGTTGCCGCACTCAATACACAAAAGTTTTCACACACATACACACACAGGCACAGGCACGCACGCATGGATATGAATGTAGTTGTGTTGGCTGCTTTGTGCGTGTGTGTGTGTGTGGATGTGTGCGTATGCATGTGTGTGATGCGTGTATGCAGCAACAATTTTATGTGCTTTTTTCAATAGAATATCATCTTAACACACCTGATATAGTGTCCGTCGTTGGGGCTGCGCAGCTGGCCATCTTCACTGCCCGATGTATTGACCATATTGCGTTTAGTGTTGTGTTCTTTTTTGTGTTTGGTTATTAAATGGTGTTTTTGGCTCTAGTGACAGACAGAGGCTGGCGTTGCCTTCCTGCTTTTCTAGCTGCTGATTCACCCGAGTAATTTGCAGCAGCAATTTATGCCAAATGTCTTGTCGTGCAGTTTCTGTACATTTATATTTGATGACCTTCAATTGGGTTTTCGGTGGAATATTACGTTTTTTTCTTTTCTTTGTTTTTTTTTTTTTATAAAAATAATTACAAACGTTTGCAATAGCACAAACGTTTTTATTTCACGCAGTAGTCGGCCAGGGCTGTACAACACAGGAAAAAATGGCGTCTGTCCAACGTTGCCACTTTGCTGGAAAATAACTAATCAAGCTGACAGCTGTTGCCACAGCTGACTGCGAGTTCAAACAATTTTCGGCACATTTTTTTTCATTACGTCCTTTGCTACATTGTTGAATAATAAACGTGATGATATTATTTGGCAGCCTCCGTCGCTGGCAGCCAAGAGTTGTCGTTGACATTGCGCAACGCTGTGCGAACAGCACCTTGTCCAGCGCCAAAGCCGATAATGAAGTCAGTGCGACTGTGAAGCGAATTCGGCAGGAACTGGCCCAGGATAAACAAGAATTGAGCTGGCGGACGCCAATTGGTGATCGGCCGGAGGATTGGAATAGCAAACTGAAACTATTCTCGAACTCAGAGCAAACATCCGATTTTATTGTGATGATGCAACGACCCATCGATCTGAGCCCCACCAACATGAAGCAATGGTGGACAAAGCGGCAGGAGCGCATCGAGCGCCACATGCAGCAGTTTATACCCGAACGCCACAAGATTCTGGGGCCCGAGTTGGCAGCAGCCCATTTTGTTTTGTATCGAGGCGGTGCGGCAAAGTTCTTGAATGATCAGCGATGGCATCGCGCCTCCACCGATGGTGAATTCAATCTGCCCAACAAATTTCAACCCGGCTACAAGCTGGAGGCGTTGCGCTGTGACAATATGACGCTTTACTACGAGGGTCTGGAGAATTTGCGTTGCTTGGAGCACCTAAAATTCTTGTCGTTTCACAATGTGGGCACCTTTGACGATTGGTGTCTGGATCGTGTTGCTGGCGGCGACTATCCGCACCTTGAGGTGCTGGACGTGTCGGGCACGGCAATAACAGAAAAAGGACTCGCCTGCCTCCATCGACTGCCTCGGTTAAAGCTTCTGATTATTGACGATCCCAAGCAGACGCTCGAAATGGAATTGGCCACCTCCATGCTGGAGTTGGCTATGGCGTCGCTCAAAGTGATGGCAGCAGATAGCATACATTAAGTTTTGTCGAGACATATATGATTTTATCAAACTATTTATAAAAATATCACAATTATTTGCTTTTTGGTTTGGTTTTCATGTAATCAGCTTTGATTGCCGCACGCTCCTCGATCGGTGGCAAATAGGGCTCAATTCCTTTGGCGCGGCGGTCACTTCGCACTTTGTTCTAAAGGATATTGAATTTATTATTAAATCAATATGGATATTATAGCAGCAGCTACTTACCCAAAACTCTTTGCAATTGTTGTAGTTGGCAAAGTAAACTTCGCAAATATCTCGATCGAAATTGTTTTTGTTCAGGCAGTTGAATGATAATTCCTGTTCCTGCAATTAACAACCTTTATATTGAGTCACACCGTCACAATCAGTGAACATCATGCTTACCCTTAGACATGGATTGTCGCGTTCGGCATTAGGATTGCGCGGCATTGTGTTATTATATTTTAAATTACGTTATTACATAAAATTCTTATTTTTGTTTTTCTAGCCGGTTCTTGGCTGACAGTGTTGGGAATTGAGAGTCGATATATTGTTTCAGCCCTGGTTTCTAATAAATAGTTAATGTTAAGCAACAGCTGAATTGCTATAGTTCTGTTAAAATTGTTCCTTCAAAAATTTATTTCGATTTTGTCTTACACTACATGTCATTTAAAAATATGCGTATACTAAAGTATGCTTAGATAATTTAACAGCTTTGTTTATTATTTTTTTAATCTGCATGACGATTAACGGCAGCTTTAACAGTCACCATTTAGTATGCAATGTTAATAACATTACAGCAAATGTTGGTGTTCTGGGAACAACTCTTTTTTTTGTTTCGCTCACTATCCAACACTAAGAGAAACAGTCTTGCTAGATTTTTTTCGAGGAGCACACGTTCTGTTTTTTTGCGCGTAATTTCGACTACAATTAATATTAAATCATTAATAAATTACTCAAAATGAGTGCGATATCGAAATAAACAACAACTGTAACGATAGCAAACAGTGAAAAGCGAAGCGAGAAGCAGTTGCTTGCTGTGCTCTGTGTTGATCTCTTCTCTGTGCGTGTGTGTGTGTTGTGTTGCTGGTGTGTGTGTGTGTCGAGTGAGTGCGTTATAAATAAAACGCCAAGAAGAAGCTGCGTGCAAAAAGTAGACGCCAAGAAAAATAAAAAAGAATGTGCCCAAAAACAACAGTGCAAGAAAAGAAAGTGTTTTTCGTGAATTTCCATTGAATTTCTAATACATTTCTAATTAATTTCTGAATAAAGTAAGGGCGAAAGTGCATTTTTACATACGTGTGTGTATTTTGCTGCTGCTGCAAAAGGTGAATATCGCGAGGGAAAATCATTTGCATTCTGCGACGACGACGACGAATGAGGCTGTCAAAGCGTAATTGTAAAATTCCACTGTCTGCCGTCGCAGTTGACGTCGCAGTCTGCTATGCAATGTATATATGCATGTGTGTGTTTTTATATACATAGGTATGTGCATTTGTGCAAAGAAAACATGAAGTTTTCTAAGCGAATGCGAAATGTAAAATGTATTAATAATAATTGTATGTGTGTGTGTGTATTACTCTTTGTGCAGCACAAATTGAACTGTGAACTTTATTTGGATTTGGGGACAACAACAAGAAGCAACAAGCAACAAGGAGCGTTCAACTTGCAACAACAACAGCAACAGCACGCCGTGTAATGGATGCAACATCAATAATAACGCAAGTTTCACGCGATGATGAACAATTGAATGTCTATCCAAGCGACAAAGGAGGTAAGAGACAACAATAACAATAACTACACACAAATACATATACGCTGACACACACGCACACTATGCAGAGCATGGCCCCCCAGTGAGTCATAATGGCAGCCCAATCGCCGTCACAACAAAGACGGAATAAAAATACTTAAAGGACAAGTGGGTAAAGCTCCAACCACCCAATCCCCCTCTGACCTTAGTAATTATTGAGTAGTCAAAACCCTCACTCCAATCAATTTCATTTAACTCCCTCTCTCTCTCTTCGGCTCTCTCTGTTGTATTGTGCGCAGCTGTTTTTGCGTTCCTATTGTGAATGATCTAACCACTTGCTGCTAGCGCTTCTGACGTCGCCAGCTTGCAACTTTTTTTCGAGCGCCACCTGTAATCAAAGTCAGTGACGTCAGGCACTTAACAAGTGCACGCAAACACCAAAATAAATTTAAAACAAATTGAGCTGCTTTTGCATGTTCTTAACCCAGAGAAAGAGAGAGGGAGAAAGAAAAACATGCCTAACAATTGAAACCACAATTAAATTGCACATACAAATGTAGATAAACAGAGTGAGTAAGAGGGAGTAAGCGCGAGAGACGAAGAAGGCGAAACCGGTATTGACAGTGTCGACTAGTTTTCTATGTGAAAGAAAACAAACAAACAAACATAAAGAGCAACAGACGAACAACAAAGCGTAGCTTACAAAAAAGCTTGAATGAACAGTTGCAAAGAGCGCGCTTTAGTATTGAGAAAGAGAGAGCGAAAAGTTGCACACTTGCACATATATTTTTATGTACAATTACATATGGTTGTGTGTGTTATTTTATTTCTTTTTTACTTCGATTGCAATACGGGTGCGGCATTGGGCGGCAAAACGAGACAAGACGAACGCCGCCTTAAAAGTAACAACAAAATTTAATCTAATCTGCGGTCGCAAAAACAGACGACATGCTATAGACATAAATATGTGTACATATACATATAATGGCAGAGCATTTAGAAACTAAGCAAAAATTTTGCGTTTGGTTGTTAATTGACATCTCTCGGTGTGCTGCTTGCTTAAAAAGTTTGCTCACTTTTGAGTCGATTTATAAAACAGACAGCAGTGCTGCCAATTCAACTCAAACTATAACTCAAATATTTATCTACATTATGAAGCACTTCCGTGTGCATATCAATTGTACACATATGCATACATATGCATGTACATGTTTGTGTGTGTGTGCTGTATATATATGTATGTCTGTATGCATGCCTTTTGCCTCACTCTTTGACTTGTTGAGCTTTGCGACCAATAAGATATGACGACGTCATCATTGCTTGCTGCTGCGTGTGTGTGGGTGTGAAGGAGAGGGCAAAGCATTAGAACCGGCAACAGACGAAATATACATGTATTTTGTTGTTGTTGCTGTTTTTCTTTTCTTCTCTTTTTGTTCAGTGGGTGCCGCCTAAGTGCTGTTTGTCTGTAAATATTTATATAGATTCATGTGTATAAATGTGTATGTATGTATGTGTGTACAAATACACATATATTTTGTTTTTATGGGCAAATGCTGCTCTAGTATCTCATTTCTCGTCTGTGATTTTCAATTTCTCAAGGTCTTTAAACCAAATGACTTACGCACACACACAGAAAGACACATGAGTAGCAGCGCACTCTTTGCCCTTTCCAAAATATAAAAAAAAAAGTTATTATTAAACAAGTATTTGCATATGTATGAATTTGTCAAGGCAACGGTGTTAAAATAAAATTAATTAAAAGTTTATTTTGAATAAAAAAATGCATAATTATTATAATTTGATTATCGCCAATGTTGATTTATCATCTATCAAAGTAATTTGCCGACTCTTGTTCGTGTATAAAAGCTCTCACTCTTTCATTTACTCTCCTCTCTTGCGAAGAGCTTATGAAAGCGATAGGTGTTTGCATTGTTTAAAAGAACTGTGCATTTTAACAGCTATGGCAAACAGCTGTTTATTTATTTATTTCTTCTTAGATTTGCAATGTAAACAAGCAAATAAATTGGTTTCTATTAAAAATGCTGATCAAGATAATAAATTGTTAAGAGGAAGTCATTAAACGATAATGTGTACAAATAAATTATATAAGAGTGGCCACGATTAGAAAAAAATAAATGTTTTGCTGGTATGAATAGAACGGCTAATATGGCCTTTACCGCAATTTTATTAAAATAATTTGCAAGCATACCCTTAATGCTTCAAATGTGAACTAAATTTTACTTACATTTAATTAAACTGATTAAAGTTGATTATATTTTCATTGAAAATAAAAGCGAATTTAAAATTTAACCATTGTTACTATATTTTTATTTAATTTCTACTTTACTTGTATATCTATTCATAAAAACAAAATACATTATAATTTTTTGCTTATGCGTTGAAATATCTAGAGCAGACACACAAACATTTGTTCATATTTTAGTTGCCGCAATGCATAATTATTTAAAAGAATTTGTTTGTGCATATCTACATTATATATATAAATATATATATATATATATATATATATATATATATTCATATATGATATGAATACATATGCGTGCTGTGCAAAAATTTTGATGGGCTTCGTAAGGAAACATTTCCTACATCAGACAACGTACATATATATAAATAAATAAATAAATATACACATATTAATATGTATACAGCTGCGAAAGCGATAATTAAATTATTTTTGGCGCTTTCCTTCTTAATCCATGCAGCAATCAAATTAAACAAACTGCCATTGATGATGTCTGAAGAATACCATCTAAATTTAAAGTATGTGGGGGTATTTAGGAGGGGAGGGGTGGTGGTTCATTGACCCTTGCACTGTGCTGTGCTATGCTGTGCTTTTCTAAATTCCAACCCCCAAAAGCGCGACATCTTTGTGCAAATGCAACACAAAAGGGTCGTCAGCTTTTTGCTCTCCAGATCTGCTTCCCTCTCTATCTCTCTCGTTCTTGCTTTTGAAGCAGGTGTTTTCCCAGCCTGTGCAAACATCACGTGCAAAGACGAAACAAAAAAAAACACCAAGAACTGTTTACAGGTCGGTCGCTTTTTTTTTGTGTCTGTGTGTGAGTGTCTGAACTTTTGAAAAGCTTTATAAATATGTGTGTTGAAGGTCGAGCTAATGGGTGCCTATTTAAAGCCAGCGCGCAAAAGAACCAACAACTGAGAACTGTTAATTGTGAATGATATCATATGTATGCGGACGCTAAGATAACAAACATTGTGAATGCCCGATTAGATAAGGGCTGCAAAATATGTTTTTTAAACTTGCAAGTTGAGAAAGCTGTTTTCTTTTTTTCTTTTCTTGTGGCATTATTCGCATTCGATATATTTTTAATGACAAATTTGCTTTCAATTAATTATTATTAAAAATACACACAAAGGCTGCACACATTTCTACATATGTCTGTCCGTGTCTATTTATTTCTGGCAAGCAGCAGATGTAAAATAGAATAGAGAATGAAAATGAGTTGCAAGCGCAAACATAAAAATAATGTATATATAAACAAAAGAAATGCTTGTCATTTTCATTGCCGTTCGCCGCGAAAATGTTGTACACACAGACATATTTTTTCCCAATTTACGCATAAGGCCATTTAACAGGCTGCTGTGAATTTCACATTTGCATTCATTAATGCGACAACAAATTTCTTTAATATCTTTTTGTTTGTCAAATAAATCTCATATTTAATGGTGAGACATTGAAAAAACCAAAATTGCTACAGATGCAAACAGCTGCTAATTTTGCGAATACCTTTTTACGATGTACATATTTATATATTTATTTGAACAAACATCGATTGGAACTAGCCCTTAGGCCATGCGAGCTCTGCTTAGGAAATTAATTAACTAATTCGCTAGGAAAACTATAAATAAAAAAACAATACATTTTTGGCAATCAATATAAATATTTTGTTGATTCCGTAATCAGATTGTATATGTTTATATCTAACAATTTCTGGCATATCTAAACAGACTTCACATTTGATTATATTAAGCAGTTAATATTAAATATGACAGGCAACTGTTAAAAATGTTAAGCATTCATTTATCAAATTGTACATGCTGAAATAGTCTAATTAATTATAATTAATAGTTATTATATATTCCTTAGCAGCATTGCTAGCTAAGTCGATATAGACATGTCCCTCTTTCTGTCTCAGAGACTATATCTCCACTCGTTTGCGAATATCAATACAAATCGATTTTCGATAGCAATAAAAGCCACAATTTTATACGTATAGCCTCCGAAAAGTTTTAAATTATATTTTACTATATATTTAAATATATATTATTAATTATAATATTGCTAATCAGCTGTAAAGCTGATCAAATCAATTAAAAATCAAGGCCAAGATTAGAAACATCCAAGCTATTAACCCAAGAAAATTTCTTTTAGCAAGCAAATACGTTTTCTGTATATATAATCGAAGCGATCAAACAACTTTATCATATAGAATATACAGTAAAAATCTGTTTTATTTACCAATATATTCGAACTTAACTAATCAGCAGTTATGTGTATTATTTTTTGTATCGTTAAGCTCCTCACATTTGGCCAATAAATATATTCAATGTCGCACTTCAATATTATATAGCTTTGATTATAACAATCAGGTAACTTTTTGAACTTATAGTGAACGGCAGATTGAAGAGTTTCAACAAGGCGATTCCATCTTAGACGTGTACAAGATTTCTGTTCTTACTTGTTCTTAGTCAAATTAAATCCCACATTTAATAAAATTAAATCTCAGCCAGCTTTTACACATGTAAATCGCGTACATATAATTATATATCAATTATTTATATACATTATTGATGAACATATTTATGTAGGTGTATAATCAGACATTGTGGGGGATCTCAGTGGACGTGAAAGGTGCTCAACATCCTCTTGTACAAATCACGGAATTCGTGACTATGGCATTTTTCATATTTTATTTAGGTATGCAAATACATAAATACATACATGCATACATATGTATGTACATACCAATAACACCCACAGATTTCAATTTTAGCGATTGATTATTACGGTCAGCTGCTTGCCAAATTTGGTGTCTATTAAAAGCGTACAGACAGATTGTTGCTCATTTAATGATGCTATAAATATGCCCAAAAAATGCAAAAATAAACAAAAAGAACTCTCCACCTCACACACGCACTCACACACGCACACATATATACACACATGCACACCCAAAGTCAATAATTCAATTTTAAAGCCTTAAAAATAGGACAAAAGCATAATAAAATAAAAGAGAGCCTGCTGCGAAGGTAGGCATAGAGGAATGGTGGAGTGGCTTATGGGGGAGAGGCTGTGCTTGAATGCGCATCAGACAGGCGAGCAGCGAACCCACAAACCTAAATTTAGATATACACATACACATGCATACATACATACACACATGAATATGTACACGTTTATGCATGTATCATCAGCCTATCAATAACGACAAAATATTGCGGATGTCAGTTCAACAAGTAGGCGACAAATTGACAACGATTCCTCCTTCTTTGCTCTCCTTCTCCTCCCACTTCTTGCTCTCCTTCTCCTCCTACTTCTTGCGCGGGGCTATTATGCAAAGTTATGTAAAGCTTTTGAGTGTGAAGCGTATGAAGCGTGGCTACTTTAAGCCTTAAACATGTCGGGCTTTTCACCTTTCACCTGCCTAATCATCTACAGTATGTGTACAGTTGTGAACGAAATAATAGCACCACTACACCATTTTTTGTTATGCAAAAAAAAAAAACAAATCAATTTTGCAATCTTATTTTATTATTATTTTGTAGTATTTCCCCTATAAATTAAAGTTAGTATTGCTACTCCTCGAATTCTTTTCAATATACATTTTTTTTTTTGGAAAAGCAACTAAAAGGCGCTATAAAATAATAACACTACTTACGTGCTTTATAGAAATAGCTGATTTATTTCTAGTTTTCATAAATGCACATTGAAAAATGCTGCAACCACTTTTCTTTCGTTAATTTTCTGACTTTTTTTATAAAGTTTAAATTCAATTAAATAAGTTGAAAACAGTGACAAAAATTATGTATTTTTCTTTTTTACTTTTTTTTCAAGCGTATTCTGGCACTTCTATAACATTACTTGTGAGAGTGGTGCTATTAGTGTGTTCGCCACTGTATGCGTGAGTGCGTGCTTCTATCACGTTTTTATTGTTGTTGTTAGGCAACGCTCATAAAATATTCCAAGTACAGTTACACTTTACAGACTGGGCGAGGGATGTAAGGGTTCGTTCTAAGTGCTGCTGGATGAATATATATTAAATATATACATGTGTGTGTAGGTGTGGGTGTGTGTATTGGCTCAGTCTAAGCTCAGTTTTGTGCTACAACAAGCTAACGGTTCACTGAACCGACTAACGTCTAGCTTAGCTGCTGCAATCCTCCATGCAACATGCAACATGCAGGCAGCGCACTTCATTCATGGTTTTGCCTCTGTATGTTGTACCAAGTCTCTTTTTTGTTACACTCACACACACACACACTCAGCAAGGGGGGTGGCATTGCTTGTTTTGCTCTATTGCGCACCTGAGCACCTGAAAAGCGACCACAACACACACGGCTTAAAGGTCAATCGGCGACCTTCTTACTTATTGACGTTGGTGTGCGTGTCTCTTGAGCCTCTCTGTCTGTCTTTACATATGTGTGTGTGTGTCTGTGTGTATGTGTGTGCATGCAATTATATCATTCGCCATCGATTAAACGCATGCAAGTATGCTAAATTGGTTTCTATATGGAACAGAATTTCACAAACCTCCCAAAACCCCCCCAAGATTTTCATGGGTTTTTCCATTTTTTGTATTCGATATTCGACTTGTCTATTTTCATTTTCACACACAATATATTGCGTATTTCTGGAAAGCAAGCGTAAAATCATCTATATATGTATATATATATACATATATATTTTTATATATTTGTTCGCTAAGCAATATATCTTTATTGCTGCATTTATGGCTCTATTTATTGTTGCTATTAAGTTGTGTTGTGGCAACAACGTTAAGGGTCTTAAAGACACGACTTGGGCAACGTAATCAGTCAGTATGTGAAAGTATTTCACACATCCTTGCTGTCTAAATGTCTAGGAAATATTTCAGAAATAATAAAATATGGCACAAAAGTAAAGTAGATAATTTTAAACTTTTAACTTCGATTACAGGGTGTCTCCTATGCGAGCACTCTCAGTTTAGGTTAAGTTTTTTAGTTTGTGGTTGATAAGTTGCATAAGTGCATTAAATAATCTATTTATATTATTCTCGATTCACGGTCAAACTCAAACCGCAAAAAGTTTGAACACACTTTAATCAAAACAAACAAAAAATAAAGGTTTTTCTCAAGCTCAAATTAAATATGAAATGTTAACTGGTTTTAAATGGCAGTCAGTTTGTCATTTTGGGTGAATCAATCAAAATGCTGTATCTATTTTATCTATTATTTATTTATGGACAAAATTATGACTTATCAATGAGTGCTAAGCATAATGTCTTATTAACGAGGCCTTCGACTCGAGATAATTATATTATTGGATTTTAAAACTAAAGTTAATTATAAGTTTAGAAAAGGCGATAATATTATCGACGCAGCTGTCTCTGACGTCAAGGAAGGGAGCAAATGCTACTTTATCTATGACATTTTAAGCCTGAAAACCTTCACAGTTAAACTGTGGAAAGAGTAAATCAAAATTGATGACAAATTCTCTAAATAGAAATGTTCTCTTTCTGTTTTGTATTTTGAAATTAGTTAACTATTTTATCTATTATTTATTTATTGAAAAAATTATGACTTAGCAACAAGTACTATGGTCGATTAGAAGGGAGCAAAGGCTATTTATCTGTTTGCTGAAAGTAAATCAAAGTTTATTATCAATTTTCTAAATTGGAAATCTTTCGTTGTTGTTTGCTTTTTTCTTTTAGAAGATGTGGATCGTTTGAAGCCACAAAAACGAGGTATTCTACAATCGTTACTTTGCTGCTGGCGACGAAATCGAACGAAAACCAATCAGAATGGCACACAGATCGATGGATCGACAACACCGCCGCCCCTACCGGACCAACAAAGGTACCTACTACCTCAGGTTAGGCACTCCGATATGCATAGAAAGTGCATGGTAATCGATTTGGATGAGACTCTAGTGCACAGTAGTTTTAAGGTGAGTAGTGATATATATATATATACATATATATAACAGAATAGATTAATCAAAGATAATTAATACCTATCTCTGTATCTGTATTTGATGTATAGCCAATACCTAATGCCGATTTCATAGTACCCGTGGAAATCGATGGCACCATTCATCAGGTTTATGTGCTAAAGCGACCGCATGTGGATGAGTTTCTGCAGAAGATGGGTGAACTGTACGAGTGCGTTTTGTTTACAGCATCACTAGCCAAATACGCAGATCCCGTTGCCGATCTGCTAGACAAGTGAGTGATAGTGATATATACACATAACTATATATATAATAAATCAATTAATAATCATTTCCTGCAGGTGGAATGTGTTTCGTGCAAGACTGTTTCGGGAATCATGCGTTTATTACAGGGGTAATTACATTAAGGATCTAAATCGTCTGGGCAGGGATTTACAAAAGATTGTCATTGTTGATAATTCACCGGCCAGTTATATATTTCATCCCGATAATGCGGTGAGTATTCAATAAATATGCATAATAATTTAGCTATAATTATTTATTTATATTGTTTTTTTTTTAGGTTCCTGTCAAGTCATGGTTCGATGATGTGACCGACTGTGAACTGCGCGAGCTGATACCGCTCTTTGAGAAGCTAAGCAAAGTTGATTCCGTCTATTCGGTGCTCTGCAATTCGAACCAGCCGCTAAACAATCAAATCAATCAGCACGAGCTGCAACAGGCCCCACAGCAGCAACAGCAGCAACAAACCATCTCTGCCACAACAGTTATTACACAGGCGAGCACGCTGTCTGCACCGACCATGCTGAATGCTGCGCAACAGCAACAACAGCCGCAGCAGCAGCAGCTGCAACAACAGCAACAACAACAACAGCAACAACAACAATTGCAGTTGTCCAGTCCGCCCAGCCCACAAAGCGAGCTGCTGCAGAAGACGTAACATCAGTGGGAATTAATGTTTATAAATATATGATAAAAAAAACGTATACATATTATGAGACCAAGCAAAAGCAAAACAAGCAAAAGCCTGCAAAAACAATATATATACACACACTAACACACACCCACATACACACACACACAGAGAAACAATAGGAAACTTATTTAAAACTGTAATTGCATTGATATATCTATCTAACTAACCCTTTGCTAGGCTAAGCTCAAGGTTTTTATTTTTTTAAAACTATTTACAAGGCACATTTGTTATTTATTTTATTCGATTTATTTTTTACTTTCCTGGCTCTTGGTTTTGTTATTTGTTTTTAACATAGTGCATATATATATGTATATATGTATGTGTGTGCGTGTGTTAATTTTTTTTTTATATAAACGAAAGCAAAGAAAGGCCACGCTTACCCATTATACTGGGTATTTTCCCCATTCAAGAAAAAAAATATATATATGTATACATAAATATCTATGTATAACTAATAATCATTGAACTTTTATATACACCATATATATATATATACATATTTTAAGTGCGCATATTTAACAAAGGGAAAAACTAAGCAAGCTAAAAAATCTAATGCAGCTAACAAAAAAGAATAAAAAGAAAAAGAAAAAAAAACAAGAAAAAAGAATAACTATACATATGAGCAGAGAGATAAAATCAAATTCAAAATAGCATATATTTATATATATATTTTTTTTATTAAAAACAAAAACAAAAAAAACACTACTTAAAAGAAAAGCAAAAAGAAAAAAAAGAAATGTACGCGTACTAAAAAAAAAAAACTTTATATATATACACATCTTAAATATATATATAGATATAAATCTATAGTGTAAGCAACTGTATACACATTTTGCTTAAGCTAAGGCATGTATAAATATTTCGTAACTTTATTACCACGTTTATGCGGGTGTTCCTATTCGTGATTTTTCCTTGAAAAGTCCAGCAAAATTTGAATAACTATCATTTGTTTTTCAATCGTTTCATTTTGTTTTGTCGCATGGCTAATCACGCATTTGAAGCTTGGCATAAACGTTGTCTAATTTTATCACATGCACAACAAGGGCACACAATTAACAAAACAAAAATGAAAGAAAACCTTTGTTCAGCCTAAATTTGTACACTGAAAAATACCAATGGGAACCGCGAATGCCACTTGTTGGGCATCCAAAGTCTGCGGCAAGAACGCAGCTACATATGTCAAGAAATACGAAAAGGAAAAAAAAATCAAAATGAAAACTTCGTTTATACGCTGCACAATATCATGTATTCTCGAATTTGCAAGCACAATCGAAGGTTTCTCACATCAAATCAAATCAAATATGCACAAAAACATATCCATTTATCGCCAGACGACTACAGACTATAAAATCAATTCTGAGAGCTTAAGTTCCTCAAATCAGACATGAACAAATCAATAAATTTTGAGCTTCATGATATTGGGTAACGTATAAGCGTAGCATTTCAACCATTTAGTTATATATCTATACTTTAATATTGTATTTGCTTTCTAATTTTTTATTTTTTTGTCGTTGTTTTCTCTTGATCCAAGTGCGCTTATGAAACGCATTGCAATATTTCTTGAACTTTAACCTTCTATCTTCTTCTTCGTATCGTATCGTGCGGACATGTTTCGTGTTTCATGTGCAGGCAGGTGGAATATTGGAAATACCCTTGCTACTTACTCCGACCAAGTAATAAGTAATATTAGATACTAATAACGGCATATATAGAACACACTCGTATAAAACACTTATATTGAGCTCAAGCTGGCCACGCCGCAACCCACCTAAATAAATATATATATATATATATATAATATATATATATGTATATGTATGTATGCGACTATATACCGTTATGAAAATAAAAACGAAATATAAGAAAAGACGCTAACGCTATCCACACACACACAAACTCACTTCAGAGGAACACCGACCAGTGCCGTGACGGCTTTCCGATCGAACGATTTCAGTCTTATACTTATACTACTACTAATTCTCAGCTAGTTTTTTGCAAGAACACACACATTTCTAGTGCGTAAGCTTTTATATATTTTAACTGATCAATCAATGGGATAATACACAACAACCAACAAAACAAAAAAAAAAAGAAAATCTAAAGCAAAATAAAATTTCGGCACGTTGCAAACGCGCGCAATTCTCATATGATTTGCATTGAAGCAAAGTAAATTGACCATAAGGTAAAATTAAAAAATACAAATTATAAAAAAAAAAACCTTTTATAAATAAAGAGAATCAAATATTTCATAATATTGTATATCATTTACACTGCTGCTACAATTGTAATACACGATAGCAACTAATCACAAGCGAAATTTAAGTAATAAAATGCGATAACGTATTTTAATAATGCATATATATTTAACTGTTTTACATTTAATAACAAAAATTGAATAAAAACAAAACAAACAGGAAGAAACAAAAACCGAGCAACACTTAATTTATCATAAACTAAAAAATAAATTCTATTTTTAAAAGGACCCTATAAATGTAATGCCTAAATGTCTGGAAAAGAAAACAAACCAATTTAAATCTACAAAATATTATGTCATCAAAAAAATAAAAACAAAAAACAAAACATAAAAACAAAAATAAAACAACAAAAAAAAAACATTAAAACCCAAATACAATTCGATTTTTACTGAACTTTATTTGGTTTTCTTCATCAATTTTAGAATGTCGTCTAATGAAATTACATCTAAATTGGGGATATCTTATAAAAAGCATGCCTCGATTTATAGTTTGTCTTCGAGTTAGTTAAAGGAAAAGTTAGGATTTTTGTGGTGCTCTGAAATTAAGAATATTGGTTATGTTTTGTTGTTTGTTTTGAATACGGAATAAAGTTCTATTTATTATTAATTTTTAACGCACATACACCTCGTTCGTTTCTTTCTACATACTATTTAATACACATATTTTGTCTTGAACTTAGTCGCTAAACTAAAGACGTAGGCAATTGATTTTTGGTTGTTTTGTTTCATTTTTGCTGTTAATCGGGTCGAAAACACTTAGAATACGCAGTTACATATTACTTTTCGTCGTAGTCTTTTTTTTTAAGCGTTTTCAATATCGTTTTAACTATGCAAGCAAAAGAATATAAAAAATGTCTCAACAAATAAATCGTAGCAAATACCGCAGGGTGAAAATTGCGCAATATTGTTTTTTTTTTTTTTTTGTATAGTCTCGAATACAAAATAGTACATCGAAAAAGGTTTGTGTTTTTTGAGTTATAATTACATACATACATATTTATTTAGTTGAAATTGTTCATTAGGTGATTCATATTTTGTCGTTTTATTAAAGGTTGTTATTTAAATTTAAATGCATTTAAGTAACGTGTTACACTTAGAAACGGTTCTGTTTTTTTTTTAACTATGTGTCGTGTTTGGTTTTTGTGTTTTGTCAGGTTTGTTGCACTTTTAGAAATTCCTTCATTGATACTTGGATCATAGGTGTACATAATTTCATAACTATATGTATAACTATATGTGTGTATATGTATATATATATATATATATAGTATGTATATTTTAATATGCAATATTGTTTTATATATATATATAGAATTTGTTTGCACTATAACATTTACTTAAATGATTGCTGACTAGACTAGTGCGCATTGAATCGGATCGCGTTTAGAATATTTACTTCTTTTTGTTTTTGAAAGTATGCAAATTGTATTTTATGTTTATGTTTTTGTTTTTTGCTTTTGCCGTATTTTCGCATTAACATTTTAAAGTATTTGTTTGGTGTTTGTTCTTTTGGTACATGGAAAGCTGCTTAAGCGAGAGCTTGGATACCTAATCTCTTGTTGTATGCGGTTCCAAGCCAACACAAAGGCAACTGCTAAATATTTTGTTGTTTATTATAATCTTGCTTTTAGAATACACATAATTTGGAATACATATTAAAAAAGTTCTTATTGTAGTATTTACTGTGCGCTTTACAAATTTGTTAATCATTGAGTTTACATTAGGTGAATTTCAGAGAATTTGAATATTGCACAACTTGAAAAGTGTTGGCAGTTTTGATTTTGTTTGCGATAATTACAAGTTTTATTTTTATTCATTCAATTTGTTCGGTTGTGTGAGTGTTATAAGTTGTCTTTCTTCTTTTTTTTTTGTTTTTTGGTGTTACAAATACTTTAGAGTGGTGACGACAAAAATGTATTATCATAAACCAGTTAAATTAAGAAATATGCTGAAAAATGTACAGAGTTTTGTTTGTAATTACAGGTTAAATACATGTTCAATGTATCTGTGTACGTATTTATATCAATTTATATTTTGTGTGTCTGTTTTTTGTAAGGCATTTCCTCACAATTTGCTCGATCCGATATCGGTCAGCGATGACGCTTCTGTCTTCTGTTTGTTGTCTTTTAATTTGTTATTAAATCTTTGCTGTTGTTTTTGTTGTTGTTGTCTGCAACAGAGCGTACCAATTACGTAAATAACGAGAACTAATACAAAGCTAGTAATAATTGGGAGAGGCATATCTAAAGCATTGTCCGGTTAAATGTTAAACGTTAGACATGCGCAATGGGCATTTGAAGCGTCTTCGCATCCCGATGGGATTTATCCTACACATACTGATGATCGCCGGCGAGTCCATCGGCATCGGCGCAATCGACACGCAACAGCGGCTCCTTCTCAATTGTCTGATGCACCTGCGCATCATAGTCATAGTAGCTCATCCAATCGACGTGCCGCGGCTGCATCATGCCGAAGCAGCTGCATTCCAGAAAGTCAATTAGATTGAGGAGCGGACCACGCGTAAACGGACTGTGTCCACCCTTGGCCTGAAAGTGACGATAGCGACCACGATTCATGCGCTCATTGGTAGTCATGCCCAGGCAAATCACCTGATACGTTTGACAGACGGTCAACAGAATCACCCAGGACATATGCAGCAAAGCATTACCCATGACCCAGCCTACCCAGGCATTGCAATTGCCAATTGCTCGCATGGCGGTGAGGAAATCTGAAACACAAAATTATTAATAATTTTGCAAATGGATATGGACCAAATAGTGGACTTACCGTCAAAGCGGACATTGCACTCGTTTACGTAGTACTTGGAGCCACCGTAGAGCATCCAGGCGCACATGATCAGCAGCATCCACAGAAAGCCCATGAAGTAGCTGTGATTCTTCAGACCAATGCAATTGCCCACCCAGGGGCAATGATGATCAAATCGTGCCACACAACGATCACACACGGAGCAGTGCTTAGAGCGTATGGGTCGCCGTACCAGGCAGCCTGAACAGAAGGAGGCGGGCTCAAAGCCAATGCCACCGCGTTCCGACAGCTCAATAATGGTCTGCAAAAGGAATGCAATGCAATTATACAATAGATATTAACAACAAGTTATCCATTTGAACGCACCTTGAATCTTTGCTCTCTGGTGGGTCGTATAATGCCTGGATCACCCTTCCAAGACTTGAGAAAGCACACCCACAGTCCCAGCGAGCAGATTAGGAAGCACACTGTGGTCGCAAATGTGACAGCATCATCGATATACATCAGCCAGGTAACATAGAACCAGGCCTTCGTCGCCAGATACACAGATAGCGGCAGCAACGCCATCAGATGCTCATCGAACAGCGTTTTGCCAATCGTGTGGAATATGGCATAGAGGCAACCAAGCAGGAAAAATTTGATAATATACAGCGTGTTCAGGGTAAACACAATGCCAGCCAAATAGAAGGCGGTGAATGGACTGGCAGCCATCGACCACCAGCGCAGGCGTTTGTCATGGCGCAGTTTTGAGAGGAGAGATCGGCGCTGTTGTGACGTCAGTGATGCTTCCCTGACCCGATCCATGACCTTGGCACCAATCCAAATGGCGCCCGTTTGTGCCTCCAGCATGCTTAGCGGCGTCTCTGCCCGCAAATTGGGCACATCCAGGGAAGCCTTCGACTTGAGCACCAGCGTGGATATGGCGGTCGCATTACGTGCCAATATCGCCCAATGCAGTGCCGTGTTGCCATGCGTGTAATCAACCATGGCGGGATTGGCGCCCAGTGTCAGCAGCAGACGCACTGGATCCAGGGCACACACCTATCACAAATAATAATGATTCATTACATTTTTATATCAATATCAATGTTAAGCTTTTTTGGTCTGATTGGATTTATTCCAATCCATATAAATGCATTTAAATATCCCCCAAAAATCTAATAAACATTTCTTATTTTTTAATTTTAAATTTCAATATTACATTTTATTTTTAATACAATTTGATTTAGTTTTTTTTTTTATATAAGATTAGAGCGCTTTGCATTCTTTAATATTTAACATTTTTTAAAGAAATAAATACAAAATAATATGAAAAAAATTTAATTTATGGGAGGAGAATATTTGGGTTATCACCACGTTGTCTCTTAATTGATTTAATGTTTTATCGATAACTAAAATGCGGGAGGTGAAGTTCCAACAATGCTCAGTCTTACGCAAGTAAATAAATAGAGTTTTAAAGTACTTTGCTCGATTGGGGATTTTTCTTGACTTTCCCCAAATGAATGCATCAAATGTTGGACCGATTTGCATTTAAGCACCCCAGAAATATTATAAATTTTTATTTTTTGTTAAAATTAAATTTAAATATTGAATTTAATTGTTTATTTAATTTTTGTATTTCTTTGTGACGACTAATATAAATAAGATTGTAGCGATTAGAGATTTAGAAGATTCCTTTTATGAAGAAAATATTAAAGTGAAATGAATATTTATTTAAGCTTATCAACACGTTTTTTCATAATTGATTTAATGTTTTATCGATAACTGAGTGGCATGCGGGAGGTGGAATTTGTTGGAATTGAGCATTGTTGGATGCATTCCTCCTGCCGCGTGCCAGTTATAATCAGATAACGCAATTAAACAAATTGAGTTTTATGATTACAGCAACTTACCTTCCAGGCGGCCCACATGAGTGCCGTCATGCCGCCGCGATCTTGCAGATCGGGATCAACGCCCTTGGCTATAAAGTAGGCCACCAGGGCGGTGTGGGCAAACTGTGCGGCGATGTGTATGCAGGAGCAGCCCTCGGCATCCCGTATACGGGGATCGGCGCCGGCGGCCATCAGTAGAACAACGGCACTCAAATGACCCTGCCGTGTGGCCCAGTGCAAAGGTGTCGCATTCAATTCGCCACCAACGGCATCGACTGTGGCACCCTTCTCTAGGAAATATCTAATAATGTCCCGCCGATTGTTGATGGCAGCCCAATGGAGGAGTGTGACCGTTTCGCTGTCTGGTTGATTAACATCCCAGCCGGACTCGATGAGGTCGCGGACACGTGCTATCGCACCGTACTGTGTGGCCTTAACGATATCGAAGCCACTGTAGTCGGGCTCCACGGGCGCTGTGGGCGGTTGTTGCGCTATCAGCGCCGCCTGACGATCGTTGTCCAACTGATTGCCAGCACCGGGCACACATGAGCCCGTCGTGGCCGCATTGCAGGCGCTTTGGTACATTTTTTTTTTGCAGCGTTTGTATATTAAGTGTGTGATTGTGATTCACTTAACATCCCTAACATACACACACACACATGCACATGCACACACACACACTCACACATTCACACCCCCGCCAGGTAATGAAGGTATTTGGTTGTTATTCACAGGTCAAGCATTTTGCAGCACATTATTGACAGCAGCAGCTTATCAGGCCTGTACTAAGAAACAAACATAGGCGCACCGTTAACTTCTCAAATATTTACACAACTATAAGTTTTTAATGCGTTTTACATACGAAAATATCTGCTGCTGGTCAGTGTGACCGTTGAAGTAAACCACCGAAATACTCAATACACACGCAAGCTGGTGAAGAAGAAGCAGAAGAATACTACATGATAAAAAATTAAATTTTGAATTATTTATTTCAAATGTTTTATTCAAACGAGATATTTATCATTCGTTTCTTCATATAAAATAAATAACCGTATGCAATTTTGAAATACGAGCTCATTAGATATTCTTTAATTTTATTGTTTTAAATGCAAAATTTTATTATATAAAATTGTTTTTCATCTTGAATATTAACTGGTTTTTCATAAATACAAAAAAAGCCAAATAAAATGTATAAATATTTATTGGAAAAAAAAGCAATCACATCGAGTGCATTAAATTTTATTCAGTTTTCATTCTTTCATTTTATTCTTTAAATGCAAAATTGTATAATCTAAAATGATTTTTAAACTTTGACATTAACTTGTTTTTTATATACCAAAAAAATCAAACGAAATTTTAATTACTTATTAGAAAAATACCAAACACATCGAGTGCTTTAAATATCTTGCGGCATAAAATACCATCAGGTGAACGGAGCTGCCAACCTGATTGTGGCTTAACAGTTGGTTCATTTCGCAATTTCTTCATCTTTTCCCGCGCGGAAAAGATCGCGTTATTTTTGCGGCTTTCGATTTTTGAGTTATTATTTTTTGTTTAATTATATTTTATTAATATTATACAAGACATTCAGCATGGATAGCAAACGCAAGGTTAATGGTAATGGCACAGCAAATGGCTACTCAAAAAAGTCCAGGTAAGAAGCTGACTTTAGTAATGAAATATTAAACTAAAATTTACAATATAACTTGTAGAAATAACGATGATGACGATGACATGGGCGGCGGTTTCGAAGCGGAACTGGCCGCCTTTGAGCCCAGCGATGAGGTGATGTTGGACCAATCACAGCTATTGGGCGAGGGGCCCGAGAATCAACAGACCAGCGAACGTTGGTCGCGGGCGCCGCCGCCACAACTCAATCCACTGAGCGACAATTTAATATTCCAGCAACTGGATGTGGAGAACTATACGGGCCAGCCACTACCTGGCATGCCGGGCGCACAACTGGGCCCGGTGCCCGTCGTGCGAATGTTTGGTGTCACCATGGAGGGCAATTCCGTCTGCTGTCATGTGCATGGTTACTGCTCCTATTTCTATATATCGGCTCCGAAGAACTTTGAGCAGCGTCACTGCGCCGCGCTGCACGAGGCGCTGGACAGGAAGGTCATCGCTGACATACGCGGTGGCAATAAGGACAAAGTGCAGGAGGCCGTATTGGCTGTGGAGCTGGTGCAGCGACTCAACATCCATGGCTACCAGGGTGATGCGAAGCAGTCGTACATTAAGATAACTGTGACGCTGCCACGTTTTGTGGCCGCCGCATCAAGACTACTCAAGAATGAGGTCATAATGGGAGCGTTTGACTTTCAGGATTGTCGCGCCTTCGAGAATAACATAGATTTCGACATCCGTTTCATGGTCGAGACGAGTGTGGTGGGCTGCAATTGGATTGAGCTGCCGGCAGGCGCTTGGCGTCTGCGTGGACGCAATTCGAAGCCGGCGCCCGAATCCCGCTGTCAGCTGGAAGTGGATGTGGCCTACGATCAGTTCATATCGCATGAGCCCGAAGGCGAGTGGTCCAAGGTGGCGCCACTGCGCATCCTAAGCTTCGACATCGAGTGCGCCGGCCGCCGTGGCATCTTCCCCGAGGCCAAAATGGATCCGGTTATACAGATAGCGAATATGGTCATAAGACAGGGCGAATCGGAGCCATTCATCCGGAATGTGTTCACGCTGAAGCAATGCGCTCCTATTATTGGCAGCCAGGTGCTGTGCTACGATCAAGAGACCCAGCTGCTGGACAAATGGGCCGCGTTCGTACGTGAAGTGGATCCCGATATACTCACCGGCTATAATATCAACAATTTCGATATACCCTATTTGCTTAATCGGGCTGCCCATCTGAAGGTGAATAACTTTGAGTATCTGGGACGCATCAGGAACATCCGATCCGTTATTAAGGAGCAGGTGCTGCAGTCCAAGCAGATGGGTCGGCGGGAGAATCACTACGTCAACTTTGAGGGTAGAGTTCCGTTCGATTTATACCTTGTGCTGCTGCGCGATTATAAATTGCGCTCGTACAGCCTGAATGCGGTTAGCTATCATTTTCTGCAGGAGCAGAAGGAGGATGTGCATCACAGTATCATAACAGATCTGCAGAATGGCGATGAGCAGACGCGTCGTCGCTTGGCCATGTATTGCCTCAAGGATGCGTATTTGCCGCTGCGATTGCTGGGCAAACTGATGGCCATTGTTAACTACATGGAAATGGCGAGGGTAACGGGTGTGCCGCTGGAATCACTGTTAACCCGGGGCCAGCAGATCAAGGTGCTCAGTCAGCTGTTGCGCAAGGCGAAGACAAAGGGCTTCATTATGCCCTCGTACACATCGAGTGGCTCTGACGAGCAGTACGAGGGCGCTACGGTCATTGAACCGAAGCGCGGCTACTATGCCGATCCGATCAGCACCCTCGATTTTGCCTCACTGTATCCCAGCATAATGATGGCTCACAATCTGTGCTACACCACACTGTTGCTGCCGGGCGCCAAGGACAAGATGGGACTGCGCGATGATCAAGTCGAGCAGACACCGGCCAACAATAGGTTTGTGAAGGCCGAATTGCGACGAGGTCTGTTGCCCGAGATTCTGGAATCGTTGCTGGCGGCACGTAAGCGTGCCAAGAATGATTTGAAAGTGGAAACGGATTCGTTCAAGCGGCAAGTGCTGGATGGCAGACAGCTTGCACTGAAGATATCGGCCAATTCGGTGTATGGTTTTACGGGTGCACAAGTCGGCAAATTGCCCTGCTTGGAGATCTCGGGCAGTGTCACCGCGTATGGTCGGGTCATGATTGAGCTGACCAAGAATGAGGTGGAATCGCATTATACACGGGCCAATGGCTATGAGAATGATGCAGTTGTCATTTACGGTGATACGGATTCGGTTATGGTCAATTTTGGTGTAAAGACGCTGGAGAGGAGCATGGAACTAGGCCGAGAGGCCGCCGATTTGGTTAGCTCGAAATTTGTGCGTCCGATTAAGCTGGAATTCGAAAAGGTCTACTATCCGTATCTGTTGATCAATAAGAAACGCTATGCGGGGCTGTATTTCACCAAGCCGGACAAGTACGACAAAATGGATTGCAAGGGCATTGAGACAGTGCGTCGCGATAATTCGCCGCTGGTGGCCAATCTAATGAATGCCTGCCTCCAAAAGTTGCTCATCGAACGCAATCCCGATGGTGCCGTCGACTATGCCAAACAAATCATCGCCGATTTGCTGTGCAATCGCATTGATATCTCTCAGCTGGTCATCACCAAAGAGCTGGCGAAAACGGATTATGCCGCCAAGCAGGCGCATGTTGAGCTGGCTGCCAAGATGAAGAAACGTGATGCGGGCACAGCACCCAAATTGGGGGATCGAGTGCCGTATGTCATCTGTGCCGCAACGAAGAATACGCCGGCCTACCAAAAGGCCGAGGATCCGCTTTATGTGCTGGAAAACAGTGTGCCCATCGATGCCAATTACTATCTGGAGCAGCAGCTGTCTAAGCCGCTGTTGCGCATCTTTGAGCCCATACTGGGCGACAAGGCGGAATCGGTGCTGCTAAAGGGCGAGCATACGCGCACCCGCACCGTCGTCACCTCCAAGGTGGGTGGCTTGGCTGGTTTCATGACCAAGAAGGCGGCATGTCTCGGCTGCAAATCCCTGCTGCCCAAGGGCTACGAGCAGGCTGCGCTGTGTCCGCACTGTGAGCCCAAGATGAGTGAATTGTACCAAAAGGAGGTGGCCTCGAAGCGTGGCTTGGAGCAGACCTTTGCCCGGCTCTGGACCGAGTGTCAGCGCTGTCAGGGCTCTTTGCACGAGGAGGTCATCTGTTGCAATCGTGATTGCCCCATTTTCTATATGCGGCAAAAGGTGCGCATCGAACTCGATGCACAGGAGCAGCGGGTACGTCGCTTTGGACTGCCCGACTGGTAGACGACATACATTGAGAGTTGCATACATTATAAACCTATAATTTAATAATTATATTACTAGAAGTTATTACAAAGTTGTTGTTGTGTGTGTGTGTGTTGTATGTGTGTTTGGGATATTTGCGCAAGCGTTAAAGAAACTTCCAACTCCAACTCTCTCCTCATGGGTGGTGTACACTTTGGACAATTTTACAAGGGGGCACAGGCTCATTTCGAGGGGTGGGGCATGACTATTTGCGGCTTTGCAGCGTATTGGATAACCAGTCCATTGCCTGATCAAGTCCCTCGCCTTTGGTGGCCGACGTTTTGAATATTTGAAATGTGCGATTTTTTAGATTCTCCAAACCTAACGCATGATGCACCTCGGCAACGGTCATGCAGCCGTCCATGTCCTGTTTGTTGGCAAGCACAACGAGTATTGCCCCAGCCAGCTCCTCCTCGCGCAGCATGTACAACAGCTCATCCTTGGAAATGCCAATGCGATCCCGATCCGCTGAATCGACCACATATATTATTGCGTCCGTGTTGCTGTAATAGCAACGCCAATATGGTCTGCAAGATAAATAAATATTAATATGAATATAAATATTCTGCTTAAGTTTGGTATGATTTTGATTTTGTTAATATTAACTCTACCTTAAATAAAGAAAACTACAATTGAAAGTTGTGTGTTAATAGATACTTTGATGATTATCAGATTAACCATAATTAATCTTATCTCTTGGTTTGCTCTCTTTATATTTAGTTCTACTCTAAAGAGAGGGTCTGGCAACCCAGAGCATTATTACACATCACTTAAACATATATGGGCAAAGACGTCACAAAAAACTAATAAAATGCGATAAAGAAAATCAACTCAATTTTGGCGATTAGGAACATAAATGAAGAACGATGGTTTATGCTTTTCTTGATGAGAAAATTTAAATGAATTAAATATTACATCGAATAAGTAAGCATTTCTCACCTAATACTTGTCTGTCCGCCCAAGTCCCAGACCTGGAACTTGAGGTTCTTGTATGTTACCTGCTCCACGTTGAAGCCAATTGTTGGTATCGTTGTAACGACCTCGCCGACCTGCAGCCTATACAATATTGTTGTTTTGCCGGCACCATCCAGGCCCAGTATTAAAATGCGCATCTCCCTGGAGCCGAGCAGACCACGAAAATAGCTGAGCACCCCACCTGCAGCCATAAAAAATGAAATGAAATTAAAAGGTGGTGGTGACTTTCGTGACAGGCGGCAGACAATTTGATAAACGCAGAGTATTTTGCCATGTTGGACTGCCCATTTTTTTTATTGAGGGGGTACCCATCACCTACCCATGATTAAAACTCGATTGCAACGTGCTAAATGTGCCTCTAAATGCTTAAATATTAATAATAACTAACTAATTATGTTATTTTGCTCGTGAGACGAATTCTGCTCTTGTTTTCACTAAATGACAAGAATTTTGCCATTCACCGGTCACGTAAACATGACGTGTCATCGCACGCGTTCAGCACACAATGAATATTTTTAACAAACAGGTCGAACTTATGAAAATAATTCAACGAACTGATAAATTGAATTTTAGTTGTGTATTTTTTAATCAGCTATTCTCGGCTGCAACATGCATTTTCCACACATTTGTGTTGTGCTGAACGCAGCCAGTTTTAGCCGGCACACAGGGTTGCCACAGTTTGCGTTTTGTTATACAGAGACGTCCGCCATTGTCGCGTCTATCGCCCAAAAGAAAAGTGTGAAAAATCGGGAAACATAAAACTCATTCAAATTGTGCAAATTAGGTAAAATTATAAACAAAAAATTGTGCAAACTTTGATCTGATATTACATTAGACAAGTGGGCTGCAAAAGACAAGAATTCTATGCACTTCTGCGACATGTGCAAAATTTGTGTGAGGCAAAGAAACAAAGCCAAATAAAACCGATTACATATACAATGTAAAAAGTTTACATTTAAATGGACTTTGCGCAAAATGCTTAAGCGTAAATACTGTATATTGACGTATTCACAACTTTTTAGCTAACCGTTCGTTATAGGGGAGCAGTGCCCAGTGCCCGAAAAACTACAACGTGAACAACTTGCGAGTTAAACGCAGACACACAGACCAGACAGACAGTGGAAATGGCCTCGCCCTCGCCGGCGAATAGTCCGATGCCGCCGCCGCAAGCACCCAGTCCCATGGCGCCTCCGTCGCAGAGTCCAGCACCGTCGCCGCACAGCCCCTATCCGCATCAGGGACCACCGCAAGGGCCGCCACAGGGACCGCCGCCGGGTGCGCCACATATGCAGGGACCACCGCCACCGGGTCATCCGGGTGGACCCTATGGCCATCCCATGCAGCATGGCCCGCCCGGGCCACAGGGACCGCCGGGCCATCATATGCCGCCACATCATCAGGGCATGAGTATGCGCATCATTTGCAATTTATTTATTTATTTTTATTGAACACAATTCTAAACTGATTTCAACTCATTTACAGATCCTCACATGGGCATGCAGATGCCACCATCTGGACCCAATATGTCGCCGCTTGGCTATCAAACGCATGGCATGCCGCCCAATGTGAGTGCATAACAAATCCATTAATATAATCTAAGCGAATATGTAGTCTTTAATCTGATCCGCCTGCTTAATCAGCTCGATGACGGCCTGGGCGAGCTGATCTGTGCCAGCGGCTACCAAATTGGGTTTCATCACATTGAACTCATGCTCAGTGCCCTTTGTATTGTGCACAACTCCGCCTGCTTCGCGCACCAGCAGCACACCAGCAGCCACATCCCAGGGCTTTAGATAATCCACATGATAGGTGTCCAGTGTACCCTTGGCCACATAAGCCAACGACATGGCGGCGCTAGCCAAGCAACGTGTCCTAATCATAGCAAGAAGTGTAGAATTGGGGCGGGGAGTAATCTTTAATCCAACTAACTCACCCAGCTGCGTGGGAACCCAATTTATAGGCACGCTTGAGGCACACGTCACGCCATCGTGGCACATTCATCAACGTTACTTCATTGCCCACCACAGCGCTGGCAATCTGAAAGATTAGATTCAATTCTCAGCTCGCACGTTGTTTATCCATCGAACACAAACCGTAGTTGCTTTGGATGCTTGAATTGGTTTTCCATTTAAATAGGCGCCTTCACCCTTCCTGGCCGTAAACAATTCATTTGCCGCTGGATTGTAGATGATGCCCAGCATCAGCTGCTTATTGATGGTCAGAGCAAGCGAGATGCCACAATGTGGCAATCGATGTATGTAGTTTGTGGTCCCATCGATGGGATCAATGATCCAGGTGGGTGCATCCGTTAGTTCGGGCAACTGTTTGCTGCCAGCCAAACTCTCCTCGCCAATGAAATGGGATTCGGGAAAGGTGCTCGAAAGGCCGGTTATTAGTGTCTCCTCAATGCGACGATCGTAAACGGTGACAAAGTCGAAGAAGGCATCTTTAACCATTACCTCCAATTTGGGCTTGTTGTAGCCCTCCTCAAAAATGGCGCCACATTTGATGACCAAGTCCAGAGCTACATCGTAATACTCTTTGAGCTTTGACTCGCTTACGCTGCTCGCCATATCTACAGCTAAAATTGTTCTACATATTATAAGTCTGGCATTATCTTTGAGGTAATAGAAACTCTGAAGAAAATTTTGACTCGTTATCTGCTAACAAGTAGCTTCCACGATTTCCAGTGCAAAGATAGCTTCAGAGCTTTTTTAAAGTCAAAGCTTTTTCACTACAAGAAAGCTCTTTTTAATTGCATGCTCTACTTTTTTTTTATTGTTTTGTTTGTCAAGCTTAATTTGTTTTGTGATCTGCATATTTTATTCTATAACCCACCTCCGCCACCCACCGACTGCTCCTTGTCGGCCTTGCGCAGCAGATTTTCAATTTCTAGCCGCAATTCCTCGGTGCCGGCACAAATTAAATCGGGTTTCATTATATCAAATGGTCCGCCAAAGGGATTCTTAACAACTCCACCAGCCTCACGCACCAGCAAAGAGCCGGCGGCACAATCCCACGGATACATTTCCTCAATGTAGAAGGCATCCAGATTGCCAGCGGCGACCATGCAAAGCTCATCCACCACACAGGAGTAGGCCAACATGCTGTGAATGGGGCCTTTGAGCCTTTGAGATTGTTAAAGATTCCTTGCTGCTTACTCACCGCCTGGCATGCAATCCCACGTGGTAGATGCGTTTGATGTGCTTGTTGGCCATATTGTGCACATGGAGTAGGGACACCTCATACGCCACATTGGCATCCCGGACACGCTCACAGTTGCTCACATGAATGGGTTTGCCATTGCAGAAGGCGCCTTGTCCCAACTTGGCCGTGTAGAGTTTCTTCTGGGCAGGATTATTGACTACGCCCAGCACAATTTGCTTATTAATGGAGAGTCCAATGGAAACGCATACATGGGGTATTTGTTTAATGAAATTTGAGGTGCCATCAATGGGATCTATGATCCAGGTGGGAGCATCTGTTAGCTCCATGGTTATATTGTGATTCTTCGCCGTTTCCTCCTCGCCAATAAATTTATGCAGCGGATATTTGGCCAAGATGTTGCCTTTGAGGAACTCCTCGATTTTATTGTCATAGTCGGTGACCACGTCATAGAATGCACCTTTGATATCCACTTGCTTCTCCTCCCGCTCGTAGCCGTCGAGCAGAATTTCGCCCGCTTTAATTGCCAGCGGGTGGATGAAATTGTATAACTCTTCAATTTCCGTTAACATCTTGTAGATGGTGCTGTTCTTGTTGTTATTCGTCTTGTTGTATGCAAATTGCGAATTGCGAATCCGTCACTTTGACGTTCGTTGTTAACGTCTTGGCTTCGCCTGGCGACTGATCAGTAATCAGTGTTGATCACTGGAACAAAGCTTGAAGTGTTGCTTGCAAGACTCTCTATCTCTCTGTCTCTCCCTCACACACACGTTTGTTTACATTGAGCTTTAAATATATAAATAAACGGTAAACGCAATATATTGGTTGGCAGCCAGCAGTTACAAAAATGCACTGAAAATTGAAATCTGTTGCTTGCTTCTTGCTCTTTTTTTTCTCCGGTTTTATCTCGTTTGATTTGACGCGACTACAAATGAAACTTTTTTTTTTATCTTTAACATACATGTGTTGTCTATTGCAAGGGGTACTCAAACAGTTAAACAAAGAAAATAATAACTGGTTTCAATTTATTTATTCGTGCTTAGTTATACAATGACTGTGATTATTTGTCAAACGTTTTTATGATTTTTAACCAAATCTCCCTCGAAAACCTGAATTTTTTACTGGTAATGATTTTTTAAATCGATTTTCTTTATTATAAATTTATAAATTCAATTTATTAATTTGCCCTTGGTTTCATTTGAATGTATATTCCGTAATTTGATTGGCCTCCTCAATGAGGCTCATCGCATTCTTGGCCAGTTCATCGGTGGCTGCACACACAAGATCGGGTTTCATCACATTAAATTTACCACCACTGGTATGATAGATGGAGCCACCTGCTTCAGTTAATATAACAGCGCCAGCTGCAATATCCCATGGCTTAAGATCCTCAACATGATAAATATCGCATTGGCCCGTTGCCACATAGCACAAGGCGAGAGCACCACTGCCAAAGCTGCGAGTGCTGCAAAGCGGCAAAGTGTTGATTTTTGTGACTCTCAGAATTTAAGCACCATATTTAATAACACTTACGCTGTAGCATTTGAGCCCAACTTATAAATGCGTTTGATATTCTTGTCGCGCACTGCAACAGCATGTATCATTGAAATCTCATAGGCAACCACGGCTTGTCTGATCTAAGAAAATGAGAGATGGGAGAGACAGAGAGCGTGTAGTAAACTTGGGTAGAGAGTGAGTAGTAAACTTGGAGAGAGACTCTCCTCGCACTCTGAGTGTGTTTGCTGACAGTTCTATTGCTCATTCAGTATGCGGAAAGTTTTGTTTGTCGTTATGTGTGTGTGTGTGTGCGTATGAAGGCAAACAACAAATAAAAGAATTTCGTTTGTTTTGTTATACATACTGAAATTGCTTTATCATCATGCTTGTTACTCTTTTTTTCTTTCGTTTTTTTTTCGTCAGTTGTATAATCATAGACTATTAATACTTACTGTCGTTATTTTGGAGGTGTGAATGCGCTGGCCATTCAAGTAAGCACCGTGCCCCTTCCAAGCTGAGAACAGCTCATTTGCCGGCGGATTGTAGATAATGCCAACGACCAGCTCCTTGTTGATAGTCAAACCCACCGAAATGCAGCAATGAGGAATGCGATGCACGAAATTTGTGGTGCCATCGATGGGATCAATGATCCACGTGGGTGCATCGGTTAATTCCGCTTCGCGTTTGGTGGCTGCCGATTCCTCCTCGCCAATGATTTGGGATTCGGGAAATGCAGCGAGTAGTCCTTCAGTGAGGGTATCTTCGATCTGTTTGTCGTAGACGGTGACCAAATCATAAAAGTCCGCTTTCACCGTATAATCCGCCTTGGGTTTCTTGTAGCCCTCCATTAACATTGGTCCACATTTCTTCACCAGACTCAAGGCTACCTCATAATACTCCTTCAACTGGGACTCGCTAATCATAGTGCTCTTGCTCATTGTTCTGCTTTGGCTTTAGACTCGACAAATTCTCGCTGGCCACTGAATTCGTATACACAAAATGGAGTCGCAGTCTCTCATCAGTAAAAAGCTTTTACAAAGCTCTCCTCGCACCTCGCATGCATTGTTGAACTTGCAAGTGTAGTGGAATCATGCGAAAGGAAAGGGGTATAATTTTTTTACGATCGAGTGTGAAATGAGTTTGCATAATCTAATTCAGAGCAAGTGATTAAATTAATCTTTGGGGTTTGCATAATCTAATTTAGAGCAAGTGATTAAATTAATCTTTGGGGTTTATGACTACATCTCCTCGTTTATCTGTGGAAACGTTTCAGTTACATTGCTGTCAACATTAATTTAAGTGATAATATTGTTGACTATCTAGACTGCGTTTGCGAAAGCCATTTAATGCAAATGTATCATAATTTCAATATTTATTTTAAAAATATAAATGTTTGCTTTGTTGATGCCTATAAATTTGATGGAAATTGTGATAACATAAATTCACAACACTTTTACATTATCATATCAAACTATTCCAAATTAGATTAGCCTAAAATCATAAATATTATTGTTAGTAAAATTAAAGCTTTTTTCTGCTCGTAAATTTCGTTTATTATTTAAGTACTATCTAAACAAAAACAAAATTTAGACATCTGCATCGAATTCATCATTTCCCACTGACTTGGCCTGATCTGCTTTGCGTATTAGAATCTCAATTGCTGCTCGTAAAGTTTCTGTGCCGGCACAGATTAAATCTGGCTTCATAACGTCAAAGGGGCCCCCATAGGGATGGGTAACGACGCCGCCAGCCTCACGTATTAGCAAATAGCCTGCGGCACAATCCCACGGATACATGTCCTCAATGTGAAAAGCATCCAAATTTCCAGCGGCGACCATGCAAAGTGAATCCACCACAGCTGAATAACCCAGCAAACTGCAACACATAACCAATTGTTTTTATCTTTTATCTTATCTTTTTATCTTTTTGATTTTCCTTACCGTCTTGCTTGGGAGCCCACATAGTAGATGCGCTTGATGTGCTTATTCCTTATCGTTTTCTCGTGGAGCAGACACACCTCATAGGCTACGTTGGCATCATTTAAGCGCTCACAGTTGCTCACATGAATGGGTTTGCCATTGCAGAAGGCGCCTTGTCCCAACTTGGCCGTGTAGAGTTTCTTCTGGGCAGGATTATTGACTACGCCCAGCACAATTTGCTTATTGATGGCAAGTCCAATCGAAACGGATACATGCGGTATTTGTTTAATGAAATTCGAGGTGCCATCAATGGGATCAATGATCCAGGTGGGAGCATCTGTTAGCTCCATGGTTATATTGTGATTCTTGTACGTATCCTCCTCGCCAATGAATTTATGCTCGGGATAGCTAGCGAGTATGCTGGCCATCAGAAACTCTTCGATCTCATTGTCATAGTCGGTGACCACATTGTGGAATTGATTGTGTTTTAAATCCACCGCCTTTCCAGCGTTTTCATAGCCCTCGAAAAGTATTTCACCTGCTCGAATTGCCAGCGGGTAGATGAACTTGTAAAGCTCCTCGATCAGCTCGCTGCTTGCCATTGTTTGCCAAATGACAGCGCCACAGAGAGAGAGACTGGGAGAGAGAGAAATAGAGTGAGGGATCGAGAGATTCTTAAGATTTGACGTGCTGTTTGTCAACTGACTCAACTGCAACTGAACTCGAACTCGCTGTGAGTTGTTAAAACTGAAACTGGAACTGGTTTTCGTTCCATTAAGCTTGGCTGGAAGTATTTATTTAACTTGCCGAGATACGAAGAGCTTTTGCTCAGTTAAAATAAGAAGGGAGAGTATTCGATGCTTGGGTACCCTTCATGAATACAACTAAACTCGTGTTCAATATTATGGTCATTGACTTCTCTAATTAAATTTTTTTTCAAATACCCTCTAAGAATTAGATTACATTCGTATTGACGATATGCTCACAGGGTATCTATTAGCGGTGTTGAAACTATTACATTTTGTTTTTGCATCAACTTTTATGACTTTTCCCATTAATATTTGTTATATTTTTTAGGGACCGCCACAGCCTGGTCAGGGTCCGCCCGGTGGTCCACCCGGTGGTCCGCCCGAGCGTTCTGGTCAGGAAAATCTGCATGCACTGCAGCGTGCTATCGATTCGATGGAGGAGAAGGGATTGCAAGAGGATCCACGCTATTCGCAGCTGCTGGCAATGCGCGCTACGTCCAAGCACCAGCATCTCAATGGCAATCAGGTGAATCTGCTGCGTACACAGATCACCGCCTATCGCATGCTGGCACGCAACAAGCCCATCTCCATGCAGATGCAGCAAGCGCTGCAGGCGGCCCAACAACAACAGCAGCAGCAACAGCAGCAGCAGCAACAACAACAACAACAGCAGCCGCCGCCGCCCATTGGACCACCGGGTATGCCGCCAGGTGGTCCCCATCCGGGTCAACAGGCGATGCAGCCGCAACAGCCACCATCGACGGGCACACCGCCGCAATGCCCGACACCACCAGCTAGTCCTTACGGTCAGCCGGTGCCCGGCCAGAAATTGCAGTCAGCACCGCCGCCGCATATGCAAGGCCAGCCGTTGCCACCACAGCCGCCGCTCATAGGCGGTGGTGTACCTCCTCCGCCACAGCAGCAACAGCTGCAGCAACAACAACAACAACAGCAGCTGCAACAACAGCAACAACAACAACAGCAGCAACAACAACAAATGCAACATCAGCAGCCGCCACAGCAGCAGCAACAAGCACATCAACCACCGCCGGAACATCAGCAGCATCAGCAGCACAACGGTGGTAAACCACTAGCCATGGGTCCAGTTGGGGGTCAGCCATTGATAGCGCCACCCTCGCAGATGCAACAGCAGCAGGCGCAGGGTGTGCGTCCGCCGGCGCCTGGCTTGCCGCCCGGTAGCCAGGTGGCACAACCGGGACCGCCACGACCCGGCGCACCGCCCGGCCAACAACAGCCGATGGCGAAACCGAATCGGGTGACAACCGTAGCGAAACCAGTGGGTCTGGATCCCATAACGCTGTTGCAGGAGCGTGAAAATCGGATTGCGGCACGCATATCGTTGCGCATGCAGGAGCTGCAACGCTTGCCCGCCACCATGTCTGAGGATCTGCGTCTGCAGGCCGCCATTGAGTTGCGTGCGTTGCGCGTGCTCAATTTTCAGCGGCAACTGCGCATGGAAATTGTGCAGTGCACGCGGCGGGACACAACGTTGGAGACGGCCATCAATATGAAGTTCTACAAGCGTACCAAGCGCCAAGGGTTGCGCGAGGCACGCGCCACCGAAAAGCTGGAGAAGCAACAGAAACTGGAGGCGGAACGCAAACGCAGGCAGAAGCATCTCGAGTTCCTTGCTGCAGTGCTGCAGCATGGCAAGGATTTGCGTGAATTCCATCGCAACAACAAGGTGAGTAAAACGAAAATATAAAATCAAATAAATATATTAAATATACATATATATCTATGTTGTGGTTCAGGCTCAGCTGGCGCGAATGAACAAGGCGGTGATGAATCATCATGCGAATGCGGAGCGTGAACAGAAGAAGGAGCAGGAGCGCATCGAGAAGGAGCGTATGCGTCGCTTGATGGCCGAGGATGAGGAGGGCTATCGCAAACTGATCGATCAGAAGAAGGACAAACGTTTGGCATTCCTGCTCTCGCAGACGGATGAGTATATCAGCAATCTGACACAGATGGTCAAACAGCACAAGGATGATCAGATGAAGAAGAAGGAGGAGGAGGGCAAACGTCTACAGCAATACAAAAAGGAGCTGCTGATGAGCGGCGAATATGTTAACATCGACGAGAGCAGCATCGCTGCAGATATGCGCGTTATTGTCGTGGAACAGTGCAGCGGCAAGAAGCTGACCGGTGACGATGCACCGATGCTGAAGCATTTACATCGTTGGCTCAACATGCATCCCGGCTGGGATTGGATAGACGACGACGATGACGATGAGGACAGCGGCGGTGGCGGCGATGACGCAACGAAACTCAAACACGAGGAGCAGCCACAATTGGAACGCAATGCTTCAGCGGCGGGCGATGGAACGGACGATGCCAATGCCGCCACAGACAAATCATCAGCACAGCCAGGCGGCGATGCGACCGGAGCCAGCGATTTGATTACCCAAGTCAAAGTGGAGGACGATGAGTATCGCACGGAGGAGCAGACCTACTACAGCATTGCGCACACCGTGCATGAGAAGGTTGTCGAGCAGGCCAGCATCATGGTCAATGGCTCCCTCAAGGAGTACCAGATCAAGGGACTCGAATGGCTCGTCTCGCTGTACAACAACAATTTGAATGGCATTCTGGCCGATGAGATGGGTCTGGGCAAGACCATACAAACGATTTCACTGGTCACCTATCTAATGGACCGAAAGAAGGTGATGGGTCCGTATTTGATAATAGTGCCACTGTCCACGCTGCCCAATTGGGTGCTCGAGTTCGAGAAGTGGGCGCCAGCCGTTAGCGTTGTCAGCTACAAGGGCAGTCCGCAGGGACGTCGCCTGCTCCAGAATCAGATGCGGGCAACCAAATTCAATGTGCTGCTCACCACGTACGAGTATGTGATCAAGGATAAGGCGGTGCTCGCGAAGATCCAGTGGAAGTACATGATCATCGATGAGGGACATCGCATGAAGAATCATCATTGCAAGCTGACGCAGGTTCTCAATACCCATTATATAGCACCATATCGTCTACTATTGACGGGCACACCCCTGCAGAATAAGTTGCCCGAATTGTGGGCACTGCTCAACTTTCTGCTGCCCTCCATCTTCAAGTCGTGCTCCACATTTGAGCAGTGGTTCAATGCTCCGTTTGCCACCACCGGCGAGAAGGTCGAACTGAATGAGGAGGAAACGATTTTGATTATAAGACGTCTGCACAAGGTGTTGCGTCCGTTCCTGTTGCGTCGCCTCAAGAAGGAGGTGGAACACCAGCTGCCCGACAAAGTCGAGTACATCATCAAGTGCGATATGTCGGCGCTACAGCGAGTCCTCTACAAGCACATGCAGAGCAAGGGCGTCCTGCTCACCGATGGCTCCGAGAAGGGCAAACATGGCAAAGGCGGCGCCAAGGCCCTCATGAACACCATTGTCCAGCTGCGCAAGCTGTGCAATCATCCGTTCATGTTCCAGCACATCGAGGAGAAGTACTGCGATCATACCGGCGGACATGGCGTTGTCTCTGGTAACTATTTCCCCACTCTAATCTTGGAGAGATTAATCATAAATTTATATCCTTCTCTTATAGGTCCCGATCTGTATCGTGTATCGGGTAAATTTGAGCTGCTGGATCGAATCTTGCCCAAACTGAAGGCGACCAATCATCGTGTGCTGCTCTTCTGTCAGATGACCCAATGCATGACCATCATCGAGGATTATCTCGGGTGGCGTCAGTTTGGCTATCTGCGCCTGGACGGCACTACCAAGGCCGAGGATCGTGGCGAACTGTTGCGTAAATTCAATGCCAAGGGCTCCGATGTATTTGTCTTCTTGTTGTCCACACGCGCCGGTGGTCTCGGCCTGAATTTGCAGACAGCCGACACTGTGGTCATCTTCGATTCGGATTGGAATCCGCATCAGGATCTGCAAGCACAGGATCGTGCCCATCGTATTGGCCAGCGCAATGAGGTGCGCGTGTTGCGTCTGATGACGGTGAATTCGGTGGAGGAGCGCATTTTGGCTGCGGCACGTTACAAGCTGAACATGGACGAGAAGGTCATCCAGGCGGGCATGTTCGATCAGAAGTCAACGGGCAGCGAACGGCAGCAGTTCCTGCAAACCATCTTGCATCAGGATGACAACGAGGAGGAGGAGGAGAATGAAGTGCCCGATGATGAGATGATTAACATGATGATAGCTCGCAGCGAAGAAGAAATCGAGATCTTCAAGCGTATGGATTTGGAACGCAAGAAAGAGGACGAGGAAATCCATCCAGGCAGAGATCGTCTCATCGATGAGTCCGAGCTGCCCGACTGGCTGACCAAGGATGATGATGAAGTGGAGCGTTTCCATTACCAATACGATGAGGATACCATATTGGGTGAGTTGATCTTGGTATATATTTAAAAGGGAGAGAAACTTATAAAACATGTCTGCATTTTCAGGTCGCGGTTCACGACAGCGCAAGGAGGTGGATTATACGGATAGCCTGACCGAGAAGGAGTGGCTCAAGGCCATCGATGATGGTGCCGAATTCGACGAGGAGGAGGAGGAGGATAACGATCCGAAGCGCAAGCGACGCAAACGCAAGAATCGCAAAGAGGAATCGGATGATGATTCGCTCATCTTGAAGCGCAGACGCCGCCAGAACTTGGACAAGCGCTCCAAGAAACAGATGCACAAGATCATGAGCTGTGTAATCAAGCACACCCAAGATGGTCGCACGCTCTCCGAGCCATTCATGAAGCTGCCGTCGCGCCAGCGATTGCCTGACTATTATGAGATCATCAAGCGACCGGTGGACATTAAGAAGATATTGCAACGCATCGAGGACTGCAAATATGCGGATCTCAATGAGCTGGAGAAGGACTTTATGCAGCTCTGTCAGAATGCACAGATCTACAACGAGGAGGCATCGCTCATCTATCTCGATTCGATAGCGTTGCAGAAAATCTTTGTGAGCTCGCGGCAAAGGATTACAGCCGCAGCGGATGCAGCTGCTGTGGCAGCTGGTGAAAATACAGGCGATGGCCATGGCAATGGCGGTGGCGGTGGCAATGGTGGTGGTGGTGGTTCCGACAACTCGGATAATGATGATGACGATGGCGATGATGGTTCGGATGATGAGGAAATCGCGACCACATCGGCGGCGGCCGTTAAAATGAAGTTAAAACTCAGCAAATCATTGGCCAGTGCACCGGCGACGCCGACCCAATCCTCGACAGCATCGGCATCGGTGGCGAGCAGTGGGGCAGCGACCACATCTAAGAAGCAGACACGTCGCAAGCGTTCCCAAAAGAAATACACCATATCGGATGATGATGACGATGACATGGACTAGCTGCCATTGGGCGTCATTTTCAAACGAATGGCGAACGGTGCCGAATCCAACTAATTCATTTAGTTTACTCTTCAGTTGTCTCCAGATCCTTAAACCCCATTTGTCACTCAGCATTTGCAATAATGAAACTTTCTACAGTTTGTCGCACATACTTAAATAAAAAGAAAATCAGAAAAACAAAATGATATACACATATATATTTCAAGCCAATACTTTTTAAAATAAATCCACAGTGTGTCCAAAAAGTATGTATACCAGACGGACTCGTCTCATTGTAAAAACAAAACACGAACACAGTGAGTCCATCAATTTTACTCTAATTTACAAAGATATTTGGAGAGATAAAGAGTATTTGCTGCATCACATATATATATTCAACTAATTAAAGTACATTGATTTTCATTAAATGCCAAGAGCTCAATGTGATCCTGGCTAATTAGATAATGCTACAACAAATAATGAAAGTATTCATCACAGAACTCGTGAATGCTCGACGCATATTCCTCATCACTGCTCCGCTCCCTGCGTCTCGGCGGTATTTTGTGCGCATTCGCATATAGATCTAGATCATCATCAATGTTGACATCATCGCTCTCTGGAAAAATGGAAAATGCAATGTTTTTTTAATTGGCTGTCAATTGAATTGAATTGACTTCCAGGCTGGAATTAAAATAGTAGACATTTCCAGTTACAATTACTTGAGTAGTTCTGTGTGAGTAATTTAATTACTTTAGTAATTGGTGATTTTACAATTTAAAAAATCCAATTATTGATTCACAATTCCAGCTATGCATAAAATGGTCAATACTTAATAAAAATCTAAAAAAAATAAAATCCAAATACTAATACCTAATTCCAATTATTTATGAAAAAGGTAAATACTTAAGAAAAAGTTGTCAGTTAAGGTTAGTTCTAGGGCAACGAAATTAAACATGGCTCTTATGGGCTTATCTCAAGCTTAAGCTGCGAGGATTTTCGACAGATAAGTCATTATATGATTATTTCTTAAACATTAAATAGAGCAATATTTAAAGATTAATGTGGTCGTTCTCAGGTTATTTTATCACAAATAATACAACAATAAGTTGAACAAATTGTTAAGCGCAATTTTATTAATATTACTCGAATCAAGTTATAATCATGTTAAACGAAGTTCTCAATAACAGCCTGAATAATTTGTATATAAACTTACCTCGATATTTATGCTTTCTGCCCAAACGTAGCTTGGAGCTGGAGAGCACCGCCTCATCGCCCAGCTCCAGATCGGGATCACGGGAGCAACGGGAATATCGCACTGGTGGCGCCAGAAACCAATACAATTGCATGATGCTTTTCAGGCCGGGCATTTGACGCAGTTCCTCGAGTTTGACGGGCTGCTTGGCAAGCGCCTCAAATGCTCTCAGCTGCAATGTGGCCGCCACCGATGTGGAATTAATTAGCCGTACAACAGACTTGGCAGCTGTCGAACAGACCATAGGATAGATCTTCACATTCGGATCCGTGGGTATATTTGTGTAGGCAACACCCAACGAACGACGATTCAAATAGAACTCCAAATGGCCACGCGTCCGATCCAAATAGATGCCCACCAAGCAGCCCTGTGAGAATTTCTGGCCATAGGGCAACTGATCACCACAGTGCTGAATTTTGCCATTGTACGAATAGCCCCAGGATTGGGAATTTGTGCCCAGTGCGGAAACGAAATGAAATTTAAACTGCTCCAAATTGAAGCTGTCAGTTCCAATGCCAAACATCTGAATGATGACATGATAAGAGTAAAAGAGATAGTAATTCAATTAAACTACTATTTTTGCATTGACCTTTTTGTAAGATGACTTTGTTATTCTATATATTCATATGAATGCTTATCAATTGTCTAAGCAGATTTCCTCATGATTGACATAGTCTTATCGGCAAAGTGGTGCTTATCTCAACCTTAGACTGTTCTCAATCTCTGACTGATGCAGTTGCTGCGTGTTCTATTCTAGAACTTACCACATCTGTGCCCGCCAGCACTGTGATGACGCGCATCTCCCAGAAGTGCACCTTGCCCAGCTGCAGCGGCTGCTCGCCGCGCACAATTGTCGTGCCCTGACTGTACGTGGGATGGAAGATGATGTCACGGCCAACGATTTGAGCATCCGACTCTTCTGAATGATGCCATTGCCAATCGAGACCGTTGCCGCTGTCCTCGCCACAACGGCACTTGACTAGATCGGGTATGTGTCCCTTGTGATTGGCCACATCGACGCAGTTGGGCAGGTGGCAATCGCAGAAGCCGGGACAGCGTAGTTCCTGATCTATACTTGGCAGTGGCAGCATTTTACTTTTGATTTTGCTGTCGAGGTCACAATGCAACTGATTTTGCTTATCTATGCGCTGCTCTATATATTCCAATTACAGCAGAGAGCCGTTTGTTTTGTTTACCTTTACTTACATGAGTCACAGTGTGACCAGCGCTAATCGAAAGCAGTGCTGGAAAATGCCTATACTCCTAATCGATATATATCGCCGATAGCAATCGTTACCGATTATATCGTTGTATATGCAAAGCAGCCATCCAAGGAACAGCGGTAGACAGTAATTTATTTAACGCGTTAAAATTGCAAAATTAACTGAATTTAGCACGCAAAACGTTGGCAAAACATTAAACAAGTATGGCGGATGCCGCAGCACGTCAATTGCAGTACGAGTACAAGGCGGTATGTGATCAAAAGTGCTTTGAAAAAACACCGCCGCCACATGCGGTAAACGTTTGCCGAAAATTGTTTGTTTTTTTTTTTTTAATTTGCTTTCAGAACTCGAATCTTGTGCTGCAAGCTGATGTACGACTCATTGAGCGTCCGAGGCGCGATGAAGCCACCGGCGAGGTGTGCTCACTGGTGGGCAAATTGGATGGCACTCGCATGGGCGATCGATATCAGCGCACAAGGCCCGAGAAGACAGAAGAGCGCAAACAGAAGCGACAGAAACGTGATGAGGCGCAATACGATTTTGAACGGATGAAGGGCGCCACACTGCTCTCGGAGGGCATCGATGAAATGGTCGGCATTGTGTATCGCCCCAAAACACAGGAGACGCGTCAAACCTACGAAGTGCTTCTCAGTTTCATCCAGGAGGCGTTGGGCGATCAGCCGAGGGATATATTGTGCGGCGCTGCCGATGAAATTCTAGCTGTGCTCAAGAATGAACGACTCAAGGATCGGGAACGCAAACGCGATGTCGACAGTCTGCTCGGTGAAGTGACAGACGAGCGTTTCGCGTTGCTCGTCAATCTGGGCAAGAAGATCACGGACTTTGGCAGCGATGCTGTCAACGCTTTAACAGCAGCCACCAACAATGAGGAGCAAATTGATGATACATACGGCATCAATGTGCAATTCGAGGAGTCCGAAGAGGAGAGCGACAATGACATGTATGGCGAGATCCGAGACGATGATGGCCAGGACGAGGGCGAAGAGGCGCGCATCGATCACACCCTGCACGCCGAGAATGTGAGTAACTTAATCGCTTTATCTGGACAACCGATTTATGCTCTACTTCACAGCTGGCTAGCGAGGAGGCGGCGAGTAATATGAAAAAGGAACGTTCGCTTCATCCCCTGGATATTGATGCCTATTGGTTGCAGCGTTGTCTCAGCAAGTACTACAAGGATGCAATGGTCTCGCAGAGCAAAGCAGCCGATGTTCTCAAAATACTGAAAGATGCCGCCGATGAGCGTGACTGTGAGAATCAACTTGTCCTGCTGCTGGGCTACGATTGTTTTGATTTTATTAAGCAGCTGAAGCTCAACCGGCAGATGATACTCTATTGTACGATGCTGGCTTCCGCACAAACGGACAGCGAACGGCAGCGTATACGCGAAAAGATGCGTGGCAATACGGCGCTGGCCAAAATCCTCCGTCAATTGGACACGGGCAAGGCCGACGAACAGGAGGAGGCCGATGCACGCGCCAATAAGCGTGGCAAGGGCGATGCAGACGATGGTGGCGCCGCATCTGCTGGCCAGGTGGCCGGTGTGCGTCAATTGTTGGAATTGGATGAGTTGGCCTTTACACAGGGCTCACATTTTATGGCCAACAAGCGTTGCCAGCTGCCCGATGGCAGCTATCGCAAGCAGCGCAAAGGCTACGAAGAGGTACACGTGCCCGCCCTCAAACAGGTGCCTTTCGATGCCAACGAGGAGTTGCAGCCCATTGACAAGCTGCCAAAGTACGTTCAGCCCGTCTTCGATGGCTTCAAGACCTTGAATCGTATTCAAAGTCGCCTCTACAAGGCCGCCCTGGACAGCGATGAGAATATGTTGCTGTGTGCTCCAACTGGAGCGGGTAAAACAAATGTCGCTCTGCTCACGATGATGCGCGAGATTGGCAAGCATATCAATGAAGATGGCACCATCAATTCCCAGGATTTCAAGATCATCTATGTGGCACCGATGAAATCTCTTGTCCAGGAGATGGTCGGCAATTTTGGACGTCGTCTTGCCTGCTACAATCTGACAGTCTCTGAGCTGACCGGAGATCATCAGTTGACCCGGGAGCAAATCGCTGCCACGCAGGTCATCGTCTGCACCCCCGAGAAATGGGATATTATAACGCGTAAGGGCGGCGAACGGACGTTTGTCAGTTTGGTGCGATTGGTCATCATCGATGAGATCCATTTGCTTCACGATGAGCGTGGTCCGGTGCTGGAGGCGCTCGTTGCCCGTACCATACGCAACATTGAGACCACCCAGGAGGATGTGCGTCTCGTTGGTTTGTCGGCAACGTTGCCCAATTACCAGGATGTTGCCACATTTCTGCGCGTCAAACCGGACAAGGGACTCTTCTACTTTGACAACAGCTATCGGCCAGTGGCGCTGGAGCAGCAGTACATTGGTGTCACTGAGAAGAAGGCGCTGAAGCGCTTCCAGGTGAGTCCTGACCACATACAGTTGCGAACAAAATAATAGTAACACTTACGAATCTTCAAGGTGATGAACGAGATTGTGTATGAGAAGACAATGGAACATGCTGGTCGAAATCAGGTGCTGGTCTTTGTGCACTCCCGCAAGGAGACGGGCAAAACGGCGCGTGCTGTGCGCGACATGTGCCTGGAACAGGATACGCTGGGCAGTTTTCTGCGCGAGGGCTCCGCCAGCATGGAGGTGTTGCGCACCGAGGCCGAGCAGGTGAAGAATGCGGAGCTAAAGGAACTGCTACCGTATGGCTTCGCCATACATCATGCGGGCATGACGCGTGTCGATCGTACCCTTGTCGAGGATCTGTTTGCAGATCGGCACATCCAGGTGCTGGTCTCGACGGCCACGTTGGCCTGGGGTGTCAATTTGCCGGCGCACACTGTGATCATCAAGGGTACACAGGTCTACAATCCGGAGAAGGGTCGCTGGGTCGAACTGAGCGCCTTGGATGTGCTCCAGATGCTGGGACGTGCTGGTCGTCCACAATACGACACCAAGGGCGAGGGCATCTTGATTACGAATCACAGCGAGCTGCAATTCTATCTGTCGCTGCTCAATCAACAGCTGCCCATCGAGTCGCAGTTCGTGTCCAAGTTGCCCGACATGCTTAACGCTGAGATTGTCCTGGGCACAGTACAGCATCTGCAGGATGCTGTCAACTGGCTGGGCTACACTTATCTGTACATTCGCATGCTGCGCAATCCCACCTTGTATGGCGTCTCGCATGATGCGATTAAAGCGGATCCACTGCTGGAGCAGCATCGGGCGGATCTGTTGCACACGGCTGCCTGTTGCCTGGAGCGCAGTGGCCTCATTAAATACGAGCGGAAGACGGGACACTTTCAGGTCACCGACCTGGGACGCATTGCATCGCATTATTATCTAACGCACGAGACAATGTTGACCTACAATCAGTTGCTCAAACAGACCCTCAGCGAAATTGAACTGTTCCGTGTGTTTTCGCTCTCGTCGGAATTCCGGCACATCTCTGTGCGCGAGGAGGAGAAACTGGAGCTGCAGAAGCTGATGGAGCGTGTACCGATACCCATCAAGGAATCGATTGAGGAGCACAGCGCCAAGGTGAATGTTCTGCTGCAGGCGTATATCTCTCAACTGAAACTGGAGGGATTTGCTCTCATGTCCGACATGGTCTTCATTACCCAATCCGCGGCGCGTCTCATGCGTGCCATCTTTGAGATTGTGCTGACGCGAGGCTGGGCCCAGCTGGCGGATAAAACGTTGACGCTGTGCAAGATGATCGATCGTCGCATGTGGCAATCAATGACACCGTTGCGCCAGTTCAAGAAGATGCCCGACGAGATTGCCAAGAAGCTGGAGAAGAAACACTTTCCCTGGTCGCGGCTCTACGATCTGGAGCCGCACGAGCTGGGCGAACTGATCCGTGTGCCCAAGCTGGGCAAGACCATACACAAGTTTGTGCATCAGTTTCCCAAACTGGAGCTATCCACACACATCCAACCCATAACGCGGGCAACGCTCCGCGTAGAGCTGACAATTACCCCGGATTTTCAGTGGGATGAGAAGGTGCACGGCCAGTCCGAGGGTTTCTGGGTACTGATCGAGGATGTCGACTCGGAGCTAATACTGCATCACGAGTTCTTCCTGCTCAAGCAGAAATATGCCCAGGATGAGCATCAGTTGAAGTTCTTTGTGCCCGTTTTTGAGCCATTGCCACCGCAATATTTCTTGCGCATTGTCTCGGATCGTTGGATTGGCGCCGAGACTCAGTTGCCCGTCTCATTCAGGCATCTAATCTTGCCCGAGAAAAATATGCCACCAACGGAATTATTGGATCTGCAGCCGTTGCCCATCAGTGCGCTGCGTCAGCCCAAGTTTGAGGCATTCTACGCACAACGTTTCCCCCAATTCAATCCCATTCAGACGCAGGTCTTCAACGCCGTCTACAACAGCGATGAGAATGTGTTTGTCGGCGCACCGACGGGCTCAGGAAAGATGACAATTGCCGAGTTTGCCATAATGCGTCTGTTTAGCCAGGGCAGCGATGGGCGATGTGTCTATCTGGTGTCGCAGGAGTCACTTGCCGATTTGGTGTTTGCCGACTGGCATGCCAAGTTCGGATCGCTGGACATCAAGGTGGTCAAGTTGACGGGTGAAACGGGCACGGATCTAAAACTAATTGCCAAGGGACAGCTGGTGATAACCACGGCGGATAAATGGGATGTGTTGTCGCGTCGCTGGAAACAGCGCAAGAACGTCCAACAGATCAATCTGTTTATTGTCGACGAACTGCAGCTGGTGGGCGGCGAGGAGGGACCCGTCATGGAGATCGTTTGCTCCCGCATGCGTTATATTAGCTCCCAGATCGAGAAACAGATACGAATTGTGGCGCTCTCTGCATCGCTGACAGATGCACGCGATGTCGCCCAGTGGCTGGGCTGCAATCCAAATGCCACCTTCAACTTTCATCCGAGTGTGCGGCCAATCCCATTGGAGCTGCACATCCAGGGATTCAATGTGACGCACAATGCCACACGCATTGCGACCATGTCAAAGCCCGTCTACAATGCCATACTCAAATACAGTCCCCACAAACCCGTCATTGTCTTTGTTTCGTCACGGAAGCAGGCACGTCTCATGGCCATCGATGTGCTGACATATGCCGCATCGGATCTGCAGCCGAATCGCTTCTTCCATGCCGAGGAGGATGACATTCAGCCGTTCCTCGAGCGCATGTCGGACAAAACACTGAAGGAGACACTCGCGCAGGGCGTTGCCTATCTGCACGAGGGCTTGTCTGCCTCGGATCATCGTCTGGTCGAACAGCTGTTCGATTCGGGCGCTGTGCAGCTGGCTGTTGTCTCCCGGGATCTGAGCTGGGGCATGAGCATCTCGGCACATCTGGTTATCATAATGGACACACAGTTCTACAATGGCAAGAATCATTCGTATGAGGATTATCCCATTACGGATGTACTGCAAATGATTGGACGCGCCAATAGGCCCAACGAGGATGCCGATGCCAAGTGTGTGCTCATGTGTCAGAGTTCCAAGAAGGATTTCTTCAAGAAGTTCATCAATGAGCCATTGCCCATCGAGAGTCATTTGGATCATCGCATGCACGATCATTTCAATGCCGAGGTCGTCACGAAGACCATCGAGAACAAACAGGATGCCGTCGATTATCTGACTTGGACATTCCTCTATCGGCGACTAACCCAGAATCCCAACTATTACAATCTGCAGGGCGTCACGCATCGTCATCTGTCCGATCATCTGTCCGAGCTTGTCGAAAACACGCTCAGCGATCTGGAGCAGTCGCGGTGCATAAGCGTAGAGGATGACATGGACACGTTGCCCCTGAATCTGGGCATGATTGCCGCCTACTACTACATTAACTATACAACCATTGGTAGGTGGAGCTAGTCTGTCTATTAGTAATCACCAATCTAATCTAATTGAAAATATTCTCTTGCAGAGCTCTTCAGTTTGTCGCTGAACAGCAAAACCAAAGTGCGCGGTCTGCTGGAGATTATCTCATCAGCGGCTGAGTACGAGGATGTTGTGGTGCGCCATCACGAGGAGCAGGTGCTGCGCACACTCTCCCAGCGCCTGCCCAACAAGCTGACTGGACCCAATGAATCAGCGCCTAAGTAAGGCATTCTCTCTGGAACTCATTTACATTTCAACACTAATTGTAATCTTTTGCAGATTCAATGATCCTCACATTAAGACGAATCTGCTGCTGCAAGCACATCTTTCACGCCTCCAACTCGGTCCGGAGCTGCAGGGCGATACGGAACAGATACTTAGCAAGGCGATCCGCTTGATCCAGGCCTGTGTGGATGTACTGAGTTCCAATGGCTGGTTGTCGCCCGCTGTGGCTGCCATGGAACTTGCGCAGATGGTTACGCAGGCCATGTGGACCAAGGATTCGTATTTGCGGCAGCTGCCACACTTCAATGCGGACATTATAAAGCGTTGCACAGAAAAGGTAAGCTTACATTGGGAATCCTAAAACTCGAGCTTAGCTAATTTATATTTGTATATATTCACTTGCAGAAAATCGAAACTGTTTTCGATATTATGGAGCTGGAAGATGAGGATCGCACACGCCTCCTACAGCTATCCGATGTGCAAATGGCCGATGTGGCTCGCTTCTGCAATCGTTATCCCAACATTGAACTCAATTACGAGGTGGTCGACAAGGATCGCATCAATTCCGGCTCCACGGTCAATGTGGTTGTGCAGCTGGAACGTGAGGATGAGGTCACCGGTCCGGTCATTGCGCCATTCTTCCCCCAGAAACGTGAGGAGGGCTGGTGGGTAGTGATCGGTGATCCCAAGACCAATTCACTGCTCTCCATCAAGCGTCTGACGCTCCAGCAAAAGGCCAGAGTCAAGCTGGACTTTGTGGCGCCCAGTCCAGGCAAGCACGATTACACCTTGTACTACATGAGCGATTCCTATTTGGGCTGCGATCAGGAATACACATTCTCCATTGAAGTGGGCGATTTCCAATCGGAGAGCGAAAGCGAATCCGACTAAGCCGCAAAACAAATAACCAACCATAAAACCATAACCAATAAACCTTTAATACAAACCAATAAACCTTTAAAATCAATAATTTATATTTGTTAAGTCTTTATTTTATTCTCATAAAAATGTTTAATCCATTTAAGTGGCAAAAAAGTGGTTAGAGCGAATTTTTAAGCAGGAATTTGATTTTAAAAAATCATCTGAATTTTGTTCAATGTTTTAAATGTGTACACAATTTTCAATAATTTACTTGGCGAAGAAACTGGCTTAAATGTTAGAACCAGTTTATAAACACTGAGGAATTTGATTTAAAGAAATCACATTAATTTTGTGGAGGTTTATATATTCTTACAGAATTTTTAATAATTTACGTGGCAAAAAAAAATTGTGTAAATGTTAGAACGAATTTTAAGCAATGAGAAATTCGATATGAAGAATAACCTGAATTTTGTTAATTAATTGATATTTTTACAGAATTCTTAGTAATTTACTTTTCAAAAAAGTGGCTCGAACGAATTTAAGAATTAGGAATCCCATTAATTGTGTTAAGTATTTTATATTTTTCCAAAATTTTAAATAATTTACTTGACAAAAAAATTGACATCAATTTTACAAGGATTATTTCAACACTGAGTAATTCGATTAAAAAATCGCCTATGTTAAAGTTCGCTTATAAGGGATTTTATTGCACATTTGTTGATCTACGTCGCTTAACCGGACACGGAGACGGCTCCTCCACGGCTGTTGGCCGTATTGCCAAATCCGCTATTGGCAAAATTATTGGTAGAAGCAAAATTGATTGTCTGTCCGTTGGGCAGTTTGAAGACCTGACTGTGTGAGGCACCAGCCGAATTGCTGTTGCCAAATGGATTCGAGTTCTGGGATTGGGTGGCCGTGCTGGCGGAGGAGGCACCAAATGAACCATTAGCACTCTGCGATTGGAAGCCCTGCGCTTGACCCTGTGCCGCCGATGAGCCCGAATTGAAGCCATTGTGATGATTGCTATTCGCCGCACCATTCGAGGCAGTTTGCTCCTGATTGTAGCCATTGGGTCCCAGGGGACCCAGTGGATTCAAATGAACATTGGCATCGGCAGTGCCGCCTTTGGGACCGGCGCCAACATTAACGCCGGATTGGGTGCCGCCGGCCTGAGTGCCAACTTGTGCATTGCCATCAAACCCACCACGGGATCCCCCACGACCACGTCCAAACTGACGCTTGACACGCTTGTGCGCCGCATAAATTTCGTGCAGTGTATCATCTAGTATGGAACGCACGCGTCTCACATTCTGGCGAGCTTTTGGCTTAATATGCAAACTGGACTCCAAAACGACTTCCTCGATGGTGGCGCCCTTGGCAGCTGTCCAAATACAATTAATACCCCTATTGAAAAAGTAATCAATTATAAGTCAACACTTACGCAATGCTTCCTCCTTGACGTGCTTCTCTTCGCGCTGTCGCAGCTGGGGTGCTGCTGACGTCGCTGCCAGGCAAACGACTACAAATATTAGCATACAAATTGATCGACTCATTTTGCGCGTATTGATTGCTCTCCAATTTACTGGGCACGTCCGTTAGCTACGCAGCGCCACAAACGACTGTTGGAAGCTGCGCGCGCTGCTTGTGGTTTATTCGACACACAAGAAACTCTCACTTTTCAAACGCCAGGGGGCGTCCCTTAAGGCATCAAAGTGCTAATTACACTTATAAATATTTAAGTTGTTCAAGTCTTTACAGGCGTTTTGAGCATTTGGTAATCGATTTTTTGGCAAATGTAACAAAAGAAAGAAGACAAACAACGCACTTAAAACAAAGATTTAAACAAATTTAGTTTGTATAATGCGGCAGTAAAAAAAAATATTAAAAAAACAAGTCTCCAAAAGCCGTAACCGGTTTTCGTTTGCTGAAAGCTCATGCAGGAACTAGTTTGATATCGTTAGTATTGTTTTTGGTAGAGTCGCTCATTTTCAATTTCCTTTTCGGGAACAGATGATGCCCAGAACTTTTGCTTGTCGTTTGTGTCTGTGTGTTTGTGAGTGTATGTGCTTTCGTGTGGGTTGCCGGTGACGGAAAGTTTTATTGGTGCAACCCAGTGAACTTTTGAATGCGATTGCGCAGCTGTTCAGACGAGATTTCAAGCTTTAAATACTGTTTGTTTGTGTATGTGTGTGTGAGTTGATTAAGTCTTATCAACTGCTCGAAAACAAATCACATACTAATTGGACTGATTACTGTTTACCTGTTATCAGCGAGACAAATGCTTACTCATTTTTGTGTATGGGTTTCTTAACTATTTCGATTTGTTATTATTATGAAATATTTAAAAGCTTTATATGAGTGTATTTATTTTATTTATTTTTTATTTTAGAGTACCTTAGTTTTGTTAAATATTACCTTAAAAACTTCGTTGATATTCATTTAATAAACAAACTACAAATTTCAATCATTTTATTGTTTTTTAAATTTCTTTTAATTTAATTACACATTAAGTAAATGTTTTTAAGTTTTCTTAAATAAAAGACACAATTAATTAAGAGACACAAATTCTATGCATCGAGCGAATCTAAGTGAACAATAACAAAATTTGCTTGCTGAGATCGCTTAATTTTATAAAAATATTTTATATTCGCTTAATGTGTGTGTGTTTTCATGTGTGTGTGCGTGCGTAAATGTGTAAATGGAATATGCACCAAAAACAATAATGTGTTTATATATGTAGAAACATAATTGTATTTAAATTTCTTTGCTACAACTTGAGAGTCGTGGTGAGGCGCTTGAATGGTTTTCTTTTTCTTTTTTGTTTAGTTTTGAAATTGTTTGCGAATTAATCTTAATGCTACAATGAAAATTATGAGAAATGTGTGTATGTGTGTGTTTTAAGATTTAACTTATGCATTAGGTCAAGGAAACAACAAAACTGAGCACTGTTTGATATACATTTAGTATTTAGTTACTAATTATAGTTGAATGTATTAGAGATGCCTATTCGATGCCATGCGCAAAGATCATAACCAGGCCCGGCTCGACCATAACATCCTCAGTCATGTGCACATTGTCACAGCTCAGCACAAGCACCGCCTGTTTGCCTGCAACAACAAAGCCTTTAATCAGTCAGTGATGATGACGATGATGATGATAATAATGATGATGTTGCATTTCAGCAGACAACTCACCTGGTATGCGTCGGCAAACATAATTGTCGTAGATGCGACGATTATTCTGTCGCGTCTCAAGCGAACTGAGTCCCCGGGGCCATCTCCGCTCGTGGCAGTTCTCCATTAAACTATCCAGTATGTGTGGCGGGCAACCAGACTCGGACAGGGCGCGCTTGATCATCAGCTGAGGAAAATTAAAAATATATATTTTTTACATACAGTTGCGAACATTTTATCTTACAAATAAAAACAAAACCATTAGTTGTGCAAAGTTTAGTTTTGTCAAATGGTCAATTTTAATCTATTGGTTAGTATTCGCCCTATTAATTAAAGTTAGTACTGCTACTGGAATTCATTTCAATATACATGTATATAGTTCAATCATTTGAAAGGAAAAGTGTCTAAAAGTAAAGAAAAAAATAATAGCACCACTTAAGGACTTGCAAGAAATCGTTTTTTTATTTCTTATTTGAAAAATGCAGCTATTATTAGATTTTCTTTTTACTTTTCTGTCTTTTTATCAAATTAAGTTATTTAATTTTAATTTTGATTAAATTCAATAAATTAATCATTAATAAAGTTCAATCATTTCTTGTGAGAGTGATGCTATTATTTGTATTACAATTTTATATGCCAGTTTTGTGTGCTTACCTGTAGGGCATCGTCGGGTGTAGAGATCATGCCGCCCCAGCGTGTGACACGCGCTCTGGCCAAAGCGCTGCTCCAGCGTATCACCTCGTCGCGCTCCATTTGATCGGCAATGGCGCGCATTGCCGGATTTGACACGCGCATCGCACGCATAAAATCTTTGAAGAGCTGCAATTCACGCTTCAGCTCATTGATGGTCAGCTGTTCGTCAACTAACTCCGTTTTCATTTGATTCATTTGCTCCGTTTGTTTAACGATTAGTGTGCGCAGCTCACGCACACAATTGTGATCCTTCAGCTCATCCTTAGGTATGTCAAAGCCACAGCCTTTCTCACAGGGAAACGGCCGTTTCGGATTATGCACGCACTCCTCCAAGTGCGAATTGTATGCATCCAGCTTAAGTACAGCTGTGCAGCCATAGGGCGCATTGTCACAGGTTATGGAAAGTCTATTAAATAAGTAATTTAATACATTTCGAAAGTGCTTTGTGTTGGTGGACTTTTTACCTGGATAACAAGTTGCGCAATATGCGCGGCACAGCTCGCAAATTGGCCGTTGTTAATGCGTTGCGATCGACTGGACATGTTGGCTGGCGTGTTAACCACTCATTTATACAGCCACGACAGAAGGCGTGCTCACACATAACCGCCTGTAATTACAAATAGTTGCAAGCTCGAAATGAAAATTGTTTAAGTTGGTTTGCTTTTTTGTTGGTGTTGTCCAACCTGCAGCGGATCCTCTAGCACACCGGAACATATGGGACATGTTAGCTCCTCGTCCACTTCGCCTTGAAAGCGATTGACATCATATCCCATTGTACACGATGTTTTGTTTAAATCTACATTAAAATATATTGTGTAGAAACTAATAAAAATTGCAAAATCTTTTTTTTTTTGCTGCGCTTGTGTTGTTTTAGTGCTGGCTAATGCGCTCAATGTGAGAGCATAGTGCTGGAAAATATCAGAAATATCAAATCTTCGATTCACGATTATAGTTTGTATTTCGTTCTAAGATATCGATAGCTTAGCCTAATTCGATATATATTGTGCGAGGCAAATTTAAAAAACTTGTTCTTACAATTTATACAATTTTTATAATAAATTAAAACGACACTTGGGTAAATGTGTTGCCTGCTTGGTATAAAGTTAGAAAAATTCGTCAGTTGTTAGAAAAGTATTACCACAACTAAAACCTAACATGAAACGTGTACAAACGACAACAAATAACATAAAAATATAAATTTTTTTAATTATTCCCAGCAAGTGTTAAATTTCGTTACGATCCTTCCAGCCATACTTCTGACGCTGTTGTTTTTCCTTGCTATTTGCATACTTATTGCCATTGAAATTGGTTGATTTGCTGGGCGCACAATAGCACGAACGCTGTTGCGAATCCAAATAAGATTTACAGCCCAGTGTCAATGTGCCCGTGAAGAGCATCTTTGCTGCAGCCTTGCAGCCCTTGGTCATCAAATCGCTGGCAATTGATTTCTCATAGCTGTCGCAGTATCGATATAAACACCGCTTGAAATCCAGATCGCAGAGTTCCTTATCACTGTTGCAGGTGTCGTAGCAAATGTCGTGCGCATTGCAGCAAGTTTCCATCTCGGCGGCGGGGAGATAATCTGTACTGATTCGCAGTCCCAGGGAACCGCAGCCATCAGCTGTCGGCACATAGAATTTATTCTGTACGGCGCGCGGTGCTGTAAAATAAAAAAATACACGTCAGTTTAAGGTTCTCATTTACATAATGTATATTTGCGTCAGGTGGACTTACCCGTGCCTCCTCCGCTTTCTGGCGGCGTCGGGCACTGAAACACACAGTTCTCTTCGACGGCTGCATCGAAGACTTCGTGAACTGTGCGAAATTTACGCACAATTGTGATGAAATTCTTGAAAACGTCACCGAAAATTGCCTCGGCAGCGATGATGGCATCGCGTAGATGGACAATTGTGCTGGACCCGTAGCCAGAATATGCGTATGTTAGAAATGTTAGCAAATAAATAGCCAGCTTCATCCAGGAGAACTGCATGCCTATTTAGACTAATTATTTCTTGTGATGAGTGTTTTACGTGCTGCCCGTTCTGCGTGTTTACTAATACTAATACTGATCCTGCTTTGATGCAACTCTTTGGATATTTTAGATGCTGTGCTCTGCACAATCAGCTGTGTGTTTAACTGCTGCGATCAGCTGTTCATGTCAATGGCATTTCAGCTGTCCTTAAGCATGGTCACACTGATGCCACTAATAATAACAAACTTTGCGTAATTTCTTGAGACTTGCGATTTTAAATGAACATGTTAACTTCGTTTAACATAAAACGTGCTCTGTTTGCCTTATCAGCAAACTATGTGCGCCAGATATCCAATCAGTTGCCAGCAGCGCCTCTAAACGATGGAGAGCAATCTGTGCAGTTGCCGCGTTATACAGAAGATCAGCAAAATCGCATCCTGGACGCCATCAACGAGAACAGTGCTGAACAACTGCTAAAGTTTTTATCGAGCAATTTTAAAATTAAACAAAGTTTCCCTTATTAAGTATGAATGCTTTGCAGTTATGACATAACAAAGGCGCGCGTAAGCAAGCTAAACAATTGGAAGGCACGAAATGGACCACTGCGTCAGCTTGACGATATACTTTATGTTGAGGGCTTCGGACTAAAGGCGGCAACCAAGTTCTATAAGAGTCTGCTCGAGCCCGCATCCAGTCGCCAGAACAGCAATAAAAATCAAAAGGCTGCGCGCACGGCACCGTTTATAACGCCACCATTGGATGAACAGCAGCGTCAGGGCATACAGTCGAGCGTTGGAGTGCGCATTGGAGTGACCAGTGTTAGTTGGGCACGCCTGGAGCTGCCCGATACGAAATATGCTCCTTGTGTACTCAGCCACTGGCAGCACCACGAGGTCAATGATAAGAAACTGCATCTGGTCGAGTTGGTGCGTCGCTGTCTCTATGTGGCGCATCAGATACCCGAGGCGGACTGTTATGTTCTGGAGAATCCTCAAATGGCACAGGCCAGTAGCAATCCGGGCAGCATCGATCAACAGAATGTGAACATCCAGAAGGCTCAGTTTACCGCCATGCTTAGCTATGCGCTCATGGCGCGCTCTATTCCCGGCGAGACGAAAACAAGTCTCTTTTATTTGCGTCGCTTTCTTACGGCTCGTCTTTTCAATCATCTGGTGGGCACCGAACGTGTCTCTTCGGAGGATACAATTCTTGGCATGATGCGCACCTATTACAATATGGAGGAGCAATCAGTTGAGGAGGACAAGGAGCAGATTAATTTATGTAAAGAAGTGCAGTTTCCATCAGATTTACGTTCAATGTACTCCAGGATGGAGCGCTATCAGCGAGAGATGCTCAGCCAGGCATTCCTCCTGAATTTGGCCTTTGTACGTCTGGTGCTGCTGCAGGATCCAGCGAGTATTGAATGCGTGTCGCGCAACTCCAAAAAGCTGCCCATCGATCAGGATCTAGAATGAGAAAAACATGCTTATAAAATAAATTAATAATATAAATATATAATTTACCTGTTATATAGTCGGAAATTGTAACTGCATTTTTCCGTTTTCAATTGTTGAAATTAATATGCCATATGAATATTAAGATAAAGATAAAGAGTATGAAAAGTTCGACCAAGCCAAGCACACCTTTTCTGGTTTGTTTTGACAGTGCGTTGTTTTGGTATTTCTGAATTGTGGTCACACTGCAGGTTTTAGTTTGCTTTCACGTTTCATCGTGCGCGGATGTGTTGGACATTGTGGCGCGTTGCGCATTTGTTATAAACAAGTTCGTAATATTGAAAACAATTTGTAAATAAACCTTTAAATTCTTCGTTTGACCTCTCAAGCACTGCAAGTGCATATAAATTAAAGAAAAAGGAAATTGCCAAAGTCTGTCACTATTATTTATGAGTTAGTTAATTTAATTAAGTCAACTAAAACGAAAATTATTATTGAAGTAGATCAAATCAGTGCGCTGTTTGTGTGTGTTTTAAAATATAGCAGCTTCCTGTTCGCTGCGGCCTACTTTATTTTTTTATAACATATATATTCCTTATATAGCGAGGAGTGCAGTTTGGCAAGTAAAAAAAGTGAAACTTTTACGAATGACAGCTGCTAAACAAACACCATGCAGTCAAAGTGAAAGAGAAAACCAAAGTGGCAATAAGCCGCCAAAGTGAAAGAAGAGGGAGAGTGTGTGTGAATGTGTACACAGAATAACTGTAAGTGTTAAAATATTTGGGCACATTTCAAGCACCCAAAATGAGCGCCTCCGCAACACTGCTGCCAGTGAGCAACAACAACAACAATAACTACAGTTATGCTAGCAACATTATACACATGTACAAATATCAAAAGCCCATTATGGATGACACCACATTGGAAATCGCCTTGACCGCACCACAACTGATCAAGAGCAACAGCTACAGCGGCACAAGCACCCGTTTTCCACTGGAAGCGAACAGTAACTGTGAACTGGAAAGTGCCGCCACAGAGTGCTCCTCTGCCAAGCAGCCAACGAGCAGCAACAATATGGGTGCGATTGCCAATGCGATAGAGGAGAGCAGCGAATGTGATGCGTTTCTCATAAATCCCAGCAGCAGCAGGCGAAACAGCAATCTTCATCGCTTACCATCGCAGCAGCGACGCAACACCTGCTCGCTGATGAGAACGCAGGCGTTTCTGATGCGCAACTGTTATCTCAACTATTTGGTGCCCATTTGCCTGATTGGACTGCTCCTCGTCGTTGGCTATTTGACGCGCAACTATGCTAAGGAGCTGTTATTCTGGATCGAGACGCAGAATGCCTGGTTGACCTTTGTCATATTCATGGCACTCTTCACGGTCGTCAGCTTCCCCATTGTCGTCGGCTATCTGGTGTTGCTGATAACTGCCGGTTACCTCTTCGGCTGCTGGCGAGGCTGGCTAACGGTAATACTTGGCGCAAATGTGGGCATTGCCATTGCCCATGCAACAATACGAAGCTGCCGGCATCGCATCGCAGTCCACAAGTGAGTAACAAATGATTGCTAACTGCAAAAAATTGTATACGGGTCATTAGGCAATGAATTATAAATATATATGTATATATATATAATTTATAATTCATTGCCTAATAACCCGTACACAATTTATATATATATAAATGGGACGGAATACAAAAAGCAGCATTTAAAGATCTTAATTTATAGGAGTTCATTTAGTGTTGATATTTTGTATTCAAGCTGTTTTAAGTTGTGTTGGAATTAATTATTTATTTATTTAAGCTAAGGATTCCAGAAAATGTCAAGTTTAATATCAGCTTAAAATCATTGAAAAAAAAGAAATGAGGAATAAATATATTTAGGCCGTGAAATACATTTAGAAATACTGATTTAGAAAATGTCAATATTAAAATGATTGCGTGGAATGCATTTAGTAATTCTAATTGAAAATGATTGAATACAAAAAAAAAGAGAGGAATGAATATGTTTAGGGCGTGAAGTATGCATTATATACTGATATAGAAATACACCTCTGCCACAGTTTTGTTGGCCTAGGTTAGCTATTCAACTTGCAGAATACTGTTTTACTCGCACTTTAGAAATAGTTCCAAAATATTTATACCCAACAAATGCCTTAGGGCCTTCCCGGAATTCCCTGGGATTCTCCGCATTCCCAAATCTCTTTCATTCACATCAACGATAGCGTTGAAGTTGAGCGACTGCCGGATGTGAGTTGTCTTTAAACGTGTTATTCTATTTCAACAGAACCGATGCAGATACGTCATTCATTTATTTTAAAATTGGTTTAGAGTTTTGCTTGTGGGCTTGTGCAGTGTGATAAGAGGCTTTGTGAGATAAGGCAACAAATACCATAGTCAAATAATATTATTTTAGACTTTCATTTTGTTGTTTGAAATTAGCAGGCATTAAAAATCGATGTGTTAAACCCATGTGGTGTGTCTGTGTAAAAGTTTTTATATAAAAAAAATGTTTCCAGGGTGCTTTAACATTCCAAATGTTGTTAAACAAAGTATTAACTATTTAGAACCTTGTTGGTTTCAAGGCTAAATCGCCATCATTGAACGACATTATTTCATTAAACCATTATTGATTGCAAGGCGTTGCCGAGGAGGATTTATTCAACTGCATATACTCTCTTTCACTTTTTGAATCAGTGTGTAATAAAATTGATAACATTTGTAAAATTAAGCATTATTCGGCCCTTAACCCAGCTAAATAAACTTTAAAATTATTTAGTTTTAATTCACTTAATTTAATTTTCGAATGTGCACTAAAATCGTTACGAGACATTATATTTTTGTTATCAAATCATAAACATTTTCCATTAAAATGACTTCCATCTAATAGCTACCTCAGGCCATTGTTCAATGGTTCAATTTACTTATCAGCCAATATTAATAGTTATAAATAGGAACCACTTTGTGTATTTCGTTTGCTGCAACATACAAACAATGGAAACAATGGCAAAATGATTATTGATCAATTAATACAATAATTGTGTAGCAGACAATAAATAAAGGGTATCTCCTAGTCGCTCTATAAATACCGAAATAGAAGGATAATTATTTATGAGTTGAGTTTTCACTCGTTTTATGAATGAGAATTTCTTGGGCGGGTTTCCCGTCTCAGCCAATTATAATAAATTATAATGATTGCCCTCAACACGTTATCAACAGTTAATTGATAGTTGAGGTAACTGAAACTGTCTGCAAATCAAATCGGACAAATAGCACCTAAATATTCAAATTTGGATATAGCCAGTTGAGCTTTGGGGTGCTAAACTCGTTTACTGAGTGCCTTCAGCAGTTAATTGATGAATAATTTTCATAATTAATTGAAAAGTGATTATCTGTATAAACAAACACGTATTTATATAATCGAGAAGTACGCTGTAAATTCGAGGGTCTCTTACACAGTCAAGCGTAATGATAAGTATATTTTATTTGATTAAATATATCTATATAAAATCAATTAAACTTGGAAGAAAGTATTTCAAGTTGTTGTACGTATTCCGGACTCAACTTGCTGCCAATTGTCATGAAGTGAAATTAAATTGAAACCGGTTTCAGTTGCATTTCAAAACTAGTTTAAAATATGGTTCTGGTTATTAAATATTGACGCAGGTCTGGTATAAAAAACAGCTTATTGCGTTTTTTGTCATGCTTTTTTGACCAGTTTGTTTGTTGCAGCATGCTTAAATTAAACTTAATAATATTCTATAGTCAAACGTTTTTCTAATACTTTTGATTAAGTTATATATTTAATGGCTTAATATATGCAAGCTTATTTAGTTTTTGGCATACCGAACACAAACTGTTTATGTTTTTGTTGTTTTTTTCTTCTTATTTATGCCAATTGTTTTATATCTGTCGGATGCTATTTTCAGATTGATCAAAAATGAGACTGGACGAGCGATATTGCGTGTTATATCTGGGCCCAAGGCGTTTCGGGTGGTGCTTTTCACGAGACTGACGCCAATTCCATTTGGACTGCAGAATGCCATCTTTGGAGTAAGTCAGTTAAACATATTTAAATGTAATCTTTGTAACTATATGCCTATATACATTTTGTACATTGCCAGGTTTGCATTGCATCTTAGGTATCCATTTATCCCTGCAATTGTTGCGCTTCCGTTTGTTGAACTCTTCGAAAATTGAAATTTGTATTCTCTCTGTGTTTACAACTTGCAGTTGAATGTGTTTTGTTTTGCGACTATCAGTCCGGGGGATTGACTGTAGACATTTGTCTATACTATGTACTCTACACATACTACACTCTATATATACATATGTACAATATGCATATATAGAATATATATTCTCGCATGGCCACAGTTAGTATAGACAAGCGACTGTTTGCATTTGTATGAGGCATACATATGTGTATTTATTCAGTTATTCAATTGTCTTATTATTTCGAATGTGTATTCAGAAAATACGACAGCTTTGGGAGTTTGTTCAGTTGCTTAAATTGTGGCTATATGCTTATACTTTTATATATACATCTAGATGTAAATGCAACGTGTCGAGTTAGAAAACACTCACCGTTTACAGTTTGACATTAGTCATAGTTATTAGCGCAATTTTATTAATAAAATAAACAAACATCGCAGGCTAACGTGCAATTGAACTTGAATTTGCTGAAAACTGGTTTTCAACACCATCAAAAAACAGTTTAATATATAAAGTAAATAAAAGTAAACACAATAACCTCAACTGAACAGCGCAAAATTTCGATTTACACAACAAAGTTCATTCAGTTTTTAGGTAGACTAAATATTTTTATTTATTTTCTTATGCCATAAATTTGTAGTTCGTAGAAATTGTTTGTTTATTTTTGTTTTCTCATTAATTCCCTCCTACCTATAATTACCCAAAATAGCTTTATAAATTACTTTACAAATTATACAAATAATATAAGTAAATGATCGATTGCACTAAAATTATATTTTGTTAAAGGTTTGCTTCATTTCATTGTCAAAATTTAAATGACTAAAATAATAGCAATCACTGACAGTTTAAATATAAATCGGCATATATATTGAGAGAATGTAAAACTTCTCTTTGGTTGTATTTCGAATCTAGATTATTAAATTTTTCACTTTTTTCTTTTTTGTATTATTATTTATTGTTATTTTTCTTGCTTAGACGCTAGTCACTGATTTTTGAATATATATTTTTTCAGATTAGCACAATCAAAGCCCGGGATTATCATTTGGCTACATTCCTGGGTCTGCTGCCTGCCCAAACGATAAATGTTTATCTGGGGTCGACGCTGCGCTCCATGCACGAGGTGCTCAATGACCATGATACCAAACTGACTGGCTACATTAGCTTTGTGGTTGAGGTGAGCTTTAACTAGATTTATAGTGTTATATATATTCTTACTGGGCTTAGCTTGTTTAAGTATTGTGCAGCTGGATTATTGATTTTTCTGCCTAGCACAAGGAGAACTTCTCTTCCGGTTTGGTTGCGTGATTAATTAAGTTTTACAATTTTTCATGGCTTTTTCCGTGTTTTGTTTTCTTCTCCCCTTAAATTCTGTTTAAACTTTAAATGCTCGTCACGAAATAAAATACACATTTTATTCTTACCTCTGCATAATTCTGCATTTAAAATTTGCGAACAAAATTCATGCTAAAATTTTACATTTCAGTTAATTATTTTGTCTGCCTAAAAGTAGGCTACAATCTTATATTTATTATTAATAACTTTTTATATTTACATTTTAGGTCATTTGTGGCGCTGCGCTAATGTTTTGGGTGGTTCAGAAGGCACGCAAGGAGCTGTCGGAAACGTTGCTTGAATCGGACTACAGCAATGATGGCAAACCCATTGATATCCAAGTTTAGCAGGCGGAGATTCAAGCATCGCCCTGCCCCCAACTGGCAGCTGTTGTTGATGCTGCTGTCTGTTAATTCGAATAGGAATTATGTTGAATATTTTATGACCTAATAATTAAATTATTTAATTCGTAGTTTAGTAAGTAATAGTAGAAATGAGAAAATATACCAAAAAAGAAAATAAATAGGAAAGAAACTTTCGCAAATATTTGTAAGAGTTAAGCAACTTAACAAAATCGAACGAGAACTCTCTTTAATGAAAATGCTGTGCCTAAAATATATCTATATACAATATATAAATTATACAATTACATATTTATAAATATTACATATAAGTTTTAATGCCTCGCTCAGTGGCATTTGGAATGTAAAATGCTCACAGTCTGCTCTTTAATTCGAACTGTGCTCCCTAAACTCCGACATTGTGCTCAATTATATTAAACTAGTTTTAAGTAATAAATATTATATTATTTAAATATTAAATTCCATTAATTTGTTTATGTTCTATCGAATGTCGAATGTGAATAAGCAGTTGTATCTCTCCAGCTGCGTGGCCTTTTACTCATGTGTTGCTCGAAGACTGTTTCTAAAATACTCAGTGTAAATTCCACATCCTCATAACTGATGCACAATGGTGGTCGAAAGCTCAGCACCTATATAAATAGAGAGAAATTAATTAAACTAAAGATACTTGAGGAAAATCATGAGAATAACTACGATATTATACGTACTTGTAGTTAGGAAACTTGCGAATGAATATGAGTTAGAAAAAAACCCACAAGTGTTTAGATATTAGATCATGGTACTTAAAATATGCTGTGGATATAAGTTATAGTATATAGGGAGGAGATGGAAACGAACCTTGGGGTAAAAAAAAATATAAAAACTGAACGAAAAACTTTCCTTTAATCAATTTTATGGATTTTAGGTAGACAAGTCTTTAACAGTTGATTTTATTGCATATAAAGAGGTAGATGGTTATTCTATAAATGCATATTCATATGGCATTTTGAAGTTAATTGCCAATTATATTTTTTCGATCTTTATTTTTGCTTGGCCAATGTATTCGCTATGGCACATCCGAGAACATCCACGGCAAACTTGGCATCCGCCCGATTAATGCACATGGGCGGCTTAATGCGTAGAACCTGCAAAAAGAGTGTGCGAACAACAGTCGATAAGGAGATGCATGAAAAGAAGGGAAAAACACAGAAATACAACAAAAGGAAGCTAAGTGGGAATTGGAATTGGAATCAAATGCAACACATTAAGAAGCCCACAAGATGATGAAACATGGCATTTACAAAAGTTCTGCTTAACATGCGCATATAAATAATATTCTGGCGTTGCCAGATGTGCGAAAAAAGGTATGTGAAATGTTGGGAAATAAACGTTACAAGAGATGATGAACAATTAAAACAGTTGCAATTGGCTGCAGCCAACTTAACATGCATGTATAAATATATATAAAGCAGTGCTGGACTTATGAAAAAGCTAAATAAAATATTTGTAAATAAACGTTACGCAATTCGAAGCGCAAAAAGATGAAAATTGAAAGCAGATCAGTCGGCAGCGTTGCCAGATCGCTTGTAAGACTTACATTTCCATGGAGTCCACCACGGCCAAAGAGCACACCCAAATCCTTGCACGTCTCCCAAATGTCCAGCATGTGTGGCGCGGCCAGTGGAGCACGCGTCTCGCGATCGTTCACCAGCTCAACGCCAATCATCAGACCCTTGCCGCGCACATCGCCAATCAGTTCGTAGCGCTTCTGCAACTCCTCCAGGCACTTGAGGAAATAGGTGCCCACCTCCAGTGAGTTGCGCTGCAGCTGCTCTTCCTCGATGATATCCAGCACGGAAATGCCAACAGCACTGGCCATTGGATTGCCGCCGTACGTATTGAAGTGCAGTGCCAATCCCAGCGTGGCGGCAATCTCGGGCGTTGTGACGACCGCCGCCAGTGGGAAGCCATTGCCAATGCCCTTCGCCATGGTCACAATATCCGGTGTATAGTCGTGTCCCTCGAAGCCCCAGAAATGATCACCAGTACGGCCAAAGCCCGTCTGCACCTCGTCGGCCACAAAGAGTCCACCATTGGCGCGAACCAAGTCAGCGGCCCGCTTCAGATAACCTTTGGGGTACTGGACTGTGCCGCCCACGCCCTGAATGGACTCGGCAAACATGGCGGCCACTTTGCCACGTGGCAGCGAGTACTTAAAAGTCTGCTCCAGCTCATTGTAATATGCGTTGCCCGCCTCACAACTGCCCGGGGTACAATTGCAGCTGTGCGTCGTTTGCACAGGTGAATCCCGGCAAGCGGCACCACCCCAAATGCCCTGATAAGGATCTGGGTTCATCACGTGAACGATGCCATTGTTGATGCCCGGCAGTGGATAGCGCCACGTTGAGTGCGCTGTTAGACCCATGGTGTAGGGTGACATGCCGTGATAGGCATTGCGAAAGGTCAGGATATCCTGATTGCCTGTGTGGAGACGGGCCATCAGCATGGCCATATCGTTTGCCTCCGAGCCGGAGTTGACAAAGCACACGGCCTTCAGATTGCCGGGGAACTTGGCCGTCAAACGCTCCGCGTACTCATGAATCTTGGGATGCATATAGATGTTGGTCGTGTGCCATAATCGGGAGATCTGATCCGTCAGCGCCTGATTTACTTTACTGCACCAGAGAATGTGCACAGTTGAATGTGGAACGGGTAAATGGAAACGGAGATTACTTACGGATGACAGTGGCCGACGGAGACGGTAACAATGCCACCGAACATGTCCAGGTAGCGACGACCCTCGTGATCGTAGAGCCACTGCATGTGGCCGGCATGGATGACCAGCGGCTTCTTGAAGTGCGATACCAAATTGGGCGTCAAATGGTTCTTGCGTGTCGCCAGTATCTGCTCGTAGCTGGGACCATTGTACGCAGCCGGACGATGATTGCATTCGGGCATCTCGGACGCCGGCTGCGACATCATCGCCGGCGCTGCCTTTGAGTGCAATGTGGAGCTGGAGCGGATCAGCAGGCGCGCTGAGCTAGCTGCAAAGGAAGGCAATGGAGAATGGTTTAAATTAAATTAAATATCTGCATCCATATCTATATCTACATCTACAGATATTTCTATAGTCCTTACTTAGATGTATCTTAAGAATCCTAAAATGCTGTGCTAAATAAAATGATATATATTCTTTTTCAATAGTCGAACTTTTTGGAAATTTAACATCAAGAATATAAATAATACATATATTCAGAAATATATTTACTATACAAAAATAACCCCTTGAAATATGAGTAATGAAATAATCACGCCTAGCTTTATTTTATTATAAAGTAGAAATTTTAAATAATGTTTTCTGTAAACGTTTCAGCTTAGGAATATTTTTTTAAATGACTGATCTATTTTCAGTACAAAGTCAAAATTGCACAAATTTGAATTTGAATTACTCAATTTAATTACAATTACAATTAATTAAAAAAATGCATACAATTTAAAAATGGTAATATTACTTATTATAATTATCTTTGTTATTACAATTTTCTCGAAGCTAAAATATTGTTAGAATAGCCTAAGATATCGACTCTCTTCACACTTGTCGTAATTCATAATATATTATTTTTATTATATTATTTTGACCATCATATTAAGGAAGGCACATAATACTGGCTTGCTAACCAGAAACCCCCTTGAACAAAGTTTACTTAACTAAAGCAATCACAGAAGCTTTGTGCAAATATTATAATTTATTCAAATATTTCATTGATAAGAACGTAATATTTTCATGTAGGTCAAACGTGAGAATAGTTAGTTTTTATGTGTTTTGAGATTGTAATGCAAATCACGTGATATATATGAATGTATATATACATATAAACTAGGCTTGTAAGTTCATTCAGTAGACAAATGAGAGAAGTGAAATGCAAATTGATAAATTGGACAAGCGCCAAGAAATGTTTGAGATGTCACAAATAAATTTGTCTTCTATTATTTATCGAGTTGCATCGAGTTAAGTCGCATTTTCCAAACTGCAATATGTCTACCTGGGTGTGTGTGTGTGAATGAGGTACGACTAATATCTTCGTAATAGGATCGCGATTTTGCATATTCAATGAGCTTGTTGCAGAACAAAACTGGTAGAGAAATTGCATTCATTTTGATTCCGTTGTTGTTGCAATTGTTGTTGTTGTAACTCGAGTCAATTGAATGTTGATTAATGCGCATATAAATATCTATATACAGTCTATATATAACTATCTGTGGTTGGCCAGTTCATGTTCAAGTTCCATAACCAATTGTTTTCCATTTCATAAATAAATTAACATTTAACATAACACTTTCATATAAAGTTCAAAGTAGTCAGATTTCTGTGTTCATTCGGAAAGCAAAAATTATATTTTGCCATTGCCGACCATTTAATATTCTTCAAGTTTTACATTTGCAAAGACCAAACCCATATCTTTATTCATTTAAAAATTCGAATTTAATTATTCACTTTTAAATAATTCAAATTATTAAATAAGGTTGAAACTTCCCATTTTCATTTTCATTTTAAATTTAATTTTACTTTTACAACTTTTTTTTAAAAATGATTTCTTGAGTTTCTTAGTCTAATTAATTAATTAAATTAATTAAAAGTGTTTTTCGCTGGCTTCAAGTCTGTGTTCGAAATATAGCGGATTAAAAACATAAATATTTTGTTTAATTATTTATTGGAGCCAACGAGAAACATATTTAAATTATAAAATGGGATCACCAAACATTAAACAATAAATAAATTAATTATCTAGACAGTAAAAATACAACCAACGATTATGTTGCCACCTGTTTGAGTATAATAAAAGAACACGCGATTATTTTTACTACAAAGAACCCCCCGGCAACACGGATGTGATGGCTCATCATCCCCCTCCGCAGGTAATAATATTGGATCAAAATTCAACTCTGATAAGCAAAAGTCAACTCTGATAAGCAGATGCCCCCCTAAACGAGAATACTCTAAAAATAAATAATCTGTCTCTTATCTGCCCCACACGAACAACATCAATAGAAGCACCTATCAAATTGTCAACTTATACGCTTATCAGTAAATTGCAGGGTATACAGCAGGCGGCTCAATGAGCATGTTCCCGATTTATGTGCGCAGTTTTTTTTAAGTGAGGAAGGTCGACAAATATTTCTATTAAAGTTGAATTGAAATGAGTGTTAATAAAGCAATAGCTGTACGAGAACTTTCACTTGGATTGTGGAGTTTCTTAAAATGAATTCTTGAAATTTTCCATTCAAATTAAAATGTTATAAGTTTAATATATGCAATAATTCCTGTAATAATAAAATATTGGCTCTGAGGATGTACTCAACAAAAATTAAAATTGTGTATTTATTGATAAGATAGTTCATTTTTATTAGCTGCTGATAAGCAATACATTTGAAGACAAAACAAATTTTGTGAAGTGCATAATCATTTATATATTATTGTTGTAAAAATATACATAGCTTTTGGAACTAATCAAAATATGTACTTGTTTTAATATATAGCGAAATAATTCGCATTTCTGTTTATCTTTTTATTGTCTTGTTTTCCTTCAAAATATATATTTACATATAAAAATGCTGTTTCATTTTCTTCTTCTTTGAGCAAACAACAAATGTATAAATATAAAAAAAATTATAGAAATCTATATATAAAAATAATTTGTATTAGAAAGCATATTCACTCACCAAACAATTTCTTTGACATCATATTGATTGTTTTAAGTCGATAGGTTTCCGATCTGTATGCAAATTAAACTTGATTTTAACACCACACTTCCTGATTAATTTAAAGCTAGATTTTTATACAATTTTGAACAGTTGAAAAGGCCGCCGATCTCACACGGATCAAATGGAAAAACCGTCCGCGCGTAACAACGTCAAATGCACAACTGAATTGAAATCCAGCAACCCGGCATCGTTGCGGTTCGCTTCTCGGATCGTTGGAATGGTAAACAATCCCGAACCGGCTGGAAATTCAAAAAGAGAGAGAGAGAGAGGGAGAGCAATGCCAAGGTCTCTTAGTGGATTATCATTTACGCACTTTACAGTTATCGAGAAAAATATGCTCACTGTCAGTCCATTTTCACAAGTCTTTTTAAATGAAATAAATAAATTTGTAATAAGTTTTAAAATTAATATTTACTATTAAAATGTTTAAGAAATTATATTTCATTTTTTCAACTGTGAATAAACTTAAAAAAACCAACTTTTATTTAAATCAAAATGAATTCAAAACTTGTATGCCCAAATTATAGTTCACGAATAAAATACATTTTAATTTTGTATCTCACTATTTTATTTCATTTCTTTTTTGTTGCTGTGATTGAAAGCACAAACTGTGAACAGAAGTGCACAGAATATCGGTTTGTTTTGTTCTTTTTTTATTTTATAAGATTTAAATATGGTTTTGTTTTTAACAAAATATATATACATATATATATATAAATATATATGATTATGGTGTCTGTTGTGTGTTGAAGTTAGCCGTTTAACGTTATATTAATTCCCTTGTTAGCATTATTTAATTTGTCGGTGCTGAGTGTTTATTTTTTAGCTTGTTTGTTCTTCGATCGATTTTTGCATTTTGCTCTAAATTTACAGTTGCATTATTGATATTTTTAAACATTTGTTAGGCATACAACACAATTAAAATATATATATTTATGTTTATATATATATATATTTATATGTATATCTTACACTTTATTTTAGTTTAATTTATATATCCGTTCAAACATCACAAGTCTGTGCTTTGATGCGACCTCCATCACTTCCAGTTCGAATCCAGTTCCAAGCTGCCACAAATAGGACCGTTATTATTCGCATATTAAATATGTATATGTATGTGTTGTATATGTAGCGCTATATAAAAATGATATTCGGGCTGTTGCTAAAACAAGCGCTAGGTGGCGTTTTTGCAAATAACAAAACTGAAAACTGATTTAATGCAAAAAAAGCACACACACCACACATCAAACACACACACAGCGCACATAAAGAACAACATTGCAACTGCAACCTATTTAAATTCAGTGTACGGATCGGAACTGGGACTGCGTGGCGTTGCAGCTGGCGCCGTTGGCTGCTCCAAATTTGCCGCCATCTGTCGTAAATTATCCACACCAACCAGCAATTGTCTGTGCGGGACAGCAGAAGAAGAAGAAATGGTGAGTTTTAATTGTTCTAAATTGAGATTTTTACCAAATATTCACCTCAGATTCTGTTCGGCATTGTCGGCGGCACGCAGCAAGTCCCGCGACAATTGATGTGTTCTGGACGGACGCGATGTGTTGCTGCTTGTGGTGCTGTGACTGCTGCCTGGAGTCAATACTGCGGCGCCTCCACCCAAATCGCTGCTGCCTCCTCCGCCGCCGCCGCGCAGCGCAAAAAGCTCCGCCTGTAAAAATAAAAACAAATAATTAAATCAGAACTTCTGTAAATGTATATAATTGCGAACATAGAACCTAATTTTGTATTTAAAATTTGAATAAAATTGGAAACGATGAAAAAATTATGCGTTTTTTCTTGCTCAATTTTAATTTTAAAACTTTCATAAGGAGAGTGTGAGAGTGATGCTATTATTTTGCTGACAACTGTAGCTGAACTCACCTCAAGTTGCGCCACCTGTCGCCGCAGCCGTTGCATGTTCTGGGTTTGCGTGGCGGCTGCCTGAGTCTCCCTGCGCCTCGCATCCGTCAGAGCCAAAAGTTGCTGCTCAAATTCGTGGGCGGAACGCGATTGGACGCTCAGCTCGAGGCGTGTCTCTTGCAGATCGCGCTGCAGTTGCTCGTTCTGCTGACGCAGCGAGCTGCTGTTGTTGTCCGTGCTGTCCTGCGGCGGCGAGTCAATCATCGGATTTGAGGGCAGACCAATGGCGACATCGGCCAAACGCTGCGACGAATGCAGAATGGGGCCATCCGACAGAAAATCGGGCAGCATTTTCCCAGTGCTGCAAGCAGTTGCCTCGTTGCTCCCTGCTGGCAGCTGGGCGGGCATGGAGGAGACATTGTTGTTGCCACTGCTGCTACTATTGCTGGGCAAGCCTGAGGCAGGCAGCAGCAGTGCATTGTTGCCACCAGCAGCAGCTCCTGCGCTGCTGTTACAATTGATCTCGGCTGGTGAATTTGGCGGCGAGCTGAGTTGAGCTGCGGCATCTGACTGCGGACACCAAGCCTCCGTCAAATGATCCTGCACGAAATCGGGCAGCGCCGATGCCGAGGACGACGCTGTGTCCAGCGGCAGATCCAGCTTCATTTTGGGTGCAGCAGCAGCAGCCGCAGTTGATAAAACCAATCGATTTGGACGCAATGCGGCACGACGACGTGGCGAGGAAGCGGGACAAGAAGGTGGCATATCATTGCTGGAATACGAGCGGGGCACATAACGCGACGACGAAGACGATGAGGCATGCAGCTTGCTGGGAAATATATCTGCAAAGGGAGAGATGAGCATCGAAATTCTCTAGCGGATTAAGAGAGACTCACCATCATCGTTGCGTTCATCGTAGAGGCGACTGTTGCGCATTTGAGCCAAGCCCGCGTGCTCGTAATCATCATCGTCGACGACGCCAACATCATCATTGTGTACATCTGCATCGTGCAGCAGACGCAGATCGGGTCGCAGACGCATCGAGCTCGTGTTGCTGCCACATGCCGCATACTCGGCGAGACTCGCCTGCGAGTCAAACGAGCTGAAGCGTGGCGAACGTTTCATTTTGGAGCTGCCATTTAAATCAGACGCCGATTGTGGCACCTTTGGACGTGCCCCAGTCGATTTAGGCAGCGTGGTTATTGTTGTTGCTGTTGTGCTGCTGTTCGTGTTGCTGCAGCTGTTGTTGCAACTGTTGCTGCTGCTGTTGCCTGTGCCACACGCCGGGTCCAGTGAGGTGACTGTGCTGCTTGGCGCTGTTATTGTGCTGCTGCTGGATAAAAAGTGCTTAAAGGAGAACGTTGATGTTGTTGTCGCATTCGAATTGCTTGTGGCAGCAGCAGCAGCAGCAGTTGTAGTTGTTGGTGCTGTTGCCGTTGCAGCTGCCCCTGTTGCACGTATATTTGTGTAATCATTGAGCCACAAATCGGCAACCAAATCGTTTAGATTTTCCGCTCGCAGCTGCTTAACAGCCTCGCTGCCTGCAGCGCCTGTCTCCTGTGTGGCAGCTGCACCAGCAGCAGCTGTTGTTGTTGTTGTTGCTGGGGCAGCTGCAGCATCGTCCGTTTTGATATTGTTCGCATTGCCATTGGCCATTTAAAATTTGTTGCCAGCCGCCGTTGAATTATTTTTGTTGTATTTGCTGTTTTGGTTGTTCGCTTTGTGTGTTGCTCTTGTTGCTGTTATTCTTGTTTGTGTGTTGTTTTTGTGAATGTTTTCCTTTTTGTGGTTTTTCGCTGGAAATTTAGTTAATCTTGCGTTGCATTTCTCTGCCGACTTTTCACAAGAGTTGTTGTTGTTGCTGCTGCTTAGTGCTGGACACAAGCGATACTTTAGCATTCCGGGCTGTTATCGATATGTCTAAGTTCACAAACGATAGTTGTTAGATCCAAAACTGGTACTATCTACGAAAAGCTAAAATGAGCAATTATACAAAATTAAAATAAGCAGATCTTTATTTATGTATTTAACAACTCTACTATCGTTTTGCAAATCGCCCATCTCTAAGTTTGCCATAAAAATACAGGTACTAGCGTTGCCAACTAACTAAATTGAAGTGCTCGCTAGCAACACTAATCGCTTTGGTATTTTATGGGTTTGCGGCATGCGTTCACACTGCTCTCGTGGTTTTTGTTTTGTCTTCGCACTCCTTGCCTATTGCTACAGAGTGGAGAACGGCGAACGGTATCTTTCGGGCATAAACGTTGCTAATTGGCGCAATATAAAAATGCATTATTAATGCCATAAAAAGCGAAAGGCGAACGTATCGACGCTTGATGTGTGTGTGTATAAATTATTTAAAAGTGAACGTAAAACCAACAACGAAATCAATAATCAAATTACCAATAAAAAATAATAATAAAAAAAGCAGTGCAAGGGCGGCGTAAAGAAAGTGGAAAAGAAAATTCTGCGTAGCAAACAAACCGGTCGGCGCGCAACACACATACAAAACACAAACACACACGCATACAAATATACAAATACAGACAGACGAAAACGTATGCAAAAGACGCATTTTTAATACAACAAAAAAAAAAAAAGAAAAAGTATAAAGTGAAATAAGAAATACAACAAATACATACAAATTTGTTTTATTTGCGCTGACCAAACGAAAAAAAGGCAAAAGGCGGCCGCCATATGCGACAGCGATTGTTATTGCTGCTGTTGCTGCTGCGGTGGTGACAAAGGCGGCGGTGGTGGTGGTGGAAAGAGCCAGCCAAGTGCTGTAAAGCGTCGCACAACGACGCTCACCTTTCGCGTATTGTAAATTGTATTTGCAAACACACAAACGCATAGACACACACACAGTCACATGCATAGACAGGAACGTGTGTTCCACTTTTGATAGGCAGCGCCCCTTTTGCTGTCCTGATTTAACTGCACATGCATGTGTGTGTGAAGTGAGCGAGAGAGAGAGGGTCAACTAGTAAATGGGAATGTACTAGTGAGTGATCAGCAGCAGTTAAAACTCGCTCTCTTCTGAGCTCTGTGTGCGTGTGTTAATTTGCATATACATATATATAATTCATAATCATAATCAAACAGAGAGAGAAAGAGAGAAATGCAACGGAGCTGCAGCAGCAGGCAGCAGGTGAGTTCCAATTAGAATTTTTGTGTCTCTCTCTTCACTAAATTGCCCAGCCATGCATTCAACCACATCCAGTCAGTCAGTCAGCTATCCTTGTTTTGCTCTCATTCCATTCCAATTTTCCAGCAGCAGTCGCAGCAGCAGCAGCCTCTGCCTGGCCACGGCCCCATTTATTGACTTGTCTACATTTCACAGTTCTCTTCTCCTTCTCCTCATCCTCATCCTCCATCCCATGTCTGTCATTGCTGCCGTTGCCTTTTCCCTTCCTTTTACTCTTCACGCTACGCTTTTGTATACAAATTATGGTGCGCTTTGATTGCTATTGTTGTTGTTGTTTTTACAGTTGTTGTTTTAAGCTTTTATGGCATCGCTGCTGCTGCTGCGTCGTGCATTCCACTCTGTTGTTGTTGCTGTTATTGTTGTTGGTACATATGGTATATATATATATATATAGATGTATATATGTAGTGTTGTAAACTTTATAAATATAGATTTTAATTTGCTTTTACCGCATTCGTAATTGATTTCGGTTTTTCGCCCACAGTTAATATTTTGCCCTGCCTTGCAGCCCACTCACCCATTTCCCCCTCCCCTTCTCATTCCATTTGCTTGTGCGTGCCAAGAAAAGTGAAAATTGAACCGAGTGGGTGGTTGTGGGGTGGAAGGTGTGTGTGTGTTAAAGGGTAATTTTTTCGTTTTTTTTTTTTTTTGTTTGTAATTTCTTTTCACCTGTAATTCAATTAACATTTAACCTTAGCACTTCACAATTTGTTGACCCATTTTTTCTGGTATTTTGTTTTGCTGTTAATTAATATTTGTAATTCTCCCCACCCCCCTTCCAGCCATACCCCTTCCCGGCTCGTTCACTTCCAGTGATAAGCTGCAAATTAACAGTTTTAAAGTACATTGTTTTCATTATCTCCTCCTTGGATTTATTATGGCCTTTTGAGTATAGCGGCCAAGTGGGTGGAGAGAAAGAGACAGAGACGTTATATATATATATATTTATTATGTGTGTGTGTGTGGGTTGCGCTTACGTGCTTAAGTATCGTATTCAGCAATCAATAGCAACAACAACAACAACAACAATAACAGTAAAACAATAACAACAACAAACAGCATTCATTTTTCACTTTTCTGTGAATTTTATGCTTTTGAATGACACTTTTCCAGTTTCCACTTACCGCTTTTTACCGGTTTTTTACACTGCTCTGCTGTCTTTCCGTTGTCTTCGTTCAAAGTGTGTTTCTGTTTCAATGGCAGATATTATTTTGTTTTTTGTTAGCGCTTAGCAGAGATCAGTTTATTATTTTGTGTTCGGCTATTAAAAGCTACATTTCTTTTTTTAACGAAAATTAACATGTCAAATTTGACTTTTATTTGTTTCTTTTGGAAATTAGCCTTACTAATTTGTATTATTAACTTTAATTGCATTTACATATTTCGATGCGGATTTATTTACAATATTTGATTATGTAGCGTATTAAAAATTTGTTATAAATGGAATTAGATTTCTTCAAAACTGCTGTGAAAAATTGCCGGTTGATCAACTAAGCCACAAGTTAGTCATAAAAGCGTAAATAATACTTTTGATACCCTTTCTAGAGGGTACTTTAGCTTTGTTGAGCAGTGCCGATCCCATATTTAGTATATATATATATTCTTGATAGGCATCACGAGTTGGGTCTTTTATAGTCATGTCCGCCTGCCTGATTTTGTTGTTTTACTCGGTTATATAACTTGGCGACCAATTCTGAGTCATTTAGCATATATCCTCCATAGGAACAGTCACTTGAAATTTTGAGTTTTGTGGAATTGAGTTAGGCTTAGATATAGATATATCAACCTTAATGAATTATAATAATAATAATAATTTTCAGTTCATAGTCAGGCGTGAAATAAACAAAAATATAAATACAATTTGCTTAAAACTTATCTACAACATAATATATTGAACTCCGCACTAAAATTTAGATCTCTGCAGTTCAAATCCGGTCTATTAGGGTGTTTAGACGTTCTGTTAATTTAGGTGCTCCTCTTAAATTGGCGAAATCTGGTCACTTCCGTTTTCAAAGCGGATGTTTGACTGTGAAAAGGTCAAATTTTTCTATTTTAAAAAAGGCACGTTTTTGCGCTAACGTTTCTTTTTAATATTTTATTTATTTAGTGTTGACAAAAAATGCAAACAGTAAAGAATAATTAAAAGTACAAATTAATATTTCAATTAAAAATAATACGCTTCAGAAAGAGTATAAATAAAAATAAATAAAACTTGAAATTCAAGTGTTTATTTATAAGAAAGAAACCGTCACAAAGAATTCAATTTTAGCTGCTTTTCGCAGTTTTATGTTGGCTAACACAAAGGGCTCAAATGAAACGCAAATAGCTTGAGTTAAATGACATTCTGGCGATTTCTTTATTCCCTTTTGCAGCGCTAATTGCTTAGGTCGATTAAATTGCTCCGATATCCGTTTGTCATTGGCCATTTTCTTTGCATGTTTTGCTGTTTTCATTGTATTTCCTTTTCTAAGGATTCCTCTCACATTTCGAATTGAGCTAATTGCTTTCTGTTAATTCATTTGCAGCTCTTGACGCTGCCCGCAAATGCGTCGCACGAAGCATAGACAGGAAAGGAGCAGGAGCAGGAGCAGTTGGAGCAGAACGGCAGCGTCTGGATACAAATGTCGTCGTCGAGCAACGGCGGCATCAATAGTGCCACAAATGGCCGCAGTGGCAGCACTGGCAGCGCCAACATCAATCTCAATCTAAAGCCCAAAACGGGAGCAACAGCAACAACAGCAGCAACTGGAGCAACTGCAACAACAACAACACATAAAACTCTGCCGGATTTGAAGACACAGCGCAGCAATAGCAGCACTGGCAGCGGCATTGGCATTGTGGCCAAAACACTTGCCACCCATCGACGCGACAGTTCGCATGTGGAGAAATCCCAGCTGCCCATCGTTGAGCAGCGTCAGCTCAGCTATGGTTCGCCGCAGCAGACCAAAAGCAGCAGGGAGCAACAGTCACAGCCAAAGGATTGGCAACTGGTCTACAGCGATGGCAAATTGCAGGCGGGTACTTTGCAATCGCTGATCATGCATATGGTGCCCACACACGACTATTATCCGGAGCATGCTTTTCTCTTTGCGTTTCTGCTGAGCGGTCGTTTATTTATACGCCCGCACGAGCTGCTCGCCAAAATCTCCGCCTGCTGGGAGCAGCAACAGTCGGCTAGCGATGTGGTCGATGAGGCAGTTGCTCAACCCACATCATCGCTGGCGTTGCACTTGAACTCTGCCTCGCCGCTGACACAGCGCAAGGGGGGAGCTGCTTCAGCTGCAGCTGCAGTTGGCTCAGGTGCAGTTGTCGCCAGTTCGGAGCTCGAGCTCGAGCCGAAGCCACAGCAGCGCACATTGACGCAACGTTCGGCGCAACACTGCATTCGTTTGCTCTCCGAATGGATTGAGATCTTTCCGTATGATTTTCGGGATGAGCGTCTGATGCAACAGGTGCGCATCCTCGCCAGAAAATGTGTCTACATCGACAACTCGCTGGGCAAGCAGGTCTCGCGCATTCTTCAATTGCTCGTCTCCCGGCTGACAGCTTTAGAGCAATACGAGGAATTTCTGCAGACGGTGAACAACAACGAACAATCAACCAACAACATCGAACACCAGCCACAAAATCAACTGCAACAGCAGCTGCAACATCAGCATCAGCAACAACAACATCATCATCATCATCATCATCATCATCATCATCATTTGCATCTCAATTTGCATAATCCGTTTCAGACGTTTCTGGGCAGCAGCTCGTCGTCGTCGTCGCATGCAACAGCGAGTGGCAACAATAGCAACAACAGCAACAGCAGTGGTAGCAACAGCAACAGTGCCACAAATGGTGGCATTCCAACGAGTGCTGGCTCCGTTTCGGGCAGCTCAACGAGTGGCAGCAACTCGGCTTCGAGCACGCCACAACCGGATGAGGTTTTCGGCATAATGGACATTTGTGGCAGCTGCGAGCATTTGGCCCATCAGCTGACGGCCATTGAACTGGAGCGTCTCTCGCACATTGGACCCGAGGAGTTTGTGCAGGCCTTCGCCAAGGATTATCAGCAGGCCAAATGTGCCACTGCCACTGGAGATGTGGCAACGGGAGGTGCAGGGACTGCTGTCAGCAGCAGCTCATTGAACGATATGAAAAAGACACGCAACTTGGAATCGTATGTGCAGTGGTTCAATCGTCTCAGTTATTTGACAGCCACCGAAATTGTTAAGGTGGGTTGTGGTTGGTGTTGGTGGGTGGTGTGTGGAGAAGGATTAGTGTGGAGCGGGGTAGGGATTAGTGAGTGCTTAAAATGATTGCGTCCCTGCAGTGCCCAATATGTTGCAAGGCATTTGCGTATGCAAATGAAATATGCGAACCCAAAAAGAATCAAAAAACCAAACCAATCAAAAAATATGCAAATCAATAAGTTGAAGCAGGGCTTTAAAATAAATAAATCACAATATTTTGATATGAGAGTTGGCTGAAGAAATTTAATTGTTACCAAAATAAATAAATCACATACTTTTCATATGAGAGTTGGCTCAATAAATGTAACTTTTACTAAGCAATTTTAATCAGTGAATACGATTATTTAAATTATTTGAGTTAATAAAAGGGTTTAGAAACAGAAATTGACATTTTAATTGATTGAAAACTATAATTAAATTAAAGTTCATTGCATCTATTAAATTGAAAGTTTTGCTTCGAAATGCTAAATTTGTAAAATTTAGAAGACAATCAGTATTTAATATATATTTTGTTATTCTTTTTTAAAAATTATTATTAACTTTTGTATTTGTTTTCACAGTATCCGAAGAAGAAGCAGCGTGTGCGTATTATTGAATATTGGATTGAGACTGCGCGTGAATGCTTCAACATTGGCAACTTTAATAGTCTGATGGCCATAATAGCTGGTCTAAACCTGGCGCCCATTGGCAGACTCAAAAAGACGGTAAATATTATCTAAAATCTATATATAGAGTAAATACTTATAGAGAGAGAGACTGATTGATTTATATTTGTTTTTGATTTTGCAGTGGTCTAAAGTGCAATCGGCAAAATTCTCAGTGCTGGAACATCAAATGGATCCAACATCGAATTTTAACAGTTATCGCTCGACGCTTAAAGCTGCCATGTGGCGCTCCGAGGGTGCCACAGAGGATCGCGAACGCATAATCATTCCATTTTTTAGTTTATTTGTTAAGGATCTATATTTTCTAAACGAAGGCTGCTCGAATCGGTGAGTGTTTGAACTTTCTTGAACTTGTGTAACTTGAATAAGATATAATAAAATTAATTTGAATTTCTTGTAGTTTGCCAAACAATCATATCAATTTTGAGAAATGCTCACAGCTCGCCAAACAAGTGATGGAGTTCAACGAATGGAAGAAGGTGTCGTGTCCATTTGAGAAATTGCCGAATGTCATTGCCTATCTGCAGCACAATACGGTGCTCAATGAAAATACGCTCTCGATGGCATCCTTTGAATGTGAGCCACCCGAGAATACCGAGGAGAAGGATCGCTATAAAACTGTGAAAGCCGAAACGAAGCAACAATTGCTGCTGCAATTAATGGAGCAGCAACAACAACAACAGCAACAACAACAACATCAGCAATAGTTGACTCTGCTATATTTAGTATACTAATATATATTTATATTTAAGTTACGCTTAAGCGCTTGCCATGTTTATTTTTTGTAACCTAATTTTTACACACAAGTCGATTATAAATTGTAAGAAGGGGTGAAAATTGTTTAGGCTAAGTTCCGCGTTTAGTTTAGAGACAGACACAGGCGCATGCGCTGCTCCATTTCAAAGCCGGCAAATTGCTTTTAAAGCAATCTTTGCGGCAACTTTTCAGCTTTTAACTGTACAACTCATCACTTATTATTACCCCATTTATCTAAATTCCACTTGATCATTAATTCCATTTTTCCATTTTAAGACTGGCCTTATATTCCCTTTTCAACACACACATTGCACTAAATTATCATTAACCAACACTGCACAGAGGCGCATGCGCAAAAGCAAAAAAAAAAAATCAAGGAACATTTTCTATGAAACGCAAAGCATCTCCAGAATGTTGCCAGTAATTAAATTAATAATTATTTAATTAGCATCAAGCAAAACGATAACAAAACGAAATGATTGTATGTACTTAAAACATTTTATTGCCGCAACTTATCGATTCTATTTATTTGGTTAAATGTATGTAATATTTGTTAGTATTACGGAAACGGGAAGGAAGAAAATATTTATACATATATTATGTCATAATTTATTTTGAACAATTTGACAAACTTGCGTGTGTGCGCGATATTTTGTAAGCGAACAGTATTTATATTGATATATTTACACAATTTTATATAGCTAAATTAAATCATTTTTAATATTTAATATTGGTTTGATGACGCTTTTGTCCTTGAAGCTTCGAATAATTATTAGCAATGCAGCTTCTACTTCAAACACATTTCTTTCAATCTAAGAAATAGAAGAACGACAACAACAACAAAAATGTACACTGTGGCGGCTACAATGATGCTTATATCCTTTTTAAGATCTAATTTTTAATCGAGGAAACAAACGAGAATATATATATTTATATATATATATATGTACTTATCTTTCAAAGCAAAAATTAATAACGATATGTGTATTGGTATCTTTATGATAATAACTGTAAAGGGACTAAGTTGGCATAACATCGAGTTAAAAAAAACACTGCTTTTGAATAAATCAACTGATCAACACCATTCTCATAATATAATTAACAGCAAGTCTTTTAATTTATTTAATTCTGTAGAATTCAGTATAAGCTGGCTATGTCCTTACAAATTTGAAATTTATGTCTTTCGCGGGTTAATTTTCCGACTGCTCTATGACAAAAGCTACTTGCTGTCGCTATCCAGTGCGATAAGTAGTGTTGTCAAACAAAATATGCTATCGATGTGGTAAAGTTTGTCTCGATAACTCTTGGGTCCCAAAACAGCCCCTACACAACAGGCACATACACACACACACACACATATATATATACACGTAGAAAAGCAATCACATAGGGGGAAAGCGGCATCGGCATTGGCGCTGAGCTTTATACGCGATGCGATTCTGTTGGCGTGCAGACGTCCTCACGGTGAACATTTTAATGAAAAATCAAAAGCCGAAATCAACGCATAAAATACTCTAGTTGGAATCCAAGACAAGCGCATCAAAACGAATTTCCAGCACAATTGTCTCTCTTTGTGTTATGTGTGTGTAGAGTGCAATTGCAACTTTTCATAGCGTGTGGCTGATTTGTTTTTGTTCAATTATTTAAGCTTAAAGGACGATTGAAGTGGGAGTTGATGAAGCGCAGCTGAAATAAGAACCTGTTGTTGTTATTGTTGCCAGGAGTGGGGCACAAACAAAGCGAACCAAAAACACAGCGACAAAAAGCGACGGAAAAATCGATTGTGCTCATTTTTGTTTTGGTTCGTGTTTATATTGATGCTTTAGTGTGCGTGTGTGTGTGCTTGTGTGTGTTGCGCGAATTGCAACAAATAACAAATCAAGACGATAAACCGATAACAGTGCTGCACATGGCATGACTCACACAAACAAGCAGGAAACATGAAAAATAATCAAAAGTATGCAAAATTGCCCCAAGATTTGGATCTGAGCTTTAATAGCGATTTAGATTTGCTGCCGGACACCGCAGCCGATATCGATGCCGATGAATTCAATTTGAGTGGTTCGCCACCTGCTGGTTTAGTACTTAACAACGACGACGACGGCGACGCTGGGAACGGCGACGACGGCGGCGACGACGACGAAGAAGACGACGACGAAATTGTCATTGCAGCGCAGGTTGTTGGGGGCGGCGACGGCAGCGGCAGAGGCGCCGGCATTGGCAGCGGTGGATTGCGTTTAGCCACACGTAAGCAGCGTAAGCAGCGCAAGCAGCAATTGGAACAGTTGTACAACAAAAAGAATAAGATCTGCGGACTGGGCAGTGATAGTATTATCGAGGTGAGTCAACAACGCCACGCAATCGATAAATCTCAACATGCACATATACACACATGTACATTAAAATAGATGTAAAGACAAACAAAATGTAAATATCCCATGCGCAAAATATAATATATTAATTTGTAAAATTTTCGCTATTTTCTCTTAATGATCAATCAGAAGTCTCTGGCTTAAGATAGCGTACAGTCAATTTATTTGGCACTTTTCTTTGTTAAAAGTAAAGTGAATTAGGTGCGAGTTGCGTAAAATTAAGAAAACTCTATTTCTCTATTAATGTTGTTTGCAAAAGATAAGATTTGAATATAATAGGGATTAACAGCGCTTACAGTCCGAGGATTGAAGGTAGAGTATACGCTCTAAGATCAAGTAAAAATTAACAATTGCATAGCCACATTAATGGGACAGCCTCTTTATTTTTAACTCACAGTTATTGTACGTATTTACCAATATTGAAATATGCAGATCACTTGCAAAACAGTTGCTCGCCATAACATTTAATTTGATTTGGGTAAATAAAACAGCATACATACAGATTGTAGATTATCATAGCTAATGCTGTTTATTTTTAACTATTTGCACGTTATATGAAAAAAAAACAGTATTTATTTAAACAAAGTTAAAGATAGAATGACATAAGTGCCAGCAAAAATGGCAAACACAAATAACAAAAAATAAAAATAAACAATGAGCAACAGAAAACAGTCAACGTTGCACTCAAGAAAGCACACAACCAAAAAAAATCGATATAGCAACAAAGAAAAAAAATATAATATACAGCTAGAAAAACGGCGGCTCACCTGAACAAACTAAGACTAGGAAAACCAACCCAAACAACAAAAGTCATTTGAATATCATGCAATTGTTTAAATAGCCAAGCCAAACAGAACAAAGTTAAGCGACGCTGAGACGACGCCAGAGTTGCCAGAGTTTAACAGTGGCGAGGCGAAATCACGTTTAATGCTGCTGATGTTAATGGATTTATGTTGTTGTCAAAGTCATTTTGCGGCCAGGCTTGTTTTGGGGTGTGTGTGTGTGTGTGTGTGAGGGGCGGGGGCAAGTAATGATGTCTACTTAAAATGTTTGTGAAAAGCCGACGGTCTTTGTCCGCCTTGACCAGTGTGACCATGTTCCCCCTGCTGTTTTTTTTTTTTTAAATATTTGCCAGATTATCTCTTAAGCACGCCCATTGCATGGAATGTGAAAATATACTGCAAAGAACTTGTAGAAATATTACATTTAGACTTAAAGTAAGCGTTACACAATCGATGTAACTGCTCATCATCCTATTCAAGCTTATGTCACACACATTTTTTCGGAGTGTAGCGCACAAAAATCGATAAATGCTTGTATCTATGCACATTTTTACTCAAGTGTCTCGGCTATAACAATAACTAACGGTAAACAGTTTGGTATACTTACTGGCATGGTGTTCACACCTGGTCATTATTAATGCCATTATATTAATGTACGTACCCTTATGCCGCAAGCCATGAAAATGCGTTACCCTTTTCCCCCTTTACAATCTTTCCAACCACATCAACACGCAGCTCCATCAATAATAAAACGCGTCAAGCCCATGTCAATCATAGACGACGCTGCTGAAAATGTTGTGCATTTGAAAATTAATTACAACCCTCTCCCCCAAGGCAACAATATTTGTGGCACGTGTGTGTTTTTGTGAGTATGTAACTGTAAATCTAGATATATTTAGATCGTCGTACTACTTTCACATGTCGACTCTGACAAGCGTTCGTCAATCTGAATGCAGATTATTCGCTTTTTTCTTCTCCAGGGCTTACGGAACATTTCAGAATAATACGATAATCTCTGCTGCAGTCAGTAAACATCTCGGCCAGTTTTATAATACCAACATTCGGTCCAATGCGGACAAATAGGCGCAACGATTCCTATATAAATCGGGATTATCATATTACTTTTTAATTTATTTATTATTTATTTCAATCACTTTGTCACTCACCATTTGTCAGTGCAATGGAGGCCAATATGAGAAATGGCAAGACTTTAATCTTCATGTTTGTACAAGTGAAGGTTTTATTCATTGCGACAGCTTATGTTCAACTGAACCAAAGGCTTAAAAATGTACAGCTTATATATGCATAGTATTTACAAATGTCTGAAGGGAAACTCTGATGGCAGATTTACTTATCGCTATATTGTATTTTGTATACCCTCGATACGGTTATGTTAATTTATTAATACTGTCTGTCAAAAACTGAAATTATTATTATAAATTACATGTGTTCACTATTTAATTGAATTAGATTCTTTAATCTTTTAATAATTGAATGAAACCTTTAGGGCATTAACGATTCGATTCACGTGATATATCATCATAATGAAATAAAATACTACGAAGCATTCAACGGTGCTTATCAGTAATTTTGTGTCGGTACCATCGGAAACTAATATTTAAAACGGTTCATATTGTTGTCAGTGGAGAAGTGCAATAATGTAGTCAAATAGACAATTTGCTTATCGCGGTAGCAGCTGCAAAATAACTCAGTTGAATGTACACAATTGAGGGCGATGCTTGACCTAGCGCATTTCTTACAGGGTGTCGGAAACTTTTCTTCAAAAACTGCAACTAAAATTTTAAGAATTACGAGTAGTATCCATAAGAATACTGACAAGATTCACGACAATTACCATCTCTCTTTTTTATAATATTAAGTTTTTTTTTATCTTATAAATATATATATATGAATTTTATTATTAGTAGGTTTGATATTTGATTTTTATTATGTGCTTATTATTATATTGTTCGTTTTCTGCCTAATATGGTAATTAAGTTTATCAACGGCTGATCTGCTGAACTGACTAATTCTGCACAGTCTGGCAACTCTTGAGCGATGCCTGCTAACGCTGTTTAGCTGGCTGCTATTAACTTCCTTTTAACGTTGCCAGCTTTTTTGCAAACATAAGTTGCCAGCACTTTTCTCTCTTTTTCTCTCGCTATCTACCTGCATTTTTCAATAGCTACCTTGTCCCTATTCTTATTCACCCCTACACTCGTTACTTTTTATGTGTGTGTGTGTGTGAGCTTGTGTGTGTGTGTGTATGCATGTATGTGAGTTTGCTAACCAATTAATTTATGCTCTGGCCCCTGCTCAAATGTGGTACGCATCAAGTGAGGCTCATTATGGAGAAGAGAGACTCAGAAACTCAACTGACTGCATTGGTGCAATCTAACCTAGATTTGGTGGGGCAAACGATGTCCTCGTTGCACGTTGCACTTTGCTACTAAAAACACGCATACGCCCCTCGTTCTACATGCTGTGCTTCATTTTGATTGCCCAACTGACCGTTCAACGCTGTTGTTCTGTTTGCTTATTTTAGTAAACACAATGCAACAACAATAACAGCATGGCACTGAATTGGGGACGTGGTGATGGCGCCGGGGAGGGGGGAGAGGGGGTGTGGCAAGTGCTTTTGTGGTGTGACATTATATAGGCGTTGCAGCAGGGCGTCGGTCGCCGGTCGTCGCTCTGTTGCCTGTCGCCTATCTCCCGTGTCTCGTTTTTGCTTTTGTTTTAGCATTTTGTGACTTGCATAAAATAAGTGCTAAAAACGCTTTGTGGCACATGCATTTGCAACAACACGACTAGGAAGATTTATCAACCAGGTCTACAAAATGCAGTGCCTGCAGTTAACCTGATTTCATGCCATAATATTATCATAAAATGAAGCGCTTTATTTGCTGCTCTTCTACGTGATGACTCTAATGAAGACAGACAGACAGGCGGACAATGAAATCCCCCTAGGGAGCTTCTTCTTTGATTGAGTGTTTAACATGATTTGCATAACAGAAATTATGAGCTATTTTGTGTGTTTAATGCGTCTATTTAAATTATGTTATTATTTTTTATTGTTTTCCATTATTTACAAAGTTGCTTATAAATGAAATATTTAATAGCGACTGTGGCATATTTTTAGACACTTTTCGATGAATAATGGTACTTGTTTTTATATATTTATGTGGAGACCAATTAAGTCGAGACTCGACTATCTAATACGATCCTCTAAATGAAGATGGCGTTAATTTAATTTAATTATTTAAATTATATTGTAGTATTAAAATTATCTTTATGAAGTATATATTATATGTTTCTTTTAAATTATATTATAGCATTAAAGTTATATTTATTAAGTGCTGAACATCTAACTGCATAATTATTTTCAACAAAATTTGCTGCTGAACTACTTCTGCTCAGTGTGGCAACTCTTGTGCGATCCGTGCTAACGTTCTCTAGCTGCCTGCTATGGGCTCCCGCCTTGGGCTGCCATCCTTTTTAATTTAGCTATTAGCCCAACCAAACAATTTTTAATCATTTATACAATACTCTTATTAGCAAACTAAATAGCTCTAGCGAATTCCCACCTTATCATTTATAATTATTTGCATTTTGGCTGTGCAAATATAATTTCCACTTTTAATTGGCCGCATAGAATGACGGCGGGGGAGAAACCGTTCGCCTGCCAGTTGCAAAAATAGTCAGCTGGAAAATGTGCATCCTGCTGGCGTTTAACAAAAGTTTGTTTCACAATTTCATGTTTTATTTTCTGCCAACTCAGCCTGCTTCCCGCTTAGCGGAGCTGCATGACTGCAATTGTTGTCGCAGAATTTTGATTGTCAAAATTTGCATTTCATTCACGGCTTATTCTAAAGTTGCCGTTATAGTTTTGCATGTGCTGTCAAATTTGTGATGAGTTTAACTACAAAATGCCTGGTGGTATTTTGCGCAATGTAGTTTTAGATTCACTTTTGTATTTAGTTTTAGTTGCACTTCAGACAAAACTAATTGCAAGTCATATGTAGGACTCCATTTGCTTTTGCAACTTGAATTAAACATAAAATTGCTAAACAATGAACAGTAATTTTGCGGCAACAAATGTGAACTACCTGTTTTCTACTTTTAAGTTCATTGAACAATGCCGCAAATGTTGTGCTCAAAAGTTTTCGTACAAAATTTAACAAATTGAATTAATTGCGTGCAAAATTCCAAACGAAAAGAGCACAAAAGCCACTAAACGTCGGTTACAACAACAACAACAATAAAAGGCACCCAAGAACTAAGCTGGAGCAACAGCCCCCTACTCCCCCATCCCTCTCAAGTTGTCTAAAAATTGTGTAAGGGCATACCATAAAAAAAGGGATATCCTGTAAATGGTCTAGGACAGGGTAGTTCTGTATACTTGCAGATATATTTTTGCTTTAATGTCGATATAGAAAAATACAAAAAAATATAAAATGAAATTAATTAAATTGCAAATAAGACTTAATGTTTAAATTGAAATTAAAAAATTAAGAACAATTTACAAGGTTGAAGATACCCGCCTTATCCAGCTATTTTGTCACAGGGTATAAGAGCTGTTGGTAAATAACAATTTTGTGAACATTTTTTGAATGAAATCAGTGTTCAAAGGGATGGTTGGATGAAGGTTGCCCAGTTGGCTCAAGCTATGGCTGTGTAGAATGCAGGCAGGCTGGCAAGTTGTTAAGCCTTGGAATGTGCAGGATATATGTACATAAACAGGACTGTGTAGTGTATGCTATGATTGTTATGACTTACACACATACATATATATATACATGTTAATGCTTGCTTAATGCGTTTGCATGCTCACATATAATTACCATAATCATCATCATCAACATAATGAGCTGCTCTCAATAATGGCTGCAAAGTCTTGGAAATAATTTCATATCCGTTTGATTTGCAACGCCAGCTGCCACTACAACATGTACCACTTGCAAATGGTTAGAGATTGGGTAGGAGGCAAGTATATGACGCATCGGAATAGTTGCGAGCGTATTACAGAATGAGTCTCCAGTCAATGAGGGGCATCATCATAAACAAGACAATCAACAGGAAGTGAGCACAACGAGTTGACAGCACTGCGCACAGGAGCTGGAGCTGTAGCTGTAGCTGAAGCTGGAGCTGAAGCTGGAGCTAAGCTAAGAGGCAAAAACTTCCGCTTGATAATACTAGAAGCTAAAAGGGCATAAAATGGGAAGCAGCAACAGCAGAAGTTAGGGCTGTGCTGGGATTTTTGACGTTGCCTTTGCCATGTTGCCAAGTTGTAAACATGCAAAAATTGTCAATTGAAAAGTGAACGACAGTCGAGGCAACCAAAGGAGCAGCAGCCAAGTCATATAACGATGTGGCAAGGAGCAGGCAACCATATAACATAAAAGAACGCCAACAGCAACAACAATAACAGCAAAAGAAACATACAACAATAGTGGTAAATCTGTGCTAAAAGAGCCCGCGGGAACCAGCCCAACTCTAGCTGAGTAGAAGAGAGGGGGATGGGGATGGGGATGGCGAGGGGAATAGGTAGGTCTTATTTTTGTTTTTGCCTCAATGCTTTGTAGCGTTTTTCCCTGGCTTCCTTATACCACTTAACCTTAAACCTCAAAAAGGGGCATATACATTGTAAAATCAGGATGCTTGATATTGTATGTTAAATGTTTTACTTATGCTATATTTTATCAATAACACTCTCCAGTTGAGTTGTAAATTCAGACTGAGTTTATTATTTGGAATCCTGGCCTTATAAACAGTGTTCACTTAAATATTTACTGGCTAGACACAGACACAGCTGTGGATCGTTGCTAACCTATTCAAGAAATGTTTCTCAATTCAACTATTTTTGTTCTTATTTATTCTTATCACATATTTGATATCAAATATTTTTAACATGTGTTCATTTTACTTCTTAAGTTATATTATTTTCACCAAATTTGTAGTTCAACTTGCTCGAAACGATACCAAACTCAATACAACTCTTCTTCGCATACAGCATATTTTGCATTGGGTTTGTCAACTTACACATATTGTCAACATTTTCTTTCTTTTTTTTGGGAGGTATTCACATGCCAACATATGTGCTCCATTTTTGTTGCTTTGCTTCTGTTTTTTGTCTTCCTTTTTTTTTGAGGCATCCCAAATTTAATTCCCAGCCGTTTTTTTAAGGTTTCGCAGGCGCGGTGGCAGAAAATTGTGTTGCATACTTAAAAGCGGCAGGTTGTAAATGCAAAG